TTTGGCAAGCCTGAAAAAAAGTTACTAATTAATGGGACAGGGAAAACAAAAACAGAAAAAAAGCTAGCCAAATATTTAATTTTTAATTAGCGTTTCTCATTAGAATAGACATCAGAAAAGAGTTTGTTTATCGTTGACTTCAGCCCGTTTTCAGAAAGCACGTGTCAAACAAACCGATAGAAATTCCAGGTTTGTTAGAAATCCAGCTTTTCGGGGTTAAGAAATAGAAAGATAAGGATTTTCAAAAAATTTTGAAGCGCATCGACTTTTTTTTCACCAGGTCACGATGAAAACTGGCCAATGTTATTTGGAAAAGCCCAAAAGTTTAAAATTTACAGAAAGAAGTTATTTGAAAAAGAACGAGGAAGAAGCTTGCAAAGTGATGGAAACAACTGTTTGGGTAAAGATTTGCAACCAGGGTCATTTGAACCCAATCAATGTCAGTTCGTAGTTTGTGAGCTCGTAAAGAAGTCTCATCGTTAGAGGTTTACAAAAAGGAGAAAAAAGCAAGTTTCTTTCGTGAAAATCTACTGGAAACATTAAAATTTTGAAAAATTCTAGAGGTAATCTTACTTTTTTTCTAGGGTTTCACTGAATACTAGTTGAAAAACTCTCAGCCCAAGAGAAGATCTTGAAAAAAAGGAACTTTCGAAACTCTTTTTTTCAAGAAAGAAAAGCTGAAAAAATCAAAATGAAAATTATTTCCGAAGCGTTCTGAGGGTTCTTTCAGAAGCTATCGATTGGACCCAACTGAGAGCTCCTGAACCTTTTTCCGATACATTGGATATTGTTTCAGAGATTTTTTTCTGGAGTTCTAAACAGAAAAAAATTAAAAAAACCGTATTTATGAACTTTTTTTCTGATGATGAAATTCGTGAGTCGAGTTCTTTTTCAAAAAAAAATGCAATCGTGTGAAAATACGCCAACACGTAAAAATGAAAGTAAAGAAATATGATCCTCAAACCCAACTCGGAAATTTACGCTCGAAATTAAATGCGAAAAATTTTTTTGGTTGAGCGTTTCTTTCAGAATCTTCACAAAAAAATTTCAAATCTGTTATCTCGAAAAAAATAAAATTTGATCTCTGCTGACTCAAATACCGAAAAATATCTTTGAGTAATTAATAAAAATAAGTCTGTGTAAGGTCCTTTTTTTGCCTTGAAAAAGCGGTTTGTGGGAATTTAGTCAAAGTTTCAAAAAGTTTAATCAAAAAAATAAATTTTTGGTTCAAAAAAATCCCAAAGAGTTCAGAATCAACACAGGTAACAGAGGAAGATGGGTTCAATCAGGTGAGCTGATACTCGATGGGCGGTGGGTTTCATGTTCAACTCGGCACTCGACCTATCGCCTAGGCTTGTTTGAGTTGCGCCACTCGCCCGGCTTCATCTCAAGTCCTTCTTCTATAATTTTTCGATTATGAATCAAGCTTTATTCCAACTTTCGCAGACTAGTTATATTCGTGTTTCAATATTTCTCATTTGAAGGAAATGTCGTTTTTCCAAATATGCATAAAAAAAGTACTGACTAGCAAAAGTAAAACATGCAGTATGAAAATTAAAAAACCTCAAAAAAATGCTTTCAGATATCAAGTTTTTTTAAACCGAACCCAACTTTTCAAAAATTGATAGGACTTTTTTTAATTTACTAAAAAGCAGTTTTTCCACTTTTTTTGACAGATTCTGTCTTCTTGAAGATCTTGAAAGTTCCCCACATTTCGAAAAAAATAAAATGTAGAAGTTTATTATAATCTTGAATAGAAACTGAAACAGATATATCCGAAAAATTCTATTTCAAGTATCGGTATACATCGCATCGTGAGAGTGTGGATATTTTTTTGATAAATCGAGAAAATTCATGACCATTTTTTCTTATTCCAGATATAACTGTTTTCCATGCAAAATTAATCGTTCTCGAATTCGTATTTTGTTAGGTTGCCAAAATCTTCAAATTTAGCTAGCACAAGTGTTAACTGTAGCCAAAAAGATAAGAAAAGGTAGGAAATTTTCCAGGGCTTTGGAAAGCACATGAAAGCCGTTGCATTCTGTGCAAACCGAAAATCTCATGATGATTAGTGAATCAAGGGTGGCATAGCAAGTTCAAGTGCCATGAGAGTTTTTCAGATGCATTTTTCCCACGCTTTCTGTTTTACTATCAAATATTGCGCTCCATAAAAGTAGAAAATGTTTTTGGGGTGTGGATTCGTGGCACTCTTCAATCAAAAAAAGTTTGATATTAAAAAAAGATTCAAAGTTATTAGTTGTTGGAAAAAAGTCACTAAATTTCAATTATTTTCGAAAATTGAACTTGTGTTTTTTTAATGATTCAATCAATCAATCACCTTGCACATCTGAAAAAAACTTTGCTAGAGTCAAAGAGACAAAGTCACAGAAGGAAAAAAAAAAGCTCAAAATTTTTTTCTTTAGAAATTGGTTTATTCTCAGTTTTTTTGAATGCTCTCGTGATCACAAAGGCCTCACAAGGTTATGCGGATGCGCGAGTGTCAGAGCTTTTGAGCGTGAAATGTAGAGGAACTTCGGCGGAATTTCAACGTATAAAATTTTTAGCACTGAAAAATGGAAAGTCACTTCGAAGAATGATCATTAACAAAACAGCCTTCGGTGATTGCTACTGCAAAAGTTCATGTTGTGTATAAATAATCTCCATAAAACCTTTGGAGAGTTTTCAGGCAAATTCGCTATTATTTATCGCTGGAAAATCCAAGTTTCTATACCAAAAGATTTCCTCAACAGTAACGTGAACACAAAGAACCAGAAAAAAATATTTTAAACATTGATATTTTTCCTCCTTTAAATAAAAAAATCTAAAAAAATACAACTATTGTAGAATAAGACTTTAATATAAGTTGGCTTTGGCTAATAATGGGGTCTTTTTTTAAATGAAGAAAACGGGGAAAAAATGCAAGAAACAAAGGAAGATTCCACCTATTGCGGGCTTTACCCATGGAGTACATGCTTACGAGATCACCCGGCTCGTTGAGCCGAGAATTTTAGGCTTAGTGCTCTATGTCATTTTTTTTTCCATTGTTCAATTTTTTCCATTGAAATTCCTAGCACTTTTGCTGTTGAATCGAGTTATGAAGTCTCAAGTCTTCAAACTATGAATTTATTGGAAAAATATATTGATGTTTTTTGAGAAGTCAGAACACTATTAAGAGGGGTAATCTGAAAAATAAAATCTTTGATCTGCGAACAAAACATTTCAGAGTTGATTTTAGCCAAACTTTATCAACGTCTCAATTGGCCACCATTTATTCCCTATTTTTGAGCGACTTTATTATCTTGCAAACTATTTTTAATAGAAACATTATATCGTTCTATGATTCAAAAAAAGCCCCGGATTTCTCGATTACTTGGGCCCACTCTATCAAACTTTTTAAAAAAATGAGCTCTGTTGGATTTCTTGAACTTTTTCAATACATAACTTCGTAGTTTCATTCTAATGCCTCTTCAACTATATTTGAATATTTCATTATCGCAAAAAAAATATTTAGGAGAACTTAACTCGTTTCAGTAGTGCTGGGAAGCCTTCTCTGGTAAACTGGTCTTTAAATTATTACATTTTACAACAGTGTCTTCATTTTTTTGTTATTATTTCAAAGGAAGCTCCTTTCAAAAAAACTTCCGAGGTGCTCTACAATAAATTCACAAAGGTTAGCGTAAATTTCGAGTCGGCCATCGTTTTTCATATACTGCTTCCGAGACCCCAAAAAATCGCCAGCGTACGATAATTATGTTCGAAAAATGGCGAAAACAAAATATAAATCTCTCAGAATTTACCATCTTCTCGGAAATGTTTTCGGTTTCTTCAAACTCTCTGCTCAATCATAAATATTTTTTAGCTTCAGGACAAAAAAATTGGAAATTTTTCAAACTCTTTGATTAAACTTCAAGAAAAAAATGCATTCAGTTGCCTGATTCCGGATCCCAAACGTTTCTTTCTACATCTATGTATTTTGATCCACCGAAAAGGTTTTGGAAAAGCGAAAACCCTTTTTTTCTTCAATTCATTTATTTTTGCATAAAAAGTAAACGTCAAGTTACTCTACTGGAAAATGAAGTAAAATTGAAAGTTTCATAATTTTTAGAATAGAAAAAAACCTTAACTAACTATTATTTTTTTGTCAAGTTCTTTGTATGCAATATTAACTTTTCTGGTCAAAAGCAACTCTCGCTGTTTGTGTAGGGAATGCCCCAGTATATCGGAGAGGGGTGTCGCAGGAATGTGCGCTCCATCGACAAACAATCCGGGTCTTATTTTCTTATCGAGCGTTTCCGATATGTTATGAACCTAATTATTATAAGTGAAACTCGAAAAATTGGGTTATTATTGTTATTGGGATGCTTTTCTCATACTCTGAACTACATATTTCTTTCATTGATATTTTCTGAATCAATTCCAAAAAAATACTAAATTTAAAGGAAAATCCTCGTGTAAAATTGATTCATACATTCACAAATGAGGTTCTAAGATTCATATTATGCAACTATCATTAAATTATATTTGCTAGGAAATTTCAGATTTTCTCTAGAGTAGCGTCGCCAAGTTTTTGATTATAGTTGTATTCAGAACTTGTTTAAAATATTCCAACTAACTATGTCGAGAAAAAGTGATTTCACTTTTTTTATTCGTGTAAAGTGATACAAACTTTTTCGATGTATTAGAATTAATTCTTGAATATGTCAACTTTGAAACTTCCTAGATCGGGAAAAAGATGAAGTTTCCAGAATCGTTGTATGGAATCTTTAATTTTTTCAGCTAGTTTCCGGCTTTGAACGTAGATTTCAGAAGAAAAAAAAAGTGAAATTTAAGCTGAGTGAACCCCTTTGAAAATATTCTCAATTTTTCTTCAAGTGCGTCCTCATGATGCAAACTGATCTCTCCAACAAAGAAAACATTTACTCGCCGTTTAAAATCAATTATTGTTTCATAAACAAGCAGAAGAGACAAAATTGAATAAATTAGTTTCGTCTTTTTTTGTCTTAATACAAGCCATAGACTCCGTTGCGTCCATAGTGCTCTGGGACGTACTCGTACGGATCTGCGGGACCGAACGACTCTCCTGAAAAAAAATCACTTTTAAGTATCGTTCAAATGTATGAAAAAAGTATGAGCAGAAGTTTTGAGGTGACTCCTCAATTAAGGTTCAACTATTCAATTGAATCTCGGAAGATTGATAGGACTAAGGGACGATTTGGAAGGCGATTGGCTTGCTATCACAGGATACCAAAAATCGAATCTTTTGAATTTTTCAGAAACATACAAGTTGAAAAACTCGAAATTGTTTTTCTCATGTTGGCGAGATTTTTTTTTCGAATCTGTTTTCGGGGTGGAAGCAAGAAGGAAACAGGCTCGTCCTCCTCAGAAAAAGAGCAGAAAAGTCAGAGAGTTTTTTTCCGAACATTATTATCATAAACCAAAAGCTTTTTAGCCTTGGGTCAAACTTTTACCTAGAAAGACGTCGTCAGATGACAGGGGCTCGCCTCGTTTGCCGAATCGGACAAGCGAATTTCTCATCGCCTTCTTCTCAAGTGGCACTCTGAAAAGTTTCTTCATTCAATAACGAAAAACTTAACAACGATTTTTGGCTTCTCCAAATTTCCAATTTTTCCCAGACTAACTTCCTGATGCAGGATGGACTTCATATCCATAATTAAGGACCACGAAGCAGCCCGAGATCCAATTTCTTATTTACCAAAGAATCACAATTTCATATTTCCATGGGAATTGAAGAAAAAAAAACTTTTTCTGTCATGAAGAAAAAAGTCTTCAAATTCTCCAATTACAACACTGTGTTCTTCGAAATATTTTGTAAGTTTCCAAGAAAAGTTCCGGATTCAGTGTAACCGATTTCTGATGGTTGAATCTGACCTTGAAACTTGACTTTGCTGAAACTAAAAATTGTGCAGGTTAAATCTTACAGTATATCGATTCAGTGAGTGATGAAATTTTTTGAATATCCAGATACTCTCCAATTACAAAGTTAAAATGAATTTCCGTGTAAAGTTTTTCTCTTTTCAGACTTCGATAACTCAAGAATAATGTGATGTAAACTTTATGGCTCATAAGTTCATAGTTCTTTTTCTTGGATTGCGCGAGAGAAGCCATTTGGCGATACCCAGGTGGCTTGGAGCCGTTTTAGCTTCACTCAAAGCAAACTTTTGTGAGCTTTAAAAGCTATGAAAAAAGTTATATGGATCATTTTAAAAGGAATTGCGGGGGACTCTGGTTTCTTATGGAAAATTTTTTCTCACATAGCTGAAAGTCTAGAGATTGGGAACAATAAATAAAAACATCGAAAAAGATCTTAGATGCCCTCGGTTCATTTGTTGAAAAATGAGAGCGTTTCTCGAATTTGCAAGTCTTGTTTAACTTTTCTATTTGTAGATGGCTTTCATAAAAAAATATTTCCTTGACTTTGAGCCAGTTATAAATTAATTTGAACAAAAAGTTTTTTTGATAGTTTAAAATCGCGGATGACTTATTAGTTTTGTTCTTGAATTTTTTTGAAGGAATGACTGAAATTTCATTAAATAATTTCTCAGGTTTTTACAATATGGAAACTGTTGATCTCAAAATGACTCAGATTAGATTTTAACTGCAACACAACCCGAAGCTTCAGCCTATGGCTACCGGGACATTTTTAGTAGAACCGAACGGAACTTATAATATACAGTTTCCAAGTTTGAGGAATATGGAGAACTTTGCCGACCCACATATGGAAGGACTCGTAGAACCTCATTAAAAAGTCCAATCTGAAACTTCCGAAAGCGTCTGTTACTAAGCTGCAATAAATCTTTCAAATCCCAGAGAAACACTTTTTGGAGAACTTTTTGTAGTGCGCCAATTTTTCTTTGGACCGAGATAACAGAGCTTTTTTTTGGCTTTCGTGGCGTCGGAGTAATCCCAAAAGAGTTATGATGTGCGAATGTTGAAGTCTTCATTTTTCAAGTTTTCTCGTATGCAATCAGTCAAAATAGCATTTTGCTTGAAGAAGGGCAGCTAAACGAGCTTCAGGCGAGAAAAATATTTTTTCAAATTTTTCCACAAGTTTTAGTTTATTTGAAATGGCGTATACGTCTCATTCTTTTTAAGGGCAATTAAAGTGAAACCAAAAACAGAGTTCGAGGAGAGAGCGAATTTTCATAGAACTCTGTCTTTTTTCAATGATTATAAGCGTGGGTGAAAAATTGTGAAGAATCAGTGACCAACATGGTTTTTTTTTTACTTTGAAATTTGCTTAAAAGAACAGCTTGTAGAGGTTTTTTCATTCAGAATCAAACGGCAATATGATAAAGAATGATAATTTTGGAAGTCAAGAGAAGTGCAAAAAGTTTCGAGTTGTAAGCAATGAGTTAAAAGTTTTTTTGAAAAAGCCAGCAAGAATAAATGAAACCGACAAAAAAACAAATGAAACACAATGTGACAAAAATAAGCAACTGGGTAATAATTTCGAAACTTTATTTTGTGAAAGAAATGAAGAGTCTTTAAACTGCAAGGTTTATTAATAAAACCTTTTTCCTCTTTTTAGTGCCCTACCTCGATTAAAAAACGAAATGCTTTCTAAAAGTTTCTTAAGACGTTTCCGCAACATGCGATTGTCCACCATCTTCAAAGAAATTTCTTCTTCATGGCTTTGAATCTTCAGTGATACGGGTTTTTAGGAAGATCGAACTCGTCGTGTCAACAAAGGGAAAAGTCTACCTATCCAGTAAAACTGTAAACAGGTTAATTTACCGTGGCATTGCTTCAATGATGATGAGGGAGCAGAAGAGCGCGAGCAAGACGGCGTGCAAGAAAGAGGACATCCTGAAGGAATGAACCGAGGCGCCGCCCCAAGGCCTCCAAACTACGGCTCCTATGCAAGTGGCAGCCGTCACACCCACCGGATCGTCGAAATACGCGATCCTTCAATGGATCCTTCAGACGTCGACGTCGTCATCAGATGCACACAAGCAATTTACGCATCCCATCACAACACCATCTGTTTTTCAATCTTGCAATTATTCTTGAAGAGCGCTTCCTTTTTCCGAGAGAACTTCGAGATTCGCGGGAGAAAACTTTTTGAGACTTTTTCTTTGAAATAAAAACTTCAGAATGATATTTCTTCTGAGTGCTGGGATTCTGAATGAGGCTGTTCACTGGAAGCAGTTGGTACGCCGATTTCGACCCTGCGCTCAGAAATGTGACTAAGATATGTGAAAAATTTGGGAGTGATCAACTTTGAAAAAAAAATCCTCGAGTTGGATTTCAAATGGTAACCAACTTATTTTTTCATTATCAGCCACCTGTTGACATGGTTGAAAAATAAGGAAACCTAAAAAATCAAAACGAACGTCGCTGCGGTCAAAAAAAAAACAGTTTGATCCAGAACCGTTCAAGGAATACATTTTTTTATTCCGGCAAAACTTTCTGATTTTGAAATTTTTTTTGCTAACACTGACAAGGTAGGATTTGCAGAGAGAGCAGGCTGACATTTTTTTTTTCGAAATAATAAATTTTCGAAAAGTAAGATTCTCAGAAAAAGAATGAATACATGAGTTTTTTGCGTATAGAACTACTGGCGTCCGTGGAAATCTGGAACCCAATCGTCCTGAACTTAAGAATATCTTCGAAAAAAACCAGGGTAATGTACGGACTTTAGATCTTTTCAAAAGGCTCACTGTAGCTGTCTATTGAAAATCTCCAAATAGGGCTTCAAAGTTTGAGAGTTGTGAGATTGATTTAAAAAATGATTTCGAGAGTGAACGATTTTTCAGATGTGTTCCACTATGATCTGCAAACTTTGTTATTTCTTCTGTAAAAGTAAGTATAACTAGAAAATACCGAAAGCGCTAGAGCATTTTTTTGGATTTTTTTATTCAGACTGTTCTGAGCTCAAAATTGCTCGCAAACTTTCAAAATGGTGTTTTTCAGAAACCGACGACTGCTGACGTTAGCTTCTGCATAGATTTATTACATTTGAAGTTCCGTGTTTTTCATAACTTGGGTAAAAACCATGAAAAGCAATAAGATATTCTTGCAGACTAAATAAATGCAAGCTTTGATCAAAACTCATCGTCAATTGGTGTTCACTGGAATGGTTTTAACTTTTCTGCATAGAAATGGTGTGAAATTTTAGTTAGAAGTAGTAATTTGTCTTTCGAAGCAAAGATCTACAACCTATTTAATTTTCCGTGCATAAAAACCAGAAAAGAAAGTTGGAGAAAAATTGCACAAATTCAAAATGCCAAAATGAAAATTATCTTCTTCTTTCTACGCCTTTGTACAGCTGGAGCGGCGTCGGCGCCCCAAGTCGATTAGCCGAGGTCCTATCCTGATAATCAGTGGACTGGCTCCAGTGACATATCCGTCCTTGTGAGTGACGGCTGGGGATTTTGAAGCCGTGGTTTCCCACTACCATTATTCTTTAAACCCCTTGGTTTCGTCGAGGGGGGGATCGAACTTGTGACCATGTGGAATGTAGACAGGCACACTACCTGTTGCGCTATTGTGGCGCCACCCCCAATGAAAGTTATTGTCGCCAATAATTCCTTGGAAAAACTTTTTATAAAGTTTTTTTAACAAACTTCATGGTTTTGGTTTTTATTTGTACTTCTTCACGTGGCCGGTAAAAGTTTGGATATCTCTTCTGGAAAAACATGTGGTGTTGTGAAGTGTTTCCCCATGTTTACTCTATTCGTAAAAGAATGCCGTAGACAATAGAAGCCCCTTGGTAGCAATTCGCATCTGCCAACATTTCCAAAACGTGTTCCAATTTGAAAATTTCTTGTCGCTGCCCTGTTTTTACCGATTACAAAGAAAATTTCATTCATTTTAATTATTTCCGTTGAAGTTCCGGAATTTTTGAGACGTAGTTGGTTGAATCAGCAATGGAGAAGTCGAGAGAAGAAGAAAGTTGATATGATGGCGTTACACAGAAAAAGAGTTGTTTCCATAGTCGTCATCGGTTTTGGCTGTAGAACGACGAGAACACTTTGTGTAGCTAGGCGTCAATCAATCGGTCTCTTTGCTTTCTGCGTTACGAATTACAATTTGTTTCTGACTCTTTCTGATACTTCTACACAGATTTTTGTATGGAAAAGTGCAAAATTGTTTTCGCTAATTCCGAAACGAGTCACTTTGAGTTTTTCTTCCAACTATGCCAAGCACTTACAGTTATTAATTATACGATATTATTCAATAGAAAAAACTTCGAACTTTCAGGGCGAAATACTTCAAGTTGAGATGATTATCTGATTTTAATCGAGAAAATTTCTTAAAATATGCCAATTTTACAGTGAGGTTTTTCTTTTTTTTTGGTTTTTTTTCCCGTTTTTCAAAGATGCGACTATTTGAAGGTCTTATTACTGTGTTCAAAATAATTTATCCATTTTTGAAAAAACTTAACGAAAGAGAAAAAAATTCAAAAAAAAGTATCGAGGGTTTAAATCGGCTGTCTGTGAACTGGAAAATTCACAACTATAGTCAAACGTATTTTTGAAGCCTGGCTGTTTGAATATTTCTAGAACTTAGGTCATTTCCTACGATTGATTTTTTTCCCTGTCAAATATTTTTTTAAATGGTTACAGTTTTTAAATTTAGTTCTCAAATGAACATATAATAAGTTGCAATTCAATGCAACCCAAAGCAACAAAAACGTCTTTTCAATTTTGTCTGAAACTTTTTTAGCATAGATTAGATTTTCGAATTTTATATTGCCCTTCAAACTTCCCAGCTTTGATAGTTTTTTTCTTCATTTTAACTCCTGTTTTCCAATTCAGAAAACTTAATGGTCTGTGAAGAAACGAGATAAAAAAGTCGGACCCCGAGAAAATGGGCAAAGTTTTTGGAGGCAGCCGTCGCCAAGCAGGCCGACTGGTTTCCTGTCGGGCGGCTGACCTATTTTCCACGGTCCGACCGTTCTCTGCTGTTCTCGCCGTGTATTTTCTTCGTCTTCCACAATTTTGGGCCTTTCTGATATTTTTTCTTTATTTTTTGTGCTTTATTTTGAACTTTTGCTCGAGTCGTCGGGTATCCAAATTCAGTTTAATTAGTCAATCGAACAATAAGAAATTTTCTTCAGAATTGGGCAAACCAAAAGCCGCAACAATATTTTTTTAGAAGCGGTCAAAAGACGAAACCCAACGAGTTTGAACCGCGATTTTCTTGTTTCTATTATTATTTAATCATCGTTCAAATGTCGAGTGATCAACACTAAAAGGCTGTCAAAATCGATAAGGAATTTGATCAAATTGGTGTAACTCATGAAGGTTTCATGTTTGATTGGCCTTTTTTCTAGAATAAGGATTGGAATAGTTCTATGGCGATTAATTTCGACTTTGATTCTTGAACTGTTCTCCGAAATTATTTTTTCTCAGCTTGAAACTTTCCATTTCCTTTCTCACTATAACCGAAACCGTAAAGACCCTTTTCCAACAGGATTTGGAAGATATCCAAAACTGGAAAAATCAGTTTCGTTATATTGTTTGTTCACGAAATTGTGAGAGGTTGTTGAAAAAAAAGTTTTAGCTTGCTCATTTCAGTTCTCTTATTTCTCTGAACATGAAATGCTTTCCATTCATTTTTTACCCGGATTCTCAAATTTTGAATCCGAATATTACAAATTGTCTCGTATGGCAAAAAAGGTACACAAAGTTCTTTGTCTTACAAAGACAAAGATGAGAAAGAAGTTTTTTTGTTCTTACCTTTGTACTGAGAAAAAGACAACGGGACGTTCGTTTTTGGCGAGAAACATCCACGATCTGCCATGGCTCAAACGCGTGAGAAAAAGACGCAGAGAGCAAAAAAAAGAGAGAAAAAAACGGCGAGAGGGTCCCTCCGCAACTGTCAGCAACGCAAATGCGCCCCATCGTCAATGCCGAAATCCCTGGGATAACCCGAGGAGCCATTCATTTTTCGTTCGTTTCCTAGCGCCAGTTCTCACTTGGTCATTTTCGTTCCTTTAGCCTTTGAAACTATTTTGAAAAAGCAATATTTTCTCATTAAATCGACATTTTAAGCGTTTTTGTTTCGGTTGGTTTGAAATTCCTTGTCCGTTTTCAGGGTTCAATTACCAATTATTTGTTTTCACGCCGCAGTGACGACCATCTGTCAGCATGGCGAACCGTAACAACAAGAAAAAAACACCAGAAGGAACAAGAAACGTTGGTTGAATTTCATTTATTTTGATTTTTTGTTCAAAAAAAGAACAGTAGCTAGATATTGTGAGAGAAAATTCTCGCTATAAACTCGTTATTTCGATAATCATTTGAATTGCTGTGAATTAATGAAAACCAAGTCAGTTGCAAAAAAATGTTCAACTTGTACTCAAAAATCGAGGAAAAGTTGTAGCTCACACTGAATATCATACAAAATTTTCCCCGAAACTCACCACTTTTTGTTTCAAATGAGAGCCAATTTGAAATTGTCCTATCTTCACCAGTCTGGTTGAAAAAATTGTCCTTTTATTGAAAAATTATCTTTTTTTTCCAGAGTCGTTTCTATATAAACCAGTAGAGGAAATATATTTGTATGCATTTTCAGCCAGAATAAAATTGCAGGTCGTGTCCCGGAAAACGCGAACAAATCGTTTGCAGCTTTCTCATAACGACAGCGGCTTCATGAGCAGCTCTGACGACGCCGAGCGCCTTACCAACGCCAAAAGTTCCGGCGATTTTTGTGAGCTTTTCTTTCTATTTTTGGAAGCTTAACATTAAACTTTTCTTCAACCGACCAGCCTCATTGTACTATATTTTTGAAGCAATATACTATCTGGTGAGCAATATACTATATGGTGAGCAATATACTATATGGTGAGCAATATACTATATGGTGAGCCGAATAATGACGAGTTGCTTTGAAAAGTTTTGCAACCATGTAATTAGGGAACTCAGAAAGAAAATCTCGACTTTCTGTTAAATTCACCTGTTTTCTAGCCGCATTTATTATTTCCCATGCTTCAAGAAGTTCTCAGCAGGTTTCATTGGCAAAAAAATTCTATTATTGACTAATTCCAAAGAATATTTTTTTCATTATACTTTTTTTAATGGCCAATTACCTCACTACTGTTTTTTATTTTCTTGAAGTTTTGTTTTTTGAGGAGAATCCATATAAGGAAAAGTTCATCAATCGCAGCTCAGTTATACAAATACATATATGATAAATATCGTCAAATTCTAGATGACTCAAAAATTAATTTTGTCAAAATGTTTACACTATTGTTCTTTTGAAAATTTCCCATTGTTTCAATAATTAGTCGGGATGAAGTCTCCTGACCAGTTCCTTAAAGCGAAATTGCTGAATACTTGTCCTTTTCGCGAAAAATGGGAGCGCGAGAGGAAAAATTGGGGAGGCAGGCGTCGTCGGGTGATCTCTGCAATAAGGACTAGTGGTGGCGCGACCATACCCTCAGAAACGCGTCTCCAGCCCGATCTGATGTGCTTTTACGCGTTTTCTAAGCGGTACATGTTATGAATGACACTTAGCTAGTTATTAATCGATCTGGAGATCATTGGACAACAAAATGAAAAAGAAACTTCTGTATTTTGTGATGAATAAAAAAATGAAATTTGATGTTTTCAAAAACAGGCCTGAAACACTTGGTAAAGGCCTCTCGGGATGAAAAAAATTAAAAAAATTTCTCGAGTTACTTTTTTTAGAAGCTTATGGTAAAAAAATAGTGTGGGGGCCGGAGGGCAGGCCAATCATTCTTTGTGGCTTCAACAACTGGGAAAAAAACAGATAAAGAAAAAAAATCAACAGACAAAAAATTTCCCTAGATCCATGGAAAAGGAAGATCATTTTATCTGAACTTTGAAGTTTGGTGTTTTACATGAAATCTTGAATAGTTTTTTTCTTTACAGGGATCCAAAAAAATCATGAGTTTTTTTGCAAGAAGTTTCACAGTTTATTTTTGAAATACAAAAAAACCCGTCGAAAGTTTTTCTCTTATAATATTTTTTTCCGACCGAAATTCCATTTCCTAAGCATGTGACAGCTGTCAGAATTTCAAAAAGTGTTTTTTGAAATTTTGAGAATTTCAAAATTCAACAGATTCATCAAATTGTTTACTAGGCGCTGCACTTGCAAAAACTATTTTCACAATACATTTCGTGGTTGTTTTTCATATAAACGGCAATGTGTTCCCCTTTTTGAGACAGTAGTTCATTTCCGATACTTTTTATGAAAGTATTCTTTTTCCGAGATTTATTGCAGAAGTGAGTCCCCATCCCCATTTATAAGAAATTTTGTATCGATTTAGTTAGATCATGACTCAAAATTTTCAGCCGAATCGTTGGAGAGCATCGAAACGTCATCGGTCAACACGACAACTTCGTTCGACAGGTCTGTAGTTTTTTATATTTACGACACTGTCAAAGTTGGATGCGATGTTATTCGCCAAAGTTGGAGAGAACAAAAAACACCTGCATGTACCTGAACGCCTCGTAATGACGTCATAAAACAGAATAACTGTTCTTTGTCAACCGAATGGTTTTAGAACCTCTTTTTTCAGATCTCAATGAATTTGAAACTTTTTTTCACTTTCTGAAAACTTGGACTACTTTTTCGCTGATAGACTGAGGTTCAGCTGTTTGTTGATTGATAACAAATGGCAAGTCGATTTTTTGTGTCATACACTTTCGCGAAGAGACTGAGCTTCGCATTGAGAAAATATCACGAGAGTCAAAATTCACTTTTTTTTTCTGCGCTATGAATCTGTTTTCATGTATATTTTGGACTTTAATCCAAAAAATATTTGAGACTATTGGCTGTGTGTATCTGACTAAATTGCTGAAATTTTATTTTCTTCTATCGGAACACTGTATTGACCGCAGGCTTTAAAAAATTTTAAATGAAGGTCAAACCAGAATTGGAAAGCTTCGAAGAGAATCTTTTTCGAAATTTGAGCAGTTTCCTTTCTTTTTGAGCCAATTGTGAATAGAATGAAGTCTAGAATTGATTCTTGAGCAAACAAACAAGGCATACGGAATTCTTTGTTTTAAAATCACAATTATCATGAAAATTGTTCCGAAACTATTTTTTTTTTCTTAAATCTTAAGCTTGCCACTCAGGAAGACTTTCGACTTATGCTTTCATTTCAGAAGGTTTTTAATTCTTCGCCAAAAACTTTACACCAGAAGAACTACCGTGCAAAAGTTGTCGCTTTTTTTGAGACTCGATATTTCAGTTTCTCTGATAATTAGCTCAAATCAATCTTGACACGAAAACAGTCACAGACCGAGGTTTTTTCAAGGTTCACGAGCAAAGAACGAAAACAAGACAAAGCAAAGCACGCTCAGAAAACGAAGCAATTCACATGAATTGCAAACCGTCGCTTATCGTACTTTTTTGCGTATTTGCCACCCGGCTGTGCAGGGACTGGAGCCCTGATAGAAACCGACAAAAATGGTCCGACGCCTGTTCGGAGCCTCGAACCCTAGATGTGCTGATTTGCGATGCTCAATCAGTCATGTGGCGTGATAACTCTCCAAGTCCATCCTCCTATCTTGGGCAGTTTATATTTCGAAGTTATCGCATTCTTTGCAATTATATTTTTCGAGAGCCTCATGTGGCTCAAATTCAGCTTGTAACAGTTTTTTGGATCTACTTAATCAGATTTTTACAAACTTTTTAAAAAAATAATGCGGTTATCGTGTCAAGAACTCTCAACAATTTTGTTAAAATTTCTTTCGCTGGAAATCCAACTTTCTTTTCAGTCATTTACAAATGTTTTGTTATTAATGATTACTGTTTTTTTAAAACTTTTATTACAACCTTTTTTCGCTTTCTGATTTTCCGAAAGATCCGAGTAAGTTTTCATAACTTAATGACAATCTTAACTTTGAAAAGTTCCTCTTTAAATGCTACGAGCCAATTCCGATAGATAGGTATTTACATATTGGAAAAAAGTTCAATTTGATGATTAATAAGTCTGAAATAGATTCTTCATTTATCAATCTATCCGCTTTTTTCCCTATTTTCAAACATTTCCAAGCGTTTTTTGATCTTTTAAAAAAAAGAATTTACTTATTTTTAAAGCGAAATTTCACGGACACCAACTCTGTTTTTTTCTTATGTTGTATTTACTTAAAAGCGAAAGCGGAACTTGCTGTGATCGAGAAACTTTTTTTTGTATCGTAGTTTTATCGTCATTGAACCAGATCTAAACTGGTGAATTGATCGCAAACAAGTGACAAAAACAGTTTGACGCACTTTCGAACGATAGCGAAGTTTCGTTGGGAGTTGATGCGGGCGGTAGACAGGAGGAAATCGGGACTCAACTTGATAGAAGCCGTCGATAGCGATCGTCAAACCAATGCAGCTCGTCACGCTGTTTCTCTGTCTCAGGCCGTGTATTGTCGCATTTTGTCCGAGATCACCGCGAGAGATAATTTCGTGGGTCTCGGCATGCTTTGGCCAAGAACAGTACCAGAGGCCATGTCGTTTTCGACCTCGTATCTTTCTATTTTTGCTATGTTCCGACTTTCATTTTTGAGTTCGCCAACGAAAATGTCCCTTTCAAGCTGAGAATTTCGAAAAAACGACTCACAATATTTTAATGTGACAGTTGGAAAACAGTATCCACCTGCAAAAATTTTTCATTTTCGCTGAAAATTTCCAAAATCTGATAACGAATTATTCAATTAGCCATTTACGTTTTTTTTTTCAAAATCTTCAGGCAGGGAACGGTTTTTGTGAAAGAAAAATTTTTTGTTGGTTTTTTCAAAGAATGATTTTTTTCCTAATTTCAACCATCATTTTTTTGAGGTTCGAGTAGTTCTTGGCCATTATTTGGAGGGACAAAATTTCAAAAAAGAAGCCTTAATATGAGTTTCAATAGCGTTATTAGAACTTTTAAAAGCCAAAAAAAGCTTCTTTTAAATCCCGTTTTTTTTTTGGAGTGTTTTTTTCTCCGTTCCATGAAATCGGAGAAAATTCCTAGGCTTCGGAACGTTTCCCGTTCAAAGATCAGTGGGATAAATCCTGCTTTTTCATGTAATGACCCTTCGTTGACGCGTCGATTCGGTCGTGACGTTAGCTGATGTCTTTCTGGAACAAAAGACACGTGCAAGTGGAGGACGACACCTTTTTTGAGAATTGTCTTTAGATTGTCGTTAGAAAGACGTAAAAGGGATTTTGAATTTTTGAATTTTTTTTTATTTATTTATTTCAAAACTTCATTAAATTTTGTTCAAGTTTCAGTTCGATTTGATTTTCTGAAAGGAGTTTAGTGCTTCATAATTTTTTTTTGAAACCAGTTCGTTGCCATGATGGACCGGCATGATCTGAATGCAGATTTTATTCTTAATTTTTTAAAGCGAACAATTTAGGTCCTCTTGAAATTTGTTCTGAAAATTTTTTCGTTCTGAAAGTTTTTATTCTAGATTTAATACCCCTCAAAGTTTAAAACGGGTAGTCGGCAAAAAAAGGAAAGGTTGTTTTTCACCTTTCCGTGTCACTATAATTAAAAAGACTCTTTGAAAACTCTCAAAGTTTTGAGAATTGAAAAAGCAGATTGATAAAGAAGAGTCACTTTCAAAATTTGAAACGACCTCATTTCTGGAATGGCGCACAAAATGAATTTGCGGCGAATAGGTTGAACGTGCAAAGTGGCGTGATTTCGTTCACATTTACCTCTCTATCATTCTTTTTTCGCCCCCAAGACGCTCTCTGCACTATGCTTTTTTGTCCATCACTTTTTGTCGTATTTGTTCTTTTTTTCGAGGCAATGGAGCTTTTTCAGTTTAGAGGGCGACGTTAATCGACTTTCTTCGTAAGTAAACGATATTGGCTGAAATTTCATTTTAAAATAGTTTCTCATCATATTCTTGATTCGTTCAAACGCCTAAATACAAAATAAAAAATAAATGAAGCAGGAAGAATTAGACCAATTCTCTCGAAAGGAAATCAGTCTAAGCGCCTTGGAGCGGCGTTTCTGAATATTTGCAAGAACGTCCATATTTGCTCGCTTTGAAGCGATCTGCAATGCTTCAAAACTAAAAAAAGTTGTTCTTCAAACTTTGGCACCTGTTGATCTCATCAATAAAACAAGATCGTAAAATCGGAGTTCATTGTTCTTCTACGACTTTTCACACGTCGCCGACTTCTCTCATGCCTGTAGCAATTATTAGGTAGTCTTAAGTTTCAAAGATCAGGTTATTACAGTGATCACTAGGATAATTACTGTTGTTTCTTTGGTCTCGACCTCAATCCTTAGATCATGCGTCCTTTTGGACATTGCATTTGTCTGGTTGAGTTCTTGTTTTTTATCTGCTCTTTATTTTCATTTTTCTCAAATTTTTGGTCTTATTTCTCTGAATTAGTTTATTGGATGTCTTAATTGCAGTATCTTTGTTTCGAAGTTCTTATTCGCCCGTCAAGCAATTCAGAACGTTCTTTTCGTGCAATCAGCGTTTCAGAATAGTTCTCAGAAGTTTACCTCCTTTTGAGATTGCTGAAAACCTCCGTCTTTCACGTTTAAAAAATTTTGATAGTTTAATCTTCCGTTAAAACAGTGCAGAAAGTTTATTTTCAAATAAGTCAAGCAGGTCTTTTTCCTCTCAAAGTGTAGAATAAAAATTTTTTTCTGCCAGGATTTACCATAAACAATGATTTATGATTGAAATTCTAAATTGTGTGGCACTCCTATTCTGAACGCGTAAAATTCTTGTGCAAAAATTTGAATCCTACAGGTTTTTTTTCCTACTCCAAAAAAATATTTTTATAAGTCTCAACCGGAAACCGGTTTTTTTTTTTGATACCTGAACTCTTCACATTTCAAATATCTTCTAACTCTGGATTTCAGCGATAAAAAAATATGATGGAAAGTCAAACTCTCGAAATCATGCGATTTTTTAATCCATCTAAAAATGAATTATGAAATTTCTGTATCAGACGTTTCAAGACGTCATTTTTAGGCTTTGATCACATGAACTATAAGTGGAAAAAGGAAAAGATGAGGTGAAAGGGGCAATCAAGGTGACTTGCCGCTCTATCTCTATATCTAAGGATCGTCTCTTCTTTCTTATCGGAATACCACCTCGCAGCCCCTTTCTATTTCCTCGCTTCGTTCTCGCATCTCGTGCCCTTTCCACACGCCCTCCGGTGTTTTCCATCATTCAGACTTACCTGCTGAAACTTTTGGATTTCTTTTGCGTTTTTCTCATTTTATGTAGTATTTTAACGTTTTTCAGTGAGACGGGTCGCGCTGTGACGGCTGCTTCCAACACAATGAGTAGCCAACGCGCTTCTATCAAAACTTTCCATATGAGCAATACACAAGATGGGGACAAGGTTTGTGTTTTTTTGTTCATTTCAACTTCAAAATGTATGATGAACCAAAAACTGAAAAAGCTACATGATTCCAGTCATTTTTTTGCTCCTAAAATAATTTCAAACAGTGAGAATGAACCTTTTTAAAGAAGTATTTTCAGGACAGATTAGACCAAGGAGACACAATTTTCCCGACCGTGGAATCTTTCGTTGAGAGATTTGTCGAAGACCCAGCCAAACGACGGCCAATCAAAAGAGTTGGTTCTATTTTTGTAGCTCTTTCCATTGATATGAAAGTTTCTTTTTCCCTTTTTATTTGTAATCGTTCAATTTTAGATATATAAATTATTTTTTTCGTTTTTACAGATGTTTAACAAGCTAAATTTTTTTGAAAGCTTTCTCTACTTTTTTCGAATGTCAGTCTTCATCTTTTCAATTCAGATCCTGGTTGCCACGAATGGAATTGCTGCCGTTCGCTGCATCCTGTCCATCCGGCGTCTTTTGATGCGTTTGTTCCGCAACGACAAAATGATCAAGTTCATTTGTCTTACCACTGAGCACGAAATTCAGTCGAATGCAGGTAATATTTCTTTCAAAAACTTTCACCTTTTTATTTTCTTTGCAGAATATTTGAAGCTGGCTGATTCTATCGTACACTCCCCAACAGGAAGCAATCGCAACAACTACGCAAACGTCAATGAGATCGTGTCACACGCCGTCGAGAAAAACGTTTTCATTGTTTTAAATTTTCATATAAAATGGAAACAATCTAGGTGGACGCTGTGTGGGCCGGTTGGGGTCATGCATCTGAGAATCCGGAGCTCCCTAGACAGCTTGCGGCCAGAAACATCGTTTTCATCGGACCGCCGAGCTCCGCTATGTTTTCGCTGGGCGACAAAATCGCCAGTACCATTATTGCTCAGGTCAGTGGTTTTTTCGGTTCAGCTCGACCATTTCTTGAAAATTTTATTAAATGTGGCCTGGACACTTGAATTCAAGACTTTTCCGGGACCTTTCGAATAAGTCAATATCCATTATCAGACTTGATAAAAACTATTTTCACCGTTTCTTTCGAACTCCAAAAAAAATCCTTCACTTTCAACGGTTAGAGAGACCGCTTGAATCCTTTTCCATCAAACCAATAAAAAAAATTTTCAGACGGTTGGCATCCCGACGATTGAATGGTCCGGAAGTGGAATCAAAATGGACGTGAGCAACAAAAAAGAAGGGGAAACGGTCGAAGTGCCGCGTGATCTTTTCACGAAAGCCACCGTCACAAACTATCGCGAAGGCCTGGAGGCTCTTGAACGCCACAAAATCGGCTTTCCGCTGATGGTTTGTTTTCGCCGCCACTCAAAACATTTTCTGAAAGCCTGGCTGGGTTGAAAAGATGATAAAACGTCTGGAAAACATCAGATAAAAGCGCGTAGGTGTTGGAATTCGGTCATTTAAAAATAGCACTCGAAAAGCGTTTTGAAATTTCTTCTTAATTCATTTTTTGATAGAACAGAATGATAAGATGTCTTTTGAATTTATAAATTTTTGAAAGAGTAGCAGTTTCATTTTCAGAGTAATATAATTAATTTCAAAGCCAGTATTCTGATTCTAAGGAAAAATAATTGTAAAACTTCAAATTTTTCAATCTTTCTTTTTTGATCAACCTTTTCACAATAAAATCTCAGATCAAAGCTTCCGAAGGAGGCGGCGGCAAGGGAATTCGAAAATGCACGCGAGTCGAGCAGTTCAAAGAAATGTTCGAAGAAGTTTGCCAAGAGCTTCCGGGGTCGCCGATTTTCCTCATGAAGTGCGTCGAGAACGCTCGTCACATCGAAGTTCAGCTCATCGCCGATAGGTTTGATAGAAACAAGCTTTAATTTTTCGATTTCTTTTTCAGATACGAAACGGTGATTCCCGTCTACACACGTGACTGCTCCATCCAGCGTCGTTGCCAGAAAATCATCGAAGAAGCGCCAGCAAGTGTTGCCCCTGAAGCAACTCTCCGATCCATGCAAGCGGTTGGAGAATGACGTTTCCAGAAAATGTTCATGAATTTCGTTCAGGACGCCGTCCGAATCGCTCAACTTGTCGGTTACGAGTCAGCCGGTACCGTCGAATACATGTATTTACCCGACGAAAACCGCTACTTTTTCTTAGAGCTCAACCCGCGTTTGCAGGTCTGATTTTGTGTATTTTTTTCATTTACTAAGGTTATTTGATAGGTCGAGCACCCATGTACTGAAATGATAGCCAAGCAACTGAATATTCCCGCGGTACAAGTACAAATCGCTATGGGTCTTCCTCTTCATCGTATTACTGATATTCGTCTTCTTTTCTGTGAGTGTACCTTTTTTTGTAGAAATAAAAAAGACTTTCTTCAGCTTTGCCACGAAACGGAATGGAAACACTTCCTGATGACGTCATCCTCACAAAAACCGACTACTCGGTCATCGCTGCTCGCATCACTTCTGAAGACCCCGACGACTCCTTCCGTCCTTCCACAGGCTCTGTCGAGCAGCTAAACTTCCGCTCCTCTCAAGACGTCTGGGGGTACTTCTCCGTCTCCAGCGGCAGCAAGGTCCACGAGTTTGCAGACTCACAGTTTGGACACTTGTTCGCTCGCGGACGCACCAGGTACACTTAAATAAGGAAAACTTCGAAGCAATCATTCTTTCCAGACACGAAGCCATCTCAGCCATGCTGATTGCCCTGAAAGAACTGGAGTTGCGAGCCACGTTCGCTTCCCAAGTGTCATACCTCGTCGATCTCTTGATGGAGCCGGACTTCACCAACAACCGATTCAACACCCAATGGTTGGACAACCGCATCGCCCAGAAGGTCAAGCAAGTGAGTTAAAACTCAAAAGGACTATTCAACGTGAAGCATTTGTAGAAGGTTGATCTTCCAATGAGCGAGATCATCGCTATCAGCGCGGCCGTGATTGGCCACGCCCGTGTCACATCGGTCTTTAACAACTTCAAAAACGCCATTGAGCGTGGACAAGTCCTTCCGCCGACTGACCTGACGGAGACGTTCTTGTTCGACCTTGTCAAGGATCTCAAGATTTATCGCGTTAGTATTCTTTCCAATTGGAAATTTTTTTGAAAATTCAATTTTTTTGACTTCCCTTTAAACTAAAAAAATTTTTGCTATAAAGACTAATCATACTCTTGTAAGCCCCCCAAATGTTTTTTTGAAAAAAACTTTGTTTTTTTTTTTTGGAAACATGGAATCTCCAAAAATTTGAAAAAAATTGATGACCGAAAATTCGATTTTTCATAGAGTAAAAATGAAGAAAAGTCTAATTTTCAGGTTACCGTCACAAGAAGCGCTCCTTTGACATTCGTGGTTTCACTCAACAGCGTCACGACAACTGTCGAGATTGTTCTTCTCGGAAATGGCGGCCTTCTGGTCACCCATGGCGAAAACGTTTTCCAATGCGGATTGGAAGAAACCAACGAGACATTCAAGGTACCTTGAAGTTTAGTTCTTATCAAAAATTTTTCATTTAAGGTTGCTATTGGTCGATCAATCATCGTTTTCGAAAAAGACAATGACCCAAGCATCTTGAAATCTCCCTACACTGGAAAACTCCTCTCGTACAAAAAAGACAACAACGAGTGGATGGAAATGGGCGAAACTTATGCGACTGTCGAGTCCATGAAGCTGGTCTTCAACGTCGAAGTGAAGAAAGCTCCTGGAAGGTACTGTTAATTCGAAACTTTATCAAAGAACTTTTTCTTAGACTTGTTCGAGTTGCCAACGAAGGCGATCTTCTCTATCCTGGCTCTGTGATCGCCCGCCTTTGCGACCAAAAAGATGCTGAGAAGTACAGGCCAAAGCCTTTCGATGGAATCTTCCCCGAGTGGCGAAAGATTATGGATGAGCGTGATTTCAACTCGGCCAAGCACTACAATGTCTCGTTGAACGTATGTCGTTTAGAATTTTCTGTATTTCATGAAATACTTCAGAACTGTAAAAACATTCTGCGTGGTTCGATTCCCATTGGAGGAGAGAAAGAGATTCGCGAAACTTTCAACGCCTTCTTCAGCAAATATCTTGGCAATGAGAATCTTAAAGCTCTTCTGTTCCAAGTATGAAACCTTCTCTGAAATATTTTTGAGTTATGGTTTTCAGCCGCTGATTCCGAGCTTTGTTCAGTCGGTTAGAGAACCATTCCAGTCCGAGCTCCGCAATGAATTGCAAAAAAAAGTTCTCGATTTGGAGAGAATCAACGTGGGAATATTGAAACTGCATTCCGATTCGCAAGAAAAAAGGTTCAGGCGATCGCCAGAGACTCCAACGCTCCCTCGGACGAGATGTGGAAAATGATTGAGAAATGCGAACAGTTCTCCAAAGGATCTGTTGGATACGCCTGCCACGTTCTGAACGACCTGCTCAAGGAGTACATCGAGTGTGAGAAGTACTTTGAAGGAAACGTTTACGACGATGCTGTTGCTGAGATCAAAGAGCGGGTATGAAAATGAAGAACTTACCTTCAAAAAACAATTTGATTGCAGTCCTCTTCCGGAGAAGAGATTGTGAATACTATCTATTCGCACACCCAACTCAAGGCTAAGAACATTTTCCTGATGGCGGTTCTCGAGACTGTGAAGTCCTACGGACTTCGTTACATCCCGCAGCTCTTCGACAACCTTCGAGCCCTCGGAAACTTGCTTCACACTAATGAAGTCTCCCGCACAGCTCGCGAACTTCTCTACTTGAACAATTCGATCAAGTACCGCAAGCATCTTTTTGAGGTTGTTTTTGTAATAAAACTTAGATTGTGAAAAGAATGTTACAGGCTTGGCAAGAGTATGGCCGTGAAGAAACTCTTTCGGCTAATGAAGCGAAACTCGTCCTTGAGAAGAATCTCATAGAAATCATGGAGGACATGAAAACCAACGCCAACTCTTCAATGTGGAAAGTAATAATGAAGTTAAGAAATTCGAGAAAAATATCGAAATTAAGATTCTCCACGAGTTTTTCTTTGCTAACATCGGAACTTCTGTCATCAAGAAGTACGTTGAGAACTTCTTACCCATCGATGATAACGTCCGTCTCTCGAAAATCACGGCTGGTCCCACGACTCTTGACGTCATCGACTTCACCTTCACACAAGTTGAGAACCGAACGTGAGATTCATAAAAATGGGAAAAAATTCATTTTTTTGGTTCAGTCACTACAAGGTTCCAATGGACAAGTACTCAATTCTGAGTGTCGCTCGCTTGGAAATTTCGAAAGCAGATCTTCTCTACAACGTCCTGACCCACGAAGAAGTGACCAACAGCCTCGCACAGCATTTCAAGAACTATCTGCACAATGGAACGCGCATTCCAATCCGCGTCGCTGTTCTGGTCAACGTCAAAGACTACGTTCGATATGATGGTCTCAAAACGACCTCAGACAACATTGATGTGGGAAAAAATCGAAATATAATCATTCATACAAAATTTTAGGAACTCCCTTCGCTCAGCGATGATGACGAAAAACTGATGCACGAAGCCGACCGCACTTCGGTGGTTCTTCGTGAAGCCATCATGTCAAAGCTTCCGACTCTGGATGTGGCGTCGCAAGTTATCATCTGCCTTCCAGGAAAACCTTTGGCTCAGGTAACATTCCATTTTCAAGAGGTCCAAGAACTCCTTCCTACAGCTCGACATGATCGAAGTGGAGAAACTTGAAATGTGGCGTCTCCCATCGACGGCCACGCAAGCTTCGATGCGTCTTTCATCTGTTCATGCTTACCAGTGCGACGACAAAGACAACAAGTTCTCCAAGATTTTCGTTCGGCAGGCAGTCAATTTGCCCAGCAGCTGTCTGCAGATGCTGTAAGTTGACATTTATGATAATAATATAAAAAAATTTTTTTCAGCGAGAAGGACATCCAAGCACAAATGTTTGCTGCTCTCGACAATGCTTGCACTTCCATGAACGTCGTCATGCACCAGAACAAAAAGAAGACATTCGTTGGCAATCACGTCTTCCTGCACATCTCGTGCCCGTCGTTGTCTGAAAACCTCGCCACCAGCCTGGAGTACAGTCGAATTCTCAACAAAAACATTGAGCGTGAGATCCGCAACCAACAAGCCATCCTCTACAAACATTCCATCACCGAGGTTGGGGAAAAATTATTATAGTGGAATCAATCATTTGACTTCAGGTCGAAGTAGTTTATGGAAAAATCAAGGCTATCGACGGGAAACCACAACTCATCAATCTTCGCGTCAAGTTTTTGGACGACACTGGCGTCACTCCGGAAATTGGAATCTACGAAGAGTTCTGCGGAGCCACAAAAGTATTACTTCACTCCATGTAGCTTTATTACAAGATGCACCTTTACAGCGCAAGATCGTTGCTCGTTCTCACTCCAAGGATCTGTATGGTCCAACTCTTGAGCCTCACTCGCCAGTCCGCAAGATCGAGAAAAAACGAGCTCTCACACGGTAATAAACTTCAAATTTATACAATTTAAAAAAACATTTTTTTAGTGTGAGTGGAACCACGTACGTCTACGACTATCCATCTCTTTTTGGACGTGCCTGTTTCGAAGCTTGGAAAGAATTCGAAAAGACTTGTTCCGGCGAAAACGAAGACAAAGTCAATTTTGAAGACTTGCTGTCTCAGCTTCCTGCTAATCAGAAGTCGGCGTACCATGGTGGCAGCTGGCGCAACTTTCTGGAAATCAAAGAAATGATTCTAATGGTTTTTTCATCCGTAATGACTAAATAAAAAACATTTTCCAGAATGGAGAAATTTCTACTCTCTCTGACGAGCAAGAACTAAAGCATAGAGCTGATAACGGTCTCAACGAGTGCGGCATGGTTGCTTGGATTTTGACGTGAGCTTAATAGATTGAAAGACAAAAATCAATTATTTTCAGTCTGTACATCCCGGAGAAACCACAAGGATTCCAAGCTGTGGTCATTTCCAACGACATCACAGTCCAGTCTGGCTCCTTTGCCACAATCGAGGACGATCTCTACGCTCTGGCCAGTGCATATGCGAGAAAACATAAGGTAAAAATAAAAGAGAAATAATGAAATTCCGACCTTTTTTCAGCTCCCCCGAGTGAATGTTTCTTGCAATTCTGGTGCTCGAATCGGTCTTGCTGATGACATCTCCAATCTTTTCCGTGTGCAACTAAAGGACGATAGCAACCCCCACAAAGGCTACGACTATCTCTACGTCGACGCCAGCGACAAAGAAAAAGTCAAAGACCAGATCGTCTACGAAGAACTAGACAACGGTCGACTTCGTGTGAAAGCTGTCATTGGTCGCAAGAACGAAACCATTGGTGTGGAGAATCTTCAAGGATCGGGCAAAATTGCTGGAGAAACTTCGCGAGCTTATAACGAAATTCCAACTTACTGCTATGTCACCGGTCGCTCCGTCGGAATTGGCGCCTACACCGCTCGCCTGGCTCACCGTGTGGTCCAGTCGCGTTCGTCGCACCTCATTCTCACTGGAGCACCAGCTCTGAACACTCTTCTGGGAAAAGAGGTTTTTTTTCTTATTTTTGATCGATTTTCAAATTTCATTTCACCCAAAGGACGATCAGTCAACTTTCTGATGGAAAACCCAATTCAATTATTTCTTTTTCAGGTCTACACCTCAAACAATCAGCTCGGAGGAATCGAAATCATGCACAAAAACGGCGTATCGCACGCCATCGTGGACGATGACTACTATGGAATCGTGCAGCTCGTCAAGTGGATGCGCTACTTGCCCAACCGCATCAAGAACTTCCCATTCGTGCAGCCGTTCGGAGTGGACACTGAACCTCGTGCCGTCGAGCTTCCACAGTCGGCAGCTGATAGCGCCATGAAACGACCTTACGACGTCAGACAGCTCATCGACAGCGCTGGAACCTCTCGAGAAACTCGCCAAGGAATTTGTGACACTGGATCTTTTGACGAGATAATGAGTGATTGGGCAAAGTCGATCGTTGCTGGAAGAGCTCGCCTTGGAGGTATCCCCATTGGAGTGGTTTCCTCCGAGTTGCGAAGCTGTGAAACGACCATTCCCGCGGATCCTGCGGTTCCTGGAAGTCAGGCTCAGACGCTTCAGCGAGCTGGCCAAGTGTGGTATCCTGACTCAGCCTACAAGACTGCGGAAGCCATCAACGACTTCAACAAGGAAGGCCTTCCACTTCTCTTCTTGGCTTCACTTCGAGGATTCTCTGGTGGACAAAGAGGTAATTTTCATTTTTCTATCCAGTAAATAATTGATATTCGATTCCAGACATGTACGATATGGTTCTGAAGTTTGGAGCCCAAATTGTGGACGCCCTCACCAACTACAAGATGCCTGTCATTGTCTACATTCCATGCAACGGAGAACTTCGCGGTGGCGCCTGGGTCGTTCTTGACAGCGAAATCAATCCTGGTTTCATTCACATGGTAGCCGACAAAGAATCCAGAGGAGGTAAGAAATATTTCAACTTATTTCCTCAAATAGAATACAATTGTAGGAATACTCGAGCCTAACGCCATTGTTGGGATCAAGTTCCGAGAACCGAAGATGTCTGCTTTGTTGAAGAGAAGTGACTCGGAAATCTTGCGCCTTCAGCAAGAAATGACCGAGGCTGAGGTAAAAAATATTTAAATAGATGTTTAAAAAAACTTGGATCTTTTTGAGTTTTTTTGGGACTTAGTTTTCAGACGCAAATTTGACGGAATTTTTTTCCTTTCCCTTTGCAAAGCTTTATTAAATTCTGAACCAGCTATCGTGTATTTTTGAAGCACTTTTTTCGGTTTAAACTAGGAAAAAGCAAAATTTTTTAATACATGCTGAATTTTATTCATATTCCAGCCAGTAGATGCAGAAAAACTGCAAAAAAGAGTGGCTGCAAGGGTCGACGAGTTGAAAAAGAGCTACCGAAGCGCGGTTGTCGAATTCGCCGATCTTCATGATCGAAGCGATCGGATGTTGGCCACAGGAGCTGTCCAGCACGTCACGAGTCTCCGCGAGTGCAGAAACCTCTTCATGCGCGTAGTCCGCAATGAGATCGTCAAGATAAAAATGGCGGAATCGTGAGTCTTCAAAATTTGACTAGACCTGAAATTCTATGCTTTATCTTTTTAGTTACATGCGCCTGAGGCCGCAGGAAAATCACCGAGACGCCTACAGCTGGGTTTGCCAGAAACTTGGCAAATTGATCGCTCCCGAAGTGCCGCTTGACGAACAATACGCCAACATGGAAACCTACCTGAAAGAATCTTTCCGGGCCGTTTTCAAGAAAGTCACCGAGCAGGAAGCCGAAAGGTCAGTAGCAAAAAAAATATTATCACTATAAAAAATGAAAAAATTAAAGTTTCTAATAATTTACTTTTTTCAGAGCCGCAAGCTTCTACGCAAGAATGTCACGGTCAACCGATGATGAGATGTTCTGTGACAATTGAAATTTTTAGGAAAACTCATTTTTGTTACTTTGTTTTTTTTACTCATATCAGTGTTGTTTCTAATTGCCTTTACAATGATCTTATTGTGATACAACTCAATTCGTGTTGTCTTTTGCTTTATCTTGTTTTTTCATACTTTTGTTTTTTTTTGTAGCTGAGCATTTAAAGAAGTAATGATCTTCCCTCGTACTCGGTTGTTCTGATTAATCGACTACTTATTGGCTCTTCTGTGATTTTTCAATCTCGTTCAGTGCCTCTTCCTCTGCGTCTGTGTTGAATATCGTCTCCTTACGAGTAGACTTTCTCTTATTTAGGTTGCCTCAACTTTGCTCCGAATCGTCAGCCTTCACATTGAAACATTTATTTACGCGCATTCTCTTTTTGAATCTCTGTCATAAAATTTTTTATTTTTATTCTGTCTTGTGCATTTAATTTTAGTATTGCTTTGCTCACATCTGGTATTTTTATCCCGAACTTTAATTTCAAGGTGTCTTCCAAAATTACCGGCCACTTCAAATTTCGCTGCTCATTCGATTGATGAGAAAGACCTTTTGAATTTCACTTGTATTCTCACCGCTTCGGTTGCTTGCCTAATAATAAAATTTTTTTTGAAAGCTTTTGAGTGCAAAAAGTGACAGAATGAAGAATTCATACGACAAAAAATGCTCACCTTTTTTTATTCAGACGTACTTCAAAAACTTTTTGACCTCTCGGCGATATAAGATAGGTTTTTGGCACTTTTCATGCTTCATATTCGATTGGCTGTAAAGAGCGAAGAAGAAGATGTTGTAATCTGGAGTCTACTGATGCTTCAGTAATATTTTTCATCAATTTTCAAACCAACTATCAGGAAAATTTCTTGTCAGAGTAACCTGTTTGGAAATATGAACCGAATCGGTCTTCGTAGCGTTGCCTACTTATAAGAAGATTGGACAGAAAGGACTGCCGCGCTGACGACGCTGTAAAAACAGCAACTGTCGTTGGTCGGAGAGATTGCAGGAGTAGTACTCGTTGCATGTGTTCGGACATTCTCGAATTACACTTCAATCTACTCTTCCTGTGTTCCAAAGCTCCACGTGAACTATTTTTCCGTCCATTTTCACTGCAATTTCATGATTTATGACGGTGTTCTGACAAGGGAGACCGTATCATTTTCCCTTAAAATTTTGAGATATTCTCCGAACGAGCTCTTCGATTTTCTGTTTTTTGTCTTATCTTTTTTAAGACATCAGAGTGAAAAAGTAAAATTAAATTTTTTTGTGAGAGCTTCAAAATTTGATTTTTCCATGAAATCGAAAAAAATTCGTAAATTGTTCCTTTATCATACTTTAAATGCAATATTCAGATCCTTCTTTTTTTGGAAAGAAATAGAAGTCTAACTCGATCTAAAGTAACCCAAAAAACAAATTTTTGTCGAGAGACTGGAAAATCAGTTAGATATCTCAACAACTATTCTCTATCAAAATGAGCAAAAAAAAGATTTTCATTGGTTTTCTCCGATAAGTTCATTTCGTTGAAGTTCTCAAATACCAAACTTTCCGTATTTTCATCGAACAATTCAGGTATCGAGACTCTTTCTCGTTTTTTCGCCGTTACTTGATTCATACTAATGGAAATTTCGTATTGTTATGTCGACGAGAAAGAGGAAAACGCATCAGCCAGCCAACCACGCTTAGAAGCAAAAAGAAGGAAAAAAACCACGACTTGTTATCGAAAATAGAGCAACCAAGGATTTGTTCTCGAAGGAGACGGCGTTAAGTCAGCGGTGAGAATTCGCGGCAAAACTCTTTGAGCCAAACATTTGTCCACACACGATTCACTTGCCGCCGCCCTTTGTCCTACAACTATCCGATCGCAAACAACTTCCGCTATTTTTTTTCAAACGCTGTTCAATAGGATTTTTCTTAGTTAGAAGTGCTCTGGTATAACTCTTTCCGTTTTTTCAAATGCGTTCAGATTTTGAAAAGTAAATTCTAAAAACTGTTTGACTTTTCTGGAAATTTTTCTTTTTTCGTCTTTAGAACAAATCTAAAAACCCTAAAGTTTACATCAGTATAGTCAAAACAAAATTTTGCTGGCATTTTTTAAAGGCTATAACGTGACTAAAAAGTGAAAGTGCAAACTTTTCTTGATCTGGAATCATGAGGCCTCGAGGGGTATACTTTTGCGTGTTTTTATTTGATCCCGTGCCGGTTAATAAAAAAAAATTTCACCAGGATTCGTGACAGCCGGCACTTGCCCTTTCTATTTTTTGTGACATTTTCTTGTGAGCAGTTATTTTTCATTGGCTACATAATTTTGTATGTAACACGCTCCGACATATCGTGACAAATCTCTTTCAACAGAACCCATTCTGAAGCAACCATTCAATTCCACAAGTACTCGACCTTTACTTTTTGCTCATTGCGAATCGCTCAGGCCGCAGAGGTGGGGCTGAAATCTGCATTAGCATAGTGATTTGACACTATTACGAGGGGCGTGTGCCGAAGGGGAGTCTTCCAACTTTTTCGTCTTGCCGCCGGCGCTCCTTCCGCCACAGTGATTACACGTCTTTGTTTTTTGTCTTTCTGCTTTTCGTCCTACTCAACTTTGAGAAACCTTGTACGTGGGCAACAAGTCGCCATTATGAATCTTTAATGAGGTGTCCGCGAAAAGTTTGCGCCGCACAAATTAGCTTGCTTTAAAATCTATCTTTCATGATACTTTTCTTTTATCGGCTTGCCCTTTCTCCAGCGTTTTCGACAGCTTCTCAGCGGCTATTTTTGTGCTCTCATCTGCTCAAAGGAAAATCGAAGAAAAAGTTTAGCTTAGGTTTCAATGGAATTCCTGGAAGAGGTATTTTAGGGCGGCCTAATCTCGAAACAGTTTGAAAAAAAAAGTTGTTTCCGACCTTTCAATAGAGTTATGATACAGTATGAGCTTCCCTATTTCAATGTAATTTCTAGCGCAACGTAAATGGAACACAAAAATCAACCTAGGCGACTGACTTGAATTCAGCAAGAGTACCTCTTAATCAAATTTTACCAACCAAGGCTCAATCAAAAACCTTTTGAACTTTTTTTAAATCATCATTATTCACTTCAGAGCTTCATATTTCGAATCCCGCTAGAGAAAAAAATTTTAACATAAATCTTCCAATTTTAGGACGAAAGTTTCCAAAGTTTTAACACAAATTATGAAAAACCAGCTACAGACGAAAAATTTGACGTTTTCATTCAACAATTTTCAAAGGAATCCTCACAAGTAGTTTCTATCGAATTCCTTAGAGCTCGTGACTGGATTTGAAAAAAAAAGCGTCATTTCATTCAATTACACAAAGTGTATAGACAATTATCCAGAAAAAAATGAGAGTGCAAGTGGTTTTTTTTGAACACTTAGCCTGTTTGTCGCACACCTCCATGTTTCAGAGTGCCTTTTTTTCCTATTCTTTTCTGTTGAAACTTCTCTGTCTAGTTGACCAAAATTGAGCACTATTTTCTGCATTTAGGGATCATGAGTGCGCGGTTTTACGACGACCAGCAGGAGTTCATGCCAAGACCTAACGGCTACGCAACTTATTCGGGCCATGAAAATCATCCGAATGGCGGAATTTTGAGGAACAAAGTCTGCTTTACTTTTGAGTTTTTAGCGGAGTTTCTGGTTTTAAGGACACCTACGCACGTCCTCAGAGCGTTCTTCCACGAGCACAGTCGTTTGGAAACGAGTCCGTAAGTGTTTATTATATCATTTCTGGATTGATTGTAGAACATTATTTTCTTTGATTTGCTTTAAAAGCCTTGAAAATAAACAGAATTTCTGCTTTTTTTTGGAACTTCTTGATGCATCAGATCTATCAAAGAAGAAAATTAGAAAATATTGAATCTACCCTGATACATTATCTTCTTGGAAGAAAAGTGCTCTATTTTAGAATTCTTATATTTTATTTTCAAAAAGGTATAAAAAAAGAGACTATCAGAACGCCTTCAAAAAAAAGCTCAAATGAACTTTTCTTGGTTTTCTAGCCTCTAATTCAACCTTCTGAGAACAAAAAAATGAAAGATTGGAGCCATTGAACATTATTCGATGGCTGACGCACCTTTGGTTGCAGGAAGATTCGGCGTCTTCGTGTCAATCATTCGTTGACAACCTTTTGCGACCCTGTTTTGCCGAGTTCCTAGCGGTATGTCCACCACTCTTGTTCCTTTACAAATACTCATTGCTTTGTGGGCGCTAATTAAGCTGCTCAATCAATTGTTTAATCGGCTAAAGAGCCCGGAGACGTATGTCTGACGTTCATTCAAGTGATCAACTATGGCTTCTACGCTGCCTTAAACAGGCAGTTTAAATAAATGCGAAAAAAAGCAAGACTTATGTGCTCAATCAAACATCGGGAATCCTCATGAAATGGACCGAAATTTCATGATTATGCTGGGTTTCAGCCTTTCAAAGGGTCAATTTTTAGTTTCGTTATGACCATGAGCTACAGTTGTTTCTCATAAATGTATAGAAATGTACACTTTAATATTCAAGTAGTATTTGCAAAAACTTCGAGTCGTTTCAAAGTCTGCGAAATTCAGTTTCTTCGTATTCTTCAAGAGACAAAAGTTTTTAAAAAGGAAGCGATCCACAATATTATTTAAATCAAAAATTAGCTCAAAAATATAACGTATCATAAATTTGTTTGCTCTTTAGTTTCTGATTCTTCCTGAATTTTGTGGATGTTGTTTCCAGGTGTTCATCACGACTTTCCTCACGATTCACATCAACACGGAGCTGAACGACCGCCACGTCTTGAGCGTCTACCGAATCGTTTTGTTGTCGACCACCGATGCCATCGCGGCTCTCGTCTTCATTTCCGCCTTCAAGACGTATGCTCTTTCTAGGCTCTTACGTTATGATTTACGTCTGGGAATGTTCTCCAGTTGTACAATCCGTTGGATCTACCGAAACATTAGAAAATTATCGAGCAAGCAGAATGATCTTTAAATGATGAGAATTCGAGAGTTAAAAAAAGCTGAAGGATGAATTCGAGAGTTAAAAAAAGCTGAAGGATTTTTTTTCTGCCGGCTTGAGAGGAACTGGGATTTTACGCATTTTTAGATTTATTGTTTTTTATAGCCGTAAGGAGTTATTTTTCAAAGATTGTCCTCAAAGAATATCAAAAAGTGAGTCAAAAAAGTAGCTAGAGTTTCTATGCGGAATCACAGGTTGGTAATGAAAGACGAATTTCTGAGCCAGATCTTTATAGAAAACTCCAGGCCTCTTCGTGCACGGAATAAACTTTTTCTCAATCGTGTCTTTTCCAAGGATTCATCTGCACTCGGCGATAACTCTGGCTCATCTTTTTTGCCTGACAACTTCTTGGTACATTTGTGTGTTTCTATTTCTAGTGCAATTCTTTGGTTCGATCGCGGCTGTTTTAGCCTCCGCGGTGAGTGCCAAACTTTCCAAGATTTCATACCTTCTAATACTTTTCAGGCGATTCGTTCTAGCGATCTGCCTCCTGTACCAGTTTTCAGCAGCGACATCAGTTCTGAGTGGTCCAAGTCCGCTTACAAACTGGTAAATGTAGCAGATGTGATTGGATTCAAAAGTTTGTAGTTTGTACTGCAGATGATTTCGCAGTTCATTGGCACTCTGATGGTTGTCATGTCTCATGTTCTGTCGCATGAATCGCTTTCCAAAAACTCCATGAGGGTCGGCCGCCTCCGAGGAAGCGCCCTCGCTCTCTTCATGTCCATCGCCATGTCTTCTTTCTTGAGGTAATTTTTTAAATGATCCTCATTTTTGTCTTCCAGTCTGATCAAATGTCACAAAAATTCTTATTGACGTTTGTTTTTACTACAATAATAATAATAATAAACTTCAAGCTTTCATAACTCTAAAAAAAATTAAAAAACATTTTTTCCTCTACTACAATTTCATAACAGTTTCTGAAAGAACTCGAATTCGCTTTCATTATAGTAAGGAATCTTGGAAAATTATTCTATTCAGTCACCTCCAGTCGACGATCGGCTGGAACTCGATGGTCACCACGGCCATCGCCGTCTCTCGCGCCATGTCCAACGTGCCGGAGTATCCTCAGCAACTCTTTTTCCACGAACACTTTGTCTTCTGGCTTGGCCCTGTGATCGCCAGTCTCACCGCATCTTTCCTGTACAGGTGGGCTTTTTTCAAGCTAATAAAATGAAAAGAAAACATTTTACAGACTTCTCTACGCGCCGGACAACAAAAAAATCTCCTGTGGCTGTTGTGATGACTACGAAGTCCGTCCTATCAACGTTTAACTTTTGTAATTTGTTAATATTCTTTCTTTTACGAGTTTCATACTGTTTGGTTCTCACATCATCGACGTGTTGATTCTACCATGATTTTCAAAAATCCTATCAAATCTTTTGCTTGCAGATGAATTCCTAAACTTATGGCACCTAAAAAAATAGCAAGCTCTCAATTTTTGATTGTTATCAACTTTTTTGAGCTGACATTTTATTATTCGCAACATCTTCAAATTTTGATGTCAGTTTCCGTGGATTTTTCTTGAATTGAATCTTTCTTTTTCTTCTGTTAAATCAGTTTTGTTTGTAACTTTTTGACTTTATTTTACCAACCTGTGAATGATGCCCAAATTTCCGGCTTTTTTTCTCCGTTTCAGTGTTCAGATATTCCACCGGTTTCACTTTCAAAAAGTCCATGTCTACTTTTCTCTCGAGTGCAAAACATCGAAATATACTTTGACCCTATGGTTTGACGTTTGTGGATGCACAATGTGCCAAGTTTTGTATTTTATATGATGAAACTTTTTTTTTTTCAATGAAGTTTTGGGTTTTTGAATTCGCCAAGTTTTCAAAGATTTCTTCCGAGTTTTGATAACTTGGAATAACCTTCGTTTTTTTTTTGAGCACTCGATGGCATCAGATGATCATTTGGTCATTGAGAAGCAATCGGAAAATGAAGCGCAAAATATAAACGTAAATAAAATCAAGTGGCAGGAGACTGGACAGGCGAAAAATTGCTTGATAGGTCATATCAAAATGGACAAACAAATGAACCGGTCGGCGCAGCTTCCGATTTGCCTGCTCCTGGGTGGTCTCCAGCTACCTAAAATAGACGTTTTGCGTGGTTTAGGTCGATAAATAATCTGAACAAAGTCGTTCTAGGTTTTAGTTGATTCACAAAATTTTCTAGCTCTCCATGCTGTAAAAACAAAGTTTAGGGCTTTTTATTTTATTTTTTCATCATTACGACCAGAAGCAGATATATAATATCAGTTCTTTAAATATTCATTCGACTCACAGGTTTAATTTTTTATGCCTTTATCATGGAAATTTTTTTTAAAAATGGTCGAAAAAGATTTCTTGTATTTTTTCTCAAAAATATCTGTATAAAACGCAAAACGTTATTTTCAACTTTGTTCGAAACTTATTTTTGACTGTTCAAAATTGTGAAAAAGCAACTACACAAATGAAAACTGAAAATGATGCCCAACCCAGGCTGAATGAAAAAAAGTCGGGAAAATGGAAAGTTGCAGAATGGTTATGAAAAAGAGAGAGACACATAATGGTAGTGAAGCATGTCGCGGTCGGGTCCAGGATAACTAGTCACCATTGCGGAAATATCGCTTCCTTTTTCGGCTCGTTGCCAACACAATTCTTTTCTTTTTGGCTTTCACTTTCCTTGCTTCTTTTACCTTCTTTTAACAAAATATTCTTTAAACAGCGAAAATTTTATTTGTTCAGAAAGAGTTGGATCCACCTACTTTTTTATTTATTCTGATGGAAGGTAACCATAAATGCGAGCGAATCATACTCTTTCATATGTGAATGGACCATTTGAACATTCATGATCCCTCTATCACTCGGATACATGGAGCAACTTGACTTAAAGAAAATAATCTTCATGGATCCATAATGGGACTAAGTAAAACCTTTTAAGCCTCCATCCTTCCGGAAAAAAAGTTTTTGCATCAGTTTAACAGATTCTTCACCCAGTCAGAGATTCGAAAGATAATTCTCAGATATTTCTAAATCTCTGAGTTTATTCTCTTCTTTCTTTTCAGGGTAGTTTTATTGCATCAAAGTGAAAAAACTTTTTCACAAACTGAACTTTTCGAAAATGATCCTTTTTCTCATTAGATCCGGAGTTTTAATCTATTTTGAAAGGTCCGGATGCCGCAAATGGCACAAACTGCCGCCTCTGCGGCGCTATTTGCAGCCGACGGCCGGCGGGTCGGACCGTCTGACGGTTCTGGCTGAGCTTTTTTTTCCGTAGGTCCGCCTCCTTCGCATTAATCTGCTTGTTCACACTTCGCACTTCCCTAATTATCATTGCAGGCCACTTGGGTGCGTCTGACTTTCGCTTATGGACCGACTCCGTGGCTTTTCCTGTATTTTTGCCGCTGCCGTTGTCGCCCGGTTGCCAAATGCTTTTGGCCAACCTAATATGGCAAGTTTCATTTATGAATTACTTTTCTGGTGGTTTTCCTTTCACTTTCAATTTTTTTTTGCAAAAATTGTTGGTTTATATGAGATCGCAGTTTCAAGGACTTTCTGCAAAAGACGCCTCGGGTTCCTTTTGTTATACTTTTTCTGATCGTATTGCCATTTTTTTGAAACTGTTGACTTTTTAATCACGACGAGATCCCTTTTATAGATCTTCTTGTATTTGAAAATATGTTAAAATTTATTTTCTAAAAGCCCTGTACTGATAAAAGCGTTTCGAAACCTCGAAGAAATGTTCATTATGCAGCTCCACAGTTCCAAACTGAAATCTTGCAAACTTTTTTTTCAGTATTTCGACTTATCAATCCCCGATGAGGAAACAGTATTGACAGACTACGATTTTCGAATGGTTCACGCTTTTCGGGATTTTTCTGCAAAGTATGATTTTGTTAACGACACTTCCATGTACAGTCCTTATCGCTTTGAAGGAGATATTGGTAATTTTCCTGCGTGAATAGACAATTTAACAAGTTTTTCAGTCAACAATGGCTTGAATTCGCGATCTGTGAGCAGTTTCCTCGGAGATTCGCCCCTTTTTGGGATTTTCGGTGTGCAGAGAAACGCCGTCCGGCAAACTTATCTCAAATGGGACGGCGCTCGGATTCCCTACACGATCAGTTCTCAGTACTCATCTTACAGGTGCAGAAAGGCTTATCCTTTTGATAATGAGAGGAACCTCTTCGAAATTTTCTGAAAGTTGAGCCGTCTTTGAGGTGTTTGAAAAATTATCAAAATCTTCAATTTGCTTAACTTCCAATATTTCAAATTTCCTAAATGATAGCATTGGGCCAGTTTCTAGAAAATACATCAAGAAAAAAATAAACTTCATTGTTGGAAATCGTGATTTCCAGCTGTCGGAATTGGAAAGAAAAATATTGCAAAACAAAACTTGATTCAGCTATCAATTTAATCCCAGTAAAATTTAGTCGATCAAAAATTGCTGAAGCGATAGAAGAATATCGTAAGAAGACTTGTATCGACTTTTCCCCTAAGAGCGCTGGAGATTTGGATTATATTCATATTGTTCCTGACGACGGCTGTTACTCTTTGGTTGGCCGCATTGGTAAGGATTTATCATTATAATTTTTTTCAGAACATTATTTATTTTAGTTTCGAAAATTTAATGAAACTTTCGTGGAAAAACTTATTCTTTTTTTTATAAAACTAGTATTTTTTTATATTTTTATTTTTTTATATTTTGATAATCCTGAAAGGTAGGAATATTGTTCGACAAGAGAATTTGAAAAGGTTTCCGGTTGAGAACATCATAAAACTTTGTCGAAGGATTCTTAAGGACACCTTGATTCCGCATCAGTTGAGAAAAAAACGGCGTCTTTCGCTTTTAGTGGAGTTATGACACCACAAAACCTTTTTATTGCAATCGTAAAGTTCAAATGAAGTTCTAACGCTTTTTTACACTACTAAAAGACAACATGCGCATTTTTTCAATTTATGAAAAGTTTAAAAATTGTAAATCTCCAAGTCTCAGCAGAGTCTTTTCAAATTCTCAACTGCTCAAATTTCATTTTGCTTGTCAAGCTAATAGTGAATGAACTATAACTTCCATCAGGAGGAAAGCAGCCCGTCAGTTTGGGCGATGGATGCATTCAAAAGGGCATCATCATACACGAACTCATGCACGCTGTTGGATTTTTCCATGAGCAAAGTTCGCATTTCTTTATGACGTCATTCGGGCTTTTTTATTCAGGTCGAGCGGATCGAGATGATTACGTCACCATCAACTGGAGCAACGTCGAGGCAGGCCTTCAAGGTTTGAAGGCGATCAACGGAACTCTTGAATCAAATCGATTGAGATCAATTCGACAAATATTCTCTGAACATGATCGATCATTTGGGGACAAATTACGACTACGGATCAGTTATGCATTACGCGCCTACAGCTTTCAGCAAGGTTTTTGATTTTTTTTTAATTTTCGGAGCTTCACCTTTTGTTAGTTTCAATGCAGTTCAAACACTTTTTTTATTTTAAAAAAAACTAATATTTTCCTGTCAACCTCTCAGTTTTTTTCTTCTTTTTCTGGCTAGAAAGCAAAGAAAAAAACAGGAGAAAGAAAACTTACAATAAAGTCTTTATTCTTTTATTTTAGTACTTTCCCTGTCAACCTCAGTTTTTCTTCTAAATAAATCACGCTGAAGCCTTTTTTGGTTTTATTTCCATTTGTCTTTTCAGAACGGCAAGCCGACCATCGAGCCAAAAGAGAAAGGAGCGGAAATTGGTCAGCGCGTTGGATTCAGTGAAACCGATCTCTACAAAATCAATATGCTGTATAACTGTCCTCAACACTGTAGGCTTTTTTTCTTACTTTTTTCCAATTATTCAAAAACCAGCGTCGACTGTTTCGCCAATCACAACGACCACCATCAAAGTGAAATCCGCATCGAAAAAGCCAGAGATTGTCCCAGTGATAAGTGGACCTCTGAGCTCGAGAAACAACTCTGAAACTGGTACATCGAGTGGCTCCAACGCCTCTGGTACCAAAGGAACTATCAACAATTCGCTCATTCCCATTTTTGGAAAAAGGAAATGCGAAGACCGGTTCTTAATAACTTCTTTCTTCAAATTCTATTTTGTTTTCAAGGCGTCGAGATTGCGAGTTTTTGGCTCGCGCTGGGCACTGTGAGAGCCGCTACAGCGTTGGTTTCATGACGGACAATTGTCCGCAAAGCTGTGGAAAATGTTCAGAAGCAGAGTTGGAAAAAGGTCCAGTCTGCGAGGACACAAGGTTTGATTTATTTAATGGGTGTAGATTTATAAGCTGTAATTTTCACGCTGATTCTGGTTTTTTTCTACAAAAAAACGTTTTTCAAGACCTTAGAAAATGTTCCTTTGTAAAAATCATATTGGGCTTCAAAAATATTTTTAGTACAATAAGATAAAAACCCATGCAGAAAAAAATTTGAAGTTCAAACTAATCCAAAACATCTTTCCTAAAAAAATAACACAAATAAGTTGGAGACTTGAAAGTATCCCGTTCTAATGTGTGCCAGCCTACACGCTCTCAAATCGTGTCAAAAGCTTCATAATACTTCTGCGTCAATGCTAATTCTCACTCTCCGAATGAGAAAATTTCGAAGTCAAAAGTCATATTCCGGCTGAAACCATCGGAAAAGCATTAAAAATCACTTCCATTAAAAAAGAACTTTTATAGCTCGTTCGAAAGACGTAAAAAATGTTTTTAGATTTGAATCATTCGAGAAATTTATTTGCAGGTCCTGGTGTGAAAGATGGGCGAAAAGCGGCATGTGCACGCAACCAATCTTCCAGGACTATATGCGTTCGAAATGCGCCAAAAGCTGCAAATTTTGTTGAATATATATATCCTCAAATTGAATTCTAGAATATTTATTGTGATTGCACATACCGGTCGGAAAAAGCTCTTTTTGTTAAATTATGAGATGGATTGTTGTTGATTACAAATCTAACAATATATATTATTCTATACTGTGTCATAAATGTCATATCATAATTTATATTTGTTTGATTACGGACTGTAATAAAGAGTTTTGCTCAGATTCGAATATTGTAAAAAATTTGAAAATTGTTGAAAAAAAAAGTGTAAAAAACTGGGACAGAATCAGAAAAAAAATGAGAAAAAAACTTCAAAAAGTCACAAAAATGATTTCAAACCGGCGAAAAAAGGAAATAATTCAACATCGATCAATTTTTTAATTAATCAGTTTTTGTTATTGATTGTTTTCTAAGCGCTGATATTTAACAAAGTCTTTACAACTCAGCTAAAAAACAGATCGTGGCCAAAACTATCATCAAAAAAAGAAAGAAGGAATGCTCATTCTTTTTTCTTGTTTGAATTTCGAAATTTGGGAAAACATAAACGTAATAAAAGGAGAGATAAAAAAAGTGTACTGGGGCTGGCGAGGAATTTCCTGAGGTGCAACTCGATGCGCAGCCATCAATTAGCCTTCAGCGGTGCATCATTTCCGCGAGTGACGCGTCGTCTCAGAAGCTTTCAATACACCTAGCGCTGGAAAGTTTTTTATTCTTCTTACACTTTGCTCCCTCAGAAGAAAAGCTGATGTAAAGGTTTCATTATTATTCGAAATCAGTCAAATGGAGGCGGCGCTCAAATTGATCCCGCAAAATCTAAATTAGCTGTTAGGGAAAGAAAAAGATAACTAAATTCCGGGGAGTGAGAGATAACTTTGCATTTTGCAAAAAATACTTTGACCGCGGCATAAAGTAGCTATTCAAACGTTATTTTGAAATAAAAAGAAAAAAATGTGTCACAAAAACTGCATCAAACACTTCGTCATTATTCTTTCACTGTTACTTTAAGGCTTCAATCATCGCGATTTCGTTCAACTTTTCCACCATACTGTTTCCATCAACCGTATATCTCTAATAAGAAAAAAAATTTGTGCTTTACTTCAATTAAAAATAAAGATTTTTCAGGTAGCCATGAATGAAGTTTTAAAAACAGAAAAGGTGATTTTATTTTTCCAATCTATTTTCTATTTTTACATTTCATTCGATTTTACAAATTTTTCTAGTTATGCTGCAAGGAGATGTATTCAATAAAATTCTTCAAAAACATTGTCAGTCAGATCACTCTGAGGAAACGACTTTCGGAAAAGGTCTAAAAGTTATGATATTTAAACTTTTTGACAGTTTCTAAATGCTTCATTTTCGCCAGGCCCCTGGTGCTGGCTGTACAAAAAATGAACCGCTTTCCGTTGACCCAAAGTTTAACACAGAGAGCGAGGCAGTCATCCCAGCCTTCCTTTGGTTGTACAGTGATTTGTAAGAGCAGATGTGGACCGACGGCGCCTCTTTTTTTGAAAACCTCTGCACCGACATGGCACGGTCCACACGTCTTTGTCTCCTTCCCCTGCAGCTGGGTCACGTGCGAAAACTTTGTGGGAATCCTTTTTCTTGACGGAATCAGAAAAGTTATCTGAAATTTCGAACGTGATAGTTAATTACATCTTTTTGGATATATTTCACGCTCTCGAATTTTCTTTATCTTGCAGACTTGCTAGATTTTTTTTTCTGATTTTTATTTACCTATATTTTGCTTCAAATTTCATCAGATTCCCTTTAAAGATATAATATTTTATACAGTTGCTCTGCAGTGGAGGGAAATTCAGTTTTCGAAGAACCGCGTCCGATATTTATTAACTTTGGATTAAAAAATTCAAAGTTTCAGAGCTAGAATACTGAGCTGAGCTGGTCCCTCTGTTCTCCTCTCTTTGTTCACTATGGGTTGTGATTTGATTCACAACAAAAAACTTATTTTTGAAACTAAAAAAATACGGCGATGTGCTTATATAAGTGAAGTATCCTTTACAACAGTAGCTCGTGAAATTAGTTTTATTTCTATGATTATATTCTCAATAATCCTTCGAATCCATCATTTTAAACGTCAAATTCGGCGCGAAAATTTTAGGCCCTGCAAAAGAAAGGCACTCTGGCGGCTAGAGTGTGCCACGTAGGATACTCCGCCTTCGTCGTCTTCGAAACCCCGCCCCGTTTCACAGAGTACAACGAGCCCTCCGGATACACTCGTTTGTACGTATTTTCGCCTCGTCTCTTCTTCTGAAGGATCTCGTCCGTTCGTCCTTCACTTCTCGAGCTCCTCAGGCTTTTGGTCGTATCAGTTTGCTTACAAGTTTGAGTTTGTAAGTGAATCTATACGATCAGATGCCAAAAGGATCTTTTTTTGGATTTTTCCACGAGCAATGAACTTATGCGTGACAGTTGTTCAAGAAAACTCTTAATAAAAAGTATGATATTGTGAATTTTGTAAATGCCTACCGTTGTGTCAATGAAAGATGGAACTTTTCAGAAAAGCTTCATGAAAGAATTTATACAAAAAATTCCTTTCTATTCACATATTTCATGAGTTGCATATTAACATCTCACAACGACATCCTCTTGATTCACAGTGATAATTCGAAAAGCCAAAATTTTTTCTAAACTTTTATCGCCAAAACCATACTCAAAACATTTTTAAAAATCAATATTGAAACGGGGATCCTTTTTTTAAACCACAGCTGAAATTTTCGATCGAATAGGAGAAACTCATTCCGGAGAGATTGGAATATTGAATTTTTCAGCTCTGCGCCGTTTTACTTCTTTTCAAAGACTTTCGCGCCTTTTTTTCGAGATCATATTTTAAAAAAAGCGCAAAAAAATAGAAAACTATTAAATACTTGTTTCTTACTTTATGAAGCTTCAAGTTTGGGTTTTGAGGGGGAACATAACCATGAAAGGTCTCCATTGAGCTAAAATGTTCATCCACAAAAACTTTAACATGTTTCGTCTGAGCCAATTTTACACTTTTTGAATCCATCATTTTTTTCCATCAAAGTAACAGCAAAAACGTTTTGTACACGTCGTTTCTCCTAGCGTGAGACTTTGAGAGAAATAAAACGTTTAAGTGATCTGAAAACAATTTATCGAGACCCATGCTGCGTGGGAAGAGGGCCTTTCTGTAAAATTGAGATGGAAACGGTTATAAAGACCTGAAATCCTTTTCTAACAGTTTTTTCATGGTTCTTTCCCATTTTTTTTTGTTGCAAGGATTGGAACAACGCGAACAAAGACGGGAAATCGGTAAACGGCAGCCCTACCTGACAACCATTTCCGTGAGAAAAAACGCTGGTTGCGTTTTACCTGAAAAAAATGATCTCATGTTCCGATCGGCAGAAAGTTTCGAAAATGCTCCTTTGAAAAATAAAATATTTCGGGATTGGTTAGAGTGTGCGCCAGCGAAACGTTGAAGAAGTCCCTAAAGTTCAAATATAGTGCTTAGCGTTAGGATCTCTCTATACTAAAAAAAGGAGAAGCGTAAAATAAATACCAGGAACAAACACGATTTGATTTTTCCTGAAAAAAATAAATGAAAAAAAGAGTTGAGGATGAAAAAAATGGATTTTTTTCCGAACTTATCAACTTTTTCCTGTTCCAGAATCAATTAATAATAAATCTACAACGATCGAAGAAGAAGCGTTTCTAAGACAAAGATACAAGTAGAAATTTTCATTAGAATCAATGTTTTTTGAGACTGCATTTTTTTTTGGCTCGTACGGGCTGTGAACGGCACTATACAGATTGGCGGCGAGTGTTCTCTTTGAACTACCGACGTCCGTCAATTTTCGAGATCTTCGCCTTTAGTGTTGCTCCTCCTTTGGATTATTCTTGTGAAAGAGGCGAAACGCGTGAGAATCAGGATATGCTTCTTCTTTTGAATGTGTTCAAATTCGAAGATACGCACATTACTATGAAGTTGCATATTTCTTGGAAATTATCTGAAATTCATAAAGATAAGAACGCCTTCGAATTTTTGGGAAAATTGAGCAAATATGTACATCACGAGGTTTATAAAATCACAATCTGCACAAAAAACTTATTTTTGTTTGAAAGCTGTTGGGCCGAAAAATAAAAAATAAAATAGCGAAAGATATCAGGGAAACATGCATTTTTTCGGATGTTTTTTTATTTAATGATGCAAAGCTTCTTCTCGCAAAATTTATGATAAATTTCAATTCATGTAGTCCCAAAGTAAATGCACGTGAAATTTTATAAAAAATGAATTGCTGAAAACTTTTAAAAGAATTTTTCAATCACTGTGTTACAATGAAGTTTCGAAAATTTGTAGGCTGAAGTATAAGAAACTGTTCTCGAAAAAGGTTATAACATATTCTAATTGTTGTCGTAATAAGTTTACTGCTTCATAGAGTTCAACAGCCCATGAAAGTTCTTGATACTCTCAGCAGAGACATGTTAAGCAAATGTCGAAAAATATTCAAAAGGAAGTTATTACACGAAAAATTTTCATTTTGTCCCTGGCTATCGTTCAAAAAAGTTTCATTCAAATTGGACCACGGAGAAAAAAGTTTGGTTTTTTTTGAATTTAACCCTTAAAAGGCGGAGCCAAAGTTTAAATTAAAAGTTTCAGAGGTTTGTGATAAAGTTGTGAGCTCAAAAAAGCAACATGAATTTTCAGTGCCAACGGTTCATTGCTTTTCTCGGAGAACGTGTGTTAACAAGGGAACGAAATGCATTGAGAGAAGTTATACTATTTGAAAAATTCGAACTTTAACTTTTTTTTCCTTCTATCAAAAATGATCATACAAGCATTCTGAAATCCATAAAAACAAAAAAAAAGTGAATTAAAAGAATAGGATCGTACTTTGGGCGAGAAGACAGCAAAGAGAGAGGCATCAGAAGCCGAAGACGTTTTGGGCAAGCCTGTCTGACAACGGCGCAAGAGAAGCCTTGGTGATTGAGATAACGGGATTCGCGCCTCCCACGTCGACCCAAGCTTCAGACGGACACACTGCAAGCCTTCTGCCAACCGTTCTTTCTTCTCTTTCCGTCCCGATCTCTCCTTATCTCTCGACCTTTATTCCTGTGTTCGAGATCAATTGTTTGTGTCTGAGAAGCTTTGTCTAGTGCCGAAGGGCATTTCAATTCAAGTCTTTTGCCTTCTTAATTATTTTGACTTCTGCTATTTCCATTTCTTGACTTTTCCTTATTACTCTGAACTTGAACTTATCTCGCTTAGTTTTCTTACAATAATGTGGCCCATAACTTTGTGAAAAGTAGGCGTAAAGCAAAGTTTCAGAAGATACTTTTAAAAAGGGCCAAACATTAATTGGCAGAAATCCGCCGAAAGGGTTCGGGAACCGCTAAAAAACTGACTTTTGGCCGAAAATGTGTTCAAAATCAGAATTTCCTGAGAAACCTTTTCATACTTTCGAAGCTCTCCTGTCGAAACCCCCCCCTAGTCTATACAGCGTCTTTTTCCAATATCATGAAGTCTTTCAGAATCCTATCAAAATCTTTATTCAACGATTTGTTCAAAGCCAACTTTGCTTCGTTTTCTTTTATGATGTTCGATTTCTGCTTTCAAGCAAAGTTGCTTTGCAAGGAATCGTTTTGTGAAAAGAATTTATAAGAAGGTGGCCGCGGAAGCCTAATTCTACAAATTTTTCAATACTTGCTCTCAAAAAAATCTTCAAAAAATCATTTTTTTTCTATTCGACGTTTGTTCTTTGATTTACTTTTTAAGGAGCTCATCATGGCGATTCCCTTGTTTTTATCACCGTTTATTTTATTTCTTCTTTTCCTACCGATTTCCAGGCAGTTGGAGGACCTGAACATTTCTCGAGCATCAGGTAGTTACATTTTTTGTATTTGATATGATTTTATAAATCTTCCCATTGGAAGTACTATTGACGAAAAAATTCATGTTGAAAACATTCGTATTTTTTTCAATATTGCCTCAAATTTTTTTGTCTGTGCTCTGATTAGGCAAATTTTCGTGCTCAAAAAAAATGTTGAACATTCCCGGGACATCTCTTTTTCCTCAAGACAAGAAGTGATTGATATTTCAAAAAAAAGAAGAACTCAAACTTTTGGTTTTAGAAAAAAGCTCAAGACGATGATGAGTCTTTAGAAAGTCCATAGCCTTGACTTCTGCGAAATTTTTCTTTTCTCCTTTGACAACCGGAAACTGTAATTGGCAAATCACCCAAGGAAAACAATGTTTCCCTATAATCAAGTTGAATCTGATGAAGATGTCGCTTTTTCATGAAAACCGGATCGCGCCCAATTGTCGGCATCGTGCTAGGGAAACCGATGACCAAACACAAATTAATTAGGATGCATATTATTTCTAACTCATTGCGTTTTACTTTGAAAAATTGAGTATATATAGTCAGTTTTTGCATAATTTTAAATGTGGAGACAGTGCATGAAAAGGCTCTCCGTGTCGTGATTGCGCTTCATTTTTCGGTACTCGCCTTTCAGCTGCACCCGACCTTAAGCGAGTTTTGTGACACAAAAGGTCCCTTTGAACCCTGAAAACCTCTCTCACACCGCTCGAATTTTTTTTGATATACAAGAAGAAGATCCAAACAAAGAAGGTCTTTTCACTTTTGGGCTCGGAATTTCTTCAAATTTGGCCAAAAAAAGTCTGTACAGTTTTCAAAACTTTGAGAACCTGAGAAGTCAGAAAAAAATTAATAAAGGAGGCTTTTTTCCATTTTGAAACCGTGAGACATTGAAAACTTTTGAAACGTTGCTTTCAATTTCTTGAATCTTCTTTCAGTATATCAAGATGCAAAGTAGAATGACCATCTTAAGAAGCATCTAAATGTCTTCAATTTTCAGCGAACGCGATGTTCTGAGTCATCTTTAATGAAAATACCGTGTGAAAATATGTAATAAGAAGTTTTGAAACTATTAAAATATTTAAACAGAGAGTATCATAAACATTTATTTAGAAAACAAAATTTGCAGCCGACGAATTGGAGCGACTACAGAAATACCTATCTTCACAACTGAAAAAGAGTCGAAATGGCTCTATTAACCTCTAGAAGGAAAAGGGGAATCTCAACGGTTTCACCTATTCCAGAAAGGTTTTTTTTTATTTTCCTAAATTTTTAAAATCAGTAAATCAGGGAATCGGAAGGTTTTCTCGACAAGATTGGAGTGAACAAGGAAAAAGTTGAAGTTACAAACACCGTCGTGCAAAATGTGACAGAAGAAACGACTACAACAGCGGAGCCTTCGTTGAACACGACGTGGACGAGTGAAAACTTAGATTCTCCGCAAACTACCGTTTCTTCAAAATTTGACTCGGGAAAGTTCCACACAGTGCGTTCACCATTTTCTGTCTTGTCCATCTGAATATTTGAAGATCAACGACTCGCTTCAAGACTGCAAGCGCTTGACTCAACCCGAGCTCGTTGCTGAATTGAAACAAAAAGGAACTTATAATCCTGAGCTGATGGCCTGGGATGCTTTGGGTGTGATCCGATTTCTAGACAGAACTATCCACGAGCACTATCAAGTCTGTTTTTTTCATAACCTTAAAAAAGTTTCTAATACTATCGTCCTTCTTTCTCTATTCTTCAGGAGTTTACCAGTAAAATATTAGTGTTTCGAAATCCACTCAAAATTGGGGAAGTTTTTTACTCGTGAAGATATATCTGAAGAATCAATATTGGTCTAGTGTGAAAAATTCCAGAGGCAGTCAGCGAAGTCGAGAGAAAAGGCAGAAGAGGTTATAGAAAAGAATGTCGAGGCATTAGCCAATTTGATGAAAGAGCTGAACGTCACCTGTAACGTGAAAACGGAAGATCTGAGAGCTCGTCTGCAAAACGTCACATTGTGAGTTCTCCTGAAGACTCGCTTTCTGAAAATTTCATTTCTTGTAGTGCCGATCCGAAGTCCTTGTCTGATAACTCCTCACTGCCGCGAAGAAAACGCATGGACGTCATCGAGACTTTTCTGCGAGCTCTGAATGTCAGTTCTTCTGACTTTTCGAGAGCGAGAGACCAGCCCTTGACAGTAGAGGACGAGAGGGTAACGCCCAGGCAAAAGTTGATAGGTTTCTATTTTTCCGAGAAATCAAAAAATTTCCAAGTTTAGGAGAGTCTCATGTCGTCCCTTTTGGTTGCGACAAAAGAGGAGCTGAAGAAGACGGTTACTTGAGGCTTTGTGGGGCTTGTCAGGTAGGCGTACTTATTGAAAACTAGCAGAATTATCCGTCAGTTGAGTTCATATAAATAACTTTTCGCACATTATTGTGGTAACCACTGTTCACTCCGGGAAATAGATTTCTACAGAATTATTTTTGCATGGATGTGCTGCATTTATGCAAACTAGGGATAACTAGGCAATTGTGATGTAACTCTCAATTTAAGGCTATCCGACGCTTGCCGGACACTTTCTTCCCTCCTTTCATCAATGAAGTTACCTGTGATACCGACAAAGCTTGTCTTTACTTCTATGATTACCGTTCGTTTTTTTTCTTTTTCAATAAAAAAATCATTGTAGCGCATGGAAAATGCCGTCAAAAACACATGAACTTTGTCGTCCTGCGGAACGTCGGAACCAAAGACTGCCAAGTTTGGAAAAAGTTCAATCTCAACGTTCGCGTTTCTTGTGAATGTTTTGTTGGTAAGTGGTTATCCGCAAAAACTACTTATTAACAATAAATTGCAGATGAAATGTCGTTTTTTGCGAAATACGTGTGATCAAAATTGTGAAAATCATTTGAAATCTAATCTAGTCTACAGAATCGTTTTTTTTTAGCTCTTTTCATAGAATGGCTTTTCTTTTTGTTTTTTCCGATCGTTTCAGTGCTGCTATTTCCATTTTACCTGTCCCTCCCATTCATCACTACCGGTGTTCCAATCTCAGAAAGTTTTCGTCTTTTCGCTTTTCTTGAAATATTTATCCGATATGCTATAAATATTTGAATCACTATGCAACAATCACCAAATTCAAGTTAATAAGAACCGATAAATATGAAAATAAACTAAAAAAGCAAGATTACGTGAAATGGTTATGAAGTTGAAATGTGAGAAAAAATTAATCAACGACAAAATCACGAGAAACAAAATATGAAAAACATGATGATTTTCCGACAGAAGCATCCCTCGATGAGTTCGTAGGAAGTTATTTGGAAATATTGCGTTAACATCCTTTCTGTTCAAAATTTCGTGGACTAGGAATAATCAACTTAAGGTGTAAAGTCTGGAGTTTCAAAAGTTTCAGCAAGTTCAAAAAAGCTCTATTTCACAATTCTCTTGTCGGATACAGGAAATACTTCGAAAAAGATTGTTGAACCTAACGAAGAATAGCTCTAACTTATTGTTGACCATTTCTGAGAGGAATTTTTTTTAAGAAGAAGCTTTTTCCTCTTCGCTGTTCTCGACAGCGCCGCTCTGAAGACGCGGACCCCTTTGAAGGGCTGCCTCGTCGATCACCGGCGGCAACATACGAGGAAGTCTCGGGAAGCCGAACTGCAACAAAACATTGGCTGATCAGCCGTTTTTGGGTTGGGCGCCACCGCGTGAAGGAACGGAAAGGCGGTTTTCGTCTCGGCGGTCGAAGACGAGGGAATCATCGTGATGGATTGTTGCGTAATATGCAGGGGGATCGACAGCATCCCGTGCGAGGTTGTCAGCGTCGCCACCGAGTCCGCCAGACCTGCTTTCGGCCGATTCTGAACCGCTCGGATTGCCAAAGAATAATATTATCAAGTTGCGAAATTTTATGCAAATCTTGTTTTCGATAATTTCATTTCTGATAGAATTAGGATCGCATGATTAATTTTCTTTCAGTTTTGATTATGAGCTCAGAAACCCGTAGAGACTGAAGATAAACGATCATTTGTAGCTACTAGAACCTATTTCTGCATTCCTTGAAAGGCTATGAGGAGTTGACCTTTTGGTTATATGAATGACGGTTTTCCTTTTTTTCCTTTTAAAGCGTGAATATTTTATCTTAAAACTGCCTGGTGAAATGCATTTTCAGTTCGAATTACCTCACAGTCAGGTGTTACCGGCTCCGACATGTCGTCGTCGCTGTCCACAGATGCTCCAATGAGAGTTTCTTGACAAACTGCTCTCTTCATTGTCACTATAATTATATAATTCAAGCATAGTTTATTTCTATCACAAACCTAAATATCTGCAGTAAAAACTATCTGTCAGACCAGCCAATTTTTCGAGCTCCACTAGGCAAGTTCGCAACGACAATATTGCTCCCCGCATCAACTCGTCCAGCTCCTCGTCATCAGTTTTCCCAGTTACGCCTTGAGCTTCAAGCTTTGCGAAGAGCTGAAATAAAGATTGGTGCACAAGATTTTCATTAATTCTGATCTTTTTTTCGAAATCCGAAGCTTCAGTTTCAGAACTTCAAACTTAAAACCCGCAAAAGTATGTCTCAAATTTCCCGAATTGTAATCAACGCTCCTGCCGCTCCTCTTACGGCTCGCCGTCTGGCGGAGGTCATCTCTGACCCCCTCCGAAAAACTCTTCTATAAACTATCTTTGCTTATACTCCAACTAATACCCCATCGAAAAACTAGTGACCAAAAAAGAAGATATGCGGCACTTCCTATTTTCCTCACACGTAAAAGCTGGTGATAGTGCAAATATTAGCTGGAAGGCTTACATGTTGGAGGTAGTGCTTAAGGTTGCCCTCAGGCGCTAGGGACACTGGTTCCGATGGACGGATTATTCGTGTTTAGAAGAAAATCGCTCTTTGAAGAGCAGTTTAGAAGGCTAGAATAAATCGCATAGGACACTTTCAAATGAAACTTTAGTAATAGAAAAGAAAAATAAAACATGGTTCTGATATCTTTTTTGATATCCTAGTTTTATCTACCGAATTTTCGCATCGACGTTAAATTTTCAATTCGTTATCGAGAGAGCCTTACGCCTTGGAATAAAAATAAGCGTCGAAGTATTGCTTCATGTTTCAACAGGCTTGAGACTTCCGAAGGTAACTCTGAAGCCATTTCTATGAGCGAAGCGGTGTTCGGATTTCAGAGACGAATTCTCTTCGGATCGGGGACAAAATAACCAAAGGATTCATCCCACGATCCGTAAAAAAAACCTCTTCGTATTTCAAAGCATTTCCTAAGTACTCCAAATACTTTTTTTTTGAATTTTTCTGTGAGTGTGACTCAATTCAATGAGAGAACCATGAGCAAACCAAACTGGTAAGCAATACCCAGGTTCTCAAGACGTTTGCGCAGTTAAACAAAATCAACAAATCTGTCAAACGATTCGAGACAGAAAAAAGATCTGGATGAAGGCATGAGTCAAGGATTCTGACGTTTTGCCACTCATCGGTAGAGGTCGCCAGTTTGCTCGTAGGCAGCGTGTGCCGGTCGCCGTTCCGGTTGTTTGTTTGTGATCCCGCCTTTTTTTCCGCTGCTCCTCCGGCAGCCTTCAGCCCCGTGTTCTACCAGACGTGCCAACCCCTGACATTACCACTTCGATCACAATCTCGAACTCGTATAGGCTTTTCGATCTGCGACGCTTCTAGCTATGATTCGATTCTTACTTCTTGCAATCACAATCTTGGTGAGTACTTTGGAACTTCAAAATAATGATGTGAAGAAGAATAGCTACTCAAAGAATGAAATGTTTCTTTTCGATGTTTAGTTTATACTCAGGTGTTTCTGACCTTGAGCTCTGTGGCGTGCAAGTGTATTTTAGCCAGCAAAAATATAGAAAGGTGCTTCTGGAGAGCGACGCCTTGAGCCACACTACGCGTAACAAGATAATATCGCGGAAAAACTGGTGAAGATAAGATTGATTGAAAAAAAAATTTAAAGTTGAGTGGTTAAAAACTTTGTCAAAAAATTTTTATAAACAGTAATCGTATGGCCAACAACTTCCTCCGTTGTTTTGAGATCATTTTTGAACTTACTCGTGTTTCAGTGTTTTCGACAACTAACAAAGAAATAAGTTCTACTGAAGACTTTACAAATTGCTGAAAACATTTTCGAAACTGTTTTGTAAACTCAAGTCGAACTGAAAGTCCTTTTTTTTTTTCTCACCGCTTCTGTTTTTCCAAGCCGGTGAAAATTCTCGAGAGCTTCGTTATTCTCTAATTTCCTCCGAAAAAAACCGAGGAAATGAACAAACAAGGGCTGTGAAACAAAAAATGAACGCAACAACGGACCAGCTCGAAGCGTTTTTGAAACGAAAAGCAAAATGAAGTACGGGTCTCGTGTTACGTTTTCATGTCTTCCATCTAAAGGCCGGCCATCATTACTTTTTTGAGCTCGGGAATACTCATTTTTATGTAGTCTCGAACTTTTTCGTTTATGAAACCTATTGTTAAATTTGAAAATTTCAAACTTCTGTCAAAAAAAAATCTTCGATGGATGGATAAGAATTATGACGCCACTGTTTTTATAAAATTTTTGCTTAAATTGTTCAACTGAAATTTGTTTATCTAACGAGTAGAAAACCAAAGTGAAAACCATGTCTGAAATTTTGAAGAAGCTTTGAATCTTTTTGTATTTAAATTTAATGTGATTTTTGTGGGAAGGCGAAGATAAATAAATAAATAAATGGACGGCGGCGATCGCGCCAAAGGCTCGTAAGCCGCTTTTCTGAAAATCGGCAGGAAAAAAAAATGACAAATATTCAAGGAGTCTCTCAGCTGTGCGCCTCGAGCGATACCGACAATCGTTTTGGAGTCTTTTTTTGAATTCTTTTCACAAATTCATGCCTTTCTCTAATTTGAGCGGCTTTTTTACTGAGCCTAATTTTTTAAGGTTTGAAAAGGCAGTGCTTCGTAATTTTTTTTTGTTTCTATAATTGGTTCTTTTGTTTTGATATCATAAAACTTGTAAAATTCCTGAATTTTCCGGATATTCAGTTAAAACCACGTTTTTTGTGTGACTACAGAAATTGAAAAATTTTTTGTAACTATCTGAAAACTCAAATTTCTCTGTTACGAGCCTAGTGATTTGTACCTTTAGAGATCTTATCTTGAGTAATTTTTTTATCTATTTCCCATGATTTATTGTAAAAATCTGATTTTCTTTGACCTCAGCTCTCACGAAAGCCACTCTTTTTCTGGTTTACAATTTTTTGCCTGCCTCTACGATTCATTTATGCTTCACACGGACTTCTTTGTACTCTGAAGTGCTTCTGGCATCACCTTGACGCCTCGAGGAAAAAAACGAGTACAAGTGGGAACGATTCGAGGCAGTTGACATGGGCAAGCATTCGTGGTGAAAACCGCGGCGCGTGTTGTTCCGCGTGCCGCAAACACGTCGGCCGGTTGCTCCGCTGCCGAGGAATACTTTGAGGAGAAGATCAGTTGATATTGAACATTTCCTGAGATCCAGCCAGCAAAAGGCACTTTCAAGATATTTTTCCTTCACCGCTGGTTCGGGACGGGAGAAACTACAGAAACGTCTAGAAGAAACGGATGTTTCTTATTTATATCGAAAAGTCTCAAGAACGCGGTGTAATAGGTTTCAGCTTCTAGAAACAAGTTCCGAGAAAAAACGGTTAATGAATTTTCGACTTGTGTAAGAACGTTCAATTGACCTAATGAGGGGATAAAATGTTGGAGACAGTAAAGTTTGCTCTCGGATTTTTTTGAATAAGCATCTGAAAAAGTTCATTTCGCATACACTAAATGGGAGATTTTCGGAATTTTTCTATAGTTTCAAATCCGATGCACTATGACGTCTTGACAGTTTTTTTTTTTGAGTGGGTTTGACCGAAGCCAGAACTGCAAAACATAGAACTAAGCGTCGTTTAAGCCTTCCGCGACATCTGTACCTACCTTGATCCAAGTTTCCATTTATTCTTATTTCAGAAACAAAGGGAAATTTATAGCGATCACAATGATCGTGATATTTTTCGCACCAAAGCTGTTGCTCGATTCCTCTTCGAGGTCTCTTAAAGCGTGTGAATTGCGGCTCCCCATTGAACTGGGTTAATCCGTTTGTCTTCAAGCCGATCAAAATTCTCTTTTTTCTTTTTCTTCTTTCCTACTATTCTCGTCTATTTATATTCATTCAAAGTATTGATGTTCAAGCGTTTAATTCTTTACAGTTGTAAACTCTCGCTTCAATCTTATGGGGCGACATGGTATTACTCAACATCTGCCAAATTCTCGTCAATGTCAAAGTGATCATAGTTTTTATTCATTTAGAAGTTTCAGAAATGTATTTCACAAAAATAATGATTTCTTTTGCGAATTAGCCAAAATGCAGATACGTGTGAATATCTGAACTCGTAAAAGACCGTCCTCAAAGGTACTACTTGCTGTAAACAAAACGAGTTACAAGCTGAAATCACGTTTTGAACTGATGCTGGTTTTAGAAATGAATTGTCGAGTCCATTCAAAATCGAAAATATTTCTGTTTGACCTCGAATCCAAAAAAAACAAGCACTGAGAGTTTGAATATCGAATATGAACATAATGTTGAAGGGGATTTTTTCTTTGCTATGAGTTGAAAAGTTTTCTATTCTTTAATGCAATCAAGACAAACTAGGAAAATACTAGAAAAAAAGTCCGAAAAAAAGTTGGAAACCCATTGGGATCTGGCCAGCGGAGAAATTTATAAAAACATATCATAGCTCGGAAATCTTACTCAAAGAAAGGATCATTCTATTTGATCAACAAAACTTGCCCTATTCACCCTCCAAAATTATGTTATATAGGAGATATTTACTTCTTGAACTAAGGCTTCATAACTTTCTCAAGAGGAATTTTTTAACAGGTCTGTAACACTGATTCAAAAAAAGCTCATCAATTGGAGCCTAATGAGTACGTATTGTTAAAATCGCTGTGAGATAAGAACGTTACCAAGCTACAAAAAAATCAGAATGGTTGTGGCTGAGAAAACTTCGAACAGCTGTGAGTAAAAGAAAATAAGATTTCAAAAAAGAAATTAACTGAAATTCCCGAAAATTCAGCTCCTGAATAGTGGCTGTTCGTCGCAATGCGTCGGCTGCTCAGGCCCTCAGCAACAGCAGAGCTTCCAGTACGTTTTAAACGTGCCTACTAACCTCTTCACTCCTCCAACGTTCCGATATGCCGTGGCCGCTAACAGTAACATGTACGGTATTCCCCAATTTCGTTCCAGATAATAAATTTATACTACTGATTTGAAAAATTTTGTTTGAATAACAGTTTTTGTAAGTATAACCTTTTCATTCATTAAACTTGGTGTCTAAACTTACAAGTGTGTGGGTTGTTCAACTCTGTTCATATCGAAATGGCCATTTTTTTCGTGTCTAATATTTTTCAAATTTGCAATCTCAGATATACAAGATGAAAATTTTGACAAAACTGGCGAAAACTGCCATTTTTTTTCGATGACCTTTGAGGCTTCTATCCTCGGACACAGAAAAGTAAAAAAATTGAAAATTTCAGAGCTTTCCTTCTTATCATCAAAAATGGTTTTATTGAACCTTCGAAATATCCCAGAGTGATAAGGAAAATGAACCGTTTTTGAAACAGCCTAGATTGATCAAATGAAACTTGTGAATTTCTCAAAGTTTTTGTCAGAGAAAAAAAACAAAAACGCTGAATAATTTCGTTAGCTACAGATAATCAAACATGTAGTAGAAAAAAAAGAGCTGCTTTCGAAAAGATCTAGAACCTGTTACAGAAAAATTTTTTTGGTTTTTTTCCATAAAAAAACGTGATGTCAAACTGTGAAAGTTTGAAAAATGATTTCATGTTTTAATTTAAAAAGATTCAATGAATCAAACATTATTAATATATTGAAACTGAAAAATTTCCAATGTTTGAGATCCTTGGGACTATGTATAATATATATACTACCCTGCAACTTTGCATGTTTTTCAGTTTGGTAACAATATTGTAGAACCAAGTGAACCATTCGGAAATAATTTCTTGTAGTGTGGTAAATAACCCATTTAACTCTAAATACGTGCTCTTTTCATCGAGCAATTCATTCAGAGCGCCATGCTGCTCCAATAACCCACAGTTCCAACAAGTTCAACAATCAAGGACTTTCACAAACGGCGCGCAAACCGGTCAAATGGTGATGATGTACAGCGGTGAGAATTACTTATTTTTCCAAAAAAAAAAGAAGCCGAAAAATCCCCAATGCAAATTTTTCTTTTCGTGACTTTTAAAGTTTAAATTTTGTCACAAATTTCAAAAAAAAGGAACTTTTGACTTTTTGAGGGCTCTAGTGAGCTCTTGTCGCTTCATGTTTGATAATGTTCATAGTATCCGGAGGAATGCATATAAACTTTGCTTTCCATGAATACAAAATCTCTTTAAATGAGGCAGGCGGCAGAACATCGTTTTCCAGGTAATGGACAGCAGAATTCCGCCGTCGTCTCAAGTTACAATGCAGTAAACCAGGTCAGCGGCACATTTATCCGTAAACGCATTCCAGAGATCGAGATCTGAAGGGACCTTTTGAAAATTGATGTTTTCAGGGGTCTCCGAACTACCAAAATCCAGGACCGATACCAGCGCCCGGCAGTCAGATCTATCCTCAAAATGACCAGACCAATCAATTTGGCCTAACTCAAGCCCCATTTTACAATCAAGGAGGTGCTACTGTAGGCGGAGGAGTGTCCTCCAATCCGACTATTGGTGGAGGCGTTTCGCCTATTTATAACCAAAATAGCGGTAGTGTTGGTGGAGGAGTTACGGCTTCTCCCAACATCGGCGGCGGAGTCAACTACAATCCTCCTCCATACAACACTCAAGGAGGCGCTGTTATAGGAGGAGGCGTCACTTCGGGACCAGCTGTCGGTGGCAACGTCGTTCCAAACCAACAAGGAACTTCCTACACAGCAACATATTCTCAAAGTTACGTTGGTGGTCCCACCCCGTCTCCGAACTATGGATCTCCAAACCAGCAAGGGTTTTCTTCAACAGCTACGCCATTGATTCCTAATGAAGGAGTTGGTTATCAGCCGTTTGTGCCTACCGGCAACACTGCATACAATAACGCCGGTGGCTATAATTCTGCGAACGCTGGATATGATCAAGGACAATCTTATCAGCTTCCAAATCAGCAGTTTGACGGTCAAGGCGTTCCACCAGGAAATCAGCAAATTCCTCCACAAAACCAAAATCAACAGCAAGGAGTGATTGGATCTCAGCAAAACGGTCTCCGTGGGAGCACTACTCCTTTCCCTCAAAACAACCAACAAGGAGCATCGAACATTGGACAATCGAATAGCCAAGCTCCATATCCGGCTGAACAATATCCTGCTGGAACGACGTCAAATGGTGAGCCGCAATCATTCCAAAATGAGCCATCCACACCTGCGTACCAAGATCAAACAAATAACAATCCTGCATTTTCAACACCACCCACTGTTTCTCAGGATAAAACCGGCGGCAGCTCAGTTGTATCGAGCAATCAAGGTGGCCCAACCGGAGGTCCTCCCAGCACGACTAGTTCTAACTTTGATCCTTCCTTATACCTAAGCACTCGAAATCCCAACTATCCGGTGCCTGTTGTAGTAGGCGCAGGTGGTTCAACACCCTACCCTACTCAACAGAGTTCAAACCAAAACTTTCCTGCAACCGAGTCTTCTCCTAACAACGGCCAAATAATCACTGAGAATCAAGGTGCATCATCGACTGGCGGCCAACAGTACCAGACTACGCCATATCCGCAAGGATTCTCTTCCACGCAAGGACCTTTTGGCCCAACTCAGCAAACGCAAGGAGGAGCCACTCCTTTCCAAAGCACGCAGAGTCCGAGCAGCAACGTTCCTTTCAACGTCAATCCGACAACTCAGCAGCCCTTCAACGGCCAGCCAACGTCTCAGCAGCCCTTCAACGGCCAACCAACGTCTCAGCAGCCCTTCAACGGCCAGCCAACGACCCAGGGGTTCCAACAAAGCACCGGTTTCAACACACCTCCTACAACTACAGTGAGTTGATAAGTAATCAAAAAAAAAAAAGGCAAAAAAAAATTAATTGAGCATCTACTTGATGTACTAATGAATCTGAAGTCAACATAATGCTCGAAAAAAATATGAGTTTTTCAGAAACAGCAGATAAAAATAATAAAAAAAGATTTTTAAAACAGCTCTAATCATTTCCATTCACATTATCAATAGAAACACTTGACTCTTTTATTAAAAAAGTCAAAATATTGCTATCTAAGTGTTTTTTGAGTTTGCACGATCTTTTGAGCATGATAAGATGTTGTATTTCATGTCGTGATGTAAATTTCAGATGATTCCATCAGGTCAAAATGCAGATGGCACGTTTTTCAATCCACAGCAGCAGAACCAGTACGATCAAGGGTCAACCGTCCCACAAGCGCAGTATCCAAGCCAACAGGAAATTATGGCTGCAAGTGGGCAAAACAGATCTGGAGGAGGGAACGGCGTCACCCCGAGCACGCCTCAGCCGCAGTTTCCAAGTCAGCAGGAAATTCTTGCAGCCTCAGGCCAACCGACATCAAGCTTGGCCTCGGGCAACACTGGAGCTCCAGCAACTAACTTTGTGACTCCACAGCCGCAGTTCCCTTCTCAACAAGACCTTTTGGTGGCCGCTGGACAGAACCCAAACGCACAGAACTCCGCTTCGTTCAACCTTCAAACAGTTGGCTCAACTCCTCAACCACGATTTCCTAGTCAGCAAGAGCTATTGACTGCTTCTGGCCAAACACAAGCCGGTCAGCAGTTCGTGGGCTCAAGCGGCAACCAAGCAGCATCTGGTACAATTCCTCCAGCTCAATTCCCGAGTCAGCAAGAGCTCTTGGCCAGAGAGCAACAGGTTGGCTCTACTGTGGCACCAAACGGCGGCGTCTTCCTGAGGCCTCCGTCTGACAACGTTAGTGGTCGTGTGCTTAAAGTCAGTTGCATGCTTTTTCCCTTCTTGTCAATATCACTTTTTTTGTTTATTGACAAAGCGTTCATGTGTATAGCATGATTGGATTTGGAAACTTGCCGTCTTAAAGTTTAGATCAGATTTTGGGTTTCACCTTTCTTGTCAGTATTTCGCACAAGGTCGGTCACGAAAACAAGCATTTTTCTTCTTTTTTTTTATAGCAAAATTATAGTACCCTTCATTTCCTGCATGATTTAAAGTCTTCCTTTTGTTCCTGAAAGTCTAGACTTTCCATTCCAACTTCTATAAAAAAATATTTTTTTCAGAAAGTTCCCGGCCAGCCGGGGTACACACCTTTGTATTCTGACGGTAATATGAACACGCAATATGGTCGCTATAATAACCAATCAGGAGCTGGTAGGTTTAACAAAAGCTCAAAAACCCAAGACTCATTATTCGAGATATGACACAGTCTGGCTAGTTTATTCTAGAAATCAAACTAGGAAAAAAAACCTAGTTAATTCAAAATGAAGTCGAAAATAGCATTGGTAGTACCATCCTGCTTTGGCTTACAAATAACCGCTTCACTCCCTCAAAGTTCCATTTCAGAACCTATCCAAGGAGCGCAATTCGACCAACCAAGAAATGATATCGAGAAATCCTCAGGTAAAATAGCTTACAAAATCATACGGAAAAAGTTTCTCATACTAACATTGAAAAACGTTTTCCTGCATTAACGTACCTATTCAGTAACTCATGATAAATGCGAAATTTGTTCGAGTTAAGTTATTATTTTCTAGCTTTTTCAATCGTTTTCAACAACAACTGGAAAAAAAACGTGTAAAATTTAAAACTCACATTTTACTCAATTTTTTTGAAAAAGTAGCTGGTAATTTTTCTAGTACCTAAAAAAATTTTCTAAGCGCCAAAAAAAGTCGCAAAAAGCTTGTCAAAATGTGTAAAACATTTTTTTGAGTGTTACTTTTTATCTTATTTTTTTATTTCAAAAAAACGAAAAACTCTGACAAATCTCATATCAAGCGAAGCAATGAAATTTTTTCTCAAAAAGGTTTTTTTCGAATTCTCTGCTATGTTCTAAACAAAAAAATTTTTTTAGATCGATCTATAATTCATGCTTAAGCCACTTTGCTAGTTAAAAATGGAAAAAAAGAGCTTTAAGGATTAAAAAAAATTATTAACAAATTTACAGCTCGCCTCACAAGTATTCTCGCGGCGTTTCTAATGGCGATCATCTTCTTCTAAATATTCCATGCTCAACTTTTCTTCTTATCTTTCTGTACATTTGTTATTCCAATATCATTAATTCCAAACCAAATGACAGCTTCCCGGAAAATCACCTCTCCTGCCAATGACGTAGAAATGAATAAAACTACGAGTCAAATGTTTCAATTTTACAGTCTTCCAATAACTATTTGATTTTTCTGAACAATTTCACCCACCTCTACAATATCCTTCATTTCGAATGTTTGTTTCGCCAGAGACTGTGTTGCTTTCTCGCATTTTGTCGCAAGTAGCTGAAAGTTTTTCGTTCGTCTGTTTATTCCCAATGAAGTAAAGTTTTCACCTCAAGTATTGAATACAGTGGATGCTCCTTGATTTTCAGAAAATTCGTGATGGCCGGATGGTGTTTCTGTTTTGCTTTGTTGCCCTAAAAAATACCAGACTTGCAAAAGAAAAAACCCAACATTTTATTCATTTAACGCAATTGGAATTTTAATTTTGTCTCCGCACTTTTTTTCTCGTAATCCGTGCTACTTCTGTTTTTGAAAGGAACAGAAAAAAAGCATCAAAAATGAGATTGCGAATCTCTGAAGTTGTAAAAAAACGAGCTTTAAAAAAACCGCGAAGTTAAATTTTTTTCATTAAAAAAACTTGGTTGTGTCGATCATTCTGGCGTTAAGTCAGAACGATTCAATCACGCCATATCGGAGACGTGAAAAGCTTTTTTTTCTATCCGCTGCAATTTTAGTGTGAAACTACAAAATACTAAAACATCACGAGCACAAAAAAATATGTTAGAAACTCCAATTTTATTATAATAAAGCAGCTTTTTGGCACACTTCAATAAAACTTCAGTTTATGTGTTCGGTCAGTAGTTTCTATTTTTCGCCTCTCTTCCAAATTTGATTAACTTCAAACTGAAAAAAGCCTGTCACTACTAAAACCAGCGCAAATAATAAGATTTATGTGTCACGCAAGCACAAAATCAAATTTGGCTCGAATATTTATCAAAGGAAGGTAGACGCACTAAAAGAATAACTTTGGAGTTGATAACCGTTCTGAAAACCGGGCATTGACGTTTTTATAGCGTTCGAGCGACATACGTTCTTGCTTTTTTGGGCGCGATGCTCTCCGGCTTGGATAAGAGCCTGTTGAAGAAGAGTGCTGCGTTCCGACTCCAAATTCTTGTCCTGAGAAGACTTGGAGGTAGTTGGCTCATTGGGTAGAGTATCCGGTTGCACTTCGGCTGACGTCGATGGCTCCGAAGACATTTTCTGAGAACAATAAACTTGGCTCATTATACGGTTTTCGTGCAAAAAAAAACATTCGGAAAGAAAGTTATCGTTATTTGTAATTCACGAAAAACTTAACAGTTGGAAAATGGCAAATTTCAATAGATTTTGAAGTATATTTTTTTTGGACAACAAAATTTCTTTTATTGAAAACTGAAAAGTTGGGCAGGTTGTCACTCAAAGTCTCGTTTCTACAAAGTTTCCGGTCCATAAAACTTTGCTGTGACAAAATATACCATCCACCTGTGCAATCTCGAATTTTATCAACTTTTCTCCAGTCTTTTTTTCTCTATTTTTACTGGCTATTTTTTTCAAATTTTACTTAGATCCAGTCATTCCTTTTTTTCCCGGATTTATAATTTCAGACGAAAAATTGAGTTAAAGGAGTAATTTGTTAAAAACTGAAAGTTTCAGCCCTTCCGGGAAATATTTCTGAGCAAACTGTTATGAAATTCTCGAAAAAGAAAAAAATGAACTTTCTGTGAGAAGTAAAAAAATAAAATTTGATGAAAATGATGGGAAGACTTTGAAAAATATTTTTCCTTTGCTGCTATAATTTTTAAAGTAGAAAAAAAGTGATTCACATCTTTTTAACAAGATTTCAAAAATGGGTCGTGAGCTGCAAAGAACAGGGATAGTTCGATAAGCGAACAAGCAAGGGCTCAATTGTGAACTACCAACAAAGCTTCAATAAAGCTTCTGATAACCCTCTCCGTCCAATCTAATTATCAGCTCCCAACTGGTAGCTGGAAACAGATAATGAGAAAAAAAAACAGACTGAGTAGGTGTTGATCGGAGCGCGAGAAGGAACGAATGCCAATCAACTGGAGACAACTGCAACTGGTTATCAACGAGGACAAGCCAATATAAATGTAATCGTAAAAACCCGATCGTGCCACATTTGCCTTCTATTCATCCGTTAAAAATTTGACTCTCGACTTGGCTATCAAAAGCTCAAGATTTTTTTTTTCAGCAGTTGGGCAAAAAAATAAGTTTCATGTTCACGGGAAGTACAGGCGGAGAATTCGAATTTGAGAAATGTTATCTGGCATTTCTTATTCGGTCACAAGAAGATCAATTTAAAAATAAGTTAAAATTGGACTGCAAAGAAAAACGCCTGATAAGAATTATAGCTTTTCCTAGAGGAAGGTAAAATTTTTTACTTTGAAACGGAAATGTCCGCGGAAGCTTCCTCCCGACAAGAACATAAAACAAAGTTGAAGGTACTTGTTAGAAAAGGTATAATTTTCTTGTTTCTTTTAGCTCATTCTTTGAAAAAATTAATTTTTTTTTCAATACTCTAATCTCTCAGGGAAACGAAACTGGAATTGATTTTTTCAAACCCAGCAAAAAAGAAGATAAAAAAAAGCTAGCTCAGCTTTAAATTATTTCAAAAAGATACAAATTTCGAAAGGAAAGTTATAAGCAACAAATAAATTAATGGAATGAAAGTAAATAATGAAACTTAGAAAAAGGAAGGAGATAATGATAAACGGTGCAGGCGTTATCTAGCGATTTCGCAAAATCTCCTGAAGTTTTCTTTTACTGTCTAGTTTGGATTATTATTTTTTTATTGCAAGAAAGAAGTCTTGCTTCCAGAAAGAAAAACTTTTATTAAAAAAACTGTTCGCTAGTCAGCCTTTGCAAGTTTTAAAAAAATTTCCAGGTTTTTTTAATTTCTTCTTTACTTCAAAATTATGACTAATTTTTTTCTCTCTGAAGTTATTGTCCACTGAAAAAAAATTGCTGTCTCCTTTTATGGAAACTGTACAATAATATTATCAGAAAGTTCCTACAATTTCCACAAGCGTGGTTCAAAAAACAACAAAGTAGCAAAAGAGGATGTCACCTACAAAAACATCTCACCTTGCAAGCATACGGTAATAAAAAGTTTAACAAATGTGACCGGACGCACATGTGTCGGCGATTATATCCGCCGGAATCCACCCCGACCGCCGGCTCACCTGTGCGTCAACCATAACCTCAGCGCATATTACTCGGTCGCATACTTCAAAGGAGATCGCGGCCGTCGACGGTAGTAAAAATTTGCACTTGCCATACATTTGCCCAAGTCGCACCCGTTTGCAGCTGATCCGACATCTCAGCCAAGGACGGCGTACTGTATCGGCGGATCTGTTCCTGATATGGGATTGGTCCGAGTTTGGGCCGATAATCACTTGAGATGGGTACTGTTTTGTGTTTTGAGGCTTCTTTTTCGAATTTATGCGAGGTCCAAAATTTCATGGTATGGTAGCCTTGAAGTGGAGTAGTCAAATAAACAATATGTGAACTTTTAACAGCCACGGGACAAATACCAAAAAAAGTCTTACGATTTTCAGAAACCCCAAAAGTTTCATATTATTCGGAAAACGTCGAAAAATTCAGGCAGTCCTATCGATGTTCAACTTTTTTTTATTCACCGGAAGTTTATTTTTATATAATTAAATAAGTTGCGGATAGTGTAATTAATGATATCTCAAGACACCTTCATCTGAGGGTTTAATACGACCAGAAAAACTGTTTGAGAGAATAAAAGGTTCAGAAATATCTGTAAGTTTTGTCACAAGCTAGAGGAAATTTATTTGTGAAACAAAAAATTGTTGCGAAAGAAAAAATTCATGAATTTTTCACATGGAATGAACGAAAAAGCGTAAATTAGTGAACTCGATACGTTGCGAAACAGAATCCGAAAAGAAGCTCTCGGTCCAATAAACTGTGACACGGAGGCTTGAAGACCGTAAACGGCCGGGTGCACGAAAACAAGGCAGGACAGCACTCGACTTGATAGCTGTGCGAATCATAAAACGATTTACGGTTGCCCCGTTAAAACTGTCTCCAATTTCTCAATTCTCTTTCACTTGTCTCACTACTTGGGTTGCAACCGTCGTCTTCGTCAGGATAAATGGCGACAGGACCAAATTGATTCAGTCACTATGTCGAAAAAGTAGTGGATGTAATAGAGGAAAGCTACAAAAAATATTCAAAGTACATTTTGGAAGATTACGATGCCTCTGTATATGTTCTCCATTGAAAAGGGAAATAAATCCTTTTTTTTTTGAATTTGCCCGATGTTACTTGAAAGAAAAAGCTATTCTATTATAATAATCTGCAACTACGAATAATTTTCCGAACTGGCCAAAACACTCGGAAATATATCACAAGAATGTTCCGAAAGTTTACTTCCGCACGATTTCTAGAAAAAAAATTCGTTCAACAAATTCTGATGGTTCTGTCCGAAATCAAAACATGCGCTATAGAATTCTAGCAATTTTGGTGGATTCTAACTGTCAGGATCTTTACTTAAAAGTTTTCTGATACGTAGTTCTACTCTTAGAACTCAGTCATAAGGTAAAATGAGCTTCCTTGTCGGTGAGACTCCAAAAAATCACTCAACGATAGTGACTCAAAATTAAACTTCGATAGTTCAAAGAACCGAAAAAGTCAGCTTAATTTTTTTGATTGATGAGAGTTTTTTTTTACGAAATTGTATCTACTAACGTTCCAATTTTTTATCAAGCTTATCTGCGTCACGCCGATTGTTGAGGGCAATAAAAAAGCTATAATGTATGATAGTAGTGCGTATTTCAAAAAAAGAAAAGAGCGAGGCTTCTTCACGATTATCAAAAATATCTTATCGATTATTTCGTCAAATGTGTAGAATTAAAAAATTGACAAAAAAAATGTGAATATCAAATTCAAATAAAAATTGTCGCAAATGAGACCATTGTTGACCATCAAACGTCAGGTCCGTTTTTGCGTACTCGGCGTCATAATCGACGACAGTTTTCTGATCTTCGCAAGTTTGATTTTTTTTTTGGCTTCGCTCACCTTCGAATAGTGTTCACATGTTATTAGAAACCACTTTCTGGATATTCGACAAATGACCTTGTCAAAATTTTCTTCACATGTTTTGTCTTGTCTTTATTAATCTTCTTTCATCCGAGACCACTTTTCCGTGACCATGTCAAAGTTGGTTCTTGCCAAATTTGGACATATCAAACATTATTTTCAATTTCGCAAAAAGCCGTTTTTACTACATAAAAACCTTTTTCTGAATTCCAGCTTTCAATTTCGCTACGAAGGCTTTTTTGAAATTTTTCTGGCAAATGGTTGTTCAGAATTGAAACTTTTTCTTCAGATCCCCATTCAAAAAAGAGAATATTAAGCTTCAAAGAGCGTGAAATTCTCAAATATTTCTTTGTCTTTTCGTTACAACTCTTTTGAAGAACATGTCTTGAATACGTAGATCTCCGGGCAAGTGGATGTTTGAACTTCTTCCGCTGCCAAGGCCTTTTCACCAAAAGTCTCTTTGAAACTTTGCGGCAACCAAAAGCTTTTTTCGAGTTCAGCTGTCTGCTTCCGGCCAGAAAACTTGCCAGAAACCCCAACAAAGACGAGGTTGCTCACAGACATGTGAATTTTGGAATTTGAAAAGAAGGTCGCGTAGAGGAAAAAGAGTCAGATGTTGCATTTTCGACAGAGGTTATTTAGAAGGGTCTGAAGTAATTGAATATTCATTTTGTTTGCTACAACATGTTTGAAATATCTATCCGAATACGATTTCCAGTACACTTGAAAACGAGTATTCATCTTTTTTTTTTCTCTCGAAGAAAGTCGTATCAGAAGAAGGAAAGCTCGAAAAGAGGGGTTTTCTGGATTAATTTTAATTTGTAATCGAAGCAAGCCTTTTTTGCTCAACTTTAACAATTTTTTACATCTCATTTAAGAAAAGTTTATTATACCTGAAGAAGTCTTTGCTAATTAGCATGTTTGTCCTTGAATTCGAAAAAAAGCCACTCACTCAAAGATTTTTTTATAATCAACTTATTAGAAAAACTAACGAAAGGTTTTTTTTAATTACACAAAACATGCACATGTAAATAAATTTTCTTCTGCTTAAATTGAAGGCTACTTTGTCCTAATATATTTTGAAATCAAAGTTGATTGTATTTCAAAGTGTTCCACATCTTTGAGATTAAGTATGAATGTATTGAATTTCTTTGAATTATCAAAGATTGCAAAATTGAAAATGGCTGCCAGAAGCCTTTCAACAGGTTACTGGAAGGAAAAAAGAGATGGTGAAAACGGATGTGGAAGAAGTTTGACCACTTGGTGGAAAGCTTTCAAACGCCTTTCGAGGAGCCGAAAGCAGAAGCTTCCCCACGTTTACCTGAGGTATTCCGTCTGTTTTTCCGTTAGCAGTTAAACATAAAAAGGACCATTTTATTAACATTTTCCGTTTGAATAAAAAAGTAAAAATTAATTTCTAAAGCTCACTTCGCGTGCGGAAGTTTTTCAACCTTATCGTTGTACTTTTGAAGTTCTCATATCAACAAAAAAGAGCAAACCACAAAACACAATGATTTTCGGCCTCATCACCTTTTTCGAACATTCGTCACTTTCAATTATTTTTCTTTATGCCTTCCATTCCAGTATTTGTAATTTCTGCACATGACATTCCGCTTGACGACGGTGGTTGAATATCGCTTATGTGCACATCAGACACTTGGAATACATCGCTCAGTCTTTATTTAGTAGCTTCCTACGATGTCGGGCTCTTCGGAACTCACGGATGAGAGAGCGCGTCAATTCGATAGCAACTCAAAAAAACCGCCTCTCGAGACGCCTTCCGACCACAAATCACGCGCCACCCCTTCTATCCGTCCCTCAACGGTTCTCTGAGCTTTTCCACTACTTTTTAGGCAATCGCCAACATTCTCTCTGCGGCGCTCGGAGGAAACCTCTTTTTTTTCAGAGTTCGAAGAACGCTTCGCGCAGACCCAAAAAGCTCTTCCCTCGAATCTTGAATGAGATGAAAATGAAGCAAGAACAAGTTGGAAGACGCCAGATAACCAACAGGGATAATTCTTTTTTTTTGGGAAATTTCTGCACTCTCAAAATTCTTTCTGCGATTTAATGAAAACTTTTTCCCAGTCGGTCGTGTTTTGGTAATTGTTCCTTTGATGGAAGATTTTTAAAGGCCTTTGAACTCTCATTTCCTTAAATGCTCATTTTTTTAAACTGCGAATAAAGTGAAAAACTGAATTTAAAAAAATGAAAAAAATTAGATTTGATTTAGATTTACAAAGCTTCCCCTCCGCCTTCTAGTGGAGTCATTAACACTAAAGATTATTTGATTAAAAATATTTTTTTCAAGGAATTTCCACAGAAGATTTTTGTCTTAATAAGTCTTCTGTCAGTTTTATTCTCGAAAAATGCAAAAGCGCTCGCTAACGTGCCTCGAGGGCAACCCCCATCTGGAAGGCTTTTCCAACAATTTCTCGAAAAAGGAAGGCAGCCTCGGGTCGCAATGTTTATCAAGAACTGCTCACGAGTTCCAACGAAAAACGATCTTCGATGTCCCTCAAAAACGGAAGGCTCCGACGACTTCCGCTGCGCCTACAGCTTCCTGATGTCTGCCTACAACCGAGTAGAAACGTCGCAGTTTTTGACAAAGAACCTTAAAATCAGAAAAAAGAATGCTCTGAATCCAGGCAGCTTCCAAATCAAACAAAAAAAAATGTGCACTTTTTTTTTTCATAAAGCACTTTTTGCGCTTTGAAATAGTGAAAAAAATGCATAAAAAAATACTCGAGATGAGTAGATTGCCAAAAATGATGCGTTGCGTATGCGACACGGTTTATTGGCCGAAAACTCGAAATCAAGAGCGGGTCTTTTTTTTTGCTTTTCTTCGTTTTTCAACGTTATTTCAAGCAACCTGGAGTTTTCCGCCCGAAGCGTCTCGTACGCAATTCTTCACCCTTGTTATTCAATCCATCTGGCCTTTGAAGTCGAAAAAAACCTATTATAATCAATTATATTTTTTTCTCAGTGAAAAAAAAGACTGCTAGAATTTCAATCTTTGTTTTTTTGCTGCTTTATTTTTATTTTTATTTTTTTATTTTTATGCTCTATAGACAAAGAAAAAAACTGAGAAAAAGTCCTTGATTCCAAACTACAATATTGACATGCAAACCGTCAAAAAAAATTTCAAAGCATCTAAGGTCAGGTATCTTGTTTTCGTTGCAATTTCTCAGCAAACCAGTATTTTTTCGAAAAAACCAACGATTGAGATGCATTCTAATTTTATTACGCGAAGAGGATTTAATTGGAGCTGTGTTTTCATTCTTCGCTGAAGCTTTTTTCTTCATGAGCCCTCAAATGAGAAAGTTCTTGAATGAGTTTGCAAGACCTCATGACTCAAGCTATATGATACAACGAGATAAGACACCTACCTCGGACATTCTTACACTTGCTTTTTTTTTCTGCAACTGCGACAACTGGGAAATAGCCAATGAAAGAAGTTCAAACTTCTCGGAAGAAAAAACATAGCCCTCGTCAACGTCCTGCTTTTGATTGAGTAGCGAAAAGAGCGGATTCTTCTCCCTGAGGCGATCTGTGGTCGCCGACTGCTTCCGGAACCACTGGCAGTCCGAAATGTATGGGCTTTTCACTTGGACAAGGTTAAAACACGGCAAAAGCAAAGAAAAAAATGAATAAAAAAATGCAGTTTCCAAGTTCTCATTAAAATACCTAAGAAAAAAATAACATTTTCAACTTTTCATTAGGAGATAGACTATAAAGTTTATCACTTGAAATACTTGAGAGTTTCTTTTTATTGGAATCTTCAACTTTTTCCGATGTCGAGGGACACTAATATGGAATATTGAAAACGTTTCGAAATTTTTTTTTCCACTTTCTCACCACTTTTTCAGTACTACTGTTTTTGAAAATTGATTCAACATAACAATTTAAGGTGGTGAGTTTCCGAACTTTTACCCGATAATTCAAAAAATGTTCTGCAAAACTTTCAAAATTATCGAAAGATTCGGATTTTTCATAAATGAAAAAAAAGTAGATTTTTGACCGATCTGTAGAATTTTTCTATTTGTTCGAATTTGCACCATGCAGAAAACAGTTGCGACTTTTTGGTGTTCGATTAAAACTGATGCGGTTGAAAGGCTGTCTTGACGGAATTACAAGGGAATTTCGCAGGCTATCCATTCGTCTAACCCAGCAACACGTGTCGGCAAACGTGGCATTTCCTGGAAGAGTTTCAAGATCATTCTTTTTGTTCGCGATTTCACTGAAAATTTAATCAAATCAATTAAAATTTCGAACGCATTTCAATTTTTTGCGAAATGTTATCATTGGCTGCATGAAAAAGCGTGTATGACGACATACAGTGAGAAGTAACCTTGTCTTTTTGTTTGATGATTAATTTTTGCTGTTTTCTTCCGCGTTCTTGGCGGTCATTGGAACTTATAAACCAAACGGTTCAATCGGTTTTCTAATCATTCTACTTATATTTCACTTTTAGAATCTTTTCGAAAAGAAATCTTTGATTCACCCAAACCTAGACCTACTCGAGCTCTAGAGGAATTTGTGATAGTGAAGGAAATTAAAAACAGAGCCTGCGGATATAATCTTCTTTATTTCCGGCAAGATCGAGATGAAAAAGAGACATTTGAACATTTGTTTTCGCATTTTTTCGTGCACATAAAAATTATCATGATTTTTTGTGGAAAAGCAGTATAGTCACGCCATCACGACTTGAAAGGCGTGAAAGGCGGAGAAGTGAGTGGAACGCGTAGCGTGTGCATACGCGTTTCTTGGCCCGAGTTCAATTCGAGCGCTACAGCCTGTTTAAAAAGCTCGGTCACCATTTTTTTAAGTCTATTCTACTATTTTTTTCAATGCACCCGTGGAAAAAAACCAATAAAAAAATTATAAAAAAAGTAATGAAACAATGATAAAAAAAGCTCTCCAAATAGTCGCTGGCGGTTAAATTGAACTAGTGCCAAGAACCGCGTACGCACACGCTACGCATCTCGCACACTTCCTCGCCTCTCCCCGCCTTTCAATTCGGACAAAATTGACTAAAGATAATCTATGCTTCAAACACGGAAAAATACACCGTCCCTAATCACGCTCGAGTTTAAGAATCGCAAGGGAATATAGGGAAAAATTGTGCCGTAAAGGTTTTTTCTCTCAATTTCATTTCCTCCAATTTCTTTGATTTCCGGCTTATTCATTCAAATTAATTGGCTTTTCTATCCATGAAGCATGCTTATTGCTTCAAAAATAATGGAAAAATTAATTTCATTTTCTGTTAGTTATTGAGAACATAGTGGGCAAGTCAGTCCGAAAGGAATTTGATGATATCACACTTTTTGTAATTTTTTTGTTGTGAAATCCAGACAAACTCTGACTTTTGTGCTCTTGGATATTTTCGACCTCTGACGCAGTCCGGCGGATACAACTGTTGCCTGTGTCAAGTACAAGTGATCTACGCTACAATCGTCGGAAACAACGTGACACACAGCTAAATCGAGACCACTCAAGCATGCAACTTCCGGAGGCCTCAGGCGTTTCGTCGAGCGACGAGGCTCGCCAGGGCTGCAAGCCCCGCCCTGACGCACTTCGCCTGCTGCTCGGCGCGCCACGACGTGACGAAAAACCAAGAGGTGTCTTCGAATCGTTGGAGTCGCGAAGCCGTCGACTTCTTACTGCCATCATTTCGCTCCCAATGCAGATCGACGTCTCTTTACTCAACTACGCTGTCGTTGACTCGTTGCAGAATCCGCACAAGTACAACTTCTTCCTTCCAAACATCAAAGCCGGCCCGGTCAGTTCTTAGTTTTCAATTCAGTAATTCGAAGGGCAGCCTGGAAAACACTTTGAAAAATCTTTACAAGAGTCAAATTCCTATTTGAATTCTACAAGGCTCTCACTCTATTGTTATAGTTCATTGAACGCCGATTTGTAACTCTTTTCAACGCGATCGACGACATTAATTTCGATAAGAAGAGATTCAAACGCTTCCGTAAAGTTTTTGTCTCCGAATAGGGTATTCGAAAACAACGAGATATTGTTATCAAGCTGACAATTTATGGAGAAACACAGCAGGGGAACATTTATCCCTTGGCTGTTTTATTAGAAGCTTGGTTTATATGCTTTCCGAAATGAGATTCATAATTTTCGAAAATTTTGAAATCTGAACTAAGTATCTTTTTCGAAATTTTTCTGTTATTTTCGGGAAAATAAAAAATGGTTTAACTTTTACTTAGGCCTTTTTCGATATCGTTCATTTTCTCTTTGAATTTCCAATTACCCGATGGTACTGTACTTCTTCCATAAGTTCTTGATCATTTTATTTATCCAAACAGTGGAAGTTGCTTGGCAACCTCAATAAGAAAACACCTGTCTATTTTTTTAACTGGCAATTTTTCATGAAATTTGTTCAACGAAGCGTGTGCGATTGACTCTCCCATCGATGAATAATTCCTTTCTGGGACTTTCATTCCGATAACATATTATTCTGAACTCTTGAAACTCTTCTCGTACTTGCAAAAAATATGGAACACATGGAAAATTGATCGAAGAACCTTGATCCGGAAAAAGCGAACGTGTTGTCTCGAAATCTCTAAAAAATTTGGTTCGGCATGCTTCATGCATCTTCACAATTCCGGCCGATTGAATGTTTTCTGCATTCTTTATGCTTTTTTTTGAGATCTTTCTCTTGTTTTTTTTCGCACGTGTGGCGCCAGTGTTTATTTCGTTTTTCATAGTTCAACATAAACAGTTGGAGCTTTATTAATATCGCTTTCTCTGCGGAGAATGAAGCAGAACTTTCCAAAGGCAAAATAAAGACCTTCAATTTCAAGATCTCCACAATGGGTCTATGCCACTGTTTCCAAAACCTTTGGTGGTTAACTTTTTTTGCAAACTCTACTTTGCACTTTTCAAGCTAGAGTGCCCCGAGGGTCAATAACAAGAAAGTATACTGACCTTTCAGGGCGTTATTTTCCATTTTCTTTCCCAACGGCAAATCCTAACCGAAAACAACTCCGATCCTTTTTAACTCAAAATGGTGACATGAGAAAGACAATCGGAGTTTAGCTTGGAAAGAAATTTGAAAAAAATTTAACCTTGTTTCTTTTTAAAAAAATCGTTATATTTGTTTTTTTAGATTTATACATACTGTGAACTTTTTAACACTTCAGCAAAATATATATATATATAAATCATCTTCGTCTCCAAAAGCACTCAGACATTTTTCGGTACTTGGATTGGAAATCTAGTCTTTTGAAAGTAAAAAAACTATCTGCAAAAAAACATAAAAAGATTAAAAAAACCGTCTCTTTCCTTGTTTTCGAAACTTCAACATTTTTTTATGACGTTGGGAAAATATACGTGCAATATTTTTCTTTTCAAATCGAAACGCTTTTCCATGAACTTGTTAAATGGCAATATATGTTTGTGAGAAGTTTGTTATTGGAGAAATGGAAAAAAACAATTTAATCAAATTTCCTGTGAGATATGACGAGTTTTCATTCCCACCGTTTGGGATGAAAACATAACGGACCATACAAAACGCAATGGAAAAAGCTAGAAAAGACCTATCCAGATTTTTAGCCGCTTTGAATTCTGAATATCTTGTAGTTCTTCATAGAAATTCGTTTCGTTTGGCGTGCTGCCAACAACCCAGCTATTCGCCTCCTTTTCGAATTAGTCAAGTTCTGCTGGATTGAAATAGTTTTCAATGAAAAAATTGACAAATAAGTTCACGTTGAGTGCAGAAGATGGTTCGCACCGTTGAATAGAGGATTTTGATGCAGAATCAGGAGACAAAAAAGAGATCATTTTTAAAAATTTTATATTGTCGTTTCTTGCTCCGGGTACGTAAAAATCGAACTTTACGCAAAACGGTCATAAAAAAGTCTCTTTTTACGCAATTTCATTCGTCTGTTTTTTCCACTTCGTATTCTGATAACTCCGAGTCATTGATTTTGATGGTCACCTTCCCAAAACCTATCCACGGAATCATTCACTCCAGCGCGTATATTGCTACCATAAATGTACTACCTTTTATTCCTTGAGAACCGACCGAATTATTTTTCCCCTATGTTGTTCAAAACCCGCAAGAGCTACATGTCTGAAACTTTGCAAGGGTAGAAAAAAAAGTTGTGTGGATTTAAACACTTCATTTCTTTTTAACGTAGAGAGAGCAAATAATTAAGGTACTGAAAAGTGGTTTAATGTGTTAAGAATGAGCAGGACATCACTTAAACCAGGAAAACTATACCGAAAAATGAGCTTCAAACATTGCAAAAAAAAACATGACGACCCGAAAAAATGTCAAAATAAAGACTTTTTTAGAACGTCAAACTCGCTGTTAGCGTGCCCAGCGCAATAATTAACGACAATCTTCTTGATATTTTTAAAAAGGCTCATCTAAGTATTTACCTCAACTTTTCCCTTTTATTTTTTCTGCGCTTTTCACTTCGGTTTTGGGAAGATCAAAAATTGAAAATTTGTAAGTAACCATTTTTTTTTGATACGATTTTCGAAAACCACTCCATCGGTAGAATGATTTTTTTTTTCCAACTTTGTTTCGTTTTAAATTAGGGTCTGAATTCATCTTAGAGAGATTTTCAGCTTCATCAAACATTGTCTTCTACGCAAAACACATTTTCGTAGAATGCTCTGAAGGGGAAATCAGTTAGAGTCTACTTTTTCAAGTTTTAATGTTCATAATTTGGTGCACAGACCTTTTCGGCGGTGTTTCAGCTTAAATTGAGGATGGGCGCGAAAAATTGCACCTCATCAGTTTAAAATCACTGGAAGTTCCAATATTTAATAAAAAAGTCCCTGATGAGCCGAGATTACTTCATGTTTTTCTCTATCATTTCACGGCGGCGGTACAGAACGAGGAGATTGAGCCGGAGGCGGAGTTCGTTCTCAAAGACGGCTCGAGCCGGCTGAAGAGACAGGCGTGCGTCTGAACTTCCTGCCAACTAACGGAGCATTAGGCGTCCTTGGTCTGCGTGTCTCGCCTAGGGGCACGTCACTGAGCACAGCAAAGCTGGCGCTCTCTCTTCCTCTTCCGGAGAGCTCGCTCGGCAGGAGCGTGACCACGCTGAACGACGATCTTCGAGCTTCTCCAGCCTTTTGCCCTCTGTAAACGCTCGCTCCATTTTAGTCTTCACTCCCACTGAGCGGAAAAAACGTCTAGGCTTTCATTCGACTTTTCAGAAATAATTGCGTTTCTTTCAACGCATTCAATTTTCTAGATCATTGAGCAATTCGCGTTGTGCCAATTGTTTCCTAGCGGCAAATCGGATAGGCTCGGCAAAAACTTGTTAATTTTGATGTTCCATCTCGAAAGTTTTTCAAGGAGAGCAGAACTTTCGTTCGGCGGCTTGGAAACTTTTTGATTTGTTATTTTAATGTAACGTCCAAATAATTATGTTTTTTTAGAAAAAAAATCTGGGAAAAATCTCCAAAAAAAATTCTCTTTCTCACACTTTCTTCAAAGACTTTTTCAAGTCTTGGACAATGAATAACAATATTTTGATGTCGCCAGAAATAACTTCTAGCCTTGTTATGAAAAATCTATTGAATTTTTTTCAAAATGAACAGTAAGCTGAAAAAGAAAAATTCCAGCTCTATGATGAAAATCCTCAGGCTTGATAAAAAAACGTTAAAAAAAGAAAAAAATTACATGATTTTTGGATGAAGAAGTTGCTTTTTTTAATCGAAGAAAGTCGTAAAAAAATAAACATTGAATAGATTGAATAGATTTGTTTCTCCAGGCAGTTTTTGGATTAATTTTCCTACGACGTACGGTCTCTCATTGCACTTTGCCATCATTTTTCCTTAATGATCCCTTTTTCTGGCCTCAAATGTGCAAAGCAGAAAGAAGCTGAAAAATTCTCACCTTCTTTTTCCTAGAATTATCAAAATTCCAGCATCGCGAGCTTTGGGAATTCCCGCGACGAGGCGAACCCTCATTAATAAAAGATTGGCGCCAAACTTTGACATAAATAAATTTTGTCGAGCATATTGGCAGGTGCGTTCGGGACATTCAATTACCTTCACTTCACTTCCCAAGCTCAGACGCTTGTTTATCTATTGAACTCCGAAAAAATAGTCAAAGTTCCTGTTATTTCAGTTTGAGAGAAGTTCGCTGTTCTTGAATATTTTTTTATTCAGTTGAATTGTCTTTCGCAGTCCCAGACTGTTGGTTGATAGATATTATTTGATAATTTTTCTGTGGGATTCGATCGGTTTTCTGTAAGGGAACGTTCTGCAAATTTTAAGGAATTCCAAAGTTTGCGAGAGGGAACGATTAGAATCCGTAAAATTCCGTAGTAATAATTTATTTTCATTTTTTTGAATAGAAAAAAACTGGATTTTTTTATGGGGTTTGAAAAAAATTAAAAAAATTCAATTTATAATTATCCTTTACGTACCCCAGCTCCGAAAAAAACATTAAAGAGGTCACATAATACTGCGGAAAGAACGAATAATAATTCAGTTGAAAGATGAATAGAGTACAAGTTCTTTTTTTAAATCCAACTCGGATTCATTTCTCGGTGTCGCTATCTTCGAGTCGATATCAGATAGGAGCACATGACTTGTTGCTAGGGTATCTCTTTCTCCATAAAAAAGTTTTTGATGCTCACAAAAATTTCAAACTTCTTCTGGCCATACGAAACAAGTATTTTATCTTAACGTTCGGAAAATTTTCCTTGACTGCTCCCCTCTATAGAAGTTTGAAACAGATTTGCGATTTGTGCCTCCCCTACTTGCCTTATCGTGTCGAAATCGGCATGACTTCAGAATCTATCAAATGTTGCGTTAGACGTCTTCTGTCTGCACTTTTGAACTTCTCCAACGTCTTCGGTTCTCTCGTCGTCTCTGTCTTGTCTTCCGCGACCAAATTGTGTTATTCTCTCATTGCTTCCTATTCCTTCCCTTGGGACAGTCGCCCATCAGATTTTCGTTATTTCCGGCCTATTAACTCCACTATTTTTTTTTCATTCAGAAAGACTTTTTTTCATTGAAAAATTTGAAAATTGAAAAAAATTTGTAAGCGTTTGATCGGTTTCCTATTTCGTTGTGATCCCTTATTTCTGTTTTCGTTTTGATCGCCCCCGTTGAAACAGATTTCTCACAAACAAATCAATGCAATTCAGTGACTGGCTGCTATGTTCCGTAGCAATCTGTACAGAAGTCTTTAAGTCGAAGAAATGAAAAAGTACTTCGTTTGGAACAATCGAGAGCTGGTGGGTTTTCACTCGGTTTTTTTTTGCTTGGAAGTTTACCCGAAAAAAAAAAGAAATTTTTTGAAGGACTTCTAAATCCTTATTTTCAAATTAAGATTTTTTTGTGGAAATGGTCTTTGTGGTTTACAATTGGCCAGACGCCATGATATATTGCAATTGTTTTTTTTTCATACTATCGTCTGGTTCCTCGGGAATTGCGTCTCTGGAGTTCTCGTGGCAAGTTGTAAACTCCGCTTTTTGCAGTCTTGAGGCATTTAAAAAACCGCAAGAACTAACTTATAAGTCAAAGTTGCAGGAGTTACTGAATGATCGAGAAAAGATAAAGAGCAATGTTTCATTTTTGCTCTATTCTGAATACTTTCTGATTGAGGTTGACTTATAACAAAGTTTCCATGTGTGGCATAAGTTTTTTTTCTGAGCTTGATATGACATTAAAAAGTCGTTTTGTCTGCAAACCCTTAGTAAAATTTTCAACGACTTTTGAACAGACTTACATAATTTTTTTGATATTAACTACTTACTCTTGCACTTATAAGACTTACAAATATTTGCTTCTCACTCATCAAACCCAAAAATCTTACGGTAGCTGTTGCCGTGTGTCTTTTTTTCTCATCTTTCCTTTTTTTGCTCGCACTGCGCCATAATTCGAGACTTCACATATTTTATCAAGTGAAGATTTTTTCTGTTTTTTTTTTGCTTTATCTTACGTGTAGGCTAGCAAAAAATGTTCAAAACGTTTCGAAGAGAACATATTGTAGGGGTACGCAAAAGGGAAAGTATCGGCCAATGTACAACCATGGAGCGCCAACGCCTAGATCAATCAACCTTCTCTGTTCCCGCTGATCTTTAGGAGGCATCAGAGATGAGACTACTGTTGCGAAATTGAATTTTCCGTTTGAGAACTCTTCAATGAGGATAATTTTTACTTTGGCTTAGTATAGAAAATGGTGAAACTTTGAACGAAATTGAGAAAAAAAAGAATGGGGAGGAAGCTGGTACTTGAAATTCGTTTTTTTTTTCAACCTAGGAAATTTTAAAAAATGTTTTGGCCACAGTTTCATAATGAACCTTTTGCGTCACATGACCTTAGCAGAAAAAACTCTGTGAAGGCAAATGTAACGGCTGGCGCCCGCGAAAAGAGATCTGAACCGGCCAGTAAGACAAACTCGGTGATGTTGACTCGCTGTACTTTGTCTGCTCTCTCGACGCTATTTCCGACGGCTCGGAACCTGCGAGCTCCGCCAAGCTCGCACTATTCCGTTGACAAGTGCTTCTCGTCTCGATCGTGTTTACTCATTTCATTGCCATCCGTAGACAATTTTTTCACAGCCTGAACGGTATCTAACAGAAAGGTCATCTAGCGGATCAAACTTCTATTCAAATCCGCTTTTTGTTTCGAGGTCTGAATGGTGACTATCTGCAAAAATTTGTTGTACAGACATGAATTTTCAGGATATTTTTCTTCCAAAGTTGATATTCTCCAGAATAAAAATTTCGGACGTTGATCAAACTTCGATCAAGTTTCAAACTCTCAAATAAAAAAACCTTCTCTTATATCTCATTGTAATCTCTCATTTACTTGCTTCATTCTAACAACTCCATTTCAATATTGAAAAATAATCAAAAGCTCGTCTAAAGAAAAGTTTGTTTCCTCACGCACGTGAGATCTTTTCTATGAGCAAAGAACGGATTTTTTGAATCTAAGCCTTTTTTATCGGCTTCTTTAGCTGCACTTTTTGATTTCACCGGAAGTTTTTTTCCAGAATTTTCTCTTTTTTTTTAGGCTTCAAAGTTATTTCACAAGCGCGCTTGTTCTTTTCCATCTGAATTTCCAGCTTTCTAATAGAACCATCGCAAGACTTGTGCTGCTCATAACTGATTTGAACATTCAACTCATGGATTTCAAATGGAGGGGCCTTATAGAAGTTGATACTTCAGGCAACTCTGTTGATTTTTTCAAATAGATAAAATGTCTGAGATTTCAACATTCTTGAGCTTCACAGAGGACGTGCCTGAAGTTAATTTTTTATGAAATTCTAAACGCCAATTCTTAATTTCATATCCCTTTACGACAATTTCTAGCAATTAATGGGGCACGCTTCAAGTGATTTTTTCGGTAGAATAAATCTTCCATTGGAATTTCTACTTTTTGTTTACTTCTCTTTTTTTCTTGCCTTGATTCCCACTCCTAAAAAAGTGAGAAGTTTTTTAATCGACAAAACTTCTTGAAACCACCGAGACTGGTCAAGTGTAACAGCCGTCCAAGAAGAAGGAACTAAACATGGGCAATGAGAGAGAGAAAAACGGTTTCTCGCGATTGGCCGTAGCCGAAAACGCTGTCTTTTAGGGTCGCCGTGGTTGATGAGGTGCCCTTTATCTGGCGCATCGTCTGAATTGTCGTTGTAGGCAGGAGAAAACGCGTTGCGATCAGTTCAAACAATTTCATTAGTCGCCACACACTTTTAAATCATGGTTTTTTTTTTATTTCGGAAAAATTCTCTTGAAAAACTAAAACACTGGCTTTTTAGAGATTGTGCGTACTTATACATGAAATTTGATTGCTTGATTCTATCATACCGTGATATTTACTTAAAACAAGTTCCGAGGAAAAAATAATCAAATCAAATCAGCATTTCCATGGGAACAGGAAGATTTTCTAGCCTGCCAAAAAATTTTTAAAATCTTATTGAGTGGAGAGGAAATCAACAATCTTTGACAGTTTACGTCTCGAAAAAATATTAAAGTTGGAAATTTTACTTGAAAGGTCATCAGAGGCTCAGGTAAGCGTTTTTTTTTTTAAGTTTTGTGTGAAGCTGGTTTGGCACGGGAACCGGCTCTACACAAGATTCACTCACTCAAAAAATTTTACTGGTAGCGACTATAAGGAGCCTTCATCCAGATCTTTGAAAATTTCTGGGAAAATTCAGAAGCCAAATATCTACTCTGTTGAAAAGTTCTTCCTCGTTCATTTCTGAATTTTCAAAGTGAAAGTTGTTTGCATGACTAGTAATTGCGGCCGAAACAACCGATAAGACATCATCTTGACACACAGTAGAAAGTTGGCAAGTTCCGCGTGAAGAAATGAAAAGTAGAGTCCGGAAAAGGGCGAGAAGTCGCGTGGCAGACGGAAGAAGGAAGCGACTGGAGACCAGTTCTCAGCGTCGCTCTCACTTTCGGCGGCTGGCGACGTCGCATCGCCCGCAGGCCTTCTCTCGCACTGGCCGACAGTGTCGTCGAGGCAAAAACCCTCATGCACTTCTTGTTTTTCAACAACGACGACGTTCCCTTTCCGCATGCCGCACGTGTTGTGTATGGGCGGCCTCTCGCGCAATTTTCTGCCTCTGGGGCTCAGACTCTCGTCCTCGCCACCGTCTGTGGTTTCCGATGCCGAACCAACAACAAAAACCCCTCTCTCTCTGATACTTTGCACATACTTGGTCTTTATTTCGTCGTTTCCACTTGCCTTATCGACAGAGTCTTAGAATATACCTAGTATTTCAAGTTCAAACCAAATTTTAACTTTGAATTTTTGTCATCGGCATTCTTCCTTTTCCAGGAGCCTGAGACGATAATAATGAAGAACTTTATAAATCTCATTTTCCCACACCGTTCTGCTGAGCCATGAATTATTTCCCGAACCAACGGTGAATCAATTGTACTGCAAAATGAAGTTTCGAGACAGAGTTTCCAATCGAAACTGAGAAAAATTGTGTTTTAAACTCATCAAGATAAGAGAAGAGATACATTCAGAAATCCTTCTAAATGTTTTAGTTTCTAAAGAAAAAATCGTAGCGCTATTTTCAAGCGTATTTGGCTTCAATTGGCACCGAGCCAAAAATACTACGCTCTCAAAAAACGTTTTGAAGGTTGTTTATATTCATCCACTCAAAAGTTCTTGCTGGGGCGTTAAAAGACGCTGAAACCTTGCGTGACCTTAAAAAATCAAAAAAAAAATTTCTCAACGATTATTGTTGAAATTTTATCCAAACTTTTCATCCTTCTAAAAAGCTTCAACTTTGAACTGGAAAAAGTTTCATCAAAGTTTTCAAATCAAGTAATCATATCCGACTTCAGCCTGTTTCTCTGGCGCATGACTTTTTCATCAATCATCTCCCTACCTGTTTATTTCTCATCGCGTACTTTTACACTTTCTCCTATCAATAGAGGTAATCACCGTTGTGTTCCTCTTGTCGATCACTAGTAAAATGCGACAAAAAAGCACCCTCATCCTATTGAGCCGTCATCCGATCAAATTTTTCCTATTGTCGCTCTCTTATCTCGCATTTTCTATTTATTTCAACGAGATGAAAAAGGGAAAACGGCAAAAATATTGCACAAGTAGCTGGTTAAAAATCGCATAAATTGTAACCAGGCAGCTGCTTCGTGCTCAAACGATCACAGCTCTGCACTTCGCCACTGTTCTTGATAGTTGTCTCGTCTGTACAAATAAGCGTTACGAGATCTTTCTTTTTTGTTTTTGCATGTGCCCGCTTTTGAAGTTTATTGTCGTTTTATTGGATGTAAAAATGTTAGATTTTTCTCCGATTTTTTGTAAGTCGTAGATTTCAAGGTTTTCTATATTATCAACTCAAAGAAAAAAGAGCTAACAACCACATTCCGAAAGAAAAGTTGAAAAAGAAGGTAAATCGAAAAAAATCAAGGTGACATTTTTTGAGCCTTTACTTTTTCTTCCTATCTACATAATCAAAAAGAGATCACGAATTGAAAATTTCGAAAAAAAAACTAAGAAATTACCAAACACACTTTATTTTTATTTTATTTTTCCAGGCAGCTGAGAATCCTGAACCAGTAACTCAAACGATTCTATTACAATAAAAACTGAACAAATCATCGGCTACTTTTTGAGAAAAAAAAAAAGATTAAAAAAAGCTTCCAACGCAATTTTTATTCGTTTTTGTTTTTCAAAGCCATATAGTCTCATTTGGAAATTTTCTCGAGCTAGAATTTGTGAACTTCCCAAATTTTTTCATACAAAATTGAAAGGACGAATAAAATGACGCGGTTTGGGTTGAACTTTATTTTTTTTTCTTCTATTTTAGGAAACTTGAAAGCTCAGATTTCTCCTATTTCCTTCAACTTAAACTTCAGTTTGCAGTATGTTAAGAAAGCTTCAGACTTAGAACAAAACAAGCGATTTTTCCTTTCTTTGATCTCTCGAGGTTGGTAGATCGGCGTCATTCTGAGTTGGTATTTGTGCGGGTGTTTGCTTAGGCGCGCCTTGGTTACCTGTGGCCCCTACGTGCCTCGCGATTTCTCCATCTTCCACCATCGGTTTACCGCAATTTCCAGCTATCAATTCTCCTCATTTCTTTTCTGAGCTCATTCGTAAATCACACAAGCACTCATGAACTTTGAAAGCGAACAGAAATTTTCAAAGGTTCATCCAATGTCATACTCAATTCTGTAACCTTGAATGGATTTTTTGGACTAACTAACTACTTGCAAGATTTGAAAAGCCAAAGAAAAACGTTATTCCAATTTCTTGCTCCTTTGAACATTTTGAAAAGAATTAAAGAATTTTGGAAAAGACTGAGCTATTTGAAAAAAAAAGTGGCGCCTTTTTTGTCACTCCCACCAATTTTCCGAAGTTCACATGACTAGAAATAAAATGTTCCAGCTTTTTTTTGTTTTGTTTTCCTATTTGACTACTACGGAAAATGTTCATGAAACTTTTATAAAGATCAAGTGCCCCTACTAATAGAACTGTTCTAGCTAAAAATAACTAAATTTAAGCTTTTGTGATTTCGAATTTCATCGAGCCGAAGAAATAAGATTCTTTCCAAGACGTCGATTTTAATTGTAAGAAACGTCACTTGAATTTTCGATGATTTCAAATTGTGAAATGGCAAAGAAGAGAACGGCTTTTCTGGCTTCCGGTGATTTTTTCCATTTATCGGAGGCTTTTTGCCTTGCGCTTTGTCCCGTGCACTTCACGCCAATGAAATTATTTCTCTTTTTTATTTTTTATTCCCGTGAATCTTATGCTTTTTTGTGATTCTGAAATAAGAAGTGCTGTTTTATCTGAATTTTACAACTCTGAAATAGCGCAAAGATCAGACTAGGGTAGATGTCGAATTGAATAGCTGCCAAGAAAAGTTTTTTTTCCGAATTGACGGCTGTGCCATAATTCGTACACTCGAGGGCCGGCAATTGACCAAAAATCAGTTGCAAAACGAGCTGGCAACGACGACGTGGGCAGCTCGACGCCACTGTGGCTCATGTGTTCGCCGTCGCCTCTTTTCGCTTCATTTTGTCCTTGCCGCGCTTTCCATCGATTCAGACGTCCGAAAGCGTCGTGCCGAAGGAGTTTCGAGCCCATTTAGTTTGCTATTTCTCTTCTTATTCTTTTCATTGCCCTTTTCGCAACTTTTTTTCTTTACTAGCGGGATTGAGCCGTAGTTATTTTCACGTACACTGTGGAAAGTGTAGAATCTTTCCAAATATCTTTAAAGATTAAAGTTTTTTTAACTGAGAGGAATTTTTTTCAACTTATTATATTTGAAACAATTACAAACCACTCTGAGTGTTGTAGCCTTTTTGAAAACAGTGGTTAAAGACTTTCCGCTCGAAAAATTTTGAAGATTTGATAGCTTCAATTTAATGCGCACAAGAAAAAAAAAATCATTTCAAACGCCGGAAACGCATTTGGCGTTCAACTAAAATTTTCCGTGAAGATAAAAAAAAGCTCATATAGGTTTCGCAGTTTTTCTTTCAAAGTTTCAAATCTCTGAAGTTTCTTCAGTTTTTCAATTTAAACCGCGAGAATTTCGATACACTTGGCTCAACGCAATTAGAACTTCATCAATCAGAAAAATTCTTGAAGTCTATTAATTATGTCAGCCGAGGAAAGATAATTTGTGTTTCGGTATTTGATTATTAGGAACTTTTGAGAGGGCTCTCGATGCACTTTTCTTTTCAAAGAGAAAGTAAATTTACTTTGCTTCCGAAAGTTTTTTGAAAGCTGGCGAGAAAATTCAAACTTTATAACTTTCAGTTTTTGGGGACCGCTTTCTTTGAGTTGTTTTTTTTTTTTTCTAGCACGAGTTCAGAAATGTTCGTTCTTGGAAACTAAAAAGCTAAGCAGATCGAGAGACTTACCCTAGCCGAAGTCCAACCTATATCTTCATGGATTTTTTTCATACTTTTAAATTCGAACTAAACAATGAGCTTCCACGATTTAGCGAGCAAAAACTATTTATCATACTATACTCAATTCTCCGTCGGATTTAGCGAAGGAGGCGGCGACATTCAGACATCACATCCGAAACGATGTTTCTTGATGCACTTGGCGACGAAAATTCGGATGCTCAGCGATCGCTCATCGCCTCGCCTGCCATTCATTCATTATTCAGAAGAGCGCTAGTTCAACGCAAAACGGCGGGGAGCTACGCGGCCAATGAATAAGCGGCCCAAACTCTGGTCCTTTGACACGGTGTCGTTTCGTGGATATATCCGTCGCACACGTATCGCACGACTTAGTTGGACTCGTTCCAGAACATGCCTTTCGGATCTCCGCTTAACTTCGTTGCCAGTTTTTCTCTCCAACTCATCTTTTTTTCTGATCTTCACCTTTTTGAATTTTTCCTCAATGAAAGACAGTCATACTTTTTCAATTTCTCACGAGAGCGCGTGCCGGGTTGAAGAATACATTTATTTATTTGAATTTAGTTATACTCCATGCAAAATAGCTCCAAAAAGGCTTAGAAATTTTTTCACTTCAATCAAGAGATATCTTTTTTTCATCTCATTTTTTTTTACAACCATGATATGCCAAAAAATGTAACAATTTCTTATCATGGTTCACACGAAACCCGTGCGGTTTTACTACGCCTCACATTTCCAGTCACATATCAGACTTGAAAAATTGTATGTAGAGTGAACCTGACATACTGATAGCGTTTTCGATTTTCTTCTTATCTCACTTTTTCTTCCCTAAGCGAACCACTCAGACCGTTGTTATCCTGCTTGGCTCGAGAAAAAATGGTTTATTTTTTGCTGTTTTTTTTTCATCTTAAAATTAGTTACATCTTTTTCGTGACCAGATCATGTTAAATTATTTTCCTGGTGTTGTTTGCGTATATTTGCGGATTATTTTCAAACAAAACTTCACATGATTTTCACTACCAGAAAGAAGAAATTTTATGACGCCATAAAACGGAAAATATCCCGCGGGTTGAGAAAAATCGCAATTTTGTCAAATATTATTTTTACGTTTCATTCCTGTAATGTGAAACTCTCGAAAACTTTCAAGTCTTGGTTTTATGTAGTTGTATGTAGTTTCAAAAACTAATAGAAAAATAGCTGATTCTTGCTCTTTCTCTGGAGTTCAAAACCTTACTTAAGCTTAAAATTGTCTGAAAAATTTAATATTTTTGAGCGTTCAAACCGAGATAACTTGGATTAAACTGACAAAGGTTTGAACCTATAGTGTTTTTGCGACTTCGAATATTTTGAATCTTTTATCGCATAAGTTTAAATCATACAATTGACTCGAAAAGTTGCTCCGTACTCACATAATGACAGATACCGACCATAAAAGTTCATGTGCTCTGTTTCAGGATAGTCCGGCGCTGGCGTGTCCGGCTCCTCTTCTCGCACAAGCGCCAACGCGCGCGTCCGATTGGCCAGCACTGGCCGCTCAGCCTTCTTCTTTAACTGGGTAAGACAATAATCTTGAAATTTTGAACTTATAATTTCCTAATTGTTGTTTTGAAAATAGATCAAGTTTTTTTGTCACTTAAAATTTGAAGGAAATCAACTGGCTGATTGGAATTTCACGTTTGATTGAAAATAATCTAGTTTGATGTTCAAATTGCGTACATATGCAACTTTTTTTCACTCACTAAGACAGTTAAAAAAAACTTGAAAAAAATGAGAAATGATTCGGAACACATCTTTTTTGATCAAACTGTTTCGATATGTTGCGTTTTTTTGTTTTTAGGTATAAGGTCTTAAAACCGCGAAAACTCTTCTTTTCTTCAGAGAAATGAATAATTCAAAATTTCGATAGTTTATAAAAAGATCGACGCCAAAAAAAATTTTTTGCTTTAAATTTATCATGTTGAAGAGCATTTCATCTGGATCAGAATTTCCTCAAAATTTTTGAAGTGTCTTTTGGATGAAAAAAATGTTAAAAATGAAAATCATCACTTTTTCTTGTCAGCGTAAAATATCTTGATAAAGCTCATCTGAGCTTACTTCGGATCGGAAATCAAAAAGCTTAGGAAAGGAATCATGATTCAATGGCGCGTGGACTTAGTTACAAGCAGCTCAAATTATTTTCCAGTGAGTCGCATTTGTTCAGATATAGAGATTTTCTATTTTGTTTTGCGATCCGAAAGCCACGAGCTTGAGATTTCGCTCATCGAAGCACTCATGGCGCTCACGTGACAGCTCACTGGCGGCGACGCGCATACGCCCGCCACGCCCTGCCTACGGATTTTTCAGTGCATGTTGCAGGCCGTCCGGCCTTGTCTCAGCAGGACCATCGGCTTTTTCCGTCGTCCCGCCGGCGACGCTTCCTGCCGGCCTGCCGCTCTACAACTCGTTGATGTGCTTGCCGTCGCTGCTCGAACGCTTCTCGACGCCCAACGTTCTGCGTTCTCACATGAGCGCGACGTCGTTCAAGCCCATCCCGAACAATGAGAAGTGAGCTTTCTACAAAACTTTTCAAAGAAGATGATATGGAATAGAACCCCTCTATTTTCTTTAATCCCATGAAGGCTATCTATGCGAAGTTGCAATTTTGGAAATGTGACTTTTTAAACTACCCGGTTTTATTCTGCATTTCGCTCAGAAACCTCTAGGGTGTGAAAACTGAGTTGCCTTTGAAAAATTCATAGAATTTGACTTTGCATTTGGGAGTTTTCTAAAAACTGGTCGAGATTATACGGAAATCGGAAATCAAAACTGAATAGATTATTTTCACGGGTTTTCTTGTTTCCTTTTTTCCGTGGGAATGTATCTCATGAGGTCTCACGCTATGCAAGTTGAGATTACTCAAACCTTCATAGAAATTGTGATAAGTTTTTAGAAGATTTCTAAAATAAGAGAGACTACAATACGTGTATTTTAATGTTAAGCAAGAGTCTGAAAGTTTTTTTACAACAATTTATTGAAAAAAACTCACTCAGTGGAATCAGAAAAATTTTTTTCAAATACCTTTCAGTCATAGCATGAAAAAAAGATTCCTAGTTAATCCTTTTCAGAACATTTGCACATTTTTTAACAAAAAGAAACGGAATAATCGAAACCAATTTTTTTCGATTATTTTTTGTGTGAAATGCCATCATCTCAAAATATTTTCTCAGAACTGAGAGAAAAAATTTAAAATTCAAGATAATATTCAGCGGCGACGTCGTTGTTATTTCACACCTGAACTTTATTAGTCTTTCTAAAATCAATAAGAAGCTTCTAAAAAAACTATACGAAGTGGATTTAGGACTTCCACTGATTTCTTCAAAAAAACTGGAAAAAGAACTACTGTGATCTGAAAGATACTGAATTGCAGCTCTGCACATAAATTGCCATATCTTCCTTTATTTGCTAGTTCTGATATCTGAAATTTCTTTTCCATTTTTTATTTTGATTTTTGCAATTTCAGAGTGGATTTGGCCCGATTCCGAGTGAAAGATCCAAACGAGTGGCTTGTGGATGATGTGGTCGCATGGATGCTGGATATTGCCAAAAGGCATAACATCCCATTCGAAGAGATGAATATGCATAGGGTAGGCCTCCAAATTACTCTTTTTTGCTTCGAAATTTTTTTGCTAATCTTAGCTCCGCAAAATTCTGATTATTTCGTAAAACGAGCCAGTTTTTCTTGTTGCAGTTTGCATCCTTGACCGGCCAGCATATGTTGGTGATGTCTGAGAGAGATTTCATCGACCGAGATCCCACATTTGGCCCTCTGATCTTCAACGAGTTCAGAAAAGCAAACAGCAACACTGGTTAGTTTTTTCTACCATTTTATCCAAATGTTGAAAAAACTGTCCACTTTCTCTTTCAAAGTTTTTCCACGTCATTGCTTGCGACCAAAGTTCTGAGCTGTTACCTGGACAACCAAACGGCTCGATTATAAAAGAACTTTCGTTTATCTCTGCACTTTGGTCATTGAGAGCTAAACATTACGTGCATAATCTCGTCAAATGTCGGATTCTCAGTTAGACTTGGATTTGGCGGCTGTTAGTAAACGCGGGATTAGGAAAGATTATTAGAATTAGTCTAGTAGCCATTAATAAAGTAGAATTTTTTTTTCAGAGAAGTCAGTTTTAAGTTACACTTGGACTTTTGATAGGTTTTTTGAAACACTATTCGATCGTATAGATGACATTAAACCACAATAGTTTAGTTCTGAAGATATCTTGCGGCATAAAAACTCAACATAATGCTTTAGAAGACACTCTGATTGATGACTACATGAAAAATCACCCTTCGGACGAGGAGACGACCTCGCTGCCGACGACGTCCGTCGACATCAAGCCTTTGCAGCCATTGGTCACGCTCCCTCAAAGAGTGCCACCACAGCATCCACACCAGCCGACCTGCATTCCCCAGAACATGCAGCAACAGCTCAACAATCACCTGAGCTCGTTGACGCAGGTTCTGACGCAAGCTTCTTTCAATCAAGGACTCCTGAACTCTCACAACGCCGTTCAAAGTCTCAATCAGTCTTTAGCGTCCAGTCTTGCTGCTGGTCTGACCACTGGTTAGTTCGGAAACTACAGTTTCTTAAATGAAAAAGCACAGGTTTAGGCCTGAGTCCGATGAGCTTGGGACTTCTTCCGAATGGTCTCAGCCCTTCTTCTCCATTGCTTTCTTCTCAGCTTCAACAGCCAAAAATTTCCCCGATGCCGGCTGACATGATGAAGTACAACCCTGGCAGTGTTTCTACTGATTACGACGGTTAGATTGCAGAAAAGTGATCATTTTCAATCATTTTTTCCAGCCTGCGAAGACAGACAGAGTATAGACAAAATCAAAAAGAACAAAGACGGGAAGCCGCGCAAGAGGTCACAACATACGAAAGGAAACAAGCTGTGGGAGTTTATCCGCGATGCGCTCAAAGATCCATCAACCTGCCCTTCCGTCGTACGGTAGCGTTTACCTGTAAGCAGCCAAAGTACACATTTCATGTTTTTGCAGATGGGAAGACCCAATTGAAGGCGTTTTCCGAATCGTCGAGTCTGAGAAACTTGCTAGATTATGGGGAGAAAGAAAAAACAACACTAAGATGACTTACGAAAAGCTCAGCAGAGCAATGAGGTAATAGCAGTTCTGGCAATTTGCTTAGCTTTTCATCTTGCTTCATCGATCTGTAACCCATAACAAATACGTGATCCTACTTCTTCCTTCTAAACTAAAACTCACTCAGTCTCCTTAACACCACTCCTCGCATGCTCTAATCGTTTGTGCCGAAAGAAATGCCAATATCAGAGCCGTCAAGTTCAGAATTTTAGAAAATTCTCCTTTTCTAGCGGATATTGACGTATTTTTATTAACATGTGTGTTTGACGCTAACTTCTCTTTATTCTGAAAACAAGAGCCATACCTGAATGAAAGATCCATGCATTCTTACCTTGCAGGACCTACTACGAGAAGCAAATACTTGTGCCGGTTCCAAAAACCGGTCTCTACCCTAAAAAGCTGGTTTACAAGTTTGGTCCTGGGGCTCATGGCTGGGACAACGTCAAAGAAGAAATGCGTTAAACGCGGTTGGTTTTTCTTTGAATCGGCAACACCGAAAATCATGAAAATGACAACTTTATTATTGGAAATTGCATGGAAAACTGCTCAGAAGCATGACTCGGATTCCCATTACTTTCGCGAAAAACTTCGCGATAACAATGAAATAAAGTAACCTTGCTTTTCAACCTGGGTATCACGGTGACAAAAAAAAAGTTTCAAACTACAAGACGGGATCGGAGAGTTGAAAAAAAAAATACTTCTAAGTTTCTTCTGGGAACAACCAAAAAAAACCAGCCAATCACTTTTCAGTTTATTTTGCGTTTCAAAATAGAAACAGATCTTCTGAAATTTATTCATATTTTGACTAAAGATGCCAAAAAGATGTCGAAAAATCTATGCAATTAAAGAGGGTATTCTCAAAAAGAAGGAGCATAACAAAAAAATAAATGACATACAATAAAAAAACTTTCATCTCTGAAAGTTTCAAATTAGCGATTTTGTATAAATTTCTCAGACTGTGGTTTAGGAAAATTTATTGTGAATCTGAGAAGTTTTCGAAACAAATAGAGACATCAAAATGTTTACAGGTACTACTACAATACGAAGATCTTGCTACCGGTGTCTGGTCGTCGATTAGTGTACAAATTTGGGCCGTCGGCGCGAGGCTGGGCGTCGGACGAGACGCCTATCTTCTACCCTTCCTCGTACAGCTCAGAAGAGTCGGACGACGAGCAGGAGACTTCTGATGGCTCCGGCTCGGCTCCGAACTCCAATGACTTGCTCCTACCATTCCCTTCTACGTTTTCTGAATTCCCGGTCTAGTCCTATCCTTTGATCTCTATTTTTTCCTTTTCTCTTTCTCTTCAAACTCTGGCAGACAAACTATCAAAAACAAGCTCAAAAAGTCGACTTGGTGATTTCTCAACACTTTCTGGTTTGTCAGAGATGGGACTCCGCTTTTCAACCAAATCTTTCAGTTAGAATGCATTTGAAGTTATTTCCTCGATTTCCTTCCTCAGTACAACGACTTCCTGTTTTTCTTCTTTCTGTACTTCATCGAACATCCTCGTCTCAATGATTCGCGTGCAATATTGTTTCTATTATTTCGATAATTAGTTTTTTTCTCAAGTTAGCGGTAGAAAATACGGAGACGTTTATTTGTGCGCGGGATGTCATTTGAACCGTTCTTTTGTTCCATTAGTTGTGCACAGTAGAATCAAAATGAGAGAGCGTTCATTTCCATTTCCTATCTCAGCCGTCAAAACTCTTCTGCTGACTATTTTTGAAAATGTATAAAGTTTCACCGAAAAACGATTATATATAATATTTATTGTTAATCATTTACAGATTCGTGATTGTTGCAACTTTGTACTTTTCGACTTCTTTTCAGGAAAACCAGTAGAACAGATCGCTAGCGCTCGTTAACAGTGTCCCTCGAGATTGTCCAAACCGTTTTCCTCTGCTGTTTTCTCTAGCCTCTTTTCTCTCGGTTATTCAATTATTTTAGCACTCCTAAATGCTGTAGAATATTTTTTATTCACACGTATTCCACATAAACTTTTCTCGGGTCATAGCAATCCATTTTCTTTCTTCGAAAAAAACTTTGTTCCTACTTGCAACCTTGAAAATCCTCTATTTCCATTCCTTCTTCTTGTTCTTCTTCTGTTACTTCGTCAAATATTGTCATTTAATAAAATAAATATGGTGAAAAAAGTTTATACCAAGAGGGGAAATCGAAACATAGCAGTCGAGAAACACGTAAAAAATGATCTACTCGTAGAATCTAAACCGAAAAGTGACAAAGTAATACAAAAGGAAATCAAGTTTGCCGTCAATGTACAGAACACATACTCTAAAATTGTAGCAAAATGAAAAATCAAGCGAGAAATGACAAGAAAAGCTCTCAGGAAATTTATGCAAAACCCGAAACTTTGAAAAGATTGGTGGATTGATACCTAGGAACGCGTTGACAAACGAATCAGTAATAATGTTGCTCTGCAGCATGTCTGTAGGAGTCGGCTCTACAAAATTATTCAGTTATTCAATTAAACTTTTTTTCTGATGTTTTGAAAAGTTGATCGAATTGAAAACTGGATGCTTTTTGTTAAAAAAGGAATTAATTTAGAAACTTAACAGAAGTCTTTTTTTCGTATTTTACACTTTTTGATTGCGTGTAGTTGCACAAATGGAGTGTAGGACAAAAGCGCCGATTCCAAGAGCGCCGTTCAAATTGAGCGCCGGTCCGCACTGCGCCGTCGCGTGTAAGCGCCGTGTATGCAGACGCCGTTTCTTTTTGCGCCGATTCCGTTTGCGCCGAATCGTTTTTGCGCCATTATTCTGAACTTTCATTTTTTTGCTTTTTTTCTATTATTTTTCCATTAATTGTGTAGTACAAATTCATATACGACTCGAATAATTTTTCGCGCCATCTGTCAATTTTGAGTCTTTCTGCCACTTTTTTTCGAAAAATACGCGGATTATTTTTTTCAAGCAAATGAGTTAATCATGACTGAAAGCCGTTCTCTCACAGTTTCGCGACTGCTAGATTTCAAACTGCCGTATCTCGGCCAGAAAGTTTTAAACTTTACAAATAAATCAAGTTTTTTTATTATGTCAATCTATACTTTTTTTATTTATTCACTTTTTTTAATTCAGAGTCTCTGAAGTTCAGAGAACCATTGCTGCTTTTTTTATTAATTATTTTTTTGCGATCGGAGAAGTATTGAAAATATAATTGCAAAAAACTTTTTTTTACCTAGAATGGACGAAGATGAAGATGTTCAACAATGTCTGAACGAAGTAGTGGAAAAAGTTTGCCACGACGAGGTACTTGGTTTACCGGTATGTCTCAGACCAAATGGAAATTTTCGTGTTATCAAAAACCTGATTCACGTTTTTTTTTATTCTGATATCAGTTCAGGACATGGAAGATGAAGACGATGAAGAGAATGGAGAAATTATAGCTTCCGGGTACATTGATTTGGGTGAATGGAGAAGGTTTTTCGAAAAACTCAGCTCAAAATAAAAATATTGTTTTGTCACAGAGTTGTCGGTGAATACAACCTGAAAAATGGCTTATACATATGGAAGCGGGAACCATTGACCAACCTATCATCGACCAACGGGTATCATTCGAAAGGCAATTCCAGGAAACTTTTAAATTCAGTTCTTACTCTAACAGTGGAAATGCCGTTTTTGAAATTGAAGATACTTTCTACAGTCCAAAAAGGGTCCGGAAAACGGATAATGTTACTGTCTGCAGGTTTTTTTTAAATTTCTGAGGCTCATTAAAATCATATCTCAGATGCTCCGTGAAGAACTGTCGTTCCAAACTTTTCATTCACGACCTGAGATACGAAGTAAAAGGTCTCTGCAATCACGGGATCCTACCAGAATGGAAAAGGGTATTTTTTGTTATCTTTTTTTTTTTTGCACAGTACGAATTCAGAAAAAAATTAATAATAATAATAATTTAAAAGTTTTTAGATCCGTTCTTTCCTACGAAACGCAAAAGTCCAAAGAGCTTCTGGCGTTCCCGTAGCCACTTGTGTGTCGAACGTTATCTTGAAATGCTCTGACGAAGAGCTTCAAATTGTACCGTCGAAAGCAGCAATGCGGAAGCAAGTTCAAAGACCAATGGAAACTAAATATTTTCGAGGATTACATGACAAAATCGATTGGTCATCATTCCGTAAGAATTTCATTAGATTTTTTTTTTCAATTTTATTTTGTTTCAGATTGCTGGTACTACGACTCAATAGATGATGAGGATTTCGAACAATCAAAGAGGCTACTGATTTTTCGAAACGATTCGGTTGAACCATTCCGTGATATGGTAAAACATGTTTACGCGGACGGAAAATTTCTTCTGAAGAGTGGATACTTTTCACAGTTGTACGTTATCGTGGCTGAAGTTTAGAAGTTATGAATTCCGCGTTTTTCAATCGATTTTTTTCAGGTCACACACATAAACATTCCTCTTTACAGTGCTTTGTTATCAGACAAAAAGTCAACCTACTTACGAAAAAAATTGTTTGCAAAAAAATTAGAGAAGATGGCTTGAGCCCAGATTTGGTGTCTATGGGTAATTTTTTTTTCTTCCATAGGAAAAATAATGAGCTGTTCAGATTTCGAGTATGCAGCTAGAAACGCAGCGAAAAATGTCCTTTGGTTCAAAAAAATCGCTTATTGTCGTTTTTCACTGGGTGCAGCTGATTCGAAGAAAAAGCCAAAAAAACTAAGTAAAATTTTTGCGATAAAACTTTCAATAAACTAAATATTGAACGATGAAACATCGAAATTTCAACATTTTTGCAGAGGTTTGGAAGGCACTGAAGTCAAAGGCCGGTATCGTTTTTATGGCGAAAAAGTAATGGCTTTGGCATTCCTCAAGGAAGAAGACATTAAAAGTGCTGGAAACACTATTTGCGACGATATCCTCTCGTTCGGAGAAGGAAAAAGCGACAAATTCAAAGGTTTATTCTCTGAAAAAAAACAATATGTATTTTTCCATTCCAGAATTCACGCAGTATTTGAAAAGATACTTTATTGGTGACAACGGTTGGGACCCTGTTTTTCATATATCCGAATGGGAATGCCGGACAAAGGTTATTAACCATGAGAACACAACGAATAACCCCGCGGAAGTCAACTTTTCAAGCTTCAGCGTAAGAAAATATAAAAAAAAGGACATAATCATCAATTCAGTTGCGAATCACAAAAACCATGATGAGGTTCCCATCTATTATAATCCGAGATTGCTTAAAACGTCAAGAAGAGACTACGAAGAATTTCATTATGGAAACTTTCCAGAAGAGAGTTCGTAGTCCTTCACGCCCTTCATTATATAGAGATCGAAATTTCGTCTCATGCGTTGCTGAAGACTACAAAGACGTTGGAACACAGCTTAACAACATCTCGCATTTTTTTCGTTAAAAAGAAAAACTGAACTGATTTTTTTGTTTTTTTCTTTCTGTTTCATAAAATGCGATATTTGCTGCCGTTTGGGAAAAATCCCTCTCAATTTTTTTGACATCTCCTTCATCTTCCATCAATATCTCTCTTTTAAATTTCCACCCTATCATTCCTTTCTTCACGCTGTTGTTTATTTTTTTTTTTGAATTTGTTTACATGATATTTTAAAATGAAACGCTCCGAATGCGATAGTTGAGTTATTTTATTTTTTTGTTTGAAACTTTCTGGCCGAGATACGGCAGTTTGAAATCTAGCAGTCGCGAAACTGTGAGAGAACGGCTTTCAGTCATGATTAACTCATTTGCTTGAAAAAATAATCCGCGTATTTTCGAAAAAGTGGCAGAAGACTCAAAATTGACAGATGGCGCGAAAATTATTCGAGTCGTATATGAATTTGTACTACACAATTAATGGAAAAATAATAGAAAAAAAGCAAAAAAATGAAAGTTCAGAATAATGGCGCAAAACGATTCGGCGCAAACGGAATCGGCGCAAAAAAAGAAACGGCGTCTGCATACACGGCGCTTACACGCGACGGCGCAGTGCGGACCGGCGCTCAATTTGAACGGCGCTCTTGGAATCGGCGCTTTTGTCCTACACTCCACAAATGATTCAGGTTTGGAAAATTCTTGTTTCTGAGCTTTTTTTTTTGAGATAGTTGGAATTGTTCGGTGATAAATACCTGAGATCTTCATAGGAGTTGGCCATAGGACTGTGATCGAGGTGGACCACCAGCCTTTCGACCACTAGTTTTGCCTCGAACTTTTCAAAGTCGCGAGAGTAGGACAGTATATAAGCGACGATTGAGAGAGCCATTGACCATTCGGCAAATGCAGAGCGCACGTGGTAGTTGTATCCCTGAGTTGTATTTATTGAGAAAGCGTATTTCAGTTATTTTTTTCATTTTGAACGCTTGGCGGTTGAAAATGGTATGGCCAAAAAAGTGGAAACTAAGAAATGTTTTTTGCAGATTTCCTAAGAACGACAAATAAAAAGTCTATCGAGATGAATAAAAGGGAAAAGTCTACAATTTTTCTGCGCCAGAACTGTCTACTTTTTAAATTTCAGAGCCGGTGATTCTATATTTTCCTATGCACAAAACTTTGACTAAAATCTTCAAATTGAAGTTTGTTTTGGTCTGTTCAAAAAATCCAGGGTCATTTAATAGAAATTCACCGGCTGCCACATTTTGCTTGTCCAAGGACGTGGAGTCGGAAGATTCGGGTAATACTGGTGGAAAACGTGAGCCGCGTACCAACCGAATGAGACGGCTGAAAATTGAGATTAGAATTGTAAAAAAAATGCAGATAGTTTTGAAATTTGCCAAATTTGAATTCCCAAGAATTTGAGCATTTTTTCCTGATAATTTTTGAACAGTTCCTCGTTTTCTTGTGAGAAAAATCCAAATTCAATTTTTTTTTTGCTCAAAAAAGAAGAAAAATAAACCTGTGAAAAAGCAGACGGTTCCGAAAAGAGCGAGAGCGAGCCGAATGTATCCGATTTTGCGATTGGCGTACGAAGGATGCATTTTAATTGTGATGAACGATTGGAGAAGCATGTAGATACAGGATCCAGCAAAAGTTACACAAGCCGCTAACAAGTGGACAGCAATGACGGCTGTTTCCTAAACCAGGTTCTCATGATTGTCGAGTTTTTTTGAGCTAAATTTTTTGAAATACTTTTTCCTCGAATTTTGTGGCCAGTTCATTCACTGCGTGATATATTTATAAGACCCCTCTGATTATTCCATTTTACCAGTTTCTCCACTCTCCAACAACTTTTTCTCCGCATATTCTTGGTTTTTATCACCAGAATGAAAAAATTGGATAAAAACCGCCCTCTAATTATAAAAACCCTTGAGAGACATATTTTTCAAAATAAGAGCATCCCCATAAATCATTAAAACTAATTTTTTATTTCGATAGAACTTATGAAGTATTTTTCTGTTTTTTTGGAGCCTTTTTTTGAAATATGTTAACTAAGGTTCATTCTTATATTTGAGAAAAAAACGTAAAATGTTCATATCCAAAAAAAGTAAGCAACGTTTTTTTCTGGTTTTTTTCTTTGATGAGAAACTTTAAGAAACTGAAAGTTTCTTTTTTCACGGAGAAGTAAAATTAATACTGATCCAATATATCCCAGAAATGAGTTCATTTATATTTTCATATTTAGAAAAAACTTCACCTGAAAATTGGCAACGATAAACATTCCGAAAGCACCAAGCAACCCGAAAAAAACAGCGAAATTTTATTGATAATCAGAAGAAAACGTTCTTCTTCACTGAGCATCCGCTTCACAAGTTCGCTTCTAAAAGTTTATTTTTTGATGGATTAAAAAGTAGAGACTGGGATCTAATTTGCTGGATGATAAAACATTAATTAGGATTGAGAAATTTGTACAATTTTTAGTTATGAATGTCTCAGGGCTCTTTAGACAATGAACATGGCCGCAGACTATTGCAAAATTGTAAAACTTTGGAACGCAGAGCAACCGCAAAAACTGGAGCTTTTCTCTACATTTGTGGCATCTAGAAGCAGGAAAAAAAGTAATTCTCTTTGATTTTGTAGTATTCATCGTTCGGAAGAAGAAAAACGATACCTGAGCAAAATAATCAAAGCCGACAAAGCAGAAGATATGTTCAGCAAAGCGCTGAAGAAACACGACTCCGGACGGTGGTCGGCCGCAGCCGAAACGTAAGGAAATAATGGATCCACATCTCCTCGCACAACCGCCACGATGTAAGTAAAAGCTGAATTTTTTCTTGTTGAACCAGATCAAGCAATGATAAAATTATGCAATTTTTTTTTGATGTTCTGAATTTGCAAAAGATTTTTTTGCTTTTGGAAGTTTCAGGCCGCATAATTCTCTATTTATGAATTAAACACCCCTAAAAAAATCAAAGAAAAAAACGTGATGAACTTTTTAAAATTGATAAATTTGTATCTCTGAGTTTTTCTTTTTCTGGAAACTTTGAAAAAGAACTGTGTCAGTTAAAACATCCCTTAAATTGTGTTAAATATTATTTTTTTAAAAAAATAACTGGTAATTTATAGAACAAACTCTTTTATTAACTATAAATGTATACAAACAACTAAATTTTTGAAATCAAAAACTCACCGAGGTTAATGACGAAAACTATAGCGAAGATCACTGGTAGATGGCCGGACTTGAACAACGGATGATACAAACAAAGCATATCTGTAAAAATAACTTGAGAGTAGAATTCATTAAAAACCAACTGATGAGCAACGTGACCAGGTTCCTGAGAAAAACAGTGATAAATAATACGAGATTCGAGCGCGTGCAATGAATGGCGTCGGTCGCAACGCACGCGCGCAATATTCTGCATACCGCAAGTTATCGGTTTAATTACTTTTTTCTCGCAATTATTATAAGGTCAGTTGCACGATTATCCGTTTTTAAAGTATATAATTGAATAGGCCATGTTTTATTCTATCTGATACATTAGTTTCCTTATTTTTTCTTCAAACTTTTGGCTTTGTCTTTTTCTTCTAAAAATGGTTTTTTTTAGTTAACAGGGATATCTTAAATAGGGAATTGCGCGGATTCTTGTATGCAAATCAAGTTTAGCTTGAAATCTCAAGCAAAAACTACCAAAAACCAAGACGATTGTCTGCTTATTCAAATCAGGTACTGAGAAGAAAATTTCCGGAATTTGGCAAGCTTCAAAACTTCTGAAAGGAGGGTTTTCCGTCACCAAACATAGAATTTATTCATTGATTAAAAAAATTTGATTCTAAGGAGTGTCCTTAAAATGTTCAAAGCCTTCTAAAGATGTGGTCTATTAAAATTTCTTCAGTGTCTTATACAGTTTTTTTCTAGTTTCAAAGTAGATAACTTTTTCTGATTATTCTTTTTCATGTTGAAGAAAAAAAAAAGAGGCCAAAAGTCGGGATCTTTAAAAGGCAGAAGCTGAGATTTCATGGATGTGATAAGAAAAACCTATGTATTTCAAATGAGCAACCCAACGAGAAGGTTTCAGCAGACTTTGAATTATTACCATCACAACTGAAGGCTAAAAAGCCATTCCTGCCTCGCCTTCCTGGTGACAAAATAAATGTGAATAAAAAAGAACTTTCTTTTGAGTAATTTAGAACGGCATAAAAACATTGCATTTGAAAAATAGTTCGTTCATTCGATCATCGAAAATGGTCATCAAGACTCAAAGCCTTATCATTAAATCCGATTTCGTATCAAAAAGTAAGAAACACTGGATGGCACGCGAGTTCTCTTCAATCACTCGGAGTAGTGCCAAATTTATTTCCCGTTCCTGCTTAAAAAATATTTTCAGTAATAACTGGTGAAATGTTTCAATATTTACTAAAAACCTGATAGAGATCAAAGAAAAACGAAGGAAATATTTTTATTTTGCTGATCATAGTCGCTTCATATCTGCCGTCGGTTTTTAAGAAAAAAGTTTCTTTAAAACAGTGAAATTGTTAGGAGTTTGTAAGATTGTACTCTGAGAGTTTTTGCTTTCAGATTCCTGCAAATTTTTTATTTCTGCTCTATTCAAAAAATGGCGATTGAAAGTCACCAAAAACTTCCATTTCTTTGCACATTCCATAGCGCACAACCCCGAGTTTTTATAACTGGAAAAACAGACGAATATTAGATTTTTTGTGATACCAAGTAGAAAAAACCTCAAAGTACATTTTAGCGAAAGTTGACTACCAAAAACTTTTGATTTTGAAAATATATTAGTTAGTATGATTCAGACTGCTCTTCGGGGTTTTTTAATTTCATTTTTCATAATCATTGTATTTTGAAGAAAACCAATCTCTCGGAGAGAAGTGTTCTTGTGCATTGTTTGGCATATTGTTTGCATACCCCTTCTATTGAAGAAAATTTCCCGAAATGACCTAGTTGGCTAAAATTTTTTCTTTTCAAAATGAATGAAGAAGATTTTTCATTTGTATGAACACTGTAAGCAGCAGTTTGATTTCTTTCCTAGTGGGGATAAACCTTTCAGAACCAAAAATCCTTAAATGTTCGACAACGGGGCTTTGAAGTTAGTCCTTTAGTCGGATCAGTGAGAAACCATTATAAACTTGCTACAGTATGAATGTTACTTTATAACCATTTTTATTTGATAAGCAACAAAATGCATTTCTTTAGAACCACCTTCATAGTTTCATTCGTTAGAGGGCTTCCGATGACAGAAATTTTTTTCATTACAGTATGCAGTTTACTCAAAACAAAAAAGGTATAATTTTTTTTTAGGTTGTTTGAGAAAGCAAGGATATCCCCTCTGAAGAAAATCTCTGAAAGCTCCAAGAATGATGACTCTCGACTCTTCAAAAATCAAAGGAAAGCCTTTTTTCCAGTCTCGAAACTCTCGGAAAACTTTCAAAGACCTTTTTGATATTACTCTTCAGATTGTTTTTGAATAGGTAAGAATAACAGGTCATTCATGATTTTTTCCATAACCTGTCTCATTTTTTTACATGATTAAGCGCTGATGATCGAAACGTTCGAAAATTGTCTACTAATGTCAAAGGAAGGACGAGATGCTCTACACGCCATTGCTGATCAACGACAGCTCCGCGAACCGACAAACAACTCTTCTATGATCCCATGATTTAGAAGAGAATCTTCTCTGGAGACTGAATAATTTTGTAAATGTGTATGTATTTTCACTCTGTAGATTTTTAATATCAAAAAAAGTGCAATCAACGACTTTATTGGTTCACCGGAGTTTGAAAACAAAAATCTTTCGCAATACACTTCCGATCAGCAAATATGTAGGAATATTTCAAGAAACGATTTAAAACGAGAGCAAATGACGCAACTTGTTTTTCAAGACTGCTCAACAAAGGAGAATCGTTAATCTGGTGTTATTTCAAGTCAGAATACTCATAGAGGGTAAAAAAGTCGTTGATGGGAAAAGGGTAACTTCATTTTACATGAAATAGGGTCACAATAAACGACTAGACTTGGTTTCAGCGAGACAAAAACCTCAGCTATTGGTATCCAGTCGAACTATAAGCAATTTTTTTCTAGAAATCTCTGCTTCAACAATATTTTACAGTGAACATCACAACACGGTTTAGAAAAAACAGAATGTTCGTTTTACAGGTCTTCGTTTTTTTTTTTCTAATGGTTCCAGGGTTATTTTTAATACAAGTAGGATGATTACACGGTTCAGACACGAACAAGTATGCGAATCGGCGGGAATTTCGATGAAAATTTGAATTTATTGGTTATTGCTCCACACGGCTTCATCGCCTAATGTACCGTATACACCCTGAAGGACTCATTTTCATCAACTTCTTCATTTTTTGCCGTCCTTTTGGGTGTATAGATTTGGGTCTAAGCGGCTTGAAGTCAAACATCAACCTCTTTACACACAAACAAAAAATGTAGATTTGAGATCGGTGACCGAAAAATACGTTTAGAGTGACAGGGTGGTGCAAACAAGACTCACTCAAAAATGAACGACGACAGACATGCAGATGTACAGTAACAGGGAGAACGGTTAATATTTATGAACGCAACAGAATCAATGGAGACGATCGGAGTCACTGCTCGCTGACAAGAGTCTTGGTGCCTCCGTAGGCCAGAAGACGAATGTAGAGGCCTTCGCGGGCCGTCTTCTTCTGCTGCTGGACGAGAGCAGCTTCGCAACCCAGGAAATCGACTGGTTTTTCGTTGCTGAAGTCCGGAATGTTGGCCAGCACACACATCTGGTCTTCCTTCATGTTCTTCTGGAGCAACTGAAAAATCAAATTGAATAAAGTTACAAGAAGTTGAGCTCACATCGAAGAGCTCCAAGTCCAGTTTCTCAACGGCCACGTGTACAATCGTCTTCCCGGTGGTGCTTTCCTGAAATTACATTTTTCAAAATTATTAAAATCGAAATGAGCTGTTTCTCAGCACTCATTAGTGTCTATTCATAAATGCTCTCTGTATTTTATTATTTTCGAAGTTGATATGTTGATTTTTGAATAGTTTGCATTAATAAACGTTTGAATATTTTTTCAGCTGGTGGCAATCGAAAATTCAAAATTTATTTTATGTGAAGAGTAATAACATGAAGTTCGTAACATCGAACCAGTTACATTTTATAATTTCATCTTTTTGGAAGGCTCCAAGAAATCGCTCTGACGAATTTCAGTATCACAGACAAAGATTATCAAATCATGAGAACTTGAGAAACGATTGCTTTTAAATGAGATTCTCATGACATTTTTTTTTGAATTTGAACTTCTCACCAAAAATAATTGGTTTTTGAATGTGTTTTTCAAAATTATATTTTCTCATGGTTTCTTGAACCATTTTTTTAGTCGAAAACATGTTTTGATGATATCATAATTTTTTTCTTTGTGTTTCATCATTTTCAATCGTAAAAAAAACGTGAATTTATTCATTGGAAGTTTGACAAAAAAATGTCCAAATGTCTGTATATTTTTTTATAGTTTAGATTCGAAATTCCGTGTCCCTATCGAACTTGCGCACAAAATGAGTCAACGCAAGTCGCCAGATCTTGTTTATTTGATTTTCTCAACGGCGATCCGTGCGAGTAAGGAGCAAAAGACTTTCTTTGCCTTAAGGCAAACAAATCGCCGAGGGCATACGGTGACAGGCGGCGCGACGGTACGCCTCAAACACTCAAACAAGTGGACGTTGGCCGTACCCTTTGACTGAGACATTTTCAGCACCAAAGTTGCTTTCCTAATCCTTCCGGAGCACTTGATTGAGTCCGAACTTTTTCAAGTAGAATGATGATGTCATGACCGTGAGAAAATATGTTGTTTCATTCACATGACGAAGTTTGAGTTTATTTTTGAGCTCTCAAAGACTTTTTTCGACTTTTTAAAAAACCAGAAAGTCTCTCCCGGTTGTTCAGAAGCTCAAAAAAACCCGATAATAAGTTCATAAATCCCAGTTCTCTCCATCGCGTGGGACACGTTATAATTTTTCTTCTTGAAAAAATAACTACAGCAAACATCCACTTGGATTGTCATTTTAAGAGCCTTGTAATTGCAGGTTTTCGAACACTATCGAACCTTTTTCAATCGGTTTCAAAAAACAGAACCTTCCGGTCCTCTTTTTTGGTATAGATTTCAAACTTACAGCGATAGTTGGATCAGCTCCAGCGCGCAGAAGGCTGGCGATGACCTCAGAGTTGTCGATGACTTGCTGGGTAGGCTCGTCGATGATTCCATGGTTCTTGACGGCACACATGAGGGCCGTCTGGCCACGAGCGTTCAACTCGTTCAACTTGACGCCATGCGCGCTGATCAACAGCTGAAAATGCGATACTTATAACTGACATAATTTTTCTTTCAAACCTCCAATACTTCGGACATTCCGCGTGAGGCAGCGTAATGCAAAGTAGTATCACGGTCTCCACGGGTTGTTTGAACGTTGGGATCAGCTCCGATCTCCAAGAGATAGGCCACGACCTGAAAGTGAATGAGATTTAAACTGAAAAGATCGGGAACGCTTAGCGTTATTCTTCAAAAAAAAAAAAAAAATTTTGCGACTTTCAAGAAACGGGTAATTTTTTTGTGTAAATGTTGAAACGCTCTATTAGTTTTCTTTTTTACTTTCAGCGTTGGTGATTATTATCACTAAGATGCTTCTTTCAATGTATTTATAGGAATCTAAATGGAAAAATTGCAAAATTCACATAAAGCCAATGAAGAGTGTTTTCCGCATTTTTTTTTGTTGATAATTTTTAGTTTTCTTCTCTCCAGTTTCCTGACGCTTCTCAGCAAATAAATTGAATAAGACAATCAGCATGGTCTTCGATAATTAGTTGATTCTTCAAAATATAACGAAACCCATTACATGGAATGTGGGTTGAGAGCCAACATCACGTTTTTAATTAAAGCAGGATTCTGTTGGATTGACATTCTTATTAAGCCAAAAAATCAGAGTGCTCATGGCATTTCCATGAGAGGATGTGATTCATCCGAATTATCCAGCAAATCGCAAGCTTTTCCCTCAAACAAGGAAATTCGACAATTCTTGATACCCTCCCACAAGTTTGATCACAGACACTGCTTATAGCTTTTTCTTTTTGAAAGAACGTTGAATTCCTTAGAACACGCAAGAATGATGTTGTTTTTGCTTCTGTTTTCAATATGACGTTTACTCTTCCGAAAACAAAATTTCCATACCAAACACATGGAATGACATACAGTACTGGCCATAAAGGTATTTCAAAGTGGTTATTCGAGCATAACTTCTCTGAAACTGACTCAAATGACTTGAAACTTCGCACAGATTTTAAATAGCTACGCAGTAACTATTTCTCAAAAGGAGAACTCATTTGTTCAAGTCAAACAGGATTTGAGAGCAAAAAACCGAAAATCGTGAAAATGAAGATTTTACTTTAGAGATTCGAAAAATCATATCTTCAAAGAAACTTCGATTTTCAATTAGAAACTTTTTTCCCCAGTAAAACAAGTCTTCGACTTTCCGAAAAACCTCATCAGCCCCCTATCAACCCGGTAGCATGAGCGTAGTGACTTTTTCTCCGAAAGGCCTTTGCGTTTTGAAGCCTCGTCATTCAAATGGACTATACGAGGTCATTTTTGTTTGAGAACACCCTGTATCATGTTGAAAAACTTCAAAACCTCCTCAAGAATAGTTTCACACTGTTTTCCTCAGCTTTCTCACTTTACCCGCTCTTCAGAACTCACTAACTTCTCTGGGACCGATTTTGAACCTCTGATTTGAAGCGGTTATGCTCGTTTTTCAAAATCAGAACACTCTCGATTTCTCATTTCAGATTCCAAAGCTTTTCCAAAACCTTAATGAATGAAAATAAAAGGAGACTCACTGTGTTTCGCTTACTTATTCAAAAGATATAGTGAGTTATAATGAGTTCCTCCAAGTTCTCAAAACTCCGTTTAAGCAAGTGTTGCTTAGAAGGCTCCAAATCTTGTGAAAGATGATAAAAACCCCTTTTTCATATTTTTAAATGTTTTAGATCATTAGATAAATTTGTAACTCCTCTTCCTAGCTCTCAGATAGAAAATAGGCACTGTAAAATGTTTCTTTAAATCTTATGGAAAATAAGTTTTTGGTCTTGTGAAACTAATGCTTCAGCAAAAAAATTAGCAGTCTTTAGAAAGTAGGAGCCTGCAATTTATTCATTATTTATTTTTCGATTTCACGATTGAAAAAGCGACTGATCAGATAAAAACTCCTTTGAATGCCCGAAAGTCCAGAAAAACTGTCTCGAATCAGAGGTTCAAAAATCGGTCCCAGAGAAGTTAGTGAGTTCTGAAGAGCGGGTAAAGTGAGAAAGCTGAGGAAAAACAGTGTGAAACTATTCTTGAGGAGGTTTTTGAAGTTTTTTTCAACATGATACAGGGTGTTCTCAAACAAAAATGACCTCGTATAGTCCATTTGAATGACGAGGCGTCAAAACGCAAAGGCCTTTCGAAGAAAAAGTCACTACGCTCTTGCTATCGGGTTGATAGGGGGCTGATTAGGTTTTTTAGAAAGTCGAAGATTTGTTTTACTGGGGAAAAAAGTTTCTAATTGAAAATCGAAGTTTCTTTGAAGATATGATTTTTCGAATCTCTAGAGAAAAATCTTCATTTTCACGATTTTTGGTTTTTTGCTTTCAAATCCTGTTTGACTCAAGCAAGTAAGTTCTTTTTCTGAGAAAATGTTACTGCGTAGCTATTTAAAATCTGTGCGAAGTTTCAAGTCATTTGAGTCATTTTCAGAGAAGTTATGCTCGAATAACCACTTTGAAATACCTTTATGGCCAGTACTGTAGTTTGGCTCGATTTTCAACGAAAGACTGAGGAACAAACCTCAGGGCTGCGCTGCACGACGGCGACGTAGAGCGGCGTCTCGTGGAACTTGTTTTCTTGGTCAAAAGGTTTCTGCTCGTTGTTTCGCTCCATCTTGCGCATTTGTTCACTCAAAGCGTAGATTTTGCCCAAGTCCATATGAGCCACAACAATGTGAAGAAGAGTGTCGCCGTCGGCGTCGCGGAACGTCAAGGCTCCTGGGGCGCACTGAAAAAATAAGAAAAATAGAAAAAAGAGAATACAAGAAAGCTCAGAGCCGCGCCGCACAGAATGAATTCTTTCGGAATTCGAGAGAAGAAATAGGGAGCGTTGCGTGTCAATTTGATTAAAAAACCATTCAAACCATTTAAACCGTGGGAAGCTCTCGTCAACGTTTCGCATCACTGAGAGAACGAATTGAAACATATCGAGACGATTTAGAAAAATATTTTTTTTCAGTTTTTCTGTGACGCCATTTGAACTATGGAACTTTTAATAAGATTTTCGGACAAAAGATTTGAAGGGAGACAACTCTGGGATTTCGCTGAAACTCATCAAGACGTATTCTAGAGAGTTCTTGAGAAGGAAAATTCACGATTTTCAGAAGTTATCTCCTTTCAGAAACGCAATCTCGCAATAAATAGCTCGTCTCCGCTCAGTTCCGAAAAAATATCCAAACTTGTAGCTTTACATTGCCTTCGTGAAAAAGCAAAGAAACGTAGGAAAGTATAAAAGTCTAGAAGGGAAAGCGTGAGAAACAGAAAAAAACATAGTTATATTCGTCGGTTTCGTTTGATATGAGCCGTGACCAAGTAAAAACGTTGTTTGGTATTATCACAGAACACACGCACTATCTGTGATTTATAATTCGAAGGAAAGTAATATGAGAGGCGAACCTGCCACTCTCTAAAGTGTCATTCAAACTGAGTGCCAGGTTGGGCGGATATGGTTACGTGAGAAACTGAAAGATCACATCCAATAAAAATCTCGTTTTTTTGCTCGCAAAGGTGTATTTTGAGACATTTAATTAGTACTTTCACGGGTTCCAACATTTCCGAGAAGTCGAAATTAAAAAAATTAAATTAATCATCTAGAGTAGAGTCTGCAAATCCTCCGAGAGAGATTAGAAGCTGACATCAAAGAACTGAAACGGAGGTTTGATTTAAAATGACTTTCCGTCGCAAACAAAATCCAAGACTACATTTTCCAGACAAGAAAGGCGGGAGCCCATTTTGTAGCTTCATATCTCTCTATTTGGCTCCCCTACAAATGCGCAGCCACCGCTGTTCCAATCATTGTACAGCGAAATTATTTCTCAAAGGAAGAAAAATTTTGGAGGCTTACCTGAGCACAGGTAACTGCCCAATGGAATCCTTCTGCGAGTTCATTTTCTTTGATTTTTGAATGAAGACGCTGTTTGGCAGTGGAGTCTGTGGCGCTTTTGCGGGGGCTTGATCGGCTTTCAGACGGCGTTGTCGGTCCGCTGAAGCAATGTTGAGATTAGACTGATTTGAGTTTTTGAGTGTTTGAATTTTCAATTTTCGAGCGGAAAAGAAGAACACTACAGAAAAATTTCGAAACTTCTCAACTTAGTTAACTTTTTACAGATATCAGTTTTCAAAGCTTCATCCTATTCGAGAACTTTTTTTTGATGATATTCCACTTGACTTCGTTGAGCTATTAATTCTGTAGTTGATCCAAACCCAAACCATAACTTCTTTTAGAGAAAAGTATAGTAAAAAAATTGAATTTGAGCATTTAGTTGGAGCTACTTGCAATTACATGGTGCATAAATTTTCTGTTTTTGAGAAAATAAAAGTCGATTCTTCGAAATTTTTCAGAATTGGCTTTCAAAAACTGGGATTTCGAGATTTATGAGTCTTTTGTAGTTCTGTTTTGGGTCAGTAAATTCAGCAAATCTCAACCGCAAAACAAAAAGTCAGTTTTAATGCAAACAACTTTTTTCCAAAAAAATATTTAAAAAATGAATCTGACTCACTGAACTAAATGGATCAGAATTTTGTAAGCAGAAGCGGAAATCCACCAGCCCTCTACTATGAAACTCGTATCGTCCTACGTGAATGTGTGTCATATCTGCGCGAAAGCATACGGTGCCCCGCCAGAATGATTCTACGCCCGATAATGACCAAACTACATACAAAACGACGTCTCCTTGGTAACACACTCAAATATTCAGGCTTTTTTTTAAAAATATGTTTTCAAAGAAGCAATTTTGATGATCGTTACATAGCGTGTTCAAGGGTCATTTCTTCTTCGTTTCAGGGATCATGAAAATAATTCAAGTTTTTTTTTTGGATACAGGGTTTTTCACATAAATTTTATGGTCTAACTGAATGTTAACGTTTCGGTTTTGCAAAAGGATATCTGAAAAGCTCACAAAAAGGGGTTTCCTGTTTCCACTTTGGATTTTTTAAGAAAACCATTTCAGAAATCTCTTGATGGGTATTTGCCTCAAAATTTAATATTGACTTTTTTTTCCCCATTTTCATCAGTTTTTCGTCTTTGAGTTGTTTAGAAGACGAAAAAATTGTGCGGTTTGAAATCATCAAAAGCATTGCTGCGAAGGTTCAGTTGTGCCTTTTCTGTGTTTCTCATTCAGTTTTCCGGATGAATGTCACATTTCTGACCTACTGCTCCCAGTGGGAACTTGAGGACTGGCGTGCGGCGCCGAGCGAGCGGACATGGGAGAGTTGACGCCGGAGTCGGCAGAAGGAGGTCGGACTCTCGGACTGCACATCTCAGCCTTGTTCTGTTCTGTGTACTGTCGCGAGTAGGCAAGGATGAAGTCGGCGAGGGTCTCCGGCAGGTCGGACGAGTCCAGAAGACGTGTGATCTCCGCAGTGTGGTCTGAAAAGTCTTTGCTGTGCATCTCATACTATTCACCGCTGAATTATGATAAATTTTTTGAAGACATATAAGAAAGAAGGAAAGTCAAAATAGTTCATAGGAATCTTTCCAAAAAGACCGATCCATAATATGCGGAAGTTCTCGTTTATCTCCAACTTTGTTTCGCTCACTGCTCATGACCATTAAGAACGAATGAAAAATCATGAGCCTAACAACTCTAACAAAGCCATTTGTAATTTTTAAGGTTGCCTGGCCCTGACTAATCGAAGCTTATGAAAGCAGATTTTGTCTTTTCGGGAAAAAATATTTTGATTAACTGCTCTCCTCATGTGGGCGAAACAGTGATGACGCACAGTTAATTAACTTTTGAAATTGAATTCCGCGGCTTTTTCTTTTGAGGTTGATCAAATCTTTCCAAAAACTCGCTTTTTTCTTTCATAAAAAATAAAAGATTCGATGCAAGGATTTTACCTTCTGACAAATTTGAAGGCGGCGCACCACTGCGATCAGAGTAAGGACTGTGTTGTTGTGGGGATGCGGAGAGGTAGCCTTCGGAAAGCACTGTGTCTGGCGTCGAGGACGAAGAGATGTACCTAAAAACACCGGTTCATCCAGTTAGCAAACGATCCCAACAAAAAAAGTGGCAAACCGGATCGAGAAGGCCGGTGAAACTATAAAAAAAGACGCTTGAACAATTTTTGAAAAAAATTTTTTTGAATTGTTTGCAGCAGAATCGGTAAAAGAAACTTTTCACGTTGCTTGAGGCAAATCTCCAAATAGCTGATCCAAACACAAAAGGAGAAGAAATAATTTTTTTAATGCAAAATTCGATTGTTCATGCCGATCGTGGAAAAAAATATTTTTAGGGGTTTTTTCAAAACTTCTAATTTCCACAGTTTTTTTCAATTATGTCCATATTCAACGCTGAGATGCCTTTTTAAACCCCTTTGAAATGAAAAAGAAAGCGGCTTCTCGGTTCAAAGTTTGAAAGTGGTATTTTTTTGGGAATCTTTACAAGTATTTGCAATAAACTAAAAGTTGAAGCTGTCATGTTGTATAAATTTAAGAATTGTTCAAAAAAATGTCTATTTTTCACATAACATTTTTTTAGGAAAAAGAAGCGCCCATAAAAATTCATATTTTTGAATAAAATCTTCACGTTAGGATCTTTAAAGTTTTTTTCACGCAATTCTAGAATTGAAACTTCGACGTAAAAAGCTGCTCCCTCAGGACATTTACACTCTCTAGATTCTGAACCGCTCTTAATAGCTCGAACCGGTTTATTCCGGCGGGTAACAAATGAGCATTTTGTACCATGAGCTAGATTCAGCTCGCCGTCCGGCGTAAGTAATTTTGAGTCGGTTGCACAAAGTAAATGAAAACTCTTGGAAGTATTATCGTCACAGTTCTTCAATGTTGTGAAAAAGAGAATGAAGATAACACGAATTTGTTTTACCCCATGGTGTCAGGACTATCGCTCCAAGTGCTGCCGCATTCATAGCCGCTGCCATAGTTTGAGAATGCCGAAAAGTCCTGGACAGCGGTCTGAGCTGCGGTGCCATATGCGATTCCACCTGAACTGGCATCATCAAATTTGAAATAGGATAGCGATTTCGTACCGACGTGGTATGGGTGATGTGCGTGCGAAGCTCGTACATTGCGCACCGGTCCTCTGGAGAGTAATTCTCCGTCTTCGGCTTCAGTCTTTTCTTCGGACTTCTCCGAATCTTCATCCTCCTTGTCATCGCTTGATTTACCATCTTTTTCATCTTTTTCTTTGGTTTCTGCTTTCTCTCCGTCTGGCTTGTTGTCTTTGGGTTCATCTTTCTGCATCGTATGAATAATTTTCAGACTTTAACTTGATAAGAGAGAATTAAAATTCTGCTTTCATGAAGCGGCCTTCCTTGCAAATACTTTCACCAGTTTGATTTTTCGAGTTCTTTTTGTTGCTAAGGAACTAACTAAGAGAAGATCAAACATTATTTCTGGCATGGGTAACATGATTGACTGATTAAGTTTCTTTTTGTTCAGTTCAAAAACTTGACTGCTTCAAGACTTCTTATTTTGAAAATCCTGGGAAGGAAATCAGATTTTCTCAGCTAACCTGTGCATCTTTATTGAGAAGATCGGCAAAAAGAGCTGGCCCGCCACGAGAAAATTTGAAGGTCGTATTGGTCTTACGAGCCAGAGCCGATGAACGAATGCTTTGGAGAGTGACGAAGTCCGACGGCGTCACATTGTTGGCCACCTTTAATTAACAAATTCAGTACTTCTTCTCAACCAAATTCTCCTTCTCTGATTACCAAGTTTCTATGTTTTCGAAAAATTAATGAACAAGGAAGTTCAAATTGAAATTGTCAACAGTTTTTGAAAACAGTTGGTAGCAGTCAAATGAAAACAGAATTTGTATGGGAACGCATCGAATACCTTGTTTCTGTGTCGAAAAAATGAATTTTCTGTCATCGTAATTATTCGAATCCCCATAAAGGTTGATTAAAATCACGGGATACGAGGGAAAAATGATTCGATGAAAAATGTTATTTAAAAATCCTTTTGATCAGAAATGGTACTTCATCGAGTATGTTGGAAGCCTTTTCCATACGCTCAGGATGTGTTAGAAGTAAGTCGAAGATTTTTTGAAACAGACCAATGAAAAAAAGCCAAAAAAATGTACTATTATAATTCATCTATCAAACAAATATTTGTAACGATGACTGATCTTAACAAAAAGAATTTTTTTAGCCTCCAGTTCAACTTTTGAAGAAACTTCGTATCACAGTTATCTACCCTAAAAAACTCGAACCTACCAGAAACTCGAGCTGAGTTTAGGAAAAATGTTTCACATTTATCTATGAGACGATAGGAATGAAAATGGTCCCAAACCTTAGCAATTTTCTTCTGGTTGATAGCCTCTTCGACAGAAAGTTGCTCGAGACGGTCGGTGAGCTGGTCCGTCGCATCTGCTGGTAGTTGAGTTGGGACGGCTCGCGCCACTAGACAAGCCCCTTTCGGGCTATTTGAAGTCATTACACTGAAAATGAAGCCATTCGTTCTGACAAAAAATGCTACAGTTGAGAGAATAATGTGAGCGCCAAAAATATGAAAATCTGTGATGAAAATCTCCGCTTACAAAGGAAATATAAAAGTTGATAAACTGAGGATTTGAAAAAATTTTTTTGTGAAGCACCTCATGAATACAGTATCAAAATGTTGAGAAAGCTTGACACAACTCGTCTTGTTTCGAAGATATAACGCCTCGGAATTTTCAATCTTTGAGGTAAGACGTCCACAGTGAAAACAAAACAACCTTTGAACCTCCTTCTCAAAAACGAAAACAGTTGAAAATTCAACTATTTTTTCTGGATGCAAAAAACCGTTTTTGGTCCTTCACGACCTTTGCTGTTTCGAAAAGAGTAGAAAGTATTTTTAAAACATTTATGAGTGAAAAATAAAAAAAATAAAACTTCCAGAAATGATTCAAAAACGGCCGATGGCTTCCAGAAGCTAGAATCACTTCTAAAATAAAAATGGCCGTGATCAACACGAGGAATCAATCAATGAATTCGCGACCAAACTAATGCGTATCACACTACACACAATCAGTTACACTCGCAGATCGTCTGAACGATTAGAGGAAAACACGTAATTTTGCGCAAAAAGGTTTGGCACCAAGATCAAGAAAAAATTGGACTTTGCAAGCTTCAAATGGAAAAGTTAGATAAAGTTTTCCACTTTTTCAACGAACGACAAACTTAAATAACCAGTTTTGTGGGTGTGAAATATTTTGCTTGATTTCAAAAAGTCAACATTTATTGAAAAAAAAAACAATCATTCAGACGCTCACCATTTTCGAATAGTTTCCCAATTTCTCGCTTGCGGCCGAGTTTTTTAACAGATAAGAAATCAATTCCAAGGAAAAAATTAATTGAAATCACTTCCAATAATATTTTTCCAATTTCTGGGGCTTAAAAGTTTTCAAAAAAGGATTTTCGAAATTGTTATTTTGAGATAGAGACAAAAGCTGCTTGTAAGCCCGTTTTTTGAGAAGAAAAGAGATTTTGAAACAGGAAGTACGCTAATCTGAGCGTAGGATTTTCGCATAAAGGGGCCCGAAAAGAAGCCATGCATAACTCGTGATGAACCAAGCTATCTCAAGAAGCACTTTTTCATGTAAGGAATTAAAAAAACGGATAGAATCCTTTTTTGACTGATGTCGAGCCGGGGGACAGATAACTCGGACTCACGAGCTCCATTTCTCCGCCCCTCAGGCTCGAAACACGTTTTGGCGCGACTAACTGCGTCACACTCGCAGCCAACAACACAGAATCGCCGGATTTTCCCATCATTGGAAAGGATAACTGGTGAAAAAGTGTGTGAGAGCACATTTTCTATTGGATTCAATCAAAGTTAATTTTCTCATCGGAGTCAACATTTTCATCCGTTAACAAAATTGAAGATCCGGTTAAAAGAGAAAAATGGGAAACAAAAATAAAGTCCTTCGCTAAATTTCCTAAGCTGACAAAACATGTTAAAAAAGTGCAGAAAATGAATATTTCTTCGAAAAAAGTGCTCAGAAGAATTCGGTAAAGATCCACAACATCTGAAAACAATTTTAAGCAATCTATAGCGAATTCCATGTCTCTTCAACAAATTTCAATTATTGTTTCGCTTACCCGCGATTTAAAGGCAACATAAAACAAAAAAGAAAATGAGTGGGAAACTGAATCTAAAAGAAGTTTCCAAAACGGGAGAATCTGTCACTAGCAGTCCGCAGTTATTTTGAACTTGTGTAAGGGAGTTTACAGTGAAAGTATTCTCTAGGAAAGGGACGAAAATAGGTTCGAAAATCTTGAAAAACAGTCATTGATTCGCGAAGGTTCACCTGTCTACCTGTCTAGTCGATTCTTTTTTATGGCTTTGTTTGTGTTCTAAAACCAAGAGATCTTTGCACTCGTTATTTCAAATCAATAAACCTGAAAGTGATGGATCGAACAGGTAGATCATAAAATTGGAAACGTGAGAAATACCAGAAAAAATTAGGCTTAAAGCGAAAAACTCGGAAAACTGGCTCGGAAGCTCTTTGATGAGCCAAATGAAAAAATGTGAAGAAAAAAAAACCTTATTATAAAATTTTGGCCTGGCTTTCAAAAAATAAGGGACTGGATATAAATTACTCTGATTTTGCACACTAGAAAACATAGAGCAAGTCTTCAGATAAACAAAAAGAAAAAGACTTTTATTCAAAAAAATAAAAAAAAGAGGTAAATTTGAATAAGGTGAATAAAAAAATTTTTTTGATTTCAGAGATTCAACAAAGCTTTAAAAAAACGGAAAAAAAGTCGTGAAAATGCAGATCATGACACTTATAAAAGCAATAAAAAAAGAGAAAGACGGAATTTGGATGAGATGGAGTGAAAGGAGAAGCGCCAGTTTCTTTTTGTCTGCTGAGGACGTTTTTCAAAGAACTGAAAAAAACGCCTTTCTTCTTTTCATAGCTGTTCTCTTTTTTTTTAAAACCATAAAAAAAGAAAAAAAGTCTCTTAAAATTGGCGGGTAAAACTCTGATCTTTTTCCCTAATTACTTACTTCATTCACTTCTATCTTCATATTACTGCAGACAAGATCAAAAAGTATTTTCTGGATATTTTTTGCTAACGGTAGGAGGATCTCTATAAAATATTGTCTCAAGCCAGCGGTGAATACACGTCTTACAAGGAAGACTGGAAAAATGAAATTTGCGATAAGTGAAGCCAATTCGCGTGTCCGTTGGTTTTTAGGCGAATTTTTCCGGAAAAGAAGGTGGGAAAATATTTTCAAATGATTCTCATCAGAGAAATCCTCGAGATGGCCGGAAGAAGAAAGAGAAGACAGACTTTGAGAGAAGAAGAAAGTTATCAGAACACCGTCAAGCGTGATCTTTATTTTCTTTGGGTTCAGAGTTCAGTAAAGTTATGAAGTTATGAAAAAGACTTCAAGAAGACGTCAGATCCTGAAAATTTGAAGTTGATATGTGGTCAGCCGGTATGAAGACAGTGGAGAGCAAAACGGACAACGTGAAAGAGGAATGGAGAATACGATCAACCTGTGGCGTGGCACTGACGGTAAATATTTGTCGTAGACGCCTCTTTCTCTCCTCCTCACCTTGAGGTCAATCTTGTCAAAAAATCTGAAGTTAAGTTGAAGCGTTCGGACGCTATGGCGCTGGCGCCTCAGGCGGATCAATACGCGTCGCAACCGCGTCGTCTTTCTCGACCCCTCAGGGGATAGCCGAGCAGTTTTTGCGAGCAGTTGATATTTCTCGTTTTTCTTTATCTCTGTCTCGCGCCACACGGCTGGCAACAGGGCGCCGCGCTCAAACTTAGTTCCTGGTTGGCGGCGTCCGTGGGCGCAGAACGACGCGAGGAATGAGATGAAGACGACGTGAGGTGCTGCCGCCAGCAAGAAAAATAAATCGAAGTTCGCGCTTCTTTCTCTTTCTTCTACTTTTTTTTTCTTCCTTTTTTCGCTGCATTCCAGCCGTTTCGACGCTTATTTGGGTGGGCGCTCAAACACATAATACACACATAAACACACGCTCAAACTCAAACTCACAAGCTCATTCCTACTCATTCGACACATGCGCTCTCGACCGCGGTTCCGCCAATTAAATCTCAGTTGAGGGACTTTTTTTCTCACACAAGATTTTCGATTCAAAAGACAGAATCAAAAAGAAAATTTCATCAATTATCTGAAAAATTTTCGTGAGAAAAGCTTGATAAAAGTTTTTCCCACTCAAATGATTGATTAACCAATCACCGCACGGAAAACTGAGCCCTATACAATATCAGAAAAAAATAATACTAAAGAGAAGAAGCTCAAGCTGTTTCAATAGAATATATTAACATAGTATATTTTTTTGTTAAATTGCCCAATGCGCATAAATTAAAAAAATAATCAGGAATTAAAAATTCAAGCGAAAAATTTCTCTTTTCACGTGACCAGAACGTTCGATGGGTTTTTTCTAGTTTAAAACAGTTCGAATTAGCAAAAAATGAGTTTGAGAACATTATGACAAGGTAAGAAGTATCTTGAAGATGTTTGAGTACTTAATAATTTGAGTAGACGTTTGTTACTTCTTTTGAAATTTTACCGCGAAAAAATCATTGGAAAAAAAAAACAACTCAAAATTAACAATTATTCTAAAAAGTCCATTGGTCGTTCCAAAAAGGGAGGAAACCCGAATATTTCCAATTTTATTAAAAGAATAAACTTCAAAAAAAACTTGAAATAGTAGTCGACTGAATAAATTTGCTTTGAACACACTTTTGGAGTCTTGTGAAAGTATTCTCAGGCTTGCGGAAAGGGCAACTTCCGAATATTTTGAGGTCGTCGTGCTATGGGGCTCAACCGAGAGAAAAAGATCATCTTTTCGTCAATGGTCATTGCTAAGCCGAGAACTTGCTGCAAAGTTTCATTCCGAAGCTTCATTAGCGATCAAGACAAATTTTCAAATCAGAAATACAATTATTCTTGTTATGAACTCTAATTAGCCACAAAGGCTTATACAAATTTAGGCCTACAAATAAGAACAGAGAATTAGTAAGAAATTACATTCGTAATGTAGAAGAAACCCTTGATTTTGAAGGGTAAGTGAATTTTTATTTGCTTGGTAAATTTTGAACTTGTATTTTCACTTCAAAAGGAATATATATGATTAAATTATCTTTTTTATTCCAAAAATTTTTTTTTCAATGAATATTCAAGAGCAGGGTTCTGTAAATTAGCTGGAAATTTATAGAAATTCGTAACATGACACATATTAACACGAAATTATTGTTAAAGACGTTACGTTTCCAAAGAGGGTAAGAAGCAAAAAAAGGCCAGGTATAGCTTTTCAAAGCTCAATGGTCTTTTTGAATTGCTAAAGTGGTGATTTTTATTCTTATCATATCAGCTTCATATTTTCTAAGGAAAAAAAGAACTTTGAATTGCTCTTATCAGGTTCTTGATTATCAAAGAAGCTTCCAAGTATAGATGAATAAAAGGAAAAAAAATAATTTTCTCGACACAATTTGATGAAAAAACGGGTGCTGCTAGGGTTAAAACCTTTTTTAAAATAGTGGAGGTTGTTCCAAAAAAAAGGTTTCTTCCGCAATACTAATGTTTAAAATGGAAATTCTTCTATCTTGCGCTTGGAAAATTTGCTGAATTATTCTTCAGACGCCATGAAAACGTTTAGAGCTTTTTTTTTACGAAAAATGTTTTTTTAAAGATAAAAAGTTAAAAATGTTCGAATCGGTCGAATGCGAATACTTTTCCTACTTCAAGCTGTCCGTTTTCAAAATTTCGAATGTTTGGAGGTTGGAACATCTCTGTTCTCCGTTTGGTACATCACACAGTCTCTTTGCAAAATGAAAAAAAAAGTTGAACCCAAAATGAGTAAGAGTGAGACAAAAAAAGGAGTTCTCAACCATAAAAAATTCCCGACGCTTTCTATTCCATACATGGTCAAGAGAATATGACATCATATTTATTTACTCAGAATTCAGAATAACAAGCTTACAACTCGCAAAATCTTCCGACCAAATTAAAAGTACGCTACACAAATTCCGTGAAGCAAGATTGAGTCGAAAAACCCTTTTTTAACAGTTCATGAAAAGAAGGCGGAACTGAAAGATACTAATGCATGTTTTCTCTCACAATGTCTCCCATTGCCACAGCCTGGCAGCTGGTTTCATGTTCTTTATAACCAAAAAACTGGGAAGAGAATGTCATGCGTGATGAGAAATATTGACATTCATTAATAATTAATCGAAATAATCCGATTCCAGTAACTTAGCAACAGATTCTCCATCAAAAATAGAACCGGATTAAAAAACTCTACCGTATTCACAGGGCTTAAAACACTTAGCTCGTCATTGATTCCGGGAGTTCAGGACAATGAATAAATAGCACAAAAAGAAGATATTAATGATTCTACACAAAAAAATGTTAAAGGCCAGAGACAACCTTCGACTATTCAATCCGCCTTTTATAAGACTTCTATCTTTCTCTCTCGTCCAATTGGCCGAAATGAACTTTTTGTCGGCACTAATCGCCCGTATTTTTGATTCAGAAGTTCCTCAAACGGAAACGGAAGAAATAAGTCATGAGTCATCACAATTGTTTTTCAGCTCATCCGAAGCTAATCATTGAAAGTTTGATAACAAAAAAACGGAGAGCCGAAAGTCGAAGAAAAATCATCTAGATTCCAATAGAAATATTTGAAAAGAAAAATTTAATCTCATTAGTCGATATTTATTTTTATGTGCAAACTATGATCAATAATCCGTTGAACGAAAAACAAAAAAATGTGGGAAAATACATGAATATCTACACGCTCGAATAGTTCATGAAAATTTGAAAAGACGAAAAAATTAAGAATTTCATGGTGTTGACTAGCGTTTGACAAAGCTCAAACAAGATAATACTTGTTTCACAAAGTCTCTATCGAAAATGGCTCGATTTTTCATAAAGGTGTTCACCAATAAGTGGCTTAGCTTTTTTTTTTACTGAGATATTGAACCAAAAAACGATGTGAAAAGGAAATTCGAGAAACGTTGCAAAAGGCCTAAACCAAAAAAATTAATCATAAGTAAAAAAAAATTTTTTTTGACCTAAAAGCAACAAATGAACTACTTATGTACCCGGCGCAATAATCGATGATAGTTCTTTGATATTCGTGTTGCTCCGTTCATTTTCTGTGCATCGGAATTGCACAACCATCAGCGTAAGAAATTACTTTTTCTGAACCATCATAACTGAATTTTGTCCATTCACACAGCTCGCTCAAATTTTCTATATCGCCTCTTTTCGGATCATCTCCCTGTTTGATTAACCAACGTCGAATCTCGCAAAAGAGTAGATTAAACTTTTCCAGTGTGGGCAAAGCTCACATCTTCGCAACTTTTTTTTCGGAACAAAAAAAACAAGGAAAATTGTCTCGCTGGAAAAGACTCAATTCAACTCTTCCATTCAAAAGTTGATGAAACTATGCGATCATGCATGAAAATTTGAGCCTTCAAAATTCATTGCAATTTGAGGCAAATATTAGGCAAAAAAAATTATCTCTGGTAAAGGTTTTTTAATGAAAATTCACATTTTCCCTGATATTATTTTCTTGGTTTTTGAATACTTTCTGAGAAATTCGGGATCTGCAAAACATCGCTTCGATTACTAAATATGAATTCAAAGTTTTCAGGCTCATCAGATCAATTTTCTGTGAAACAGAATAGAAACTCGTCATTTGACTTTTTTCAATTTGAACCGCTTCGAAAGTTTCATTGGAGATTTGCGAAAATATTTCAGAATCGTCAAAGCCTTTGTATCACTTGAGCGGCGTCGGCGCCTCAAGTCGCTTAGCCAAGGTCCTATCCTGATGATCAGTGGACTGGCTCAAGTGACCTATCCGTCCTTGTTTGTGACGGCTGGGGATTTCGGAGCCATGATTTTTCAACTATCAACTTTTTTTGATTCTCTTGGTTGAGTCACGGCCGGGATCCAACTTGGACTCTGTGGACCGTAGACAGGCACAAAACCTGTCGCGCTAGGGCGCGCCGCCGAATCAGCACAGTACCCCAACAAAAGTTTGAAAGAAAAGGAAAACGTATTTTTTGTGTTTTTAAACTAAACTGAAATCGGTTGTAAAAAATAAAACTTCATCGAAGTACAACCAACTTTTTATACTTCGTTGGCAAAAAAAAAGATCTCAACTCGTGGTTATTTTCGAAAAAAGCTTTTCAAAAGTCTCTATAAACTGTCTTGTAGAGATTAAGTGTGAAATCTCTACAAAACCTGACATTTATTCATTGCTCCAATGAAACTTGCATAGTTTTCTTGGAGCTCAAAGATGTTCAATCAAAGTTTTTTTTTTTGAGTCATTTCTTACTTTTTTTCTATCATCTGGTAAAATGAGAACCTATCCTAATATTTTGAAATCTTGCAAATGTCGATCAGAAGATCATCTTTCCGAGAGTCGAACTGTTCGAACCATAATCAAAACTGGTCCAACCTTACTCAAGGATAGTGAGATCCATGAGAAAAAGGAGTCTTCCCACCGTCTATTGCATTTATCCGTTTTTCTGAAATTCTCGAAAGAAAAACCGAGAACGACGTCGACGCGGCTCTTCTGGCGGATGTTGATTCCTCTGCGGGCCACCGCGAAACCAAATCGCAGGGCCATTTATTTCTGCGCCTCACACACAACAACTGTCTTTAGCGTTGCTTGAACATTTGCGTAAACAAGCGGCGTCGCGCCACATTTGGAACGGAGAAAGATTTGGACATTTATGATAGATTCGGTGCTGCTTGATTTGTTCTAATCGAGATTTATAGTTGAGCGAGGTTAAAATAAAGCCATGACGTATTGCAGAAAGAGAGGCCCATGAAAATTGTGAGCAAACTACGCATAGAAAACTAGAGAAAGTTTTGAAGTTTTTTAGAAGAGCTTGATTGTGTATTGTCGACTTCCCAGTTAATCATCGTTCCAGAATCTGAAAAAAATTATCAAATTTCTCTGCTATCGGAAATTGGAAAATTTCAAAAAAGCTTTGCAAATTGAGAATTTGAGGACATTTCCCTTCTTTTCAGAAAACTATGACTAATTGTCGAATTCCGAACTCTAAGCAATACTGGGGTAGTAGAAAAAAAAGGTTTTTATTCGAAAGCTGAAATAGGACTTATTTTTAAATATTTCTTTGTTAGTTTTTCTTTTGTTATATCATTGGCAAAAGTTTCTTTTCAATTTTTATTTCATCTTTCGAAGCGGATGAGTCAAAAAAATGGCATTTTTGTCCAACTTTTCCCAAAATTTCCAAACGCTTTTCTGAAATCGAAACATTTTGCACAAGTGGCCGTTAGCGATTCTTTTTTTAAGTGTAACAAACGAAATTGGTTCAAAGAACAGATCAAGCGCTTCAACCAACTCTTTTTTTCTTTCGCTGCACAGATAGGAAAAAGTTTTAAAGTTAAAAGTTCAGAGAAACATCTGAATAAAATTTCAAAAAAAGGAATATTGACAATCAGACATTTCTGTATGTTCAAAGTATCATGAAAAATATTTTTTTCAATAAAAAAACGGAGGCTTTTATTTCTACTTTTTTTATTTTTGTTTGCTCTTGTTTTTAAATTGCCTCTTGAAAAACTTCCTTTTTTTCCTTTTTCAGAACAAACATATATTCGCCTTAGCCCAACGTAATAAATTTGAATTTTCATCAGATCGTCTGAGCAAAAGTGTCTATTTCGCAGAACCAGAAACTCAAAAAAATTTTTCTTGAATCCGCCGGAAGAAAAACCGCTTCTCAAAAAGACGTCCAGTAAACAAAAAAAAGCTCGTTTAAAAAAATATTTTTGCTACCAGAGTTTGAATGAAAATGAATTTTGTTTTTAAACGTGAGATTATCTTTTTTCTTTAAGAATATGTTTTTTTGTCAACTTTGTGTTTTCAGGAATAAAATAGAAAAGAGAGTCTTCGTGTAATTTACTTCAAAAAGTGAAAAAAATGATTCTATTTCATTCATTTCCTTCCAAATAATGTTCAATGAAACAATGGAAAATTGCTCACGGCCAAAGACGTTTCTTCCGATTCGCTTTCGAACTTTCGCTCTTTGAACCGATAAATGTGGTTCATAAATGCTGTCCTTTCTTTGAAAGCTTCCATTTTGTCAGACTTTGCAAAGTTTAATGGAACTTTCAGGTTTTTAGTTCGTTTCATTCATGCTAGACTCGAAGAGCTTCTCTCTGATTCGTTTCTGATGCATGATCCGAAAAAATAGATAACCTCCAAACCGTGCTTGTTCAGCAAAACATACGTTAGAGACGGATTTATTCGAGGATAATCTCAAAATATTTTCTCGAAAAAGCAATGAATGAGATGTAGTCGTCAGAAATATCTCTCGATTTTCAAAATTCGTCATTTTTCATAACTAGCAATTAAGCCAATGTGAAATTTATAGTGTCGGAATTAAAAATAACAGGCAAATAGTTTTCTAGTTACAATTAAAAAGTTGAATGAGCCAAATAGTAATTAAAAGAAAATGAGTGAATTTTCAGTTTTTGTATTCTTCAACATAGCAAGATTTGAAAAACATTGAAGTCGTGCCTTTGGATAATACGAAAAAAAGGTTGATTTAACCGCGAAAAAAACATGGCGTAAAATTAAAGTACCAAAGCTTCACTCTTTGAATTCATTTTGATAAGAACCTTTCCTAAAGTTTTATTTCTTTTTTTCTCTTCAATTGATAGTTTTCTATAGAATTTGACATTTCCTGAATTTTTCTTGATTGAAGCTGCAGCAATTTTTTGGAAGTTTCGAGTTTCATCTCGAGCTCTCAGTTTCTCATCTGCAACTTCCACTCAGAGCCTGAAAAGTTTTTTGCAATTTTTTTGATTTTCAGTTTTCGAGATATCTTATCTTTTTATTCACTTTTCCATTATAGGATGAAAATCTGCATCGGAAATTTTTGAACTCAGAACTCACTATGCATTAACATTACACATAACCCCTCCTTTTTCTGCGATTTGAGTTGAGTTTCCAACTGCAAAAAAACTTGAATATGTTAAACTGGCTTTTATTTATTTCCTTCAGCCATCGCCGAATCGCGATTCATTAGTTTTGGCAGGAAGTACAATTACGGCAATGTGTGTGAAGATTGAAAAAACGGCCCTGAATGACCGCATTACGCACCTTCTGTGGGATACGCTCAAGCTGACGAATATTTCTGAGGCAAACAATTTTTTTTTTTTTGATTTGGAGATTGAAAGGCATCATTTCATACCTCTGAAACCTGAAAAAGTCCAGTAAAGGCTGAAATGAATAAAAGCGTTACATTTTTTTGCTTTGTGGAACCGAAAAGGTGGTATTAAAGAAGGATGTTGAATAGATTTAAAACAGAAACTGAGAGAGATATAATTTCGCATTGAAATTTTTCATGCTGAAAAAAATTTTTTTTAGGGTTTTAGAGCTTTTGCTCAAACACTTTTCGAGATTTCTCCTTTTTCTTTATGTTTTGGATGTGAATCCCATTGTCATGAGAAGTTACTACGCTTTTTTTTCAGAATCAGATCAGTAGTAGCCTCTACCTTTTTTTTTTGTTTGCGATCGATGAGACCAAATAAACTTTTTTTCTTTTTTTGTTTCCTATCGAAAAATGCGTTTATGAGTAGTTGTAAAATTGGATTCTGCCACATTCTGAGTTTCACTTTCTAAATTTGGATCAAAACTTCAAATTTCCAGTTTCTCTTTAATTCCCGTATTTCTCACATTATCTTTTATTTTGTTGACTAGGAAGAAGAGCTTTTGCAAACACAATTTTGTTCTCTTTTGGTTTTCTGCGCAAAAAATAAAGTTTTTCGTAAGTGTACTGTCTGAAGTCAACTTCCAGAAAAACCCTGGGATATTATATTTCTTTCAAAATGAGCAAATTAAGAATGGCAAAATTATGAGCGAGAAAAAGAGCCGTGAGCCGTTTTTCGGACGAGAGTCACCCCAAACGCGTAAATGGGAGCCAGAGACAATTTGGAACGTGGAGGGTGGAGAATTTCCAATGGGACTGGGCTAACGGGTGGAGGCGCAGAGAAGCCGAGGTGCTCTCCGGATGGTAGCGTAAAGCTCTCCGGGCCCCGACGGCCTTCACTAGGGGTCCTCCGAATTTTCTATAGTCTCTCGAACACCTCAGAGCACGTCCAACTCCTCTTCTTTGACTTGGCCTAAAAATTTCACGCGAGAATCCGCTATTCTTCTTGGAACTTTTTCCCTCCTTTCTTTGTGACAAAGTTCTGACAACCTAGGGTTTTTTTCTCGTTTCACATGGCTTCTTTTCAGCTTCTTTTAGTGCTTCCTGGTTCTTTTGATTTTTCTTGAACTTGAGAAATTGTTAAATTTCTTTCGAGTCCGTTTTGAATAATCAGTAAAGTTTTTGTAAGTATATTCTTTTCTGTCAAATGTTGAGCTCACGGGGTAAAACAAGATTCTTTGGTTGAAGCCTAAAACTTTTTCTCATGTTCTACTTATAGCTCTTCCACCAATAGTTTGCGAATAAAATTCCTAATTTTCGGTTGATGTCGATACCCTCAATTAAAACTATATAACAAGTCATATGTAGTTTCCTTTTTCTTAATTATAGAAATTAAACAACTATCCTATCATTTTTAAAGTTTTTTTGAAAACTCAGATGTTCTATTCATATTATTTGTCAACAAAATAAGTTTTTCCAACTACATTCCGTTAGTTTTGCGCTCCGAGGACATCAAAGATTTGTAGTAAAAATTTCATGACTTTTTTTTTCGATGCCTCTATTTCACCTGCGTTTTTTTTCAAATTTATGCAACTTTTCTGCCAAAACGCAACGTTTGGAAACGTTCACGTAACTTGAGCAATTCAATTTTGCGGCGTTTTGAGCTTGAAAAACTCCAGGACCCTTCCACGCCCGTGACGTAGTTAGTTTTTGGCTTTTCATGAGGATTACCGTGCACAATAGTCTACTTCCTTTTGCACACTCTTGCAGTCTTTCTCTGAGCTCAAGCGTTCGACATTTATTGAGAGAATTATCTTTGCGGGGAATCCTCGGACCGCCTCCTGTGTTCTTCTCAACCACGCCCCCGTTTACCTTCCATCCATGCTCTTCTGCTCTGTCTTTCATTTCCGAGCGTTTCTGCTCTTTTATCCCGGAGATCTATCGCTCTTAGAGCACCCTATCTTTCTCTTGTATTTTCAAAGCTTAGGCACAATATCACTCGAAACTTCTTAACTCGTCTTAGGAATAAATTTTCAATCCGGTGTTAATAAATTTGTAGTTATTCCAGAAGTTTAGACTTTTCAAAAAAAGTTCAAAAGGAGTTTTTGAATTTGCGGTTAAAGTATCAATTTATTCACCTTTCAAACTTGTAATATCAAAGTTTGAATTGTTTGAAACCAGCTTTTCCGGGAGACACGAAACAATGCCTATCTTATTGTTTTCCCGATTTCACGCTAAAAGAAAAATTTGAAAATTTCTCGCGTTTCTATCCTTTGTTATGTCTGGCACTCTTTCAACTTTTTTCAATGTTTCTTATGATTTTTCGACCTCTTTTCCGCTTTTGTAGCTAGTATTTGTCGCAGAAACTACAAAAAATATTTTGTCATTTCACTGAACGTTTTTCAGAAGCTCCAATAATGCACACGACTCTTGTTGAAGTTACTACCCGAGAGAACTTCTTACGCGCTCAAAACATAACTGCTCGTTTTCTCGACACCATCTACTTTCCCTTTTCGATTCAGACACACTTAGAAGGAAGGTTCGTCAAGTTGACGAGTCATAAAGCTCTCACGAATGCAATTTTTCAGCTTCCCAGAGTCACCAATTCGACTTTTTTGCTATCCTTCGCTTTCAGCGCCAAAATACTTCTTCATGTACAAAGACAACGTTTACATCAAGTGGGAATACAATCTTTTAAAATAATCTTTTCTGGAAGTGAAAATGAGCTAATCAGCTTTTTTTTTTTGCGATTTTTCTTTCTTATCTTCAATGATTAGCACAAATTTCAAAGTAGAAGCGTTAAAGTTAAGTTTCATAATTTAAGGCCCTACCTCATGATGGCACAAATACCGGGAACTAACATGGATCGACTTGAGCTCGTGGATTGCATCCGGGAGTTTCGGTGAGTACAACAGAATCTTCAACCTCACCAAGGCACAATTTCTTCCTCCTCAATCATGAATTCAGGCGCCGCGTCTTCGGCGCCACGCGTCGTCCTCATCTTGTCGTGGGGAAGGATCTTCTCATCAAAATGGTCGGTTATTATTCAGCATGTCGTGTGTCCAATAAGCATTCTTAATGTCTATCATAAGAACCTTTCTAAAAAAATTTGTAGATACAGGGGTTTGAAGATACGTACAGTTTCTATTTGCCAGTTACATAAAAATTTCTCGAAAGCAACTTGCGTTCAATTTTTAAAGGCTTGCTAAACCTTAACTAAAACTCGCTTGAAAACATTCCAGATCTAACCCAGGAAAGGAATTTTACCCTTCCTATCTGCTATAAAGTTATAGCTCTATTCAACCAGTGTCATTGAAATGAAGAAAGTGATTTTTCGTCGCATTTTTGGAGCTATGATTCGACTAAAAAAACGCAATGGCGTAAAAAGTGAGGCTAGAATCAGAAAGCCATGATGATTTTTTGTAAGAAAGAGTATTCTCTACCGATTAAGTTAATGTATGAGCATCACTGGTTGATAAATCGTTTACTCCAAGAAAAGCATCAAGTTTGAAATCTTTATGAAAGATAAAAGTGATCTTTGCAATAGTTCTGCCTGCCTGACCTTTTGTTTACACTGCATTTGAAAAATGCTTTGAACGGTTTCGAGAAGCCAAAAAATTGAAATTTCTGACAGAAAGTTGGAAATGTTTGAAGAAAAGCATGCGTTGAGCATACGGTGGCACGTGTTGCAAAAAAAAAGTTAAACGGAGAGAATTAGTTCCGCTTAACTTGAAGGAAACTTGACCCTTGATAAAAGAGTTTTTTTTTGCAACTGGAGTGTTTCAGAAAACAAATAAAGAAGAACTCACCAAAAGGGTAATTCTACTCGAGACTCTCGAAATTTACCAACTTTTGGCCAAAACTGATATCTCAGTTGAAATTCATTTAATCTCTCTTCCAGAAACTTTTGCTCAAAATCGTTTTCCTGAGCGTGATGCAAGAAAATCAAGTTTCATAGTTTCTTATCATAAAAAAATAGAATTTTAGGCTGCTTGAGGGCGCATTTTTTCATTGGTCAATGATTTGGTTTGGCCGAATTTTAGAACATCAAGTTTAAATGTTAATGATCTGTTAGCTCAACCATTAACCGGCAACATTCCAGTACAACGTCGTTATGCGCATCGAATCTTGCCACTGGGAAGCCAAGGATCTTCTTCTATCGCTTTTCTTCATGACGGAAAGTCAACGCAAAGCTTCGCTGAAAGTAGCTCTGCCTAATCTGCCCGCCGGCTATTACTTCGATGAGGTGCACTTTTTGCTATCTTACGGTAACGTTCACGTCACCGAAAAAAAAAAAATCAGAAAGCCCCACATATATACCGAGAAAGACGCAAAAACACACGATTTATAATTTGAATGGAAATTCTGAAGAATTCGTGATAGATTAAACTGAGGCCGTATGCAATAAAACTTCCAAAAAATGCATTTACCGTGGGAGAAGTTTTTTATTTCACCGCAAGGTAGAAAATAAAAGTCCAGTTTTTTTTTGGAAATTTTGCAATCTGCGGTCAGAGCTTTCCAAACTACAAAGTTGTGATAAAGACGTAGCGCTTCGAAACTACCAAAAACCTAAATTTTTATTCATTGTCTCACTAGTAAACAAACTTGATGGCTAACACTAAGAATAACTGCCGAGATAAACGCGAGACACTGGCGGTACATTGACGAACTCGCAAACATCTCGCTTTTTTTCTCGCGCCGGTCTCGCATTTTTCTGGGCGCGAGCTCGCATTTCTCTCGCAATTTTAAAATTTCCGAAATGCGAGATAAATGCGAGATGGCGCCAAGAAAAATGCGAGGTCGCGCCGAGAGAAATGCGAGAGCGCGCCTAGAGAAAAACGAGATGTTTGCGAGTTCGTCAATGTACCGCCACCGACCTCGCGTTTATCTCGTCAGTTATTCTTAGTGTAATGAACTCCTCAGATAGAAAAAAATGTGTTCTGAAATCAGAAGGGCTCAATTTCATCCGACCAACAGAAAATAATAAATCTTTCAAGACCCTAAGACCGGTATAAAAACGATTTCAGATTGAACCAGCTGACGAGGCCGAGTTGGTGAACAGCACTTGGAAACATGCAGGCCCGGGCGATCTTGAACAAACATTGTTAGTTCCTCCTTTGTCAAAACTGCACTCCAAGAAGCAAGATCTTTGATTTTACAGGGCGAAGCTTTCGCGATTACCTTCCTCGTGCGTCAGATACCGCGGCACTCCTGTTGCTTTCGAAATGATGGATCCATCTGGATTCTTCAATAATCAGTACGTCTTCGAGGATCATCGTCGCAAAGGACTTGGGAACGCAGTGGAGATCGACTTGATCCAGAAGTCCATTAAGTTGGTTTTTTTTTCCACAAACTCAAAAGCTGAAGACTGCTATACTCACTAAAAACCCTGAACGCCTTCTCTCGGTGCTTAAAAACGATCGCTTTGAAATTTGAGCCGCTGGCGCAGACTCATAGAAAGCGAACTTTCGAGATCTCACTTTGAAAATAATCCTAGATACTTTCCGTGCTCTAATTGAGCGGATTTTAGAGCCGTTTTTGTGCTAGATTTATCATATAATTATCAAGGAATCCAATAAGAGAAAATCGACATTCTTGTAAAGTTTTCAGAGCTTTTCGGAATTTCTCAGCCGATCCAAAAGGAAAACCTGAAAGCTTTGATAGCGTTCAATTTTTTGGAACTATGTTTCCAGACCATTTTGCCTGTTTTGCAGATGCGGAATGAACCCGTTCAAAACAGTCTCAAGAGACAATAAAATAGTTCTGGACGCTTCTGTGGCAAGTCCTCTTTGGACTCAATGGAAGTGCGAAGAAGGCAAGCCGGTCACCATTAATTTCCAAGAATGGAGCTACAAATACTGACCGCTTTTTGTATATATTGTCACTTTCTTATTGCTCTTTTTTTTGTCATTTCTTTTTTCATGGTCCAATCATCACCAATTCATGAAGCTCTAATACGGTGCTGATTGCAAAAAATTGAAGCTCAGAATATTTCTGAAGACCTCGTCTTTTTGAGTTCTTCAATTTGTTTTTTTTTTGACTCCCATTATTCATTCCATCTTTTAGAAAATTCTTATTGTTCCTTAGAAAACTTCTATTGTTTGTTGTTCGTTAAGATTGAAAGGGTTTTTCAACCAAAATCGGGCTGGCAACCCTTTTAGCGTTACCTCTAGCTTGTTTGTTTTCTCATTGCTTTCAATGAAAGCTCCTAATTGCTTATTTTCAACTCATAGTTATCATCTTTTACGGAATAGCGGGACACTTTAAACTTCCTTCGAAGCGATTTGATTGTATCAATCAACAAAAGAAAGAGTGCAACTGAATAAATTAGTAAATACTCGATGTACAGCAGTAAAACTTTTGAGACTTGTGAGATTCAAAAGAGTCCCATGTAATCCGTGCCGGCATCAAGTTGCGACTTTCGGATATTTGAAGTGAATAGTTCGCGATGAACAAGTAATTAAAAAAAAAAATTAAAAAATTTCGATGAAATTTGCGGCTATTTCGTTAATTCTTAAAAGAAAGTTAGACTCCAGTTTCATTTTTTCACGACAAAATCGATGGGAAACGTAACGAAAAGGTTTATCCACGTTTATAAAAGAGAGGTACGAGAAACAGTTCAGCCCGTTTTTGAAATTGATTGAATCGATCAAATTGATCAATTTAAACGTACGCGCTAGCGAGGTCGGAAGCAGCCATGACGATGGTTTCTGAAAGATGCTGTGGGTGAAACTTGAAGACAATAGATACTCTTTATTTCATTATAATCGATTGGTTTTAGCATTGATGTCGTTTGCAAAAACTCAAAAGTTTCAAGATTTTGCAGCTCGAAAACTTGTCATGCAACGGGTGGATAGATTGTTTTAGATAATTTTTTCGAGGGATTTTAAAATTTTGAAAATTTCAAAGTGTTACAGGAAAAAAAAAGTTTTTGTGCCTAATACCTTGAAACTTCTCAATATCAGAGCAGCATGACCTTTTCAGTGAGTCTGAAGCAGTGAACACAAATAATGTCATTTTTCGAATGTAGAGAAAAGAAAAGAGATTTACCCGTGTTGTCGCAAACTTTGCATGTTGCCGGACACAAAGCTTCGACAAAAGATACGAGTTGTTGCCTCAGCTGAGGACAGTCACGGCAGCCTGAAAATCTTCTGTACCGTGTGTAAGAAACTTTTATAACTTTTGCAAGTCGCTTTCTGCTGGCATGTGGACTTGTCACTCTCGAATAGAGGATCGAGGTACTGGCGAATCAACGGCAAAGATTCTCTAATCAAAGGTAGTGACTCGCGGATCAGAGGAAGCGATTCTTGCAGAAGAGGCAGAGAGTCCTTGAAAATATGATAATGTGAAAGGAGGGAAGTCTTCTTGGCGGCTAGCATTTTTTAAAATTTACTTGAGAGTCTTTCGATGTACTGGATGAAAGTTTTTCAGCCTGCAAAGTCTTCTAGAAAAAAATAAAATAAAACAGCTCTTGAAATTTTTTTAGAAGACAAAAAAATTATAGCGGAGTAGATTAGCAGGTTTTACCAGAATTTACAGATAGAGAAAAAGAGGTTTCCCCAGCACGACAGTTCCAATAGTAATTTGGATAAGTGAGTCAGATTAAAATGCCCAGTTTCAGAAAGAAAAAGGAGCTTACAATCAGTTTTTGCTCAATCGAGTCAGTTTTTTGTGTTGTTGCGCCTCCATTTGAAGAAGAAACGAGGGGCACGTCGTTGTTCAACAAAGGAAGTTTGTTCTCCAGAGCCGGTAGAGCAGTGCTGAAAAGTTTTTCTAGTCAAGATCGCCTTGAATTTCCAAATAAAAATGAAGGAAATTTCGAAAATCGTAAAACTGAAATCAAATTACATTTCTTTTTTCAATGGATTGAATAGGATCAAATGTGTGGGAAAAAAAATTTCTATCATAGATAAATGTGCGAGGCTGAAACAAGAGAAGATCATACATATAATTTTCTTTCTTTGAAGAAAAACTTTCCATAACTGCAATGAAGAAAGTTTTTTTGCAGTCTGATGTTGCAATGTTGACATTAAAAACCTTCGATATAAAAAAAGAAAAAAAATTGAAAGATTTTGTAAAAAAATTTTTTTAAAATTTCGAAACTTCTATATTTTAACTGTCGCTCTCAAAAAAAGCGCTGATTGCATATCCGGCGCAGAAGTTGACGGAAATTTTTGATTCTCGCAAAAATGGATTGTTTTTTTAAATGATCTTACACTACTAAGAAAACTGAAAAATTGAGGACTGACCTGTTGGCGACCTGATCAGCGAGGCTGGCAAGTGCCTTGAGCTGGTAGATGATGACGCTACCCATGCATATCGGCTGCAGAGCGCTGCACGAAGGCAGAGAGTCGACACATTCTCCAGAAGTCCCACGCAACGTCAGAAGGATGAGTATGGCGTTAAGAGTCGACAACGACATGCCATTCAAATGGCCCATATCGGCGCCTTCTTTTATTTGCGCAGCTACGGTCTTCTCGCCAAATGCTGGCACGACTTGGAAAGTCTAGCAAGGTAAGCTTTTTAGGAGCAAATTAACACGTCCGGGCAAAAAGAGATTATCATCTGATAGCGTCCACGAAGCTGATGGGAACTGACTTTTGTTTGTGTAAATAGGGTTCCAAAAATTATTGCCCCCGCAATTCCAAAATTGTTCTTTCAAAATTCCACGAGCAATTCGAATATTTTTTTATTATTTTTTTCTCTTATTGTCGGCTGAGGATTTTTGTAGAAGTTTGATTTTTAAAAATCTTGTTTTGTGACCAAAAAAACATTTGCATTTGTCCTATTCAGTTGTATTGAGATTTTTTTAAAAAAAGTATGCTGTGTTAAGTTATTCAGAAGAAAGAAGGCTCTCGGCTTTTGCAGAAAACTATCCATTTCCAATCACCAGAGCCGGAAGTTGTTGCACTGGAACAATGGAATCACAAGACTGCAATAAGATTTTTTTCATCATGCAATTAATTATTTTGTAAGAAGCAAAGTGGAAAAGCTCTAATTTTTTTATGCAAAATTTATTATAATGAAAAAATACACACGGTACCGAAAGTTCCATCAAAAGAAAGTAAACCAAATTGTATATGTACAAACATAATTAAAACTGAACGGCTCTAAAGTTTTGTTTAATGCAAATTACTAATAATTTCCCGATAAATCCGTAAAAGCCAAATCACAAAAAAAAATCTTTGCATTGGTTTTGAAGGTTATGGTTGCTCAAATGAGTGCCACCGCGCTTGCGATTTCTCTTCTCGGATAATTGCTCTCCAGAGATCTTTGCACCTGAAACAGTAATTATGTCGTCAAGCGTGATGGTGTCCCCGTGCTAGATAAGGTTCTAACCAAGTACCAAACTTGCTCGATCTTCAAGAAAAATTTTCTTTCTAAAGGGACCTGTCATTTCCAAAAAAATACCCTAAATTTCATAGAACCCTCAAACTTTGAAATTACTGTGAAAACTTTTTTAGTTTTCTTTTTTAATGACTACTCTGTTTTTGAAGCTGCTCGAGTGCTACAAAACTTTCTTAAAAGAACTAAGGGTGTTTGTGAACTTTTAAGTTAACCCTCTGGTACTCGATAAAAACTTCGCGAAAAACGTTTTAATCTCAAACACATTTCTTACTGACCAAATCTCCTCGAACTTCATTTTTTCCTTTCTCGCTTTAACACAAGCAAAAAAAACGAAATGAAAACTGTGAAACGGAAAGCTGATACAACAATGACGTGTTCCTTATGTATCCGGGCATTGTTACTGATGTTGCGATATTGACTCCAAACAAGTCTTGATGTATGTTCAAATTTTGGTTTTGTGTTTTAGATTGAGAAAAACGGCACAAAACAAACTTGTGAAGAGGAAGTTGGAGCCTCGCCAACGTCTGTGTTGCCATACCAAACGTACCCGTTTCAAGTACAAGCTGAAATATTCAAAGCATCTTCTTTATTCTCTTTTTTGTCAGAAGTTTCCGAAAATGCACCTCAAGAAAAAGTTTGCGAACTACGGATACAGCAATCAACTTTATGAGTCTTGTCAAGAAAAATTACCTCATACTTCTGGGAAGTAATGTTCCCTTTTGATTTTCTGGAAATGTGTTCCGAAAAAAATTTCCCACGGTCCCATTTGCGACAATTATTAGGGCTATACACATTGAGAATTTCTCCGATTTCAGCAATCAAAGGTTTTTGTGTTCTTACATCTAAAAAAGGGGGGAGACGTATTTCCATATATTTTCCGCAGAATCTATATTTTCAACGAAAATTGTTGCAATCGAATTTTTTATTTCATAATCAGCCTATTGATAGTTGATCAATCTTCTTTTAAAATTGGAAACCTCAATTTCGAGCAGAACGTCACAAAGAGTGTGTTTCGGAATGCTGAATGTGAGCGACTCGTTGAACTGCACACTACGCGTCAGTTTTCGGGAAGAAGTTTTCTTTCTCTTCAGCTTTTTCTCAATTCCACTGAGCAGTGTGACTCGTAAGCAAATGTCTGAAATCGGGATTTCGGCTTCTTCTCATTGTGCATTCGAGCCTACTTCCTTCGTTTCGACGGATATTGCGCACTTTGAAAATATTCAGTGACAGTCGTTGCGCATGGGAAAGATATGCCAGTGAGATGAGAAGCTCGCCGTGACCCTTCTGGAAATCGTTTTCATACGAAGAATAATGACGTCACTATGTTACCCCTTCATTTTCATCAAATGGAAGGACCTCCGCCCAGAAAACAGTTGGAGCGTTTTGATCGAGAGAAACGTTAAGTCTTCCAAGAGTCAACCAACAGCAGCCGACGCACTCGTCTACACTAAAATGAAAACTTTCCGATTGGCCAAAAACATAGCATTTGGTGTAGGCTTGGTTTATATTTTTGAGCTGAGTAGTCCTATCCAAGTCAACTCGACAGCAGAAGAATTGGCGGAGAGACATAGGAAAACTGGTTAGCTATGCAAAAAAATCTTCATTTTATTCAAACTTAAGAAAATGGATTCAAAAAAACTTAGTATTCATAACTTCTCAGCTGTGGCTCGAAGCTGTGGTGATTCTAGAAAAAAATTATATACAAATTTTTTTGAAAGGGAGAGCTTTTTCTGAACATTGATACAAATATATCGGTAAATATTGAAGCAATTTTTTTTTTCAACGTCAAAAACAAATCAGATTGTCTTTATCTTCATAAAGTGGTAAACCTGAATTGGTCGAAGTCATAGACCATGATCTCTAGACGGCACTGCGACAGCTGAGCTGAGGTCACCTGAAAAGAAAAATACAAAACACTTTTATCATTATTCAGCCTTTTTTGACATTTCTGAATATTGGTCGAATCTCTGTATGGTTTTTTAAGAAGAAGTTATGAACTTCCCAATCTGCAATACTCCCTATCATTTTCAGGAGAAGAATGCTTAGATGCTGAATTTTCTTGAACATTATTTTGAAAAAAGCATATCACAACCCTCTTCTTGAGCACTACAAAATTTTCGAAAAAAAATTATTCTTTCTGTTAAATCTTCAAATTCACCTGGAAACAGAAATCTTCTTCAATAGTAGGCGAAGAAGTAGAAGTGAACGTCTTTGTCTGATGCTCAACTTTTGGAACACTTGCCTCCGGTACCTTTTAAAATTACGGTGTCTTATTGCTTTGGTGGGTGAGCTACCTCCAGAGCAACACGGAAGTACGGATTAGGGTTATCTTCATCCCTTTTGGATGGCAAGTCGATCGCTTGTTTCAGAGAAACGGTCAGAAGGCTGAGGTTTGGATCGTGGTGGACGCTGAGATGCATAGATCCAGTGGAGACCATTGTCATTGAACTACACGCGGACTCGTCAGCCATCTAGGAATATTGCATTGGAAAAATGTAGATAGATGAATTTATTCAGAACTTGACTTTGGTAGATCGAAACTTTCGATAAACAAGTTGACGAAAATAACTAGAAATTCATCAAACTTCAATTTGCAAAATTTTTATGCAATGACATCTTTTTATGTATAAAAATGCCTGACGAGCACATCAATATAACGAAAAATTGCAAATTACCTGAAATACAAAGATACAGAAAAATTCGGTTACATGAACTGCATACCTGACACTGATACATTCCTCGGTCGAGTTGGTTTTGGTGTGGATTGGTGAACATACTGCGGTTTTTTTTCTTCGCCTGGGGTATGGTGAACAATCCGGATAAGTCTCCTTTTGGCAGAGGAAGCGACAATGCGCTTCGATCTCTCATTTGGTCCAAATACGATGCTGCTCTGAAAATCCACTTATTCGAGCTCTCATGTCGAAATATTTGAATAATCTCTTAGAATTGAAAGGCAGCCTCATTCGCTAGAAAATCTATGTGACATTTCCTTATTTTTTGATCTTCATTATTGAAAGAAAAAAGAATGGAAAAAGCGTAAAAGTTGTGAAAAACAAGAAACTCTGTTTTTCAGAATTTCGGATATTTTCGTTGTCTTTCTCTTTCAAGGTTTCCCCCTGAAACGTTTTCATTTTTCAGAAAATTTCCATTGTACTCGAAATAAAAGAAAAAAAACTATTTTTCTCACGGATCCTAGAAAATTACTCCGTAGTAAATCGTCGCAGATAGCCGACGCAGGTGAAAAGTACCCCGTAATCATGGAGCAGAGGCATTTCAATAGAGTCAGTAATGAAGCGAAAAGCGAGCTGGATTCCTTTCTGGGCAGTTTGAAGCAGAATGCGAGCATTAAACGAAATGTGGCGTGAATAACTTCGGCTCATTTAAAGAACCACAGAACTCTCGAAATAGGAAGAAAAGGGAAAGACTAACGGTTCAAAAGGAACATCGTCTTCAGTGTCCATCCGGTTGAACGAAGCACATCTCACTCTCATCGGAGGTTCGGTGCTCATGTCCAGAATGTTCTGATCATACCTGGAAATTTAAAATTTTAAGTTTTTTTGAAGCTTGTTAAAGCAAAAAAAGGTCAATCGCTCTAACTCAAAAAGCGGCCGTAGCACTTCGAATTTTTTTCAAAAAAACTGTGCTAAACTCCAATTTTTTTAATGACAATGAACAAAAAAAAATAATCAAGTTTATCCAGTTGAGCCACACGAATGAAATCCAATTTATCCTTCTCCCAACATATTTTTCCGGATAAATAAGCTTGTGTATTATTTTGTTTGCAAACATGATTCGTTATGAGAGGGAAGACAACAAACCAATTATTTCGTTGCCTCGTTTTGATGAGTAATCCGACTGCAACCACCACGATCACAATGACGGTGCTCGAGAAAAAGAGGACAAAAGTCTGAACCTCCTCGTTAATTGTTTACTTCTCTTTAATTACAATCCTTCTATTCAATTTCTTTCAATTTTAATCAGATGAGAGCGTTTGCAAAACTTCCTCGAGCCAAGAGTAGAGACTCGAAAAAGGTAGCGATTGGAAGACTGATGTGTTTTAAGATTTTTTCTCGAATAACTGATTTATGCCAAATGAACTCTCAGAATCTTTTTGAAACATCGAAAGCATTCCAGTTTCCATCAAAGTTCAAAAGGCAAAGTATTCAAGTGGAAAATTAATTGAACTCGCCTCTGGTGTGCTTTGGATCCTGTCGATAAGAGGCTCTTCATAGTCCATCTTATAGGAGCAAAGTCTATTTTTCCTGTAAATACTTCCTTGGAAATTACGACATAGATGGGAAAAATGGTTATTTAAGGAAAACGAAGAAATGTAGAGATTTTAGTAGATGACAAAATGGGACGTGGAGGTGTCATCTTTTCAGTGAGAAAAAAATAGCAATTAAAGGCGATCTCGTGGCGAACATGCGCTAGAAATGCAAACCAACCGCCGTAAAAGCCGAAGAGAGAAATAAACAAAAAGACAACGCAAAGTTAAAGGTGAATAACTCCAGGAGTGTTACTTTTTCAAGTGAATGCGCCAGGAAAAGTCTCGCTTTTTTCACGCCTTTTCCTTATCACCATGAGAACCGGCTTGTCATTTTTCCGAGCTTTACTTTAACAGATCTTGGTATCCAGATAGAGAGAAAAGTAAGTACGGTCGCATTTGAAAGTTTAAAATGCTTTGCAAGCGTTTTAAAGGCGCAGAAAAGCTCGCATAGAATATTTCATTGCGCAAGAAGTGAGTGGGAAGCCAGAAAGTTCGCGTCATTCATATAAAGACTGAAACGCTGGAAATGAAAGGGAATTAGTTAGTTAGGTTCAAGGAAAACGTCAACCTAATTTGTCGCACCTTTTTGAAGGAAATCTATTTTTATTCTGCAAGGAACGGATCCTTTTTAAACGTCCTTGATAGCTGAGGCAACCCATTGCAAAAAATTTTTTAAGGTTTCGGAAAAATTTTGGATTTCCGAAAACATAAATTAGTCTGGCAAAATAAAATAAACATTAGGAACAACATTTTTTTCGAAGATCGAAAAAATGTAACCAGTATCATTTCAAATTTGTAGCGAAATATCTGGGAAAAACAATTTACATGTCAAGTACACTTGGGCGAAGTATCCCAAACGTTTCTTCAAAACCAGAATTTGCAAGGGAAACATGAGAACATGCAGAGGCAACTATCAAAACAACAGTTATGGACTTTTTTCCCTTTTGCAAACACCAAGGAAGGCCACAGTAGTCCTAAGAATTCCAAGAGTTCAACATTCGCGTGAAGCCACTGCAGAAGCTCCGAAAAGTGCAATATTTCTAGACCGAACAACCCAGTGCTTACTGGTATCATTCTTCAGCTGCAGACGGATATTAGCGTCTATTCACCTTTTTTTCCGTTCGTAGAGCGGCTCAAACCCAATTATCAGTTCTTCACGTCAAGCCGGGCTTCATCGGCAGACAAAACAAGCAGCCGCTAATAAGGGTACTGCTCATCCGGGTCTATTTGTGTTCAGGAATGTTCCTCGCAAGTTTTTTTTTTCTAGTGGTTCTCAGGAAGCTCACTGAATTTGAAGATCAGAGTCTTCATAAAGTCTGTAAAGCAGCTGATCCAACAACCGGATACGCGAGTTTGAAAATAAGAACTTTAATTTAATGTCCATCGAAGTTTTAATCGAAGAAGGCAACCCATGCACTTGCGAAATAATCCGTGAATTAGCTCAAACAATGTTACACATTTTCCTACTTTTCAAAAAAAGACGTTTCAAAAAAATTGAAAGAAAAATATGAAGTTGAATGAATAATAATGAAGCGAATAGTGAAATTTTTTTATTTTATATCCTTTCCAACAGCAAAAAAAAACAAGAAATAAAAAGTAGGAAAACTGTCAACAAGATGTTTAGAACTTTGATGAAGCCTTTCTTTTCGCCTTTCGTTCTGTTTTTTTCTTCAACTCAACAGAATTTTTCTTATGAAAATAGAAGAAGCCTGTAAAAAAATCATAGTGTTTTTTTGTTTCTTTTCCATAAAACTTCAAAAAAATACATCAAAAAAACGGCACAAGGCTTTTTCAAACTTTTTTTGTTTACTTTTTTTGAGAAGTACAAAAAGTAAGGAACTCAAGAAAGAGACCAGGTGAAAAGACGTTAACTATCACCTGTCTACCTCCCAACTAAAGTAGATAGTTCAATTTAAAATAATTGTTTAAAACGAAAGATTTTTCACCTGCGGCTTTTTCTGCAGATCTAGTTCTAATGAATGCATATTTAGATGAAAATTCGAATAAGCTACGGAATATTTTTCCTAAGCGGTAGAGAATTTCATGAGGCACTGCGAAAGTATACTTTGAGGACTTTTTTTCTTGCAGATTACTAATTTTTTTCTATTATCTTCTTTTTGTCATTTCATAAAGCTTCAAAATTGATGCAACTGGATTTCAAAGTGCATTATTGCCATCACTCAAAAAACTCTTGAAAAAATCATTTCAAGACTTTAATTTGAGGTTTCAAATAAAAAATCTCTATATCTGCATTGAATTTCATATAAAAATAAAGGATGTATTGGAATTTGACGTTCAAAAAGGCGATTTTTGCCAGTTGAATAAATTTGAAGATAATCCAGAAATCCAGAAAAAGAGTAATGCGAATGAAGAACCATCAAACATCTAATGGGAGTCGAGTTCTCTGATTTGCACGCGATACTCCGAGGAGTTGCGTGAACGGAAATGAGAGGAAAACGGCGCAAAAGTGTTTTATTATCTGAGCAAGTGGGATGAATTATGAGAGAAGGCAATATTTATGAGAATTAGAAACTTTTAAGGAGAAAATCTAAAAAGAAAATATAAGAATGCTTTTTAAAGGGAGGAGATAATTGGAAAGTTTTTTTCTTTTTTTATATCAACTGCTAAAACACTCAAAAAAAAACGTCTGCATTCGAAAAATGAAAATAAAAGAAGTTGTGCAGATCTCTAATTGCATCTTGAAAAACCATGCCCTTGCAAAATAATGAAGGCGCTTTCAATTGAACTAATTTTTTGATTCTACAAGCCTAGAAAAGATGGAAATCCGAGTGAACGCTTTGGGAAAGGCAGCGGTCTATGCTGATGGTGAATATTTTGAAACGGGGAATTCACAATGAGAGCAGCATCGAGTCCCATGTGTTCCTGCCTTGTATTAATTTGCTGTCCTTTTTGCGCCTCGTCGGAGACGTTTTTGGAATATTCGAACTGAAGGAAACGTTTCTCATCCATGCATAAACAATAAGAAAACATCTGAGAATGGGGAAAGTCTCGGTTTTGCAGATTCATTTTCGACTAGTCAAATAACTTCAATAAGTTTTGAGAATCTAAAAGTTTGTTTGTTGGAGCGGAATGTTCAATGTACAGTAATGAAAAAAAAATTTTTTTCTCAACTTTCATTTTTAAAAAAATGATCTTTTTTATGATGATTTTTTTACTGGGAAAAATTGTAATAATTGGCTTTTTACTTGCTATCTGTCATTTCCAAGTTTCAAAGAGAAATACGGTCTTTATTTACAGCTATTGAAAAATGACGCTTTTTTTAAAAAGTTTTTGTGAAGCGTTCAAATCAAAAATTACTGACAGAAATAAAAAAATAAGAAAAAAATCCATCAAGAATTAAAAGAGTCATTGAACCTTTCAATGTAGCGGTTCGTTGGGAGAAAAAGATCAGGTTACAATTTTTCACGTAGAGATCCTTTTAACATGGGTTTTCAAACAAAATGACGAATTTTTGAATTTGCTCTGGATATTACGAAAACTGTTTTCAAGGAATTGGATGATCAAAATTAGGGAGAACTTTCATGAGACTTTGAATCATCCTGAGTAATTTGAACTTCTTCCAGTTTGACAAGGGTTGATTTCAAAAGCATCTTCGAAATTTTGTAATAACCTGAAAAAGTTCAAAAAAAAGACTTCTGAAAATTAATCTTGGATAGTTTTTGCCTTTCATTCGGAGTCCGTCTCTTCTGCCATGTCAAATTTTTCACTGCTTGTAAACTTTTCGAACTAAAGTTCCTTCCTCGCAGACTCATAGGTACAAAAAAATTTATGAAAAAACATGTGTAGTTCGCGCTATTACAGACGAGTTAATCTGCCATCACAGTATTTGTTTGATCGCGCCAAATTCCTCTGTAATTGGTCAAGTGAACGTTCGACACTCGGTTGGAACCTCGCTTCAGTAAGGAGGATACTCGGTTTGTTTCGATAACTTTTTTTATTATATTAATAGTTCATTCTGATTAGCTTGAGACATATTTGATTTCTAGACATCCCTGTGATTTGTGTCCAGCGGTGATTCAGATATCTTAATTCAGAAGCGGGGGGAAATTCGTATGTGAGCTTTTAAAGAACCTTGTTTGGTTTTCGCTCATTTTGAGCTACCCAACTGATTATTTTTCACACGTATGGAGGTTATCGCATTTTCCGAACATTTGTCCAATTGAGAATCGAAATTGTCAAAATTTTCGATATAAAAAAATTGGGAAATCGATATTGGTTTTTTTCCGCCATTTCTCAGCAAACGGCTTGATGTTCTAAACATTTTCAGGCTTCATGGGGGCCAAAGAAGCTTGGTTGTGCTCTGCGGTAGTCTTCGTTTTGTTCGCCATTTCAGACGCAAGAGTTTTCGATACTCGTTACAAAAGGCAAACAGGTTTTCTCATTTGATGAGAGTGGAAGTTTGAAAATGATGCAGTCGTGAGCACAAATGCACACACCAATGGACAGGCGGACAATGTCGAAACGGATGCTGTGGCCAACCATTTCAAGGTTAATCTTTAATATTTCTCAGTTTCTTCGATGACGGAGAAAGAGATCATCTACCCTCGCTATATTGCAAAAAGTTTCAGAGCAACCAAAAAAGCCTAAAAAAGGTGCCTACAAAAATTGACTAAAACTTTATCAAAAAGCAAAAACGAAGCTTTTTCAAATTTTGAATTAGAAGACCACAAAAAATTGATCGAATTTCATCTTTTTCGAAATATGCCAATATGAAAATTTCCTAATGAAAGAGGACCAAGTTTTTCCTAAATCTATATAAATGGAATTTACAGGATACCCAAGGAGTTATTGGCATGAACGTTTCTTCCACAGGCAATGCTACCGGAGCCGGAAGCTCGAGCATCAGTAACGTAGCCTCTGGACAAGTTGGAGACCTGAGTTCGTTGAAACTTTTCTAAATCTTAATCAGAGATTTTCTAAGCCCTGGACACGACTGGCGACGTGTCTTCGACTGGACAACATGCCGAGTCATACTCCGATATTTTTGCTGCCGTTGCTGGTGAAAACAAAACTGTCGCCTCGTTTCAACAGGTAAAACTTGAAAGAAAAAGTTGAAATAGCTGTAGGAAAATGATCCATAAAACATTCTTTTCGACTTTTTCAAATTTTAACCTACTTTTCATTGAAGTCGAAAAAAAAAGGAAGCTAATATTCATGTTTTTATCCGTAGAGCATAAAATGCTTCAAAGTAAACTGTTATATAATTATTTTTTTCGCTTAAACTTCGAGTTTTTTTTTTAAAAGAAAGCAACATTTTCTTCAAGATTTTGAGAAAATCATTAAAAAAAGTAATAAACGATATTAAACCTCTTGTGGTCATATCTCATTACTAACTGATACAAAACTTTTTTATAATGCTTTGAAAATGGGATCGACTGCAGTTCTCACAGTAAGGAGCAATTAGGTTAGACTGATGCTCAAAACGTTAAAATGTCTGAAAATTCTGTTCAATGAAAAATAAGTTAAGGGTAAAGCCAGCGGTGTCGGAGACACACAAGCGCAATTGGTCGCAGGAGCAACAATGAACAATAATGGAATGAGCAGTCCAAACAGTGAAGTTCCCATCATTTCAACTTCATCTTATCAACCGATAATCAGACGGTGACAACAACAAAGCTGTGGCTGGAGCTACAGGTTCTCAACAGTCTCAGTCAGAAGTTCTCTCGAGTCAGGTAGGATACATGTACCTTGGATTGATGTCACTTTACTCGAAAAAGGAGCATAGCACTTGCTGATGTACAGCTTTGTGCAAGATTTCTGAGCGACCCAGCTCTGATTCTGCTCTAATTAGGGCCGATTCTTGGATTTTTGTGATAGTTCAAGTGAATTGACCTCTTTTTCTAGAGCGTTAAATTTGTCTAATTCAATATAGACTTTGACTTGGGACACTCTTATGGCCCAACTCGTTGGATCAGCTGTCGCCGAAGGTATTGGAAATGCCCAAGCAAATGTTCAGTTTGAAGCTGGCAACGCAAATAACGGTATAGTTACAATCAAGATGCCGTTAAAGCATCATACTTAAGGCATCGAAATGAACGGATTGATGTCTGGAACGAATTCCCAAGATGGAAACGTCAATGCGCAGGTGACGCTTCTTAAGAGAAATTCGAGATATTCAAACTTTAGGTCAATGGAAATGGAAACCTGAACGGATCAACTCACGACATGCTTGGAAACATGTACGGCGACGTACATGGCAAGGGAAATTCTACTCTTGTCGGAGCATCTAGTCTTTCCAGCAACTCCTCCGAAAAGACTGGTAATCTTGAGTTCGATTGGGGTTGCTAAAAAGATTACCCAGATATCCACGCTTTTGGAGACGCAAAGGCTTCATCGGCTGGTAACAACTCCATTGACTTCCAATCTGAGACCAACCTCAACGAAAACGTAGGTTTTGAAAATAGCAAACTATTGTGTCAATTTAATAATAAGCTGTACCAAAAAGAAATAATCAAAACCGACCTCAAATTAGAACACCATAGTCTTAAAAAATCAAAACAATGAAAAAAAGCGATACAATCTTGTATGTAGACTATATTATACTCCATTCACCGAAAATCAAAACATCCTCACTTTTCTGCGCCCTACTTTCGTTTATCGAAATTTTCATAGAGATATCACACCAAAGAGAAATGAATATAGCCAGCTGTTTCAAGCTTTGGCGAATGATTTACAATTCTATTTTTTTGAATAAATTTCATGGTAGCTCCGTTTTAACTACACAACATTATTCTCTACCACTGCTTATTAAAACACGTCAAAATTAGACACAGAAACGTGTAATATTTCAAAGAGAACGATTTCTTGAACCTATCATTTTCGAAATTGCAACCTTGCAGAAAGGATCAGGAGAAATGGTTTTGAACGGAACAGCTGAAGGAGCGAACGTGGATTTGTCAGGGAACAACGGAATCAAAGTCAATGACATCAACGGCAACACCAGTCTGTAGACTTGCAGCTCATCGGAAATAATTAGCGAATCTAGCGGCGCTTGGCTCGAGCTCAGTTCATGGAACCGGCACGGAAGACGCTTCCAACGGATCTCTCGTCGTTGACACTTCCTATGGAAGCGATGGAAATACTCAGTAAGTTGGCAAACAATTCGAACATGGTTTTTTGCAGAAATGAAAGAAAATATAAGTAATGAGTTCTTCGCCGGAGTTTTCATTTATCAGGAAATAATCCAATCTCAAAGGGGTTGTGAAACATTTCTTTGTGAAAATGATTTTCGTTCATAATTCTCCGAAACGTTTTTGAAATGCTTCAATTTTTTTTTCTCTTTTTTTTCAGCGACCAGTTCATCACTGCTTATTAACAGCAAAGATTATAAATTAGCCAAAAAATCTATAAAGCTTAGTTTCTTGCAAAAACTTCACCACAGTTCATACATTGCTGGCCAGAAAAAATTTTGGATTAGGTTTCGACCTGTTTTTTTTTCAGAGTTATTTCCAAAGGAGAAGGAAACTCAATTTCTACCGGCGGAAAAAACTCGAGTCTTGTGATCGGGGCTGAAGCAGATGTTGCTAGTTCGAATGGCCTCAGCAATAGTGAGTTTTGGAACTTTTCAAAGCATCTAACAATTTCCAGTTGGAAACTCGAAGTTAAACGGAAGTTTAGTAAAACATATAAAATTGTTCTAGGTCGCGTGCTCCATCTCCGAAAAATAAAAAGTTAATCCCTAATTAATTCGACCCTGTTATGAGTAAAGCCTATTCGAAGCGACCATCGTTTTTCAAAGTTAAAGTGGCTTCTTTCCAGACGGGAAAGCGAACGCAACTGGGGTCGCCAGTGGTCAGTACAACAACATCACTGGAAACTCTTTTGTGAACGTGGATGGGACAATGTCCAATGGAAACTCGATGATGCAGGCGATCGGAGGCGGAGAAGGGCCTTCTGCCGCGGAAAGTAACGTCCAGGTGCTCCTAAATGAAGGCGGCCAGTTAAGAAGTAATCTAAAATTTTGACTTTCTATCAGTATAATCACATTTTCAGACGGAACTGTGAATGGAAAGGTTCAAGCAAGTGGTGACAAGACTTTTGTTCAGTCTATTTCCATCGTCAGTGATTACGCTGGTGAGATTTTTTGACGATTTCGATGTCCCTGGCTTCACCGCAAGTTCAGGAAAACATTTATTAGTGGGGAAAACGTATGTTAATTACGTTTATATTTCATGATAACAGAAAATGGAGTATATTATATCTTGATTTTGTATATAAATAAATTTCAACTATTCAGGGCAACAAACTTTGTCCAATTACCAACACGCGACTTCGAACTCACAAGGATCTTCATCAGCATCAGCGTCCAACGTCGGGATCCTCAAACGAAAGAAACGTTCTAACCTTTCACTTTGAAAAACCAATCTTCTTTGAAGCCTTTTTGTTCTCCTAGACTCCAATTTTTATGTGCAGGTTCAAAAACCGTTTGGAAATTTATGCAACAAAGATCAATGAATGAAAAAAAAATGCTCATGGAAATCGGTGCCGTCGAGAGACGCGTGGTCGCCGGATAAAATAATGGTCGCATGAGATGAGTCGCGTTTCTACGAAATCCCAGTTTTGCTGACAGGCAGAAAAATAGGGCCAGGGAAGTCGGTTGATTGGTGTGATCAGGCTCCTGGAGTAGTTTTAAATATGAGTTTATCCGAACCAGAGCATGATCCGCATTAGCACTGAAACTGAAAGAGCCACGGCGTTATTTTGTTTTTTTTTTATAATTGAAGTGGAAAGAGGTAAATAAGAAGCAAAAAAATTAAAATTAAAGTTATTTTTTTTGGAGCATTTTAACTGCAAAATGAATCGCACCCTTTTTTCTGTTTTCTCAAAATGAGAAAATTTTTTCTAAGTTCCAAGCAAACTGTTAGGCCTGTAACAAAAAGCCTTCTAATCTGGGACTTTCAACGAATGATCATATCTTCATGTCATGTTTTTGCTAGTCCCACTCAGAAATATATAGTGAGTTCAGATCATGCTCTCGGAGTTCATATTACCACGCGTTGTTTTTGATGCATTGAAACTTTTCGGTTCCAACAGTGCCGGCCCGATAAAAGAAGGCGTGCTCGAAACGGAGCTCCAAATAAGGGTATTGGGAGTCGGTGTGATTAAAAAGAACTTGGGTGGCGACTGCCTGTAAATTGTCGATTTCCTATTATCATTTGAAGTAAGCCACAATCATGTGAGGTCCAGCAGGAGTTCGCATCTGCCAGACTCCGGCCTGAGCTCTCGCAAGTCCAAAGCCCAGTCCACCATCTTCCCACAAAGGTTTGCAATTCGTTGTCGCGTAAGGATCCGAAGCAGCATGTCTCCTGAGAAACTCGATGAGACTGTTTATATAAAGATTAGACCTGTTCAATATTTTATGAAATTCCGATTGCGTTTTGAAAACTGGAGCCGGCAAGACGCCAATAAATATTTTCCTTGACTGAGGAGAAACCGTCACGCAAACCTGAACTTCCATTTTATTTTGTACCAGTTTGGTGCTTATGTATTAAATGCATACCTTTGGCTTCTTTTGTAAAACAATCATTCACAAAGGTTTTGAGATGTATATCGCGGACATTTTCCAAACGTTTATGATATTATAAGGCGAACGGACTCAAAAAAAAGAAAGATTATTGGTTGAGCGCCATAAGACACCAAGACAAGCTTCTCAAAAAGGATCAGAAAAGGCTTTAATGCAAATTGTGTTTTTGTGAAAAATGTGTTCCGAGTTGTATTTTTCGATTGTATCTTCTAGGAAAAAAATTTAAATTTGAAAAATCCAGTTCTAAATCGAAGAGTAGCTCTTTCTGTTCTTTTTAACAGAACCACGAAAATTCGAACCAGGTCCGCCATGCACACTAAAAAATGTTCCTACTCGAACTTTGGTTGAAATATTAAACCTAATACAAAGGAGAATTTTAAGAACCTTATCTATTTCTGGTGGAATGCTGTTGGATCCAAGCCCGTGCACAGATGTGAGCAGGACAATGTTCAAAAAAATCAGTATTACAGATAATACCAAAGACGAATAGAAAATGGTATAGTGGTAGACTTGAGATACATATCTGAAAAGTTACGTATTTTAAAAAGAATGTTCTCGAACCTAATGAAATTGCGGCAAAACTTATGCCGATGATAGAAGCTGTTGTGTCGACATGTGTAGTGATACAAACAGGGTAGACAGCACACAAGGCACGCTCCCACATATACTATTGAAGAGAGGAGAATCCAAACGACTCGCCAGAATCCTTGGAGGACCATTTTTGGAATCTGAGTTCTCATTTCATCAAAAAACGAAACCACAAATTTCAAACATCTTCTGGAAACCGATAAACGTCGTAGGAATCCTCGAAGATCAGAACTTTCTTTGCTTCGATCATACCATTTGTTTCCCCGTTTGCTATAACTTCTTCTCTCGTTCTCTGAAATTGAAAAAGAACGTACTGAAAACGATTTTTATGTTATTCAAGTTCAAAGAATTAGAAGCATTTTCATCGGGAATATACGATTTGTCAATTCATGAATAATTTTGAAAAGCCAAGTACTTCTGGATGAGGCCCGAGAGTTTTCAGCCTGGACCACCTAATCGGCCAGGTTTCGTCCATTTCATTCAACCTTCCTCCTTGGCTGGCGCTACTGTAATCACAAAATTGAAAAAATATCTGGTTTTGAAAATACCTCGTGTCAATTGCTGCTCGAAAATGCTGAAGGGCTGGTGGATTCACACTCACACCGGTCACATTTTTTTTCGGAGTTTTGGCGCAAACCATTCGTCTGAATTTGTTTCCTACCTTTTATTGAGATTTACTCACCTGTAAGAAAAATAAAGTACGGCTATCCTCCAAATTAATGAAATACAGCTCGAAAGAGACGAAATTATCAGAGGCCAAGAAAGAATCTAAGGAGTAATTTTTTTATAATGTAGTTATGAAGTGAGAAGGAATGGTGAGGATTTAAAAGGTTTTGATTATAGTTTGGTAAGGAAGAGCTTTTTTCCTCATTTTTAGAAAATTCGCTCACAAACAGGGAAATAAACTGAAGACCTGAGTTACCCTCGCTATTTCTTGACACTTTTTCTGAACAAACTTTCGGATTTGGACATCGACAAGCGGCAATAAAAAAATAGTTGAAGATAGTCATCGGAGCGTCGTGGAGCAGCATTATTAGAAAAGAAACCCGGAAGTTGTTGAATGCCTGGAATTGAACTTGATTCAAAACTCGAACCCTCATTTTCGGTCGAATAACCTTGCTGGTCTTACAAGAGCGTAAAGACTATAAAGTAAGGCTATTCGGTACAGTAGCCAGTTTTCAGGCAAGTTTTTGAAAAAATCACCAGGGAGAAAAAAAATTTTTGAAAAAATGGGTAAGGAGAAAAACCTTTGTTGTTAGAGTCAGTTTTCACCTGTTCAAAAATTTAGACAAGTGCTACTTTCGAGAGAATAATTTTTCTGAAACAGATTGCGTCTTCAAAAAACCTGCTTCACGTTCCCAAACACCAACTTCAACGTACCTGTGTCCATTCGATAAAATTTTCAAAAACTAGCGCACACCCGCTTCTATACGGGGTGATGTCCAACCTATGAGCAAATGCGTTTTCAACGCAAAGAACCTTAAACTTTTTTCTATGATTGCTGATATATTTTCAAAACTCACAAGCAAAAGCCATGTGAACATAGTTCCAATGACCGCTGTGGCGACCAAGGCAATCGCCAGCCACATGTTCAAAGGAAACGAAGTAACATATCCCTAGTAGAAAAGTTATATCATTGCTGTTATTCCTTATTGTTACCTTTATTGTAAAACACACGTGCAGCCAATCACAAACACAATTGGTGACATAAACGATGAAAGATATTGCGTAGAGAGCATGTAATGTGCGGCCTGAAGAAAACAGCTCCAAAGGTTTTGAACAGAATCAAGTTGAATGTATCGTTTGTCTCTTTTCCGGAGTAATTTTCTTATTTTCAGAAATTTGAATACTCCGGCGATAATATTTTTGAGGGACTACAAAAATCCTTTTTTTTTAATCTTCTCGCACTCAGAATTATCAAATATCTGTGAGTGGTCTTTTTTCTTTCAAAAAAAACCTTTTAAAAGCGGAGTACTGGAAGAAGCCATGGCGAAGCCGGAAGTGTAGAGGGTGTTAAGTAGAGCCAGCACATTTCCGGATTTAACCGACGGCGCAGTTAATGAATCTGGCATGATAACAGTTGAAGACTGGCAACCGAAGTCGTCAAGTTTTCGCATCGTGGAATCAGAGCGCATCCAGAAGACGTCCGGATGTGTATTTCCGGCTGTTGGCGTGCTGAGCGGCCTTCCATCCGGAGTCCTCATCGTTAAACGGCTTTCTTGTACCGACGCCAATCTCGAAATGCCGTTTTTCCATTCAAAAAATATTTTTCTAACCGCTCGTTTTTTGGTATTGAAATTTTTTTTGAATTTGTGGAAAAGAAGAATGCGGAATTCTTATGGAAAATGTCTGAACGAGCTCTACGAAGGAAATTGATTCATTCTCTTCAAAATGTTTGAATTGCGGATCTATAAAATGTTGATTGAAGTCTATTTGTTGATTTTTTTGAAAACATTGAGCTCTTCGAAGCACAAAAGGCATTGTAGCTTACAAGTAAGATTTCGCTGGAACATCGGTTTTAAAAGAAAAATAACCAAAGAAAAGAAGTTGTTTGAGTCTTCAGATCTCAAATTTGAAAACGACGTTCTGGTCTAGCAACTTGAAAACAAGCTTTCTTTTTTTTATCACAATGATAGCGCACAAGGTTCAGCTCTTTATAAATCGAACAGAGGACGAAAGAGAAAAAACTTTGTTTTATTTATCAATCGGAAACCTTAAAGTAGACTTCCGCTAAGGTTTTTTTGAAACCCATAGTTTTTCAAGAGCCGACGGCCTTAAAATTTTTGGAAATCATTAAACGAAGTTTAATGATATTTGAACTTTTTCTAGAAAAACTAGAAAAAAAGTATTGATTTTTTTAAACTTTCTTCAAGAAACGTCCAATTTCATTGTGAAAAAAACCTTTTTGTTAGATTATTTTTGATGATCGTGTTCAAACCTGAATAATAAGTTCATCTGTAGTTAAACTGTTCAATTGAAAACAAACATAAACTTTCATGAAAGCGTGTATTTAAATAAACTCAACAAAAAAATAAATCAAAAAGTCATGCGATGTTTTTTTCCAATCATCAATACACGTACATGGGACGAACACTGGGAAAGTTGAATCATTTAAGCTCAAATTATGCAGACACATACGATGAAATATAATTCGAAAAGTATGTTGAACTTTAAAATTATAGGGCAAGCCATATCCAAAAAAATTAACATATTACACGGCATACGGTAGCCAAGAAAGACCCAATTTTGGCATGAAATAGTGTTTGAAACAGTAGTATGAAATAACCAGGAGATATAATGAGCGACCAGAATAAGCTTCGAACTAGAATGATCATAATGACAACAAGTAAGATATACACAGGTTTAAAAAAAGTAAAATGGCTAGCCGTTGACGGAATGTTAAACACGTGAAAATTCAAGAAAAAAGACTAAAATATTACTGGCATAAGCACTGGGATTATTTGAATAGAGGTATGCAAACAACTAACAAACAAAAACAAAATCCTATGGGACGATTGGAAAGTTTTAAGTTTATGTCTTTTTATCTGTAGAGTTTTTGACAGCGTTTCTCGCCCAGAAGAACAACGAAAACGGGTTGTATTTCGTGATGTGGTGACCAAAGAAGAACAGAAGTACAAGCGCGACAATAACAAAACCAGCACGATTCCTGTAACTGGGAAATTTGAACGGGATGATTTTGAAAGCCTCACCTGGATCCAGTAAGAGGTCTAAGCATATCTAGGGTCGCAGCCACAATAAACAAAACTATCTTGAGAATTTCTACCTGAAATAACCATCAATTAGAAAAGATGGGAAGTATTTCTTACCAAAATGTTGGCTCCAGAGAGCGCGGCGCTACCCCAAATTGGAGCTTTACTTGCACGGACCTCGACAAGTGAATTCAAAGTCTCTTCCAGCCGAATGATCTACCCATTTTAAAAGTTTTATAAACAAGGTTCTGCCTTCTCTTACGTGGTTCTGGAGGCTTTCGATCTTCTCCTCAAGGTTTTGGATCCTCTTATCGTGTTGGTAATCTATTCGCTCGGCAATGTCGTTTTGTGATTTGATACTCTAAAATAGATAAATTTACAAAACTTTTTGATATAATTAAAAAAATTGAAAAACTTCAAAATCATGAACAGCTGGACGCTATAAAAGATTTCCGTTTTGACCTTGAAATGGATTTTTGGCAGATTTTAAAAATTTTCTCTCTTTGCTGAAATGACCTTCAATGCTAGTCAAACGCCGGAAAATCTATACAGATTTTTCATATTTCCTCACTTCGAATTCAGCTTGATGGAGGTCAATTGTGTCGTTTAGCATTTCCTCGAGTTTCTGAAAATTGGAGTTCGAAACCTCTGAAACAGGAAATAAGCTAACCGTAATCTTAAATCGCTCCTCATCAAGAGTAGACGCAAACGTCATCATTTCATGATCAAGGTCTTTCTGAAATGGAATTTGAAATCAGAAAAAAGGTCATCTTCAAACCGAAAGGCGTTCATATCGTTCCTCAAGAAAGTTGATGTAGTTGACCAAAATTTGCATTTGTTCGTTGAGCTGCGGAAGGAGGTCTTTATGTTCGATTGGAATGACGGCAAGCGGCGATAGCGGAAAATGGAGGCTGGTATTGCCGAGGCCTGACTGAAAAAATATTGTCGTGGGAAAGTCTAGACATAGAAATAAAATTTATTTTTGAGGGAGGTCTTTTGAAATTCTCTTCAAATTTGCTTAAAAACATTTATAGATGCAAAATGCTTCATTGACTTTTCAAAGGTTATCGAAATATTATTTCTTTCTCATCATACAGCTCAAGAAACTTGATTTCAAAAATGGCCTGTTTTCACTTGAGTCTCTGAAAAGTTCAAAAAAGAAACCCTGTTAGACATTTCGTCGCAAAGACTGGCATCAAGAGAATGAATTTGTTCAGAAGGTTTGGTTCCAGCCCTTTCTTCAGACACATTGCTCCTGGCGTCAAAGTCATCGTCATTCGTCGGAATCGTTCTCGATTCTTCATTTGCTTGTGTTGCAGCAAAATCAACGGGAAAATCTGTCATGCCCATCCGCATCCCAGGTGGAAGAGTTGAACTTTGCTTCACTAAGGATCTGAAAAATCAATTTTTAAAGATCAGATTCGAGAAAATTTCGCCAACTTCTCAGGTGTTTCAGCTTTTCCATCGGCGCTTTGACGTTTTTGCGAGGAGTAGAAAGTTGACTTCCCAACCCGTCCATCTAAAAAGGAAACAGTTAAAATTTCCACTCAAAAAGTTAAAGTTTATTCGGGTGATTCAGAGGTAGAGATTCCAAAAGTGTTGAGATTGAGGCTTAACTGGGCGTGACTATATGGAAAAGGCATCAGATGGTGTGACTAAGAATACCGAATACGGCACATAAAGCAAAAATGCAAACACGCCCTACGAAAACGCATAAATATCTGCACTTGAGCCGCCAGTCAAGGTCAAACTCACGAAAAATGCACAGTATGCCTCTCAATTTTCTCGCTCTATTTGTTCTATGCTGCTTTGTTGGATTTTCTTATGGACTCGAATGCAACTTCGGTAAGTTTCTAATAGAAAGGGTTCAAATATCTATAATTTGAAAACGGATAATTCTTATCTCAACAATACAATTTCACAGAGCTTAGCTATTCGGCTTACACAAGAACTAATTTTTTTCATCTTTAGGCAAGAACGGATTCAATCAGGTCTATAACACGCGAAGCTGTCCAAGCGGTCAAAACTTTTGCGCAACGTGGGAAAATATCATGAACATTCACATAAAATGGTTTTTTTTTCAGAATCGAAGAAATTGACCAAGCCAATAATGTTGTTGACGTAACCAGGGATTGCGTGGATTCTTCCACGTGCACGGTTAGTTATTTTCATTGCGTTTCTTTACTAGTTATAGAACATTTTTTTGCAGCCAACATGAAAGGGCAATAAGGCTCACCCCAAGACTTTTCGAAATTAATTTGCAGTTTATTAAAAAGGAATTAAAGCGATAGGACTCTGATTAATACCCTAAAACAGTTCTATCCCAAACATCAGCGCGACCGCGACGCTGTGAGCTATCCATATGTAAAGATTTCAAAAATTCACTGAATTCGCGTACACGGAACGGAAAGTACAATGGCAGCTTCGATTATCATGAAACTTCTTGAGATTTCTCTTTAAAAAAAAAACCATGATCGCAAAAAAAAAAATTTCTAGGCTTCTCCGTCTGGCTCTAAGACAAAAGTCCAGAAAATTTGGACTGTAACTGTAATCAAAGTTATTTTAAAAAAATTCCAGAAAAGTTTTCTCAAATCCTCGAGCTGTGAATATCTATGTTTTCCAATAATGTTCAAATGGTAAAATTTTCGATTTCAGTCAAATGGCTGTCATGACACTGGAAGAAATTATGCTTCCCACTATCAACGGATCTGCTGCTGCAACAAGAACTACTGCAACGGCGCTACCACTGCTCTCACTTTCGGACTTCCCATCGCAGCCTTGACCTACTACTTATACAAATCCCTTTGACCAGCTGTGTTTGTAATTTGAGTCTGGACACCTTGACGAAGAATTTTGAAATAAAATACGAGCATTTGATCTTTGGTGCCCAGTGTAAAAGCACGCGTTTCATAAAGCTACTGGAACGACAGTTGTCTTTTTGTGCAAGTACGAACAATTCTCGTCGTGAAATTATAACTCACCGAAGTTTTTTGACCTATGCGATCGGATATCGTCGGCTGAGCCGAAGGCAGACTTGATTTTGTGGGCGATTTCCAGAGGTCCAGAAATCACATTCTCAGTCATTCCCTTGATGTTGGTACCAGTTCTGCTAAAATTTATCATTCTATCCATTTCTACTTTTTGAGTATTACCGTAGCCGGCTGCTTTTTGTGGGACTTGGCTCATATTCTCCGCTGTTGATCTGCCGAAGTTTTTCTTCATAGTCAGCTAGTTTTTTCTGGAAAACATTTAGTTCCACTTGAAAAAAACATCTTGCAAATTTGGTACCTGGAGAGCATCCGAATCTGATGTATGTTTGCGATTCTTCCGTTCGAAATTGTGACGCATACGGTTGATTTGGGGATTGTCTCCAAATCCATGCGCAGTTTCCACTTTCTTCGTCGACTCGATGAACTTCTCGACGTCAGCTGCAGACAATTTCTTTTTGAAAGGAAGATCAACTATGATTATGTACCGGCACGAACTGCGTTCAGCTCTTTGAGCTGTAATTTGCACTCATCTATTTTCTGGGTTACAATTGATCGTTCTTTCTCTTCAGCTGAAACTTTGAGAAAACATTGGTGTGATCATTTGAAGTTTAAGAAAACCATAAGAACTGCTTGCACCTTCTGAAGAACGCACGCTACCCGTTTCTGCCATTCCTGGAAAAATTTTTGAGATCTGCTTGAATGATAAAATATTGAAACAGCGAAGTGAAACAAAAAAATTTTTTTATTATCCGCTATCAGAAAATTTTTTTAATTTTATCAGGATATTTCTTAAAAAAAGAAGAAAACCTTAGAAGTGACAAAAAAAGAATAATTCTTAGCATTGAAAACCTTTTCATCGCCATCAGACTCAAGATCAGTAAATGGTTTTTTTTTCCAATTTTTTACATTCAAATACATGAAAACTGAAGATCGAAGTCATTAGAACAATTAGAAAAGAAATAAAAATGGCCAACGAGGATCGATGTCGTAAATGCAAGGTTATCAGCAGCGATTATCGAAGAGAACTGTCGCGCCACATTTTTCCACCAATGACCAAAAGTACGTAGTCAGAAAAACTTTATCACAGGGCAAAGTACATCTTAAATCACTGATATTAATTTGGAAAAAAGAGCGGTAGTGAGTCACGCCACGTGTCTGGCTCCAATTTTCGACCGCGTCGATGGCAGTCACTTCTTTTTGATTATTCAAAACCCGGCAGAAAAAATACTACCACAACAGGAAGCCAGCGGCGGACGCACTACTCGCAGCGGAAATGTGGGTTCCAACTGGGGATGAGAACTTCTGAGTGGTTTCAAATACGTTTTGAGGGTCAAAGTGTACCCTTCATACTATGAGGGCAAATTATCTTTTTTGTGAAGCATTGCAGATAACTTTAGCCGGTTTTTCAATGAGTGGGTGCGTCGCTTACTCTTTGAGACAAAAAGGTGGCAATTAGTGAGGAAACCCTGATATTTACTTGAACTTTGTTGATAAGTCTGTCTAAGTTATAAATTGCTCGTTATTTAATAATAAAGGAAATCAGGACTTCAATCGTCGCTGTTGAATCTGAACAAGGTTGAAAAGAAAAGCACATGAACGAAAATATTTTGCATGAAAACCAGAGTTGTCTTACTTATTTTTACCTGCTATCTAATGACGATTCTCTAACAACACCTAGATGAAATATGGCGCTCAATATACGATGAAAAAAGTTTTTTCGGAAGGAACAAAAAATGATGAGCTGGTTGAAAACTCAATCTTTAATCCACCTTAATTACTTTCTCAGGAAATGATAATAAGTATATATTTTGAAAGCAAAATGTTTTAAATGGGATTTCTCAACTCTAAATGAAGGAAATATTTTGGTGAAAATTGACTGGCACTTGATTGAAAGCACGTCAGCATTCTGTCCAACTAATCACTCAGCATAGATCATCAGTAGGTAAACAATTATGAACCGAACAGCAAAAAGGGGAACATATAAAAAGCTGTTTTTACAGCGAAAATATGTTAACACAACTCGTCAAACGCCAAATATAAATCTGACGGGAAAAATGAAGAGTTTTTATTGGGGTGCGAAATTGACTTTGCTTCTTTGAAACAATCGATTCCACGTGCCTACTTGTTTTTGTTTAGCAGTTTTGTCAGCCAAACAACATAATCACGAATCACTTTGCTTAACTTTTTTCATCAAGATAGTTTTGATAATTATTAAGTTGTAGGTATCCATGGAGTAGTACTGAAAGAATATGTTCCAGAATCAGGCTAGCCTAATTTGACTTAACTTTGTGGGAAAAACTAATTTCGAGCCAACAAAAATAATCATGAAAATTTGAGAAAAAAAGCAGTTTTTAGATCCTTTCAATCCTATTTTTAGAGTGGTTTTACATATTAAATGTTTAATACTTCGGGCGAATTTCCTTTTTTTCTCAAGTAAACTTTTGCTAGATTTTTACTAAAACGTTTGGCTTAGATCTGAAATTAAGGAAAAAAAATCTTGGTTTCTGAGAATTTTTAAGATTTGATAATTTCTTCGAGAAATTATTGAAGTATTATCGTATTAACTATCGAGTCACTTTTTCTGAAAGCAGAAATTCTTAAATTCATGCATAATTTTTCAGTGTTAACTGCGCAAAACTTCAAAACTCTGTAGCTCAAAAGTTGAAGGTTCGGGAACAAATAGAGAATTCACGTGTTTATGCAAATTCATTTAATTTTGTCCGAGCCTGTTTTTCTCCCAAAACAGCTAAAACGGAATGAGAAAACACCGAACAGGTGAAAAATCCACCTTTAACAAGAGTCAAAACGAAAAAGTCACCGGAGAACTTCCAATAATGAAAATTGACAGTTTTTGACACGCTAGAGTTACTACGATGTGAAAGAGTGTGATTAAGTAGATTGAAAAAAGAAATCATCGTAGAGGTTTACAAAGTTCCATCTCCCATGTAGAGAATGACGTTTTATTTTCCCGCGAGGTGAAATTCAAGCGTTTGAAAACGGTGATGTACCAGCTTAAGGAAGCTCCTAATTGAATTAGAATCTATTCAGGTTCACGCACATTTTTGCATAAATTCAGAAACCGTAATAAAATTACACCAATAAGGCGGTTGCACTTGGACAAAAGCTCTCAATCGGCGGATCAAGTGAGGAAATTGCGAGCCGACGACCAAATTAGCAGCGCTGAGTCAACAGAACAAGAAGAGTCTGAGGGTTGTTGTGTTACTCTCGCGCTCCGCGCTCACCGAGCCCCAACGCAACAAAAAGTGGCGACGAAGAGCGTCGCTCAACTTTCCGCTTTTAAAGACACCCCACAAGCTCCGTCGAGAGGGCTATATTTCATCCAATGTTTCTTTTGTCCTTCTCATTCCATTTTTTCCAATTTTTTCACAAAAAAGAACTTTAAAAAAAGGAGCAAAAAAAGATGGGACGGAATTTCAAATTCATCGGCACCACTATTCATTCATGAGGCTTGGCTGAAGACTACGTTTGGAAGAGAAAGCTGAAGAGGAAAATTGAGGAAAGTTTCGAGTATCTCAACAATAATTCTGATCTGCTAAACCAAATAAATTGCCGTGACAAGGTTTAGTAAAGGTTTTACTCGGATCCAACTCAATGAAAATTCATAATATTTTTCAAAAATTTATTCAAGTAAAGAACTGACTCTCGCCGACTCTCCTCTTTTGAGCGGAAAAATTTGCATGTTTCAAAAAAACTTCAAAAGTATTGAGCAGTGAAAAGTTCAATTGAATGCAAACAGCGAAATTGAGCGGATTCTAGCGACTACGTATCAAAAACAATAAACATGTAGTAATCGGGAAATGGTTCAGCGGAAAACATCAATGATTCTGGTTTTGCGATGAGGTAGTGAATCTTCCATGTTTGGACATCAACGCACAGGCAAATAAATAAGAGTCGCATACGGAACTTTGGCAGAATTCAATTATATTGATTAAATGCAAAAAAATCGAATTTAGACAGTCAAAGGGAATTTTCTCACGTGAATTAGAGCACTCAAAAGTTTTTCGTTTCATCTTTTTCAGTTCGGAAAATCACTAAAACACTCCTATAAATGCTCTTTTCTGCTTGCTCTTGAATTGTAATAGGAGAAAACTTTTAACAGATACCGTAATTTCAAAGAAAACAAAAGAAAGCACAGAAAATCGACCATATAAACAAAAAGAATCGGGAGCAAGAAAAGAAAACAGAAAAACGTAAACAAATTGAAATGACCACCGAGGTCCCTTGTAAGAGAGAGAAAACGCGCGCCGTCGCAAGTCGTCGAGAGGAGTGTCGTCTTTTTTTACTGTGCATTTTTTTCTTTATCGAAAGTTTTTCGGGTGTATTTTTCATTTTGAATATTTGTATTAATTGGAAAAAAATAGTAGTAAATGCATGTTAGAGTTGAGAAAAAAACTGATGAATTTTTCGTTTCTCTTACTTTCTTTCACATAAGTTTCATCTTCAAAAGAATAAAATTTTTTTGGTTTTTTTGGCTGGACAATTTTTTTCAAAATCCCCAAAAAAATGTTTTTTTAAAAAAATTTATTGCAAAAACGTGAAAATTCGGAACTATCCCACCCCAAATAAAAAAAATAAAAAAACTGTATATTTAAAATTTTTTTATCAAGGTTCTGTTCAGCGGGTTCTAATTAATTTTTTTATTTGAATTATTAGCTTTTTTTAAAAGTTGTTGATAAACCTAGAAATACTTAGAAAACTCTGAGTAAGGAATTTTTTCTATTCTTTCGATAACGATTTTCTCAAAAAAGTTCTCTCCCGACACATGATCCATTTTGCATTCCGCAGCTTTACATTGAAGTTTTGTACGAATATCCCTCACAAAAGTTTATTTACAAACCAAAAAATGAATAGCACAGTGAAACGTAAACACAACCCGATATGCTGAAAAAGAAACGAACAAAACGTAAACGAAGAGCGCATTGTTTAACAGAATGCTGCCGTCGACTGCATTTTTGGTAGTTTACAGTTACTCCGCCGTCTGCAATGTCACAAAAAAACAAAAACAGGAGTTTAAAAAAATAAAAAAATATTTGGGCTGTTTTTAATAATGACTAGCAACGTTTGGTGGGATGGAAGGCACAGGAAAACATTAACGGTAAAAAAAGTTCGGACAATAGTCTTCTAGTACATGAGAAGAAGATTTTTTTCAAAAATACTGGAAAAATTTCTGAGAGTTTCTTGATTATAATCAAAAAAATTTTTGAAAAAAAAATTAATATTTTTAAATTTTTTTGAAGCGATTTCTTTTTGATTTTATTTTTTGGAAAACGCTTTGTTTGCAAATTCAAAGTATTTGGTCAGAGCAGAGCAAAAGGTGTTAGATAATAAAATTGCAATTAAAAACGAATTTCGGTTAAATTTTCAGAAAATTCTATGAAGAAAGTGTTTTACTTTTTTTGAAAAAAAATATTAGTGAGTTTTAGAACTTTTTTTATAAATATAACTGGAAGCAATATAATCAAACAAACAATGACAAAATGAAGCAAATAATTAAGTTACAGAGAAAAAAATAAATTAAAAAAATTTTTTTCAGTTTTTTTACATATTTTTTTACATGAGGGACATAGATTCATCTTTTTGTGGAAAAATTTGAAGACATCATCTTGGGAATGTTCGGAATCTGAAGAGTCGCGGTGTTCGTTGCGGTTGAGTACTCCTTCCAACAAGCCGTTTTTTTGGTCAATCTGTAAAAAAAGTCATAAATAAAAAGCTCAAATTAAATGAAAAAAATATTTGAAGGAGATGAAAAAAAGTTTGTAAAAACTTTAATTTTTATCTGCCGGCTGATTTCGTTTGTTTGTAATAATTTACAAAGAGATGGAATTGAAACGAGAAAAAAATAAAGAATTTGTTGAAAAAAATTTTTTTCTCACTATGCAGCCTCATTGCCAAAAAGCCTATCTTTTTCCTTTTTTTCTATATTTCAGGCCTTCAAACAATAAAATTCATTAAAAAAATTGAATGATCGCAAAAGGACTTTATCTGAGGTCCATAGAAAGAGGTTATTTCGGGGAGCGGTTTTCGACTTTCAGTCTTCATGTATGGATTGAAAACATAAATCTTACGCTATGCCATCTTGATCGTCGTCCTCTTCTGTGGCCAGCTTCAGGTACGGATTTGCCACTCCTGGACGGAATTTCATTCCAACAACAACGAAAAACAAGAAAGTGACCAATTCTACCACGGCCAGCACCACCCAATCAGCCTTGGCCGGTAACAAAACCTGCAAAAAATATAAAATATTCTCAGTTCTAGAGAAACCAACCTTTAACATAACGGAAAAAAGTCGAGTTGTGTAGATGTAGGCAATGACAAGGATGTAAAATTGCCTGAAAAGGCGGAGTTTTGCCAAATTGAAAGCAGCTTTTCCGTCGCTGCTAGCACCGGCGTGAAGATGTTGGATAGACCTCAAAACAATCAAAATGAATTTTTTTTTTTCGACATTTTTTCTCACCAAACAATTGGTAGAAGAACAGCAAAGCAGCATAAAATATCCAAGAAAACAAAAAGTTTCAGCCACATTTGATGACTTTCTTGTCCAATTTCACTCTCGCTCAGGATTATCAGAAAAATGTTATCCAGAACCTGGAATTGAAAAAAACTTACTTTGGACTGTTTTTTTATGGAATTGTTTTTGTAGGGCGTTTATTTTTAAAGGAAAAATTTTTTTGATTAAAAAAATTTATTAATTATGTTTTAAGTTTTACTGATTCCCTTTGAAAAAAATTTTTTTGAGATTTTTCAAAAATTTTTTTCTCTAATTTTTCGAAAAAAATTCGAATGTTTCTGAACGGATTAAAAAAAGGAAAAGTGGAAAAATTTTAGAAAAGTTAACTTTAAAAAATCTCAAAATATATTTCCGCCAAGTTCCATCAAATTTTGAACCGAAAAAAAAAAGATATGTCTCTACCAAATTTCCCTAAATCTGAATTTTAAACTTCGAAAATAAAACACACCTGAAACGGCAAAACCACCATAAATACTTTTCTGTCTCTGTCGGACAAGAAATTCTTCATGAAAGTATAACCCGTACCAATCAAAATAATCGTTCCAAACAGCAACGCTCCTTTCAACCTGAAAAAAATTACACAGTATTTCAAGTCCTACCAAAACTTACAAATGAGTTATATAATAAACCACAGCCCAAATCTCTCGTTGGTGTCCGTATTTACTGACGAAGTAGTAATTCACGCCGTGGAAAAGTAAAGAAAACGCTTTGAGGAACACCAGAATTGCCATTAGGTAGTGTACACGGTAAACGTCTCGTTTTCTGTAATTTCAATGAAAATTAAGGGTTGAAATTGATAAGGTTGCTCACTCAGCAATGCAAAGACGATGTGCCCAGAAAAATGCGGTGAAAAAGAACAGCATGGAGACGTAGAGAAGAACTTGTGGTTTGGGAATTTCATTGATCGACAGATATGAATGAACATTCCGTTCAATCATGTCCACAGTGAAGTCCACGGCAACCCGGTCACTGAAAATTGAAACATATGTTTTTGACAAACCTCAATGGAACACTTATTTAATTAGTTTTCAGAATAACAGAAAATATGCCTTTGTAGTTTCAAAAACTTCTGCGAGGAATCTTGCGAAAAGTGAAATTTCTTTGAAAATTCGTTAAAGTTACCTGTAACCGTGAGCGCGGTAGTTGTAGCAATTGTGAAATATGAAATAATAATCACCCATGATTTTGCCATCAAATCGAATAGAAATCTGAAAAAAATTAGAGCTTTCCATGTAATTTGTCTTTTTTTATTGTCGAAATTAAAAAAAATTTTTTTAGTTTTTTTATGTTCTATTCCAGTGCATGGTTAAGTGAAATTTGAAGTAGAACTAAAATTTTTTCTTTCACTCTCGAAAAATAGGGAGGAAATTCAACATTTTCCGAACACTTCAAACTAACAAATAAATCCGTAAAACTAAATTAATAAAGCTAGCTCAAAAATCGTCCTCTTTATAGAACGAAAACTTCAAATAAATTTTCTGAAGACATTTTGACCACAATGGAATAAATTAAAGAAGGAAAGGCCGCAAAAAGTTTGCCGGAGGTTGAGCTTAAAAAAAGAAAGATTCTGCGGAAAATCTTTTGATATAGGTTCAGTGGTTTTTGATTATACAAAGCAATTAAAAAAAAGTTACATTTGTTGAAAACTGGTTCGAGTTTTTGATTTCCAGAGGAATGTAATTGTCATAGGCGACATCAACTGCCCCCACTGGTAGAAGTTTTCGAAAGAAGTTTCCGAACCAGCCTTTGTCGTTCTTCTTCTCTGTCTGAAACTGAATTGGATGTCTAAAATATTTTGAAAGATTGCTTTTTTTTTGCTGCTATCAAAAACTTTGGGAGTTTGAACCTGCGCATAACTTTCATTCTATGTAAAAAGAAAAAAGGGAGAAACATCCTTGAAAAGGAAAAAGTGGTCCTTAAATTGGCCACCAAAAACAGTTTTTATAGGAGTCGAAAAAAAAACCGTTTAGAGGTGAAATTAAGGTGGTTTTTATAGGGGTTTATTGTCCGACTTCTAAACCCCTAGAGTTCAAGTGATCCTTAAAAGGTTTTTTAATTTTTTGTTCAAATTCAAAAACTGAGAAAAACAACTTGACCAAGTTGATCATCCAGATCATTTCACTGAGATCGTAACAATAATTGACCAGCATGTCTTTTATAGGGGCTACTAACTAAATCCTCTCTAGGGAAAACTTTTGCAAGTTTGAGTGGCCCCTAGAGGGAGAGGTGAAGCAGCTTCTATGGTTGACCCTATGGGGACCCTTTCGTAGTTTCTAAATCCCTGTCAAAGATAATATTGACTGACCTGTTCTGTGCTATTCAACTCTTCAGCTTTTGGCCTCCGCAGGGCCTCACCTAGAGCACATCTAAATTTAAAATATGAATTCTGCCGAGAGAAAAAATATTCTCACTCATTATGGTTTGGACACAGGCGTATGAATCTTCCGACGCCAGAACGGTACACCCGCAACCGTTTGTTGGGCAAATCAGCAAAAAGAAATATAGCATCGAAGCCTTGATCTGTTTGCTAAAATTTTAAAATTCTTCACTCTTTACAAGGAAATTGCAAAAGGTGGCTGGTTAAGATTTCGATGAAACTTCTCAGATTTTTCAGAACGTGATTTTGATTTAGAAATGTTAAAATTTCCCAAATACCTTTGTAACTATTTGAAACTACGTGGTCTTGCTATGAATTGGTTTTTTTTTCCACTTACTAGAGTTACAATCTCCGCTATTGTATTGATTTTCATCAACTACCAAAATTTAAAGCTAATTAACAACCTGAAGCTGGCATACGTGCGGATTCGAACCCACACCATGCGAAATTTCCGATCCACGGGAAAGTGAAAATCCAATGACTCCCTCAAACCAATTGAATTGGACTTCATTAAAATAATTTTCAACTCACTAATTTATCGGCGTTTTCAGTAGAGTCGACGCTGTCTTTTATTTTATCCGGAACTGTGAAATTGGTGATTCCAATGTCGATCGTTCCATTTGGACCGTAACCAAAATTACTGATAACTATATTTCTTCTAGAGTCATCCTGAAATCTTCGATTTTTCTTTATTTTTTTAGAGAAAAAAACTGACCCGTAGAGACAAATGGTGGATTTTGGAGATAACTTCATGAAGAATGAAAATGAAAAAAATAAATAACTGCGCATTCGAAACTTGACACTACTGAAAAAAATCTTCAATTGCGAAAAAAAGATGTAGTAAAAAAATAATCAATATGTGTTAGTCTTCTGGAGCTCTTCTATAAATATGGCCCAGCCTCAAAACTGGAGTAGATTTTAAAAAAATAAAGTTTGAAAAAAAGAAGCCTCGAGAACGAAAAAAATCAATCACAATGTCGTGAAATGCGCATTGGATGTACACACTTGCACGCAATTCGAATTTTCAGATTGGAATCGAAAGAAAAATCCATTTCGAGTTTTTGCTGTTTCTGGAGAAGGTTATTTAATTTTTTTGGTGTTTTTTTATTAACCATTGTTCTTTTTGTTTCTCATTGCAAAAAAACGGAAACTTTTGTAGATTTTTGATCATGAGTTTGAATGAAACGCAAAAAAACAGGTTTTTCATTATTTTTGATAATCTTTTTGGTCTTGCAAAACATCGGAAGACGATTATGATTACGCTTTTCAGTATCTATATAAGGAAGAAACCCGTTAAAAGCACGTTTCCGGCTTCGAGCCAATAGAAGTACCTTCTACTGAATTTCTCTAACGAAGCTGTTAATAAAATGTCCCTCTTTTGTGTTTTCCTCATTAAATTTTTGAAATCTCCCAACTGGCTCGATTTATCGCGTTTCACAACGCCTCAGACCATGTATTTTGAAAGCCGATATTGTGAAATTCTGCTGACACGTCGACTTCTCTCGGGCTTTGTTGGATAAAAGCCGCATTGGTTGATCATTTTGTGCCTTAGTTACCGTCGCTTTTTTTTTTCTCAACGCGTTTTTTTTCTCTACTTTGACATTTCAGAAAAATGATGTTTTTTTTATAATCCCATCAATTGTTAACAATCAAAGTTTTTTTAGAATTTTTTTAACTTTTGCGGAAAGAATTTTTTTAATCATTTTGATATTTTTAGTGAAAAATTCCAGTTTTTGCCGAAATCAAACTCAAAAAAACAAAACTTGATATCGTATCATTTCTCGCAATTCGTATTTTTATTTTAATGATTTTTTTCCTAAATTCTACATTTTTGGGGCGACCGGAATTTTTTTGGTTAAAGCGTCAATTTTACCTGGAAGGGAACGATTTTAATTCTTACGGATACATTTCAAATTTTTTTGTTTGAAAAAAAATTATATTTCTTCAGAAAAAGTAGAAAGGCGTTTCCTCCCTATTTTGAAAATTTCCAACCTTGTGTGAATAGAGCGGCTCCAACTGTTCCAAAAAAGATTTTTATCCCCCAATTTTGAAATCATAATTGTTTTTGGTCAGTTTTTGCCAGTGAGAAATGAATATTTGTTAAATTTTCTAAAAGTTAGAAAAAAATTTTTCAATTAATTTTTTAATTGAGCGTATGAAACATTCAAATTATTGATTACCGACTCTTTTCTTGAAGCAAATCCATGACCTATATTTGGTAGATTCCCCGCCGACAAGTAAGTCGACGTGGTATTTTCGGCAATCGCCAGAACATTCGGCGAGCGGCGATTGGTGCACTCGGCGTCCCTGACCCAAATGTGCAGGTCGCAGACGGCGAGAGCACTCGCAACGCTGACGGCGCATAGCCACGTCTATGTACACGTAGATTTTGGCCCCAATCGTCCCTCCTTCTCATTCTTGGGTGCGTGCTCCCCGGTCGCCAGTCAGTCCGACCTTGAGCACTCCGTGCGGCCTACGCCTTTGTCCTAAACTCTTTCGCGTACTTTGTCGCTCATCGATTCATTCCTTGTAGAAAAAACATTCTTAACTTTTGGGATTTCAGAAATCTCGACTCACTCTTGAGCAGACCAGAATGAAGACACTCTTTCTCATCGGGCTTGTAGCCCTTTCAGCTGTCAGCGTCTTCTGCGAAGAAGAAGCTCAAGAAGCCCCAAAGAAGGTTTGCTAATTGAAAAATGTGTTCTAGTTGAAATTAAAAAAATTGCCTTTAATTAGAAAATAACAACCTTTTCCTAAGACTTTTTTTCATCGAAATTTTTTTCAAGGAAACCAAGTATGGAACTATTATTGGTATTGATCTTGGAACCACCTACTCTTGCGTCGGAGTTTACAAGAATGGCCGTGTCGAAATCATTGCTAACGACCAAGGTATCAGTTTCCCTTCATTTCTTCCAACTTAATGTTCATTTCCCAGGTAACCGTATCACGCCATCGTACGTTGCTTTCACCGGAGAGCAGGGCGAGCGTCTGATCGGAGACGCTGCTAAGAACCAGCTGACCATCAACCCCGAAAACACCATTTTCGATGCCAAGCGTCTTGTCGGACGTGACTTCAACGACAAGAATGTGCAAGGAGACATCAAGCACTGGCCATTCAAGGTAATAATAAAGTTCCAGTTGATCTCAGAAAATTGAGCTTTTCAGGTCCTCGACAAGTCGAACAAGCCGCACGTCCAGGTCAAGGTCGGATCGGAAGACAAGCAGTTCTCGCCTGAAGAAGTCTCTGCCATGGTCCTCAGCAAGATGAAGGAGATCGCCGAGTCCTACCTCGGAAAGGAAGTGAAACACGCCGTCGTCACCGTCCCAGCCTACTTCAATGACGCCCAGCGTCAGGCTACCAAGGACGCCGGAACCATCGCTGGCCTCAACGTCGTCCGAATCATCAACGAGCCTACCGCTGCTGCCATCGCCTACGGTCTTGACAAGAAGGAAGGTTGGTAGATTTTGAATTTTTTCTCTCTGTAAATGGGACTGTTTGTTCACTTCCTCATTTGCGGAAGGGACCACCGCTCTGGGCAAACAAAGTGCGGGTCAGCGACAGGCACTTGCTAGACCGACTGTCAACTCTCAGCAGTTCATTTTTGTAAATAGAGAAGGACAGATTCAAAGGAAATCTGGTTTTATGAGTCAAAAAAAAAATTGAATGTGTCAAATTATCATAGTTTTTTTTACAGGAGAGCGCAACATTCTTGTCTTCGATCTTGGAGGCGGTACTTTCGATGTGTCTATGCTCACCATTGACAACGGAGTCTTCGAAGTTTTGGCCACCAATGGAGATACCCACTTGGGAGGAGAAGACTTCGATCAGCGCGTTATGGAATACTTCATCAAGCTTTACAAGAAGAAGACTGGTAAGGACATGCGCAAAGATAACCGTGCTGTCCAGAAACTCCGTCGTGAGGTCGAAAAGGCCAAGCGTGCTCTGTCCACCCAGCACCAGACCAAGGTCGAAGTTGAGTCTTTGTTCGATGGAGAAGACTTTTCTGAAACTCTTACTCGTGCCAAGTTCGAAGAGCTTAACATGGACCTTTTCCGCGCCACTCTCAAGCCTGTCCAGAAGGTTTTGGAAGACTCCGACCTCAAGAAGGAGGACGTTCACGAGATCGTGCTTGTCGGAGGATCTACTCGTATTCCCAAGATCCAACAGCTCATCAAGGACTTCTTCAACGGCAAGGAGCCATCCCGCGGTATCAATCCTGATGAGGCCGTCGCCTACGGAGCCGCCGTTCAAGCCGGAGTCATCAGCGGAGAAGAAGACACCGGCGAGATCGTTCTTCTCGACGTCAACCCCCTCACCATGGGTATCGAGACTGTCGGAGGAGTCATGACCAAGCTCATCACCCGTAACACCGTCATCCCTACCAAGAAGTCGCAGGTGTTCTCCACCGCCGCTGACAACCAGGCTACCGTCACCATTCAGGTTAGTCGGATATACATACGGAAAATGAATTTCCCATGGAATGGTTGACCTCATTTTGAAATGAAAAACTTATCTGAGAGGAGACAGCTCTTATCTGAGAGACGACCCAAAATCAATCAACCTTGACCTCAATAGATTGACATTTTCTCATAAAAAGTAGGACGCATTGAACTTTCAAAGAAAACGGTGATACTGCCGTAATGAACAAAAGTTTTTTTTACAGGTGTTTGAAGGAGAGCGACCGATGACCAAGGACAATCACCAGCTCGGAAAGTTTGATCTTACTGGCATTCCTCCAGCTCCCAGAGGCGTTCCTCAAATCGAGGTGAACACGAAAATAGTAATTTTAAATTCTATCGATTTTGGTTCAGGTCACCTTCGAAATCGACGTCAACGGTATTCTTCACGTTACCGCTGAAGACAAGGGAACCGGAAACAAGAACAAGATCACCATCACCAACGATCAGAACCGTTTGAGCCCTGAAGATATTGAACGTATGATCAATGATGCCGAGAAATTCGCCGAAGACGACAAGAAGGTCAAAGAAAAGGTGAGAGAAAAAAAAATCGAATGACAAAAAGAACTGTTCGATTACAGGCTGAAGCTCGCAACGAACTTGAGTCTTACGCCTACAGCTTGAAGAACCAGGTCGAAGACAAGGAAAAGCTCGGTGGAAAGCTCGACGATGATGACAAGAAGACCATCGAGGAGGCTGTTGAAGAAGCTATTTCTTGGCTCGGAAGCAACTCTGAAGCTTCGGCTGAAGAGCTCAAAGAGCAGAAAAAGGTAAATTTTTCATCGATTTTTATTTTTTTAACATTATTTTTTTTCAGGAGCTTGAAGGCAAAGTTCAGCCAATCATCAGCAAGCTTTACAAGGATGGAGGTGCTCCCCCATCGGAAGAGGAAGGAGCTGGAGACGAGAAGGACGAGCTTTAAACATTTTTCTCCCAAAGTTGTTCTGGATCCCAAAAAATCGTTGTGCCCTTTGTCATCCTTAACTTGTATGCAATTCAAGAACGGTTCTTCCATTCTCATACCAAAACTGTTATCATGATATGATTATCCCCTTTCGTTCGAAAAACCTTCGACTTTCACAACACGTCTCATCTCAAAACGCGGTCAATACGCGAGTGTGTTGCATTTGAGAGACTTCTCAAAGATTCCGCTTTACGGTGGAGTCGCTTTGCGATTCACTTGGTTCATTTTTACAAACCTTTCTTCTTACTGGTTTATCTCCTCCTCCTCTCTATTGTTTATATGTGGATGATAGCTTTCAGGTCTTTAATTTATTTGTTTCGTTTGTTGTGAGTTTGAGTCTTTGCTCGGCTGCTTAATAAATTATTATTTCTTCATGAGAAATTTCGAAGAGAGGAACAGTTTGTACTTGATTGATATTGATACTAATAGATAGTAGAAAAATGAAGATAACCCAGAGATTCAGAATGAGCAACGTGCAAAATACTACCTTGTACCACGAGAAGCAGTCCAAACAGTTTTGCCTAATGCACACGCTGAATAACATTCTCCAAAAAAAGCACTATACTGCGGAGAAGATGGACGAGCTTTGCTACACTATCAACGATCGCAAGTGGTTCAATCCACACAGGTGATGTTATATTCACTTCAGATTTTGATGGAAACATTTTTAATGAAGGAAATCATAGAAATATACTTCAATGTTTATTTAATATTTTAAAGTAAGAAAAGAGGTACACCAGACGTTTTGAAGCTTTCCGCTTATCGAGTAGCTCTAGAAGTTTATGAATATTTTGAAATGTCTTACTAATTTTTGACAGGCGTCAGATATGAACTTTTTTAGATGGGTCCCATGTGAAACTATGATTTTTGTTTCAAAGATACAACTTTCAGAAGCCAAAGTAAAGTATTCTTCGTATTTTCGAGCAATTTGGTTTGTGTTCAGATCTCCAAAAATCGATCTAAACTTTTTCATTGTTGTAATTATATGCTCCTCTTATGAATGAAAGAGAGCCTTCGTGTTACAATGTTTCACTGTACATACTTTCAATGTTAATTTTTTTGGACTCGAGGAATTTCAACATAGTTCTCATGACAAAAAAATAATTATCGAAAATTGATTCCTTGAACATGGAAACTTAAAAAAACTTGGAAGCTTCTTGGACTAAATCTTAGGAAGTTAATCATTGAATATTTTGAGGACTTGAATCCAAAAAATTATTTAAAAAAACACTTACTGATTCTATGATCAAGAAGCCAGAACCTTCTGCTTTTTGATAGTTTTCAGCAAAGAAAAAAAAATCTCGGTATTTATGAAGAATCATGCTAAAAGAAAGCTGGTAAAATTCTTATTAATGTGCAGTAATAATGTTAATTTTTAACGACGTTTTCTTCATCCCTTCGTTGGAGGAAAAACTAAAATTTATTTTGTTTCGGTAGTTACAAAGGTTAATTTGAGGTGATTTCAGATCTTGGCTCGGTTTCGGTAATTATGACGCCAACGTGCTCATGTGTGCCCTGGAGCTGCATCATTTGAAAGTGAGTCATTGTTCTGAAAACGTTGAGCACTTTCGTTTTTAAAGATGGTTTGGTTTGACAAACGGACTCTGGGTGGGCAATTAAACCCTGATAAAATTCGAGCCTTCATCTTCAACATCCCCTCGCGATCCTTTTTCCATATGCTGTCAGGAAGACACTGGTATCCGTTGGTCAAAGTTTCCGGCGACAAGTGAGTTATTTCTTGATTATTTTGTAGCTCCGAATACTGTTGTTTGAGAGTTTTCTTATCATCATCCCCCTCGGTGTATTTTATTTTCAAAAAATGAATTTTTTCAACGCCACTCACTAAATCACCTCTGAGAGTTCTTTTTACAGATATTGTCAATCCTTCCAGGTTAGGAAGGAGAGATGGAAAAATTAGCAAGGTTGAAGCGTTGCGTATGCAACGCGGTTTTTTGGCAGGAAACTAGAGGTCGAAAAATGACTCGCCTTTTATATTTTTAACCCGGAAAAATGAAGTTTGCGGTCAGAAATATTCGAGATCCTTATGTAATTAGTCTCAACTTGTGCTATTCATATTTTTTTGGAAAAGAAATCACAACTTGAAAAAAATAATAATAATTCGTTTTCTAAACAAACAGCTGTCGTTAAAAAAATTTTTTCAAAGGTCACACTGATGTGTAATAAACTACTAGAGTAAAAAGAAGGGTTCCTTTTGCAGGTGGTACAATCTCGATTCAAAGCTTTCGTCCCCCAAAGCAATCACCGATCTTCCGAAAACGGTTGGAGAGCATTTGGCTCAGAAAGACGTCGAGATGATCATCGTGTGCCATGAAGACATTCCGCCGATTGATCTTTTCATTGCTCACTAGCTCACAGAATGTTTTGACAAATTTACTTTTTTTCGTATTCACTCATTTTTTGAGGGTTGATTCTCTGTGATTATTCATCCTAGAAACAGAAATAATACCACGTTAACTTTGAAGACCTACCCAAATACAAAATCTAAAGCATATTATTCTCCGTTTCCAAGGGAAATCATTTTTGGTTGGGAAAATTTGCGTCATAACGTTTTCTGAAAAGTAACAACTGATGATTTTCAAAATTCCAGTCCGCAGATTTCCAAAAATATGAGGTCAATTAAAAATTATCGAAGGCCTGTCGGTTGCGGAGTTCTTTTGAAGTGTCTTCATCCAAATGGGGATTTTTGTAGGTTGAGACTTCGAGGCGTTTCTTTTGAAAAATGAACATCGAAGGAAGTTTCCGGAAATTTTTCTACCGCCAAGTAAAATGATTCCCTTTGTGAACAGTATTGATTCATGAAACAAGAAAACTAGAGTAATCCATCACTTGGGTTTTTTTCTGGGTGCTAAAAGATTCATTCAACTTCAAACGATACTTCTCACTTTTCCAGTATTCCGGTTAGCTTGTCATTTCATTGCATCATTGCCTCAGCTCCAAACTTCTTGCTCATCAAATTCAAATATCATAGAACTTGCTTACGGCCACGAGTCAAGCGGTATAGTAGTATAATAAAAATTTGTTTCGAATTGCGTTGTTTTCTAGTTTCCAAGATGAAAAAAGCTCATTTATTATTGATATCGAATATATTGACTGAGGTATTCATAGGTTTATCCGGAGAATCCATAACGACCATAACCGCCTCTGGGAGCTTGGAAACGTGACGAGCGGTAATCTGGTCGTCCCCAATGAGTTTCTTTCTTCCAGTCTTCGAAAAGATCACGCAGGTCACGTTCCTAAATTTTTAAACAAATGAAAAATGTATTCATCATAGTGATATCATACCCAGTTGCCGCGGCGTCCGTAGTCTCCACGAACTTCGTGCTTCTTGAAGTCCCAAGCTCCTTGCTGAAAATCATTTAATGAATTATTCATGAAACAGAATAATATTCTTGAAGTTTTGGCGCTTAAATTTGAGGCAGAATTTAAAAAAATCGATTTTTGCCAATTTGTCGAGCTTTTTGAGCTTACTTATTATAAATTTGTTGATTTTTGACAGTTTGGTGGGTCTAAAGAAAGCCTTTGATAACGTTTAAACACGATAAGTAAAAAAATTGTACAAAAAAATAATAAGTTTTTCAGGATTTTTTTCCCAGCGAACCCACAATACAGTATAGTTTTTTTATAAATTTTTCTTTTTAGATATGGAGTGAACTTACGCGTTCCAAATATCGTTCGTAGGAATCGGGGAAGCCGTAGCGGTTAGGGCCGCATAGGGCCGACGAGAGGAGAGCCAAAGCGAAGAGAAGGAAGAAGTAGTTCATGGCAGACGCCGTGCTGATTTGTGCCCCAGGTCGTCTTTTATATCTCGAGTTTCCTGCCCCTTGGAGACGAACTTCTGGCCATCAATCTTCTGACCTTCGCTTAACGCTGGTGTTTGCTTCCATTTTCCAGCGATGCACTGTACGGTCATCGTTTCTCTCAGCGAACAAGCTGACGATATTTTCCGTTTCAAAACGTCAGCAAGCTCATTGTCTTGATTCATCACGGCTTTTTCAGTGTTTCGTGAAGTGTACGCTGAACTTAAGAACATGCACGGGTTCATCAGGAGTTGTCATTCCCAATAAATAATTTTACCCAAGCATTCAAAGTTTTCTAAACTTTTGAAAAAAAAATTTTCGAACTCTAAGAAGAAGACTCATACTTCATAACTTTCAAGTCATTGAAAATTACGACTCACAGATTCTTGAAAATGGAAAATTTGCAAGTTGAGTCTATCAAGAAACGGAAACTTGTTCATACAGTAGAAGACTTTTGGTTTTTTGATTAGAGCGATCTCCTTTATGAGAACAAACTACACTCTATTTACAGATTCAATGGGTAAAAGATAATTTTTGAAAGCAACTCATTAATATTCCGAGTTGGAAAAACAGAAAATCATTTTTAGTACTTCTTGGAAAAAAACGGCTATACAGTATATTAACTATACATTAACTTATGCTAAAATATTTTTTCCAGTTTGAATCTGAAATGCGAGAAAAACGAAAATAATAAACCAGAAAAAAAAATTCCAAAACAGATCATAATAATATTTGGAAATCGATTTCGCTATTTTCTCACTTCACGTCGACTTTTTTAAAACACAAAGTTTCAATCATAAGTGTTTATTGTGCGAAAAAAACGAGATCAAGAAATGTCAGACAGATGATTTGCAAACAAAACAAGTAGAAATGTCTATTCTTTGAAATAGAGATAGTATGACCAGTAAGAAAAGTTGAAAATGACAAAAGAAAGAGGAAAAATCCATCGGCTCGTTTGATCGATCTTCTTTGCTCGATTTCTTCCGGCGATTTTTCTGAAAATTTCCTGATAAACCTGAAAAGCCCATGACATGCGGAAGCACTCGAAAAAATGAACTTTTTTGTGCAATTTGATTGAATGAAAACAGCTTCATGCGTTCTTGGAGGATGATCAAAACTTGCAAAAAGCAGCAGATGAAAAAAGAAAAAAGAAAAAAAGGGGAGGCAAAGTCAATCAAAAAAAAAATGAAGCAAATGGGAAAAGGATGTAAGATTTACCGAAAAATAGAACTACTTCTATGCCTGAAACGGGTTATTTAAATATTGCTGGAACTTTGAGATTTTTCTGGAAAGTCTCTGAGTTGAACCCGGAAGTTTTCTGATTTTCACCGAAATTTTGTCCTTATACTGAACATTTCTAAATTCACGGGAAAGGGGTGATGGGCTGTGGGAGGTTCAATAAACTTTCGACAAAATCTTTTTTCATCGAAATCAAAGAACTTCTGGAAAAAATTTTCCAAGTTCTGAGAGACCTAGCTACTCTAATATAATTTCTCATGGCCTTTATAACTCCTTCCATCATTTTACTTACTTGTGCTTTTGTATTTGCTTAATTGCCGTGTTCCATCGATCTTTTTTGCCGTGTTCTTTTTTGTCCGTCCGATCCTCAGCGGCACCGTAAGTCACACCTGAAGAAGACAACCTTGACCGATTATTTGATGGAAGACATCAACATCAAAATATTTTTTACTAGAGAAAAGTAGGACAAAAGTGTAACACTTCTCAAGTTTCCGGTTTCAGCGTATCTTTTGAAACAGCCCATGTTTCAACGAAATGCAGACGACCGCAGATATCGATCAAAAAGTTCAGCGCTTAGAGTGAAAAAGGGGGTTTTCTGTTTGAAAGATAAAAATTAAAGAGCAATGTAGCTTTTTGATAAATTACTCGTTTGGTTGAGACAATACTCGATTAAGGATGTAGTGAAAAAAAGTAAAAATAGATTGGAAGATATTTTTTAATTTTTTTCGCCTCTATTTCAAAATCTATTTAGAAAAACAACCCCATCTTCTCGTTGACTTTTTTAAAAATATCTTCTAATTTTTTTAAACGGTTTGTTGCTGTTTTCAATTTTTCAATTTATCTTTTTGAAAATTGGTTCTGTTAAAGGCCTTTTAGGCCCCTTGAACTGTATTGTTATTCGTATGGAATAAATGATGATGATGATGATCAAACTAGCATTGAAGGGGTGAAATCGGTTTTATTTTCATAATAATGTTATCGAACAATTTCTGAGCCTGAGATTAATTGGATTGAAGTTGAGAATTATTTAATAATATAGTGAAACTTCTATTCTTCGTTTAATTCACAAAAACCTACCAGCAGGCTTTCCGTTAGGCACTAAAGGGGATCTGACGCTACACTCTCGTTGTGCCCAATTTGCAAGCCTTTCAGCCGTTTCATTTTCTCTGTCCCGCCAAACGTCTGCCGCAGGACCAGTCCCTTGTTCGTCGGGTACTGCCTGAACGTTCATCTGAATAGTTGTTTTTCCAGAATCTCGGGACGGTTAGCGCAAACCGGCATGCTTCATTCCCATGGGCAATGCTGTCAAAGTTTCGAAACGAAGTTTAAACAGTTGTTTTTTGAATATATTAATCATATTACAGTTTGAAATAAATCATGCGATGTACTTACTAGGGGTAGACTGAACTCATAGAGACTTTTGAATAATAACTTGGTTCGTCTTGTGGAGTTTTTCCGCTGGTTCCAGATCTATGAATCAAAAAAATATGGGGAGAAAAAAACAATTTATGTCCTTCAATGTTCAAAAAAAGGATCATTCTAATTGAAAAAGTTTTGTGAGTCTAATCGAGCTGGCGGTCCCTTTATGAAAGTGAAAACAGCGTGAAAAAATCTATCTTGAAAAGCTTGTTTTATTCAGCAGCCTCAATGTGAACAAAATATAAAATACGTATGATTGGGATTTTTTTGTATTGGAGTCCATGAAAAACGGAATAAAGTATACTAAAAAAATTTTAATACGAATTAACAAAAATCTCTCACGAGAACGCTCCGAAAAGGAAAAAGGGTCGCTGTTTCTTCAAAATCCCTGTTTTCCGGATTGCAAGCGTATAAGTTCTCTACTACACACTTCCCAAATCTGAGAAAAAATGACTTGATAAAATAACGAAATGCAACTATGAAGCGTAATGGAAACTTCGAAAATAATGGAACACAATGAAAATAGAAAAAAACACGTGCAGGAAATCGGGATGCGACAGAATCCGTACCTCTTCGTCAGAGAAGCTGTTACTGTACGCTTGACTTATCGTGTCAAATGCTGTATCATTCATCGCTATGTGCTCTTTGGCAACCTACAAACTCGAACAAACCTTTATCTCGTGTTCTCTAGTCACTCAATCAAACGTGCCTAACTTTTGATAGGAAAAATTGGAAGTACTCAATTACTGACTCAAATATCCAAGATATAGTTTTTTTTTGAATTGCACCCCACACGGGCGAGGAAGAAGTTTTGATGAGCATACGAGTTAGTCAAATTTCAATGGAGTTATGTCAGAAAAACTATTTCAGTTTTTTTTGGTCAAGATGAAGCTTCAAAGTGACAAAAAAATTTTTCGCTATTTCATTAGTTTGAAAAATTTTCTACTGTACTGATTACTCTTCGGAATGAAGAAACCTTGAGTAAAATCCTAGAAAATCCCAGCGAACTTTAAAAAGGTCACCAAAAACTATTTTTGTGAGCCAAGGTGTTCAGCTAAACAGAATCAAAGAACCTTCAAAAAAATAGAACTTTAGTCAGTTTAAAATTTAAAATAGATCTGAGCCGGTTAACATCACTATAAAATTGTAGAAGTATCTATAGAGTTCTAGTATACATCATTGTTCGGGTAAGAAGAAGGCCACGGCACATGGACCAGCAATCTTTCGATGCAAAAACGCATTTCTACTATAAAAGGTGAGAATAGGTGCTCAGAATGCAAGAGAGTTTGTGAAGGCAAACCCCACGATTCTCAAAAGATCCGCACCTCGACCAAATTCTGCCGATCATTGTTTGACCGTATTCGGTAGAGTAAATGACGTGCCTGGTTGGTGAGCTGCTCGGAACGGGAAACTTTCTGATCGCTCACTGTCTCCAACGACGAAGCCATAACTGAAAAACATCTGAATAATAGGAAAGCCGAGATATTTTTAGCAAAACCACTTTGAAAGAACTACAGAAACCCTCGTTTGAGAGAAGAAGTACAAAAGGATTTTTTCTAGAAACCTTTTTGATAAAAGACGCTACGTTCTCTTTTTGAATATTGTTATCGTGTTTGATTCTTACTTTTTACATAGGAATAGGTGTAGAAACACAGGAGTCAGTTTGCCTGAATTAAAATACCGTGGTCGCAGCAACTTTTCGGTAGCTTTCCCCATTGTGAAGTGCACCAGACTCAAGTCGAAAAACGCACAAAGATATGCTTCCGTGTTTTAGAGGACATTTTTTTCCTCGCAGCACAGAAGCACTTTGAAGCATAATTTATCAAGCTGAAATTTGCGGCAGAAGCTCCGAAAACTTGTCTCGCGGTTCTGGCTTTTTATTCATAGGCAAAAAGACTATACACAATGACAAAAGGAACTGCAAAGACGTACATTAACACAAAAACATTTTGTTAAAGGACAATGACGTCGAACAGATTGTTAGAAACAAAACTTAGAACATGCGTACAAAGAAAGATGATAGGGTTTCATCATGCAAAAAACGAAGGTGAGACTCTGAGGCAGACTTATTCGAAACGACAGAACTACTGAAAGACCTACCCAGTTCGGCGTCAGTCCGATGCCATTTGCGCCCTATACCATCCATATCAGTGATATTTTTTCCGATTAGTACCGTGTTTTTGTAGCGAAACCGAGTGAACAACTATTCAACGGCCATCTAATCTCTACTGTACATTTTGTTTGTTGCAGTCAGTGAGGGTTATTTTTGTTCTAAGCAAAGACAGTTAGTAGATGACATTGTGAGATTGGATTGAGAAGTGATTTGGCTGATTCGAGGGTCATTTGAAACAGAACTCTCAAAAATTGATCGAAAAATTCTTGACGGGCTATATCTTAAAAGCCTTCTAAATTATTATATGAGCTGTGAAATACCGTTAATAGCTTCTCAGGATCATTACTAGCTGAGTTGTTTTTTTTTTCAAATAATTGAAAATCTCATTTAATTATGACTACAAAAATCCGTAATGAATTTCGATTCCATAAGAAAAAGGTAAGAATTTCATTTTGACAAAAACATATTTTCAAAGTTTGACAGAAGCTTTTTTTGACATTGAAACCGCAATAGAATTTATGATCTGAGTTGTATATTTCCGATTCTTGCTTAGTAATTTAGAGCCGATAAGCTCGATATCTCCATAATTAATATAACAAAAAAAGCGGTATCTCATGCTAAGATTTTGATGGGCTTTCTTCCAGTGATTCATTTACAGCTGTGCCCCGTTATATACAAAGATTCACTGCAACCAAGTGATAAAATCAAATATTATGAAAGATAGATGGAAAACACCAAATTTATATCAAAGTATATGTTTAGGTGTGCATTAGGACGAATACATTCGTAACGACCCACAACTTTTTTTTCTGTTTGGTTTTGAAAGCAAACCTTGTCGTTGTGCGTAGTTGACAATGGTGAACTCAATCATCACGCCGAAGACGAACCTGAATTTTTCCGCTTGAGTTTTTTTCCAGATTGAAGTTCATAATACATCATGCAAGCACCCATCCACACGTCGATCGCCTTCATGTAGCTGACTTCCGGCAAAGCCATTCGAGCAGCATTCGCTTGAGTTGAAAGTGTCAGCAGAGTTGTGATGGCTAACGAAACCCGTGCCGGAACGGCCTCGACGTCCAACCAGAAGCTGAACCTGTAAAGTACAATTTTTGTAGTGAGATGATGAAAATTGATATCCCTGCAACTTCCGTCCTAATTTTATCCCCTTACCACGAAATAACAACAATCAGAGTGGTTGGGACGTAGGACTGCATCACATGATGTGTGATCTCTCGCTTGACGAAAAATTCAGCCGTGACGCAACTCCACGTACCTACAAGCAATTGAAAACTGAGCAGTTCTAAGAACCTTCAAACCAGTAGAATAATTGCCATCACAAAGTCCAGGGAAAAGGGCTACGATATGCATGTCAGACATGGCGATATTTGGATTTCGAGTGATCGGTTCGTCTGCTTTCCACTGGATAATCAACTGCTCCGTGGTATAAGCGTCTGAAATATTGAATTCAAGAAAAAAGGTGTCATCTGTCATAGTATGCGCATCGTTTTGATGATTTTAAGGAATATTGATTGAATATTTCGTTGAAAAAAAAAAAATTATTTCTGATGATTTTTATTCCGAGGTTTACTTTAGGCATTCCATTCTTCCAATTGCGAAAAAAAAGTCATCAAAGATTGTATTGGTTCTTCAAGTTTGTAACATCCCAGTGAAAGTACAGATTCCCATTTCAGATGTTGACACAGCATTCATTTATAATCAACTTTTCTCGTCTTTTTCCGATTTCAACACTTTTCAAAAAAGTGGTCTCTGAGCTCAAAAGAAAAGCACAAGATGAGGTCGCAGATAGACGTGACGCAGGCTTACAGCTCAAAATCCGGAGATGACATCGCTGCGAATCGAGTGGCCACTTCTCCAAGTTCAGAGTGCAAACGACGACCATTGAAATGCGGGTGTCGTAGAGAATTGAACCGTCTGGTTGGATCCATACAAGAAAATTAGGTTGAGTGACCTAAATTTGAATATTGTTGTTGGATTAATGAGTTCATGAAAAAGCTGAGAGTTTGAAGTTTTCAAGAAATAAATAAGCAAAAAAAATTTTATTGAGAGCCTCTGACGTTATCCTGATTCAATTTTTCATCAGAGTTACGGGAAATTTCCAGTTTGGAGTAAAACAATCAGCGAAACAGGAACTGTGCGAGCTCGGTTACAAAAACCGGACGTTTCTAAGCAAACTTAGGATTACTTAAAGGATCTGACAATACTGAAATGGTCACTAGAAACGCCGCGACACGTCCGGTTTGCGTTCCCAAGGTCCGAGAAGCCCTGACTTTTCCTGGATTTATCAGTGGAGCGCAATGTTCTTATGATTATCCTGTCAATGTGGCAAGCACTTTTATTGGAAATTCTTCTCTGTTCGTTTCATTTTCTCCGAATTCTTCAAACTTCCTTTGAAGCTATGCTAAAATGAAAACCTCGTGAAATTCAGCGATCCTGGCGTTTGCAAAGTAAACGTCTGGGTGCCACATTTTGTGCAGGACATTTTTGTCTTTAACCAGTACCCGTCTGAACTTTTTGATTATCTTTTTTCCAACTCTTCGACACCGCAAGCTTAGAAAAAAAAAATGAAAAGGAAGAAACTTCTGTATATTTACAAAATATTACCTCGATTCATTGTGAGAAAGTCGAGGATCCTTCCAAAATTGTTGAAAATAAACATCTAGTTGGAAGTCCTAAGAACAGGCAATTTTAAGGACTTTAGAACTTTTTTTTACCATTGTCTGAGTTCGAAAAGATGACATTCCTTCTATGTACATTGCCAACTCAACGATTGTGACTTCATCTGAAAAATATAGTTGAACTATAATTTGTTCACGACGATGTCAAAATTTTTGGCCCTAATATTTTGAAATTCTATGCTTTGTGATCGGGTAAATTTCTTAGTTCTGCAGCAAATAAATTTTAGTGTATGATCTCAGTTTTTTCCCGTTTTAAGTAAGGTAGAGCCATTAAAATAGGTTGCTCTTGTGGTTTTATTCAAATGATACTCTTTTTTCAATAACATGCCCATCTCTCTTCATTAATTAATCAGTGTTATTGGAGTATTTTTCATGACATTTGTGCCCCTCGTCTCGTGAATTTCACACAAGAATACTATTTCATCAAAGACTGCCGTAGAAAATTCAATGAAAATTTTGAATTCCGTGCTTTTTTGAGGAGTCCAGAAAAAGATGCCGTGGCTAATGAAAAAGCGCGTCGTAAAAACGTAGATAATAAAATAGTAATTACAGCCCGTATCAAAATAACTTTTTTTTATAGCTGACACCAGGCTCAGTGCAAAAGTATAGTATCATTAGCTTCATGTTTTTATAATGCATTTTACGAGCGAAGCCAACTGAACAGAGAAACAAAATTTGATTGTAACGTTTCTTTCACTCAATATCCGAATGCAAATTCAGTTGGTGCAACGCGGGCTATTTTTTCAGTTCTCTCAAAATAGAACAATCGGACGTCTTCTGACTTGGACTCTTAGTTTTTAGTTTCCCACTGTTTTGTTTTGTCGGTTCAAGCGAGGACTTTGAATTTAAATCTTCGAGCTTAACCCGATAGAAAAGGCTCGAAGACTAAAAATAAGTTCAATCAAAATTTTTGCTGGCATCAAGAATCAACCTTCCAATACTACGATGGCAATTCAAGAGAATTTCTTTCTATTGTCAGAAAGCAATCAAAATGTAGAAAAAAAGCGTCAGAAATCGCTCAACGGAACGGGAAGCAAGCTCCATTTGCGATACTTCGTAAGCAATTTCTCGACATGAGTCTGAAAGGTGCGACACACCACCTTTTTTATTCAAATCAAGCTGTCTCCGTTGCCAGAAGCAATAAAGAGACGTTTCAACTAACTCATTCTGGATTTCTCTTTTCCAATTCAAAAAAAATTTAGAAGCCAAAGATGGCGAATTGCGAATTGGAAAACTGAACGGGGCTTGAATTGGCAAATAAGCTGCACGTGAAATGGCAACCGGCTTCATGAAATATCGTTCTTCAAATTGCTTTCAAAGCAATCGAAATGCAAATTTTGGACTTGAGGCTTAATAGAGTTTCAGATTCGAATGTCTATGTTTGCTCAAATAGCGGTTCATCACGCGCACTTGCAACTCGTTAATTAAAAATGCGTCTTTTGAGTTCATCCGCTCCGATTCCAGCCAACCAGAAAGGCTGTTGAATTAATTTTCAATGAGAAACTTTGAACATGGAAAAGGCAAGAACCTCTGGCTTGAACTGGAGGAGATTGGTTATCATAGACTGTTCGGCCGGCGTTCAGTAACTCGTCCAAATACAGCGGAACCGGCTCACTCCTTTCATTTTTTTGACGCTTCTGCTTCTCTGAATTAAATTGAAGTTTCCAAATATTATGAATCTGAATCGCTGAATCAACTGATTTATACCTTGAAAGTATGAAAACTGTACGCTAGATATTTTTTTCTTCAAAAAAACAAATGAAATCGCCGTTTATAGGTTTATAGAAAAAAACTGCGACATATCTCAAATATGAGACACACAGAAGCAGACAAAGAATAAAAAAATAAGTTTTTCATGGATGAAAAAAACGGCAAGCCTCCTTGTCAATTCCCAGAAAACAACTTATTCTTTCCTTTTGAAATCGTTGACTTCATGTAAATTTATGAAAAACATAGCCAGTGGGGTTCAAAAAAATTTTTAATTTCTTTTCGAAAGTTCATGAACTGTTTAGGAATCCTGGATTATGTTCCAAAAAGAAACATAGTTTAAGTGAAAAATTGGAACGTATTCAGCCTTATTTTGAAGCACTTCAGATTTTTTTGCGCTTCAGGACATCTTTAAGGAACAATTTCATATTAACGGCAATAATCAATCTTTGAAAAAAAGTCAAACATAACAATATGAAAAAAATAAACCTATAAAGTAGCAGAAATATAGAATAGAACAGCATCATCCCACGAGCATAGTAAGACGTCTTCGCGGGTTTCTTCTGCAGGGCAAATGGTGGTCTTGGGCGTGGCTCGGTCAAAATAAATCTTTCAAAACTGCCAATTGGATTCTTGTAAGATTAATTGTTTCTTGAGACAAAATTATTAGAATCAGACCTTATTTATTGGTTAGCATGAAATGCGACAAAATAGGAAGAGAAAGAGAAAGAAGAAGAATGGCGCGATATAAGTGTTTTCGTGATTGCAGGAACTAAAAGAAGATCTGCTCGTGAGGGGGCATCGAGTGAAATCTTTGAGATAACGAAGTCGGCTCGAGGTGAGGATTGTGGGACGTTTGAGTTGAAGAGCGAATAGGCGGGAAATGGTCAATTCCGACTTTGAGCGGCCTTTGTCTGGAAGTCAATCGGCTCCTGAATGGTGCGGCCGTTTCAAGCTTCCGCTCCGAGTCGTCGTTAAAAACTATTGTCGAAATGTCTCCAGTTGAAAAAAAAAAGATCATAAGGGGAGCAAACTATGAGAATTTACAGCCAATGTCCAAGTTAAAATACTGAAAAAAGGCTCAATTATTGGAAAAAAATCGTTTGAGCTCCGATTAGACCAGTTGAAATTATGATAGCCTAAACAAATTTTTTTCTTACTCTGAAAAAAATGAACTACTTAGTCAAATTTTTAATTCAACTTTAGGGGTCAAGAATGTTTTGCAGATTGAATTTCCATTCAGTATATAATAGATTTTTTTACTTTCATATATTGCTCAAATGGAAAAAGCGTGACTTTTTTCCCAGAAGATAGCTGAAAAAATTTTTGAATCGAAAAAAACGCGTTAACTTTGCAGGAGTCAGAAAAAGAATAGCTCAAAAACATGACAAGAATTGAAGTTTGGACGACTTTGCTTTTTCTTCCTCCGTGAATTCTTCTCGAATCGAACTTTGAAGTTCACATCATTCTTTTGCGGTTTCAAACTTCGAAAATCACTTATAAGACTATAGTTTCAGGGTCCCAATAAGGAACTGCGCAGATGTAATTAACGACCTGCTGAATAAGCCGAAAGTCTGTGAATTGAGGCGTTTGGCAATGCGATGAATCAAAGAAAGTCCAGAAAACATGAGCGAAATGGCGGAGCAAAAAAAAGTCGCACTCAATTGTATTTGAGTTGTTTGGAATCCATTGTTCGAAGCAGTCAGGTAGGTGAGCAGTTCGTGGCGAGCGCCGTGGAAGGAACTGCGACATCCGGCGGCCGCCTTTTTCTGCCCTTGCGCCTTGGCTAATATCTTCAACTTTTCCGAATTTTTTCTCAACATTCCAAAAAACTCTTCCGTGGCCTGCCATAGTCTTAACATCTCAACTTCGGCAAACGTCGGCTCGAAGAAATAAAACAAAAACCTAGTGTGGCGATTTATTTTCGTACAAATCAGAAATGCAAAGATAATACTTTCAAATTTTCGGTGTTAATAGGCTTAACTCGAATTCATCGCTCTGCAAACTCAGCAAGATGTTTTGGATCTGCTTTGACGCGCGAAAAACAGCAATCTTCCATTACTCAGTGGAAAAAAACCAAGTTGTGATCAGAAGTCATCCCAGTCAAGTTCCAACCGGTAAAAAACAATCAGTCAAAAAATAAAATTATTCACCTTCTAGGACCTTTTTTGTTTTAAGTTCATAGCGAAAACGAGATTAACAACAGTAAATCCAGTCAAACAAAACAGAAGGAAAAGTCGGAAACGGAGAAAAGCTGCGCAGAAAATTCACATTTCAACAACCGTTGCCAAGATCCAGCCCAAATTACTTAGTTTTGGAATCGAGCAGGGACGCTATTTTGGAAACCTCTTTTTGGAGAGGTGAATAGAATTTTGAGGATGTAAGAAAAAGCTGTGCGTGTAGAAGAAAAAAAGCATCGAGGCGGAAAAGAAGAAACCACGAAACACCCTCGAAGACCTTTTTTTAAAATTAAGACAAAGTTAAACTATTATTGTGTGGGGTCCAAACTGACAATATAGGTTTGGAAATATCTAAGTAGTTGATTGAAGATGGGGCGAAGAACTGAGATTATATTGAAGAATGAGATTTTCTTTCATTTTCGGAGTATCGAAATTTCTCTATTTAACTTCAAAACGACGAAAAAAAAAGGTCCGGAGTACCTCAACCTCAGCCATAGAGACGAAAAAAAAATGGGAAAAATGTGAAAAAAAGTGCGTGAAATTGTTTGTTTTGGCAGTTGTCGGTAGACGAGATGAAAATTGATGAAAAAGTGATGAGCATAAACGAAACTCGAGAATGATTGATGAGTGGCTCTCGAGCAAAGCACGTCCTTACCGAGGGACACCTAATCGCGATTAGCCGAGTGAAAAAGTTCGGCGTTCCATGACCGCGTCGTACGCTTGAAAGTGGGAGTTTGTTTTCAGTTTGAACAAACAAAGAAGGAAAATCTAAAAAAGAGCGGTAAAAATGTTCAGAACTCGGAATCCAGAAGCGCTCTGGAGCGGAAAAACTGATGATAGAAATTAAAAAATTTCAAAGAGACAGAATTTTTCGGCAAAGATTAAAGAAATGTCTTGAATTATCACGCCTCGTACGCAAGCAGTAAACTTGAAGTGCAATGAAAATATCTCATCCGCGGCATTTTGCTTTTTTTCGTGTTGAAGTGAAAAAAATTATTTTAATTTTTATTTTTTTGAAACATGAAACATTAAGCAAAAAAAGGTCTTTATTTTTAAAATATGAAAAAGAAAAAAATTTAGTTCTGGAAAGTTCTAAATTTGTCACCAAAATGAATTCTTTCGTTTTAAAATTTTCAAAAAAAGCCGGCGAGGTTTTCTGGACCCAAATAATTTAAACTTTCATTCCTGAATCAAATAAATATTCCGGAACAATACATTTGAAGCTTAGGACAGCAGCGGAATATGCTTGAACAGGGGACGCATTTTTAATGGAATAATCCTTCAAATATTTTTCGTCCACTCTTCGAAGACGTTCAATCAACGAGAATTGCCCCGCTAAGTAAACGAATGAAGGCGCCAGAAAGTAGTCATCCTTGCGGTTTTATGTTGAATATGTCGTAATGAGTAACCTTTGATTAAAAGAGGAGAAAAGGAGATGAACTGAAAAGATGAAATACTAGGTACTTAGAGGGAGCACTCGGAAGGATCTCCTATGAATCGCTTCGAAGTTTTTCTATCAAGTGTCGAATCTTTGAAAGAATTTTTTTAAAGCAAGAACTTCACTCTTCACACTAAACCTTTTAAAACAAGGAAAGCTTTTTTTTATTGAAATGAGCAATTTTTAAATAGTCAATCAAAACATGGCTGAGTTTTCAATGCAAAAACATTTTTTGGAGTAAAATCGATTTTTTCGAGTCGAAAACTTTATGATCATACCACAGTTTCCTAATACTTTCATGAGAAAGTTCATAGGTTGCGCCATCATAGCATAATAATCTGAAGAAAAAAACATTTTTTTAGATCTGGTCAATTTTTTTCTTTTTATCTTCTTGCAAATTAGTGCTCTGATTGATGTTTCTGAGAAAAAAATAAACGCTTTAAGTATTAATTTACTTGGAAAATAACACAGAATCGTCTCGAAAAGATTTTTAGGGGTCTCTTTTCTAAAAAAACAGTTTTTTTGTTTTTCTTTTTTTCGTAAAAATCTCATAAGAAAGGGATCACTACTTTTATACTTCCATTTAAACGAGGTCAGTGAAACACCAATATATTATGAAGCTCCTTGTACTGGAAAAGTCATTTTTATACTCCCATGTTACTCACTATTTTTGGGTTCATCAAAAGTTATAGAAGTTGGAAATATAAAATGGGAAATATTTTTTTCAGTTATTTTCACCAGTAAGCAATCTTTTAATTATATTATACGTCCTCACGACTAAATTAGAGCTTGCTTTTGATTATTTATAAGAAATTATTATTTCTCTAAAACTTAATTTGTTTTTGTTTAAAAAAATTTCAAAAGGATTTTTTTTGATGTTTTTTTCTTAAGTATTCCAACCAAACTGAAGTGCACAGCTGCATCCGATAGTAGGAGCTCAAAAATAGTGGCGAACGAACAAAAGAAGAAGGCGACCCTATTCTGAAGAAAATGAAAAATGTAGACCCATCCGGAGACGTCGTTCTCCCCTTTCTCAGGTTCCAAAAATCGCTTTTTGATTCCAGTAAAGCTTTACCGAGCAAGTTTCCGCGTTCAAGAGATTCTTCATTGAAATGGAGTATATTGTGAAAAACTATGAAATAATAAATTGTCAAAAATAAAACGCTTAGAAGGGAATTTTTCTTAGGTTTGATAATAAAAAAAAGTGCTTAGAAATATCATAGTGAGAATAGCTATTGATATCTTTGAAGATACAAACTTTTTTGAAAAATCCAAATTGAGTTTATTCGGGTTTCAGTGGAAACATTTCTCAAGAACCATTTTGTCATTTTTTAGAGATGATTATTTTGTCAAAGACAAGTTTGCGATTAGCGTCAAGTCAACGAACTCACTTCGAGCTTAAAATTCATCAAATAATGCTGAAAAATTGACATCAACTTTGCAAAAAAAAAGATTTCAAATCGGCAGCAAACGTTTAACTTTCTTTCAATCGAGACACGTACGTGTGCGAAGGGAATTTTTATTGATAGGAATATTTCGAAAAACAAGCAACAAACGATTACAGCAATTTTCAACGAAGAGGTTAACTGTAAAGGTTACAGATGTTCAAAGTTCGTGTGCTATCAATTTCCTCAAAAATGGTCTGTCATAGCTCGAGGAGACGACAAAAGTTGCACTTTTTTTGTGCTCTTATATCGGAAAACTTTAGTCTTTTTTGAAATTTTATCTATTCATAAACTGGTAGCCGAAAGTTCTTCCTTTGTCTTTCTACTCTCTATGGTTCTGAGAATTGGAAAAAATTCCGCTTATCAAAGACCATTCTAGAAACTGAAAAGAAAGACCACGGTAAAATTTTTGAATATATTGAAAAGCACCAGGGTTCGCAAAAAAAGTATACAGATAAGTTAATTTAAACAAAAGTACATCAACAGGTTTGAGATTCCGTAACAGAACTGCCGATTTAACGGGACATGGACGGCTTGTTGTCGTCCCCAGAAACAGGCAAAACGGCGTCCTTGCTGACCGGAGCAATGTCGATCGGGCTGGACTCCACCGTGAAGCGGTTGTCAACCAAGTAGGCGTTGTACTTAGCGTCGACTTTCGGGAAGCCGCCAACAGCCTTCGCAGAGGCATAATCGAAACCGTTGCGGATCATCTGACCGCAAGAAACCACGAAGCGATGTTCAGCGGAGAAAAAGAAGCTTCCAGTAGAAGGGCGCTTCTTGCAGACGTAGAACTCCTGCAATAGAGGATGATCAACTTCAAATAAAGCAAGTGACTTACCGGGCAGCTGATTTGGATGGGCGAAAGGTAACAGAACATCTTTGCGGTGTGGCCGCATGGAAGAACCCGATCAGCGATCTGAATTTTCCTCCTTTTTAAAAATACTCGACCATTCTTTCGTCTGGACATGAAGAGCAACAACGAAGACTTTTAGAAATGAGATGAATCACACCTTTGTAGTACTATTACATTTTTTCCGCAACTTCCAAGAAATTGTGAAGCACTGTTGCGAAATGCGCAATAAAAACAAGATTAATGATCTCAGTTTTGTCCAACTATGTCTCATTGCGTTTTTGAAATCTCTCCTTAATAAAAACTCGGAAAAAAAACTTTACGAGAACATTTGAAAATTTTCACCTGGCGACAAGGCAAAAGGTTCACCGCGCGGACACCCATCGCCTCAACCGTTTCCAGCGGCACGCGATGACCACAGGGAAGGAGATAAGTTGGACGGATCGAGCCTTCTTTAACTTGGTCGTCAGACATCTGAAATATAAAAATATTCGCGAAGCGAGAAAGACAGCCACCCGTGGCCGAGAAAACGAAAAGAATGACTAAAGACTGTTTTGAATGTTTTGCGGGGCTCTACGAAAATCTATATATATCTACAAGATTTGTCGCATTTAAACATAAACGGCGTGACGCATATCATTGTGACAAAAAAAGCGGAAAATGGCAGATCACAGCCCCGCCGACTAATGTTTCGAAAGAGCTTTTAAAAGGAAAGGAACGTTTCAAAATGGTTTTGATGGCCTCTAATTTCGTTATGTAAATGTTTCAAAGTGAAAATGGAAAAGTTGAATGGAACAAAAAAAGTCTGCGGCCCGCAAAACAAGAAAAAATTGAAAAATATACGACAATCGGTGTGGACAGATGAGTCTGAGGAAAGGAACAAAAAGAAGATTCAAATAAATTTTTATGATAGCCTCTTACGTCGGTGAATATGCGCATTCTCAGGCAAAGATGCGAAGTATGGGAATCAAATTTGCGAAATTTGCAACTAATGTTATTGCTTTATTTTGAAAAACCATTGAGACTTTTTTCGCGAGTTTTTTTTGGAATATTTTTGAGATTCTTAGAGTTGTGAAAAAATAAATCATTAACTGTTTTTATACCAAACCAATAAATTCACAAAAAATTATTTTCTCTAGCAAGTAGGTTAAATATGAATGTTGATAAAAATTGTTTTTCAAAAAATCTCCCTAGTCAAAAACTAGCATCGAAGTTGCACAATGGAGGCGAATGAATTATATGGTATTTTATTAAAAGGGGAGTGTTCAAAGAAGTTTCATATGAGACACGCTGCCATTTTTCCCTCCACCCACCCTCCTGCAAATGTTATGCGTTTTTTTCTTGATTAGGAACATCACCGAGAGAATTACCATTGATTTTGAGCTTTTGTTTTAGTCGGCAAACGTTTCTTTTCTCAATTTAAAGCTCCATTATTCTGATCCTTAAAAGTTGTCGGATAACTTCAAACTACCCCTAAACAAACTTTTTCTTATATGTTTATTTTTTCGAAGTTTGAAAGAGCTCTCTTCTTAGAAGATTCTCTCTTGAACCATGGTCTTAAAAAAGAGTTTAGGTTTGCGGGATCGCCCCAACAAAAGTTAAATATCATATGGTACTTCTTCGAATGGCGACGCTGAAGAGTTGAGCGTTCCAATGATCAGCTGCTTCTCCATGAAGGAACTGCACGGCTCCTGTCGAGGGCTGGTAGGCGTTGGAATATATGTATATCAGACGTGATTGGAAATGAAGACCGCCACTTGGAAGGTAGAAGTGAAAGCCTTTACTTCCAGCCATTATTATCGCTTGAATGATTTAGTGTTAATCACATTCGAAAATATGATTAACTTGGTTATCAGTACAGATCGAGAGCTCTTCCGATTAATTACTCGCATTATGTTTGGTCCAGTTGCTTCATCAACCTGATGAGTCACACACATTTCTAAGAATGTTTTTCTATACAGATTGGAGCCATTTGTATTTATTTTCATTTTTTGCATCTGTTCGAGAAATAAAGAGCTGTTAGTGCAATTTGTGAAATTGTGCATATAAAAACATAAAAGCTTGATAATTCTAATAAAGAAGGTTTTTTTAGAAATCGCTTGAAAATTTACCAAATTTTCTTTAAAATATGTTACAGGATGTTCCTATTGTTGAAAAATATCCAAAAGTTGAGTGCATTTTAAGTCGTTACAAAAGTCTAAAAAATTGTCAGTTTAAGTTCATCGTAGCGTACCTCTTCATGGCTTTTGCAGCCTAAGGTTTTGAGCGCTTTGACACCGTAAAATTCGATCGCACCATGCGGCACAGAGTGACCACAAAGAAGTTGATAGGTATGACGGTGCTTTTTCTTGTTTTCGGACATCTGAAACTTTTAAAATTTCGAAAAGCGAAAAGAAAACGGCGTCAACAAACCGAAAATCTCACGCACGCTATTGACACATAAAATATAAAACAGCGCTTTTTTTTTTGGGCGATTGATGAATTTTTAATGGATTCTTGACCTTTCCCACAGATCCATTCAACTAGTGTAAAAAGCCTGCGAATCGCTTCAGACTAGCGTGAAGAGAAATACAACGGTTTTGAATTAGTTTGAGAAATGGACAAACAAAAAGGCGCGCACAAAAGAGTTGCGAGTCGGAGAAAGGGCATAGGGTAAGGCGCGCAGAAAGAAATTCAAATTTTCGAAGTTGCCATCCTTTGTCTTCGCCCCTCCTAGGATTTGGAAACAGTTCCATTTCAATTGCAAAAAATGGTTGCTACTCTTTTATAATCAACTAAGAGCAAATATGAAAAAATTGCCGTTAAAATTGACAAATAGCATGGAGTTCTGAATCAAAAGCTGAATCTGTCCGCTTCAGGAGTCAGTTGTGCTCAGTAAAAGGGAGAAAAGATAGAAGTGAACTTGAAAACTTGAAAAATGACATTTTCCTTTTGTCAAAATTAGCCTAGGCTAATAGTGCAGAAGCAATCATTCGTTTCATCCAATATATTATGTTCAGTTTTTTTTTCCCAAAAATCAACGCTGATTCATTGGCTGAAATGGAGTTTTTTTAACTTGACGGATAGACACAAATAAAACAGAGATTTTTTTCTTCAATAGTTCATACAAATTTGAAATAGTTATTTTCTATCACTCTGCTCTGTATTTCTCTTTTTTTGAAACAGCTAGAAGACAGAAAGCGTAGGCAGGCTAGACAGACGGTCTCATGTTCTGGCAAATGGTATGTATATACTAGCTCTCCCCTCATCAATACATTGATTTAGTCAGATACCCTGGAAAAAAATTTGCCATTTTCAAATCTGTTTTTGCGTATGGTTCGGTCAGCCTTCGAAAATGGGCGAGTTTTATGATATGTGCAAGTTCACGAGGTGCCATAAAACGCATTACCGCCTGATTGGTTATTGAAAGAAAATCGTTGAGTTGCGTAGGAAGAGTTTGAAAACATGAGATATATTAGCAAATGAAAGGATGATAAGACATTTGCTACCGAACTCAATTAGTGAATGTGTAAGTGTTTAATTGCAATTGTTTCAAAAACTTTTTTTCCATATTCATATCTTATTATTCTCTCTAGCCATGATTACACATTTCTTGGTTTTTATGCTTTCCTGAAAGTCCAGTGTTTTCTCGAGGAAGATATACATTCATCGGGAAAATTTATAAGCTGAAAATCACTGGGGCGAGATAATTTCCAGTTTGCTTTTAGGAACTTAGCATGGATGAGTTAGTTTCATTTCATTATCCGAAATATGAGCTGCATTCTTTTAAGAAAAAGCGCTTCGCCCGCTGAACGAGTTTCTTCAGAAATGGTCTAAAGTATGTTTTTGTAAGGAACATAAAAACTGAAAACTGAAGTGATCATTTACAAAGTTTTGATCTTTTTCCGGAAACTTTTTCATGAGAGATAAATTTAAATAAAACTTAGTTCTATTGAGTTTTCATTAGCCCTTTTTTTCCTGAAGCGATTGTTTATACAAAACTATCGTGAAGAGAATTGGTCAACTATTACTGCCAAGCTTTGACAGCGATTCCCAGCTTGATCTGTTTCCTAGCAGACGCTTCCCTCAAAACGTCTCAGAACAGTCAGCGGCCCATGTCTCTGGACGTTACTCATCTGACCGTGCTCTTTTCTTCGACCGTTTTTTTTTTTCGTTGAGAAATGGGCCCTGGGACGCAGAGCGCGAGAGAGAGCGGCGGCGGGGGCGGCGGCGTAGAGACCGAAACGCGCAGAAAGGCCCGCCTCAGTTGTGCCATTTCATTGCGGCGCCGGCCCGACGGCCGGTCGGTATCTTCGCCTTACGCTCTGCTCGCATTCAAAACTGATCAGCCCCCACTGAAACCCCAATCAGACTGTGGAGAAACATTTGTATTTGTCTGAACCATCAAGCACCACCCTCTCATCATAACCTCAATATTCGCTTTATTCAAAGTCGAAATTGAAGACAGTGTTGAAAGACTTCTATGGGGCAGCTGTGTCAAGAAGCTGACCATTTTGGTCTTTCGGCACTGATTTGATGAAATAAGACGATTCTCTATCTATACTACAGCAAACTAGGCTGTGCTGAAAGACTTGGGTAGTACAGAGCGGTTGAGCATCTGTGCACTCTCGTCTTTCGTCACATACTCGTTTTTTTCGGGATCAACGAGCCTTCTGTACAAAACGACGCCCTATTCATGAAGGCTACAAATCTATAAACTCCTGAACTTCTTCGGCCCCAACTCCCCCTTCCCCTACAGCCCGCCGGGCTGTGCTGAAAGACGTGGGTAGTACAGAGCAATTTAGCATCTGTGCACTCTTGTCTTTCATCACAATCTGGCAAATTTTTCCCCGTTTTTAAAAGTCTCATTTAGATACACCTCAACAATTGGCGAAGTTTCCTGAATGAGCTTTGATACAAAAAGAAGCTTCTTCACCACAAATACAGACACTTCTTCAGCCCTCTACATCTAACCAGGATGTGCTGAGAGACTTTAGTAGTACAGAGCAATTTAGCATCTGTGCACTATTGTCTTTCATCACTGTCTGGTGAACTTTACCCTTTTTCGATGAGACGGAATCTTTCAGATAGTCCGACACTAGAGAATGAACTTGAGCTTGATTTTGAAAATTTTTTTTTCACAAATTCGGGATTTACTGCAGTCCTCTACAACTAACCAGGCTTAGGTCAGAGACTTGGGCAGTACAAAGCGGCTGAGTTTCTGTATAATCCTGTCTTTCGTCAGAACCTGGGGCTTTCGTCCATTTTAGTAAGATACATAAAACATTCCTCGAAAGTCTCGCTCAAGGCGGATTGAACTATACTAATTGGCAGAGAAGACTTGAATAAGAAATAACAAAGAAAATTTTCCATTGTGCTTCTACAAACTAATTAGTTAATGAGCTCTTCTTTGCAACTTTTTCAAAATTCCGAAGAATTCATAATGATTCAGAAAGGAAGGATGATTCTTTGAAGCGTAAATTCATTAATGTTGATAAGTTCTCGGAAGTGCAAATGAACTTTGATCTCAAGTTTGTGCCAAGCTACATACATAAAAAACTTACTGAACTTATTCTATGGAAGCAAAACTTTATTTCAAAGATTTGAATAGTGAAAAAAACTGGAGCATGTTCTCCTTTTCGAGCTGGAACTTGATTTTTTTAAGAAGCTAATAGAGACTAATTTTTGAATCAAACTTTGGGAATCGTGATAAAATCTAGCCTGGTCTCGTAACTTTTTCTCAGAAAATCAAAACGAAATTTTAAAAAAAATCCACAAACTATGAAAAAAAAATGAAAAAGTACTTGAAAAACCAATAGTACATCGTATGCACCATCAAGTTCTTAAAAAGGATTACTACCTGATGACATTCAATCTATAGAAAAAAACCTCTCATTGAGGCAATTTAAAAAAAGAGGCGGTGTTTGCGCCAATTAATTATCTCATCTGTTGCGATGGAAGTTTCATCAGCAAGGTAGCGTGTATAAAAAACTTGAGGCTTTTTTACTTCATTCACCACGAATAAAAGTCTGTTCGAAGATGGCTCAAGGCGTTAGTGACACAATTGTGAAGCTTAAAGTTGCTCATGTCCTCGAGCGCAAGTCGCTTAGTGGTCGGGACTCATTATTTATGCCACTAGAGTTTATCAACTCAGAAAAAAAACATGTCCCTTTATTCTTTCTTTAATTTCTACAAAGTTTCCGATCTCAAAGTTCTTCAAAGTCAAACTCATGTCAAATCGCAATCCGGCATGAAAAAATCTTTGCTAAAGTTTTGGTAAAGAACGAAAAAAGATGGCAATCTCTACATCATTAAAAAAAAAACATCGCTGCGATATAAATAACGCTCAGACATTCAGAGGGCTGGATTTTTTTTTTCATTCTCAGAAACGTTTTGTCATTTCGATGTTCAATTGATCTGCCAACGTTACAAAAAAAAGTGTAAACTTTACCAGAAAATCGTGTGCGAGTGTGTTGGATGAAATAAAATAGAAGGCAAGGAAAGTTTAACACTTTTAAGATTTGGTCCAGAGATTTGAACTCAATGAAAAACTTTAACTAAAGTCTGAAGCCTTCGAAAATCCAAAAAAAAATAACTCGATTCCTACAAATCTTAATGGTTATCTTTCAAGAGCAATTTCTACGCTTTTTATATCTTAGCCAGAATTCGAAAAGCGAGTTAATTTCAAAGAGCCTAAAATCTCAAAGATCGAATATAAGAGACATTTTTTTGAATGCAAAAGAAAAGGATAGGAAAATGAAAAAACTGGTAGACATAACGCCGGTTCAAGGGGATAGCCGCGCGAATGCGTTTCTTTGTTTATTGTGATGCGTATTTTAAGAGACTTTTTGCTCCTATTCAACAATAGCGGCACTCTCCATTCACAGCTGTATACAACATCGGTCACAGATGCCGAAGAGTCGGTAGTTTAGGAAAGCTTCTCTTTTCGGAGACGGTCCAGTTGGGTCACAAAAACTTTTACCCATGTGTGATGCAGCTGCGCTTTGATGGTGCAGGTGTCGATGGGTGCCGCGGAAAAAAGAAAAAAACTGTACTGTTTTTGTGACCTTTTAAAGGAAAACAACTCCAGCTGCAGAGCGAGCAAGCAATTTCTTCCACATAGATAAAGACGGACAGAATCTGGCCAAGTGTTAAATAAAGTTTAGAGATTTTGAAAACATGAAAACATCCATTGGCCCTTCAAATGAGTTTTTGAGACCCTAGCAGAATTTTGAATAAAAATTTTCAAATGCAGAGTTTGCTGAAGAAAAAGATTCCTCCAGTTAAATTGATTTTAACAGTAGCTAGAAGGCGCCGGAAGCATTGTAAGAAAGGCGTCGAAAAAGAGATTGACGTTAAGAGGATCGTGAAAAGTCTGTCAAAACTTTCAGCCTTTCAGATTTTCATTTTATCTTGATAGCATTGTTCTCCACGCGTTGCTGTGCATTGGAACGGGTCAGTCTTTGTTCGTTTTTTTTACATTCTGCTAGAGTTACTGAAAACGTAGAACTCTTGCGTGACTCGAATTAACACTGAAATCGGTTATTTTCGTCGGAAACCCAATGTAAGAGATCCTCATACATTAAAGTGAGCTTTCACCCATAGTCAAATTATTTGCGCTTTATGGAGACGGTCAACAGACTGACTCTGAAAAAAGTTTGGATTTTCAAAATTCTATTGTCATTTCAATGCAATTCCTCATTTCCATCAATCTCTCGAATAAACCAATCTTTTGGCATAGTACACAGCTTCGGCCCAGATTTAAAAGTTGTGCGAATTCCCGGTGAATAAAAACGAGAAGCCGTCACATAAAACACTGTTTTTCAGCATTTGAAAAACGGGAAACGGTGATTCGTTTCCTCTTCAGTTCTACTTTATGTAAATCCAAGAAAATGTAACATTTTGGCCGATTTCGGAAAGATCGAAACGACTCTGCTTGTGCTCTTGCCGCATTGGAACGGGAGAGCCTTCGCATTGGAACGGAAAAGCCTTCGAAATTTGTGAAGATTGGATTTTACCTACCAGTCATGTTTTGATCAAATGTCTATGTGTATCACTAACTTAAACTTCATTTCACGTTTTGATTTCAAAGTGGTCAATTTAACGAAATACCTTCACTCTCTCGGCTTAAGGCTTATCAAACTCCGGACCCTTTGATAAAAATTTATCGTTGCACATCGTTTCAATGTGCGCACTTTTTTCGCGGTCATACATTTTTAGAACCAGAAAAAAGACTTTTGCCTTTTTTATTTTCCAATTCATACTTTTCTGAGTCAAACAAACGCTCCATCTTCTTTAGAAAACAGCTCGAACTCTTGGGGAACCTTCGGTGCATGCGAATTATCTACCGCTCAACCAAGTACCACGAAAAGTTTGAAGTTCCCTGATATTTTGCAAAGTGAGTCAACGTCTCAACTCGATTCGAAAAAACCATTTTTTGATGAACAGTTATATGAACAGTAACAAACACTTTTCATAATTTAACGTAATTTTCAATGAACATTAGCTCAGTTTCTTCTTTTCTTCAGTGTAGCTTGCCATGCTGGCTCTGAGTCAGTTTTGCCCAGGCAATTCTGCAAAAGATATTGAGCCTTGGATGAAAAAACAACTTTTTTATTCACTAGAACTCTTCTTCTTCTTCCTACGCCTTCGTACCGCTTGAGCGGCGTCGATGCCACAAGTCGACTAGCAGGGTCCTATCCTGATATGTGATAATAAGTTGACTGGCTCTAGTGACATATCCGTCCTTGTGTGTTACGGCTGGGCCGTGGTTTCTTTTTATGAAGTCGTGGTTTCCCACTACCAATTTTTCTTAAACCCTTTGGTTGGGTCGAGGCGGGGATCGAACTTGTGACCCTGGGGACCGTAAACAGGCGCTACGGCGCGCCCAGTATACACTAGAACTATTTTCATTTTTTATCGAAAACTGATATCAAATACACTTAAATTTCGATTATTATCTCATTTCACCACGTCGACTGGTCGGTCTCATTGCCGCTCTCTCATGGGATAATATTCCGACGCCCGTCAGCCCTGGACAAGCGGCGCGCCGTACTGTTCCAACATGGTGAAGCAATTTATTCGCTGGTACTACCAGTGGGCCAACATTATTTCCCAACGCTAGCTGTCACGCCGAGACTCCATGGACATCGATTGTGGACCGTAACCCGCGCCGATGATTATCTCTTCGATTATACCATAATTCAGCAAAGATTTTGTTCATCTTACTCTGAAGACTGAATAAATTGAATTGAATTGAATTGAATTTCGAAGAATCGCAACTATTTTTTTTTAATTCTTTGAGACCGAGTTCAAACACAGATTCAATCTCTGCGAATTTCCTCAAACGAGATTTGCGATATATGTATATGAATTCAGAGTTTCTCTGTTAGTCGAAAAAAATTCTCAAGTAAAAAATTATATCAAAAAATTAATTTTTTTCGATTCAAAAAACTCATAAAGAACCTTTAACGCCCTTCTAGTTGGACGACAATAGATGTTTTGAAATCAGCGACTATCGCAAAACATTCATCTACAACAAATTTTTACCTTCGAGAGTGGTCTCTGGAACGTCAAAACGTTTTTTCTTCCGCGGAGAATGCAAATACTCTTATTCAACACGAGAAAGAATTGATATGTAGGAAAAAAATAAATATAGTTTTTAAACGCTTTTTGAACCGTGTATTTTGACTTTTGTCCATTTGATAAGGTATCATACCATTCACTCAATGATCATGTCTTCTAAACTTTTCTTTTCCGAAAGTTTTAAACAAAAAAAAAACTCAGATTTTCGTGATTTCTTTTTGGAAAAAACGCTAGTCTTTTTTCAATCTTTTTGGATCCAAAGCGCAAAGACTTGATTTTTATGATGAACATTGGAACAAAATCTTTCTCCGAAACAATAAGCGAGAACATAAAACTTCGCGCTCAAAGTTTCAAATAATTTATTAAATTTATTCTCTTTTTCATAACTCTGAAATTTTCTTTCAAAGCATAGGGTTTTATTCAAAACAAAGATCAACAAAAATTATCAGAGTTATCAGTTTTTTTATAGAACGTTGTCTTCGACAGACGCAGATTATAGTTATCAATTTGATCGTGTTACGTGAATGTACAGAGTGCGGATTAATCTTTGAAAGCACGCCACATTTTTGACTGTAGTTCCTTTATCTTTGGTTCGAAGCGAAAATCATTGTTAATCTTTACACTATTTTTGAGGGATTGTGCGGAAAAGTGAGCTTCTTTTGCTACTATAGTTTTTATCTTTTCAAATCAGAGATGGATTTAATGATAATTCTAGTTCTGATAGCTTTTTGGTGGAGTTTTCTGCTTGGCACAGAAGAAACGTAAGAAGACATTAAAAGTTTCCTTCTCAGGCAGTTTTTTGTCAACCGAGTGGGAAAAAAAAGGGCGAGAGTTTTGTCATTTTCGCCATAGACTTGAGTTTGCAGCTCTATAGAATAATGAAAAAACAAGAGTGCCCAGACAACAGTCCTCAAAGTTAAAAATGACGAGAGTTTGGTAACGTCGCTTGGTCCGTTATCAAGACGATATGCATGGGGCACGCGCTCATCAGTTCCACACTTGGCAACTTGCTCACAAACCGGCTCCCTACGATTTCCAACTCAGTTGCGCGAGTTCAAAAAGCATGACATCTTATCAACTGTGCTGCTGACCTGCTTGCGTATTGTTTTTTGCTGTCAACTTCTTTTTTTATTTGTTTTACGGGTACGACTGACAAAATGGTCAGTTTCGAAAACTTGAAACGTTGATTTGTGCGGTTTTCCAGGTGACTGACAACGAACGAATCCCTCTTCTCACTTCTTCCACCGCAGGTAATTTTTATTAAATCAGATATAACATCGCTTCTAAAAGGGTTTTGGTGATTTTTTCAAGAAAAGCGGCGAATGAATTAAATTACTTTGGAAAAAAGAGGAAAAAATTTCTCACAGAAACGTGTAGAAATTGGACTCATGGAGCGTATTTTTCCATTTTTATTTTTCTGCCAAATTCATAACTAATTCTCATATACTTTCTCTTTTTTCAGTTCAGGTAGACCCAAGTAAATCTAACATTTCAAAAATTGGAAAAAAAATCCTGAAAAAAGTTCAGTCAATGAGTCTGATCAGAGCTCGCTCAGATAGATTTAAAGAAATCAGAATACAAAATCGGCGATTGATAGCTAAAAAAGGAATTGTTAACGTTAGAAAATTTTGATTTCTGGTATTCATTTTGGTTTTTACCTTAGCATTCTTACACTCCTTTGAGTCAGGGGAGAGAGATAATAAGAACTTTTTGTGCGGCGATAGCGGAGGGCAAAAATACCCGCGAAAAAAAAACAACATCCATATCGCCAAGTACAACACAATCCCCTGTGTTTCCATTAATGCGTTGCGCGTTTTCCTCTCCTTTTGTTTGAAAGAATCGATTTATTTCAAAGTTTCATCTGTCAAACCACTTTAAAATTTTAATTGGTTCAAGATCATTATTTTTCAAAGTCTGTAGAAAAGTAATTGACAATTTCCGAGTGTTTTGCTGGTATAATGGGAATATTTTTTCTGCCTTCGGAGGGCTCAGCAAACGGTTTTGAACAGATTAATGTTTCTATCGAAGAAAAAGCAAACAAACAAGTTTCAAGAGTTTGCTTAAACTTAGGGAAGATCTCCTTCAGCTGATTCTAACCCAAAACAATTCTTTTTCAGTTTTAGATGTCCTCAAATGTTTACCGCATTGTTGCTGTTGAGCAAACGACAGTTTTTGACATTGTTGCACAGAGATAACCTCGAGTTTTCAGCGAACTTTTAAAAGTTATAAAATGTACCTCTCTTTTAATTATTTTTTTCTGTCGTTCTGACTTTTTTGATTCTCTGAATTGAGCAAACTTGCTTTTCCACGTTTGTTTACAATGGAAAATTTGAAGATTACGAGAGCCTCGAAGACATCCGGAGAACGATGGTCTCGGCCAAAGCCCTCAACGGGAACGCCATTCCAAAGGTCGACGATGAGCTCTCAGTTGTCTCTGGTGATGAAACCATCCGCTTGCGTTCATATCGTACAACGGCTCTCAGAACGGTTTATTTTGGAATTATTGAACAGTTTTTTCTCATTTTTCCATGCTTCCAAAAGAAGGGAATCACACTAGTTGGAATTTTGAGAAGTGCCAGCGAACAACTTAATTGTAAGTCTCGTAGTCTCAACTTTTTTCGGAGTAAAGTTACTCTTTCAAAAAATAAATCTAGCAGTTTTGAAGTCGTATTTTTCTCTCAAGGAGTAAGAATTGAAATGCGGATAGTACGAAAAAAGTTTTAACACTTATTTAAAGAGTCCATTTCGCTTCAAGCTAATCTAAAAAACAGGATCTACTATTATTGCAATCATTTTTCTAAAATTCTCGAGCTTATTTTCAAACTGTTTCAAGGTTTTGTTCTGGACTTTGTCCATAATAACCCTTGGAGCTTACCGGTTACTGGCCTACTGGATGAAGTCCGTCGAAGTCGCAGTTCGCTTTGAAAAATGTTCTCACACCGAAGCCACTCACATTGTCATAATGTGAGGTATTTCGGTTTTCTCTCTCATCATCTCATTTTTAAGCGATGTGCACAACGAAAACCATATCAAAGCTGTGACTCGAGAGGAGAAAAAAGAAGGATTCTTGAAGCCTGATGTAAGCTTTAATATCAATGATTTGGTAACTGGAGAATTTCAGAAGGATGGAACCTTGATGAAAACGGACACGATCAGTTTTTTCACCTACAGAAAGCTGAGATTCATATGGTACTCCGATCAAAGCAAATGGATCAGCCCTGCCGACCTTGATAGTCAAGTAGGAAATCTCGAAACCTATCACCGATACGCAGAAAAAATTTATTGCCTTAAACTACCCTATTTTTTAATTAGGACATGCTTTAAACTTATGATGAGGCTCCTAAATGGGACGCCAAACATTGCTTTTTTTTTTTTGAGATAGCTTAGTTTCGGAATAACTTTGTGAAGTCTTATGGTTTGGAAAAAATTATTCAGTGAAAGATTTTAGGCATTGTTCTCAACTTTCACAAAAAGAGTGGATGATCACAATGGTTTGACTGACGACACGGCTACCCAGAAACGCACCGTCTATGGGACCAATTCTTTGAATATCGAAGCGAAACCTTTAGTTCAACTTCTTTTTGCCGAAGTCTTGTCTCCGTTCTATATTTTCCAGCTTGGGAGGTTTTGAAGATGAAAACCTTTTAGCGAAAAAATTAAAAGACGAATACCTATTTCAGCGTGATTTTGTGGTTTTGTGACGATTATCAATTTTACGCCAGTGTCATAGTCATCATCTCTTTGGGCTCAATTTTCCTTGCACTGCGAGATCTGAGGTTTGGATTTGAGCTTTGTCAATTTAAAAAAAGACGTTCATTCATAGTGATCATGTTTTTAAGAAAACAAGAAAGGAAAGTGATCAAAATGACAAAGTCCAGTATTTGCGTTGAAGTTCTTCGAGACGGAAATGTGCGAGAAGTCGACGCTTCTGAAGTTTGTTTTTTTCTTCGAATTTTTCTCCATTTTTTTCAAAGTTCTGATAGAAAAAAATTTTTCTCTTTTTACTCGGCATGCTATTCAAAAAAATGACGGTCTGGGAAAAAAAGAAAACTGTTTTTTTAAACAACTAGTAACAATATAGCTCTTCGGGAAAATTAGTAGTTTGAGACATTTAGGAACCTTGCATGTATAGAAAAAAAATCCATTTTGCTATTTTTTTAAATATAACTTTCAGTTGGTTCCCGGGGACATAATGCTGCTGGCTCCACATGGAACGGTCATGCCGTGTGACGCCCTTCTGCTCAACGGATCGGCCATTCTAAATGAGAGCATGTTAACCGGAGAAAGTGTACCTGTCACCAAGGTGTGAAAATTTTTAGTAGGCAGACTAGATGCTTCTAAAAACTGTGAAACTCAGAAAAAAAAATTTCCCACGTGAACAAGAAATCCTTTTTAAAAAAAAATCTTGTACTAAATTTTTTACGAGACTTTCATTTTTCCAAGAATAGGAGTTTTTGCAAATCGGAAATTTCATCCATTATGTCAAAAAATTAGTCGTTTTTTTTAACAATATTGAGCTTTGAGTAACAGAGACCTTTTGGAAAAAAAAAGTGAACACCTAAGAAGCTTTTCTTTTAAGGTGCCCTTATCTGGAGCGGACGATGTGGGCGACAATGTCCGGTTCAACAACGAAAAACACTCAAGACACTTGTTGTACTGTGGAACTCAAGTTCTACAAGCTCGTTTTTACGGAAACAAGCCAGTTAGGGTGAGACAGAAGAAGTACAGAACTTAAAAAATACTTCCCGTTTAGGCAGTTGTGGTCCGAACCGGCTTCTCAACTTTGAAAGGACAGCTGGTGAGATCAATTATGTATCCCAAACCGATCGATAGAAAAATGATGATGGACATTGTCTGGGTAAGTTATTTATGAAAAAGATTAAATTTTTGACAGTTTTCGAAAAAAACATTTATGTCTGAAAAATTAGAGATAATGGATCATCTGGATTGACCCAAAAAAAGTTTGCTTGAAAAACTCGTGCGATGGATTTCTTGAACTCATTTGTAGCTATTCTAACTTTTTTGTTCGAAATATATTTTAAAGCTTTCTGATTCCAGTTTAAAATGTTTTTCTTACTTGTTTTTTATGTTTCAGAGCATTTTTTTTGTGAAACAACTTCTTACAGTTTGTCATTTTCCTCTTCGGTATCGCCATGTGCGGGTTCGGATACACTGTCGCCATCATGATTATGAGAGGAAAGCCTTTCCTGAAGATTTTTGTTCGTTCTCTCGACATCGTCACCATAGTCGTTCCGCCAGCTCTTCCTGGTTAGTTGAAAAAAAATCTGTAGACTTCTTAAGTTTTTCTCCTTTCAAGCTGCGATGGCCGTTGGTGTAATGAGAGCTCAAAAAAGACTTAAGGAGAAGCAAATTTTTTGTATCTCTCCAACAACATTGAATGTTTGTGGAAAGGTGAACGTGGTCAGTTGAGATTTTTAATTTATCGAAGCATTTCTCACATGTTCAAGGTGTGCTTCGATAAAACGGGAACTCTGACAGAAGACGGTTTAGACTTTCAAACTATGAGAGCGATAATTCCGGCCAAAGACAGCAAAGGGCTCCCAAAGTTCACCGAGGTAAGCCTTAAAAATTTTCTTCATGCGTTTCTATCTGTAGGAAATGGAAAAACTTGATCCAGCAGATTTCGCTAATCAAAAAGCTGACGCAAAACTGATCACCGCTGCTGCAACATGTCATTCCTTGACAAGGTTTTTTTTTTGATTTTTATTCCATCGTGATATAGTCTGTGTACCCCGACTTGGAATTTCACCAAACGACATTCCGCTGTTCCGCTGCGTGCCTTTGCGCGCCTTCAATTTTTCATTTTATTCAAGAACTCGACAAACACGTGTTCCTAGTGGAATAGTCCATCTATCATAAATTAGAACCTATTCAAAGCAAGACGGAGGCTCGCAAAGACGCTTCGCGACGCAGCGGAACAGCGGAACGTCGTTCGGTGAAATTTCAAGTCGTGACACACAGACTATATATTGAAGCGCAATTATTCAGAATCGACGGAAATCTGCATGGAGATCCGCTAGATTTGATTTTGTTCAACAAGAGTGGATGGTCCATCGAAGAAGGATCCAATTCGGATTCTGAAACGGAGCATTTCGACATGATCCAGGTGAGATCGGCTTTTTTTACCATCACATTGATTTTTTTATTTGATGTTGTACAACTGAGAAAAAAAATTATATCACCCGGGTTTTTTTTTCGCGGATTGAGAAGGAAACTTCTGGTAAATTCTTATCAGATTCAACCTCATTGAGCCTTATTGAAAAGTTTGTTTTTTACGGTCATAGTTTGTTCCACTAACTTTTGCAGACATTTTTTTTCATTTTAAGCTTGACCAGGTTAATTCTGAAATAGTCTCTTCTAATCTGATACTCCTAGCCAACTGTGCTCAAACCACCCAACGATGGCTACCAGGACCGTGTTGGAGAATACTCTATTGTGCGCCAGTTCACATTCAGGTAAACTCACATTAATCTCATAGTGCGTAAATTTTGGGTTACGAACATTCTTTTCGGACGGATGTGCTGGATTTTGAAATGCTCACAAAATGATTTGGTTCAGTTCGGCGCTCCAGCGGATGTCCGTAGTTGTATCAAACCCGTCTGAAGACACGGCTCACGACATGACAATCTACTGCAAAGGGTCCCCGGAAATGATCCTCTCACTGTGTGATCCACAATTCGTCCCCGAAGATTACAAAAATGTGGTCGATCACTACTCATTACGTGGTTACCGACTCATTTCCGTCGCCTACAAAAAAATTGATATGAACTTTGCGAAAGCCGTCAAAGCTCCGAGAAATTTGGTAAAATTTCCCGGCAAAATAAAGAAGTAGATTTATTTCAGATGGAGTTTGATCTGACTCTACTTGGTCTGATAGTGATGGAAAATCGACTCAAGCCGGTCACTCTGGACGTGATCAACGAGTTGTACACGTAGGAATTTTTTTTTGTTTTTCGATTTGTTTAAAAAACTGTACAAGAAAAAAATTTTTTTTCACATTGAAAAAGTGCAGTGAAGTTTCTCACAGTGAGACAAAGTTTTGAAAAACTTTCATATCTTGGTTCAAAAAAGTCTCTGCTCTAAGATTGATTTCAATGTGAAATACCAACTTTCCCTTCAAAAACCTATATTCTTTGAAGGATTCTTATTTTTCTCCAAAATATTTTCAAAAAAAGCTGAACTTATGCTTCTACATCAATACATTTAATGTTATGTCTTAATTTGAATTTTCAAGTTATAGGTCTGAAATGAAAAAGTTCACGCTTCTTGAAAGCCTGGAAAAAAAATTTTCAGCGCAAAAATTCGCTCCGTAATGGTGACTGGGGACAACTTACTAACGGCTATGAGCGTGGCAAGAGAATGTGGAATAATCCGTCCTACAAAGGATGCATATCTCCTACAACACGATTCCACCCGACATGACGCTCTTGGAAGAACTGTACTCACTCTAACTAAGGTTTAAAAATCTCTCTTTTGAGAACAACAAAGAACTTCCAACTTTTCTTTGGCCATGTAAAAAACCAAACAAAATCATTTTAGAGTGTTTCGAGTGATGAAACCATCGTTGACAAAACTGAAGAAGTCAGAGAGTTAGACCACAAGTTTGATCGTTTCTCAAGTCGATATCAACTGGCGGTTTCAGGTGAGACCTCACCTGCAGAAATCTTAAAAATGCAAAACTCAGGTTTAACCTTTGCGATTGTTTGCAAAGAATATCCTGACTTGGTTGATCAGCTAGTCAGTGTGTGCGACGTTTTCGCGAGAATGGCCCCGGATCAAAAAAGCGGACTGATTTGCGCTCTTCAGAAGGTCTTTGAATGAAAAGTATTCAGTATTATTGAGTGAGCTTTAGATCGACTACACTGTTGCGATGTGTGGCGACGGAGCCAACGACTGTGCCGCTCTGAAAGCCGCACATGCTGGAATATCTTTGTCAGATGCTGAAGCTTCGATCGCAGCACCATTCACCTCCAAGGTGAACTCGTTTCGTTTTCGATAAAAACTTTGTGGACAAAAAACAATACTTTACTTTAAAAGTTTTCAACGAGTAAAATCAATATTTAAAAAATTTTATTTTTGAGAACCAACCGCCATAAGTCTGACTGTAGGCTACTGGGTAGGAATTTGGATCGGTTGTATTGAAAAACAAAAATTGATACAGAATTTAACTTTAAAAATTTTCAACGAGTAAAATAAATTCATGGATAAATTCTTATAGATGAAAAAAAAGGTTGATCCGACTGTAAATTTTCCAGTAATTTCATTTTGAAATTCAGGTTCCCGACATTCGCTGCGTCCCAAAAGTGATAAAAGAGGGAAGATGCGCTCTGGTGACGTCGTTTTTGAGTTTCCGATACATGGCTGCGTACAGTCTGAATGAGTTCATGTCCGTGATGCTTCTGTACTACATCAACGCAAATCTCACAGACTTCCAAGTGACGGGAAATTCTGAATGCTCCGTATTGATGATCATTTCAGTTCCTATACATTGACTTGATTCTGATTACGGTTCTGGCGCTGTTCCTAGGTAACACAGGTGCTGCCAAACGGCTGGCTTTGGTGCCGCCAGCCTCACGTCTAATGTCGGCCAGTAGCGTCACATCCATTCTCGGACAGTTGTTCATCAACGGTTTTGCACAGGTACCTTTCCGCTCGAAAAGTTTTGATTTTTCTCTAAAAAAATTTCTTCAAGTTTTTTAGCCGAATTGGAGTAATAAAAAACCAATTTCCATGTGCTGTCTTTGTTCTGTTAAATCTAGTGGGAAAACCTGTTTTCAGCTGTTCAACGACTTTTTATAAAAAGGAATAGTGAAGCATTTATTTACTAAGAACTTTTGAACAAAAACTAAAAAAAAATTGAATCCATTTTTAGGTGATCGCTTACCTGTTCATACAAAACCAGTCTTGGTTCATTCCTCGCGATCCAGAAGACAGCGACATAAAAACTATGCAGGTTTGAAAATCATTAGATCAAAATATTGATTTCACTTGAAAAAAAAGCCCCTTTTTTTCATCTGTATATCAAGGGAAAAATTAATGTTTTCAGGGCACTGCTATTTTTTTGGTTTCGGCGTTCCAGTATCTGACATTGGTTTTCACTTATTCTATCGGCGCTCCACACAGGAAGATTGTCTTCACAAACTACCCACTTTGTATTTGTTGGCTAGTAATAGCAGCCGTGAGTTCTTTTTTCAACTGTGCAGTGAAGTCGGACAATTTTTTTCAGTTCACTTTTCAATTGACAATGTACCCGTGCTCATTCGAAATTAAAGTAATGGATGAAATCTACATGCCGAGTGTCTCGTTCCGCTACGAAATTTTCGGAGTCGCAGTTGCATCGGCCGTCTCTGCGTATCTTTTCGAACTGATCGTTGTTCAAAAACTCATCAGTGCAATTGAAAGGTTTTTCCTCTTCTCGGGGTATTTTAACAACCTGAGGGTATAGTAATAACTGTAAAAAGTATTTCGGATTTTTCATAAATTAGTATTTATTCGAAACTCGACTGGTATTAGTTTTGTGTCATCATTTTACGCGGGTACCGGCTGTCAGAAATCTTCATTCGACCTTCATAAAAAAAGTTTGAGCCTTCATAAAATATTGCTGAGCATTTACATAAAGGAACTTTTCAGAGAAAAGTAAAGGAACCAAGAAATCATGTAGGAGGGTTCTATAAATATCTGGATCGGTAGTCACAATAAAAAGTTAACTTTTCAAGATGAAAAACCAAAAAATTAATCAAATATTTTTTCAGAAAAATGGAAGAGCGCAAAGTACGCCATTTGGAGCCAACGGCGCCACTTTTTTCTCGGATTTTGGTTCAAAACGGCGCAAATCCGCAGTGGCTTTCATCTGCTATCAAGAGAGAGGACATGCCCGATAATTTTCTCAAGATCTCGGTGGAATCTGAAAGAAAAAAGTTTTGACCGTCTTTCCTCCGTCCCTAATTAAAAATTCATCTTTTTATTCTTGCTGCTAAGATCAACTATTTCAAATCAAAGAAGTTAAAATCCGTACTACTTTTTTTCAGCCAAAAGTTGTCATCTTGAAAACATATTTGTTGGATTTTTCCTCTAGAAATCTCCGCATCCATGCCGGTTCAGTTATCAAATAATTTTAGAATATACTCCCTGTTGGCCCGTAAAAGTTCGAATCTTTTTGAGATTTTCCTATAGTTTTCTGTCCCAAGCTGGAGGCGAATAAAATATATATTGCCTCCGCAAATTCTACGGTTGCGTTTTGATTATTATTTCAGCATTTGTTCAGAGTGCTTTCTCCTTTTTAGTCATTGAACGGTGATTCATTCCGATGCTGTTTTTCTATTTTTTAAGTTTGGAAGATAATAAAAATTTTATCAAAAAATGACCATTTGGTATTAAAAATGTTTTTAATCGCTAGTATCTATCAACATCAGAAAAAAATCTCAAAATCAATAAAGCATGCGTTCTAAAAAAAATTACTACTTGTGTACAAACCACAAAAGAATGTTTTTTTGTAGTTTTCGTAGCCTCGATGGTGTCAAAGTTGTTTGCCTCGTTGCCCTGTCTTCTGAGGAGGCAGGCGAGTGCGCTCCATTGATAAGAGAAATAACTTTTCTCTCAAAAAACGTTTTCTTCAAGATCTTTTGTTTCATTTTGAATTGTGAACGTACTACTTGAAGTTCTCCATTTTTTGATGTGGACCGTTAGTGAATTTAAATTATCAGTTTCTTAAATTAATTGAGAGAAGAAAAACGTCCAAGAAGGAAAGTGTGCTCTGTCGCGAATAGAGGTCTTTTTTTCCCGCGTCTTTAATTTTTTTATCTTCGCAAAAAGTACAGCAAACGACAGTCTTTGTTGATAGTTGTAAATTTATTTTTATTGTTTCTTTTTTTCCTATAATTTTTTTACATTTGGTTTGATTCTCTCATTAGTTTTGCACTTGAAAGTATTATTGAAATTTGAGATGCGAGAAACTTTTTTTCTAGTTTTTGATTGATTAATAAAAAAATATTATTTTTTTATAATTTTAATGAAAAAAATTTTTGAGGGAAAAAAATATGTCGCTTTCAGCTTGAGAACTCTGTTTTGCAATTACAATTTATTAGAATCTATTTTTTTAAACACCATATCTAAATTTTTTGAACAATTTGAACAGAAAAATTGAAAGTTAAACATTAAAGGCTACATCCACCACCAGCTGCAAAGTAAGGCCAAAATCCAGTTCTCTTATTGCCCTGTGATCATTCATAGCGATCAATCGGAAGAGATTTGAAACGTTTCCCGCCTTTTTAATACTTTTCATCTTTCGATCTCATCGCGTGCTATTTAGAATCAAAAAACAGTTTTGTTTTCTCACAGATGGGACTCTTCGACTGGATTTCATCGGCTTTCGAAGTGACCACTTTTGACATTGTCGTCTTGCTCATCGCGGCTGTGCTTTTTGCTGTTTGGTACTTCAAGGGATCAAAGCCAGGACCTCCACCTCCCCCTCCGGTTAGTCATTTGACTGGAATTGTTAAATTCAACAAACTATTTAGCCTCCTCCGGCTTTGAAAATGACAGACATGACGCTGTCGGAGTTGAACGAATATGATGGCGTAAAGAAAGAAACGATCCTTTTTGCTCTCAATGGAACGGTGAGTTGAGAGAGATTAACCTTGTTATAGTACGCTCCGTGCGAGACTTTTAAGTTTTAAATGAACAGAAAAGAAATAGCTGCAGTAAATACAACTATTTGTTCTACAAAATAGCAGAAAAAAAACAAATGTCTCGGAGCGAAGATTCTCAATTTTGATCTAATTTGGTATACGGTATTTTTGGCAGAATGAAAAAGTGGCATGTTGGCGCAAAAAAGGCTATATCTTAAAAATTTAAAAAGAAGTAGAAAAAACTTCCGATCGCCATTCTGAGTTCAAAATTTTTTGAACCTGTGAAAATACGAAAAAGCACCACCAATAATTGTGATTTTACAGATCTATGACGTCACTCGTGGGAAGAGTTTCTATGGCCCAGGCGGTCCTTACGGAGCCTTAGCTGGACACGACGCCACTCGTGCTCTTGCCACAATGAGCACCGACGCTGTCAAGAATGAGTGGGACGATCTTTCCGGACTGAGCCCTCAGGAAAAGGTATTTTCGAAAATTTGAAAAAAAACTGTACTTGTGGAAACAGGCTCCGTGAACTCTTGAAAAAAAAATCACTGAAAATTCAGATGAGAATTCATAGTGTTTGATTGGAAAAACATTAATTTTAGATGAGTGACAAATTTTTAATAATTTTGCAAAGGATTTTCTCAGCAAGTGACAAACTTTGAAACTGAAAAAAAAAAAAACGAAGCTTCATTTAAGGAGCGGTTGTCAGAGATTAAATCGTTGATCTTTAGAAGGGTACAGGATATTAAAATGATTGCTATCAAAAAAACTTTCTTTATCTAAAACAATAGATTATTTGATTCAAGTTACACAGTTTGTATGACCTTATATTGAAAAATTCAGGAAACTGCCGAGGAGTGGGAACAGAGCTTCAAGTTCAAGTATCTTGCGGTCGGAAGACTCGTCCGCGACGACGAAGAGAAGCTTGACTACCACGGCCTCACGTCTTCAATCAGCGGCGCCCGCACTGTTGCAGAAATCGCTGCTGGAGGAAACCCCGATAAGAAAAATGATTAAATCTGTTTTTTTTTCCTTTGACTAATACTGGTTATTCCATATCATTCACTGTAGATGTTGCTTTCCAAGTTTAGAAATGAAAACGTATTTTGTATATTTATTTTTGTACAAGCTTGTAGAACGTTAGAGACAAAAAATTTTTGAAAGAGCGACTGATGAAACAAAATCGGATAAAGTTTTCGACCTCACAAGAAGGATACTTTTATTTTTCAAATTGATCAAATAATTTATTTTGTTGTTTTAGTCGAAAATGTAATTGACTAGGGGGTAAACAGAAACTTTTAAAGCTATTACGAACAACCGCTTCTGGCGAACTAGAAGTCGGGTGGTCGAAAGAGTTGAAAGCATGGCCTTACGGTTCCTCGTCTCGTTCTTCTGCGCGTAGTTTCTTCAGTTGCGCCTTGACGAGCTCAGAATGTAGCGGATGATGTAGCTGGAGCCCGGAGATCGTGCTCTAGGTGGAGGCTTCCGAATGAGAGCTACCGCTTCGAGTGGATTTTTCATGGAATGCATGCTGAATTATTGAAAAATTTCACAATTACTTTCTGTTGTTTCATGTCCACTGGAACAACCCGAAGTGAATCCTAATTTTGTGAGACGTCCGAGATTCTTTGGGCAAATACCATTTAATAATTTTTCAGTGGAGGCTCTGACGTCAAAATGAAGAAATCTTTCAGTCTCATTCAGAATCCAAGAATGTACATAAGAATTTTATTTGATTCTCCACGAAAGTTACAAAAAAATAATGAAGGCAGCTATAAGATGTGTACAAGTGAGCAAGGTGATAGAAAGTTATTAGAAGAGGCCGTCGATGACCTCAGTGACAGGGTCGATGGTGATATCAAAGAAGCAAGGACGTGTGTTAAGTCCTGGCATCGTGGTCATGTCGCCGACCAACGGGAAAATAAATCCTGCACCGACAGATGCGCTCACGTCGCGTATGGGCAAAATGAAGCCTTGAAATAAACCATTCAAACCGATCGCCATGGGTAGATAGTGCAAGAATTATTTGACACTTTTAAAAGTTTAGTCTCACCAGTCGGCGCTCCTTTTTTGCTTGGATCATGTGAGAGCGAAAGTTGCGTTTTTGCCATACAAATGGGCAACTGTCCGAACCCTTGTTTTGTGTAAGTTTCGATTTTCTGAAGCTTTTGTTGGTTCTAATACTTTTCCTTCAAAACCTGCTTGGCCAAGTCAGAGAGTTCGATTCCATCAGCTCCATAAATTTCTCGAGCGATGGTCGCGATTTTCTCTTCCAGCGACAAGTCAAGCTTGTACAAGAACCTGAGAAATTCAAAAGCTTTTTTTCCGTTGAAATCGGGAATTACTTGAAGTTGTTTGGCTTTTCTGTAGCTTTGACCAAGCTCTTAGCAAGATCTGTTGCGCCAGCTCCACCCTGAGCCCAGTGGTTTGAGATCACGGCATCGAAAGCTCCGTGTTCCCGAGCCTGAAATTTTATTGAAATTTTTCGCACTGAAAAAAAAAACCATTGGAGCCTTAGTTCTCAAAATGAGAGTTCAAAGAAGAAGATTATACCTTTTTCACTACAAGATTGAGTTCAGCTTCGGTGTCGCTTGCAAACTGATTCACAGAGACAATAACTGGAACGCCAAATTTGTTCGCGTTCTCGATCTGAAGAAAATACTTGAAAGGGTTTTTTGAACAGTATGATCCAACCTGTTTCCTGAGGTTGCTATCACATCCTCCTTCGAGCAATGGCAAGTTTTCTTGAGTGTACTCAGGTTTCAAAGGAGTTCCAGCGGTCACAGCTGGACCTCCTCCGTGCATTTTGAGGGCTCTGACTGTGGCAACCAGAACAACAGCCGAAGGATGAAGACCAGAATATCTGAGAGCGAAGAGTCAAAAAAGTAGTGAGATTTTATTCACCTGCACTTGATGTTGAAAAACTTCTCCATACCGATATCAGCGCCGAACCCAGCTTCAGTAACCACAAAACCGTCGTCACCAACCAGTTTTAGAGCGACCTGAAAACATTCTTTTCGACTCTCAATCTGATCAAAACTTATTTTCGAAGAATTTCCGAAGCATTAGAGTTTTGTTGGAGAGATAGAAGAAAGTCTGTTTTCAATTTTGGATAGTCATATTAAAAAAAAAACTCTGCTCTAACCTTTCAGTGCAATATCGCACGGAAACTACATCTATCAACGAAAAATCTATCGAGAAGGCTGAGTCAATTTTCAGAGAATAATTTCAGAAATATCAAACCTTGTCAGCAAGGATGCTACTTTGCCCGTGTGCAATGTTCGCAAAAGGTCCCGCATGCACAAACACAGGAGTTCCTTCCAAAGTCTGCATCAAGTTCGGTCGGACAGTATCTTTCATCAGAACCTTCAAACTTAAAATTTATTTTCGGCTTGTTTTTACTCTCCTACAGTCAAAGCTTCGGTCACTCCGACGTCGTCAGCCGTCACTGGCTGTCCAGACTTATCAGATCCTATCACGATCTTGCTGATTCTTTCGCGAAGATCCGCCAATGACGTAGTGAGGGCCAGAATAGCCATCAACTGGATAAAAATAGTGATTCAAAAATATTTTTCGGTATTCAACCTCGCTACCAACGGCGATGTCAAATTTGGCCTTTCGAGTGTGTCCCTTTTCATTAGGTCCCAAGCCAATCTCAATTCCTCAAAACCGAAATCTTCAAATGGCTAAATCCTCAAGCTTCCCACCTCTCAAAAACCGATCATTGGTGTCAATAACTCGATTCCAGGTGATCGTATCAGCGTCGATGTCAAGTCGAGAGAAACGACGACGTTGCTCGGGATCGAGGGCTTCGGCGTCCTCAACACGCTTGATTCCAAGGCGATCCAGACGGCGTAGCTGAATTTCAGACATCACTCGCATGCCTGAAAAAAAAGTTTGCTCTCAGAAAAGTTCTTTCTCATCACCTTGCTTGTTCTTCGGACAAAGGCGATTAAAAAGAGCGTCATCGGCCTGAGTAGCTTCATGGAACATCCTTGCATCGATAGCCGCCGCGAGAAGGTTATTCGCCGCGGTGATGGCGTGGATGTCACCAGTCAGATGGAGATTGAACTCTTCCATTGGAATAACCTCCAAGTTCATTTATGAGAAGAGTTTCCGCTATTCAAGGTTACCAGTAAGCCCAGAAATGGATGTCAAACTTATTTTCAAAAAATGAAATCCAAAAATAAACTTTTCCGATGCGCCTAAGGATCTAAGATTAATTGAATCCCCATCGTTTGAAACCATGCTAGGTTTGCGCCACAGAAAGTTCGAAGATCACTCTCCAGTCAACTGTTTTCCCATCTCTTATATTCTTAGAATTTTGAACTCGTTCACCTGAGCATAGCCCCCTCCAGCAGCTCCTCCTTTGATTCCGAAAGTGGGTCCTTGAGAAGGTTGACGAACACAGGCAAAAACGTTTTTATGCAGGTGAGCCCCAAGAGCTTGGACCAAGCCAATCGTTGTTGTGGACTTTCCTTCTCCGAGCGGCGTTGGCGTGATTCCTGAGTTGAACTGACATATTTTTCAAAACCGGTTATCCTCACCTGCAACCACCACGTACTTTCCATTTTTAACATCGCCGAGTCGTTTCAAAACATCCAATGAGACCTTGGCTTTCTTGCGGCCGTACAAGTCCAACTCATCGGGGAGAATTCCGACTTCTTCAGCAAGCTGAAAATATTCGAATTTTTCCGTTTTTTTGTATTTTTTTTTTGAAGTGTTGTACTTTTGCTACGAATGGCTAAAAGATCCGATCTTCAACATAACTTTTTTGACTGATATGAAACGTCTCACAGGATTTTAATTTTGCGCCGCGACAGTGTGTGAAGGGAAGCAATTTTATTCTGCTCTTCGGAAAGGTTTTAAAAAATCAACAGAACCCCTATTTGTTGATCAGATCAAGATCAGAAAAATTTTAAACCCCAAAATCTCGTAATTTTCGACCGATTTTCTATTTTCAAATAAAACTTCTTCAAAGCTCAAGCGCATTAGATGATATCCGAAACGTTCATCAAACTTTTGAAAGCCAAATGCAGCTGATTCGTAACTTTTTGAACCATTTGTAGTGATTTCGTAGAGTTACGAGTTTTGAAAAATCGAGAGTATCATGAACCTTTTCAATGTTTTTGGGTGGTTGATTGCGGGAGATTGCGATATCCGACGGGACCGGTGTCAAAAACTCCGGCTTCAAGTATTCAATGTTCCACGTACTCTGCAAATGTGAACCAATCACCTATAAAAATTGTTTTTCCTATAATTTACTTATTGGGGGTGCCATGCAATAATATGCAAGTGAAAACAAAAAATATTCTCACAGACAGTCCTTTGTTTTGGAAACACAAAATTTCAATCACGGCAATTGCCACGCACGCAAAACAATGCTGTGAAAAACAAAAGACCAGATTTCGAAATTTGAAAAGCGAAATTGAAAATCAAATTGAGAACTTCTTATTGAAAGCGCACTAACAAAGATTACCAGGATTTTTTCTTGAAATTGCTAAAAGTTTTATTTTAAATTTTCTGCTAGCTGGTGAGCAAGGCAAGGGAAAAAAGGATATTTTGGCGTCTTCGTACTAAAGTTTATAGTGTAATTAACGCTGAATAGGGACACAAATTGCCACAGTTTCGTCTAAGCTCTTCCTGTTCCTACTATTATTGGCTGGTCTTTTTGAGATCTGCATTAATCACTGCCTCAAGCCAGCAGTGAATGAAGTTTACTCCTTTTTATGCAAAAAGAAACCATTAAAACAAACCATTTTGCTGAGCGAAGATGGTCTCGATTTGCGTCGGCGACTGCCCTTCCCACCCTATCAGGAGCCGTTTTAAGTTGTTTGGTTGCCATGCGATATTGATTGTTTTGCTACAATGACCCGCGACCGAACCTCGGCGGCAAAGATGGGCCGATCATGTGTATAGTCTGCCTCGAAATTCTTCCTGGGGGGATTTTAAAAGCTCTTAGAGGTTTCACGGCAAAAAAATCAGCTGTCAAAGTTTGATCAGATATTGTGAAACTAAATAAAAAAATCGGAAGATTCAAATGGAAAAAAGGTTTTTTTTTCGGAGTTTTGATGGCGGCTGTGTAAGATTTTCATAAACTTCTCCTGATTCCAGACCTCAGAGAAAAAAAAGAGCTTATTCTTTTCCTGTTTAAAATTTCAGTTACGATACTTCGAAACGCCAAAAATCTTCTTGACAACTTTGATAACTTATAAGCTTTATTGCTCCATAACTCTATTAAAAAGCAAAAATGAACTCTTTTCTATTGTGAACTGAAATCAGGAGACCCCAAAGTACATTTTTGTGAGTGTTCATCAACTTTTCCAAAAATAATCTCTTTATCAAATGAGTTGATACATTTCCCTTTTGGGATGGTTTTCGCATCTTCATACAATCAGCAAAACAGTAAAAAAAATTTGATGTGCGCACAGCCTTTACATATAGAAATATTTGTGATGTGCTCAGTGAAATTTGAGTAAAAAGCTTCATTTACAAACAAAAATAAGCAATTAAGTGAAATTGAAGATATCCCATTGATTGTAGTTGAGCAAATCACAACACCAGCATTGAACGTCCACACGTATTTACTAAAAATGAATAATTGCATTTTTGAGTTCGGAAGTTCTTTATCTCATGTTAAGATATACCAGAAAAAGACTGTTTTAGTGTTTTCAAGTCGTTAAATGAGGAATTTTCCAAAATGTGCCTACATTTCTTCAGGAGGTTCAGAAAAAACTACAACATTTAATGGATGTACCTCAGATTCCAGACGACGTCGGACAGCCTGCTCGAATGTATTCTTGATGAGCATGGCTACAGTCATTGGACCGACTCCTCCAGGAACAGGAGTAATGTACCCGGCAACCTGAAAATGTGTTCCTATAAGTCACGTTCAAATATTCTCACCTCCTTGGCTTCATCGTAATGAACATCTCCAAAAAGTTTGTTCTTTTTGCCTGGTTCAGTCGCTTCTTCAACGTTGATTCCGCAATCAATGACTACGGCTCCAGGCTTGATCCAATCGCCTGAAACTTTTCTTTCGTCTTGTGTTCAAGTAGTAACTTGAGTCGTCACAATTCGAAAATTACGATCTGTGAATGATTTGAACAAAACTGGTTCTCATCGTCAAAAATCAGAAACCAACCCCGCACGAAGTGTTTTTTCCCGATTGCTACGATAAGAATGTCGGCCTCGCGGCAGTATTTTTCAATGTTCTGAGTCCTTGAATGGCAAATGGTGACTGTCGAGTTGTTCCACATGAAAAGAGCGGCAGCGGGGGATCCGACAATTTTCGAACGGCCCAGAACTACCACGTGCTTCCCAACCGTGAACTTCTCGTCTCCTGAAACAAAAAAAGAATATGACTGACAATTTTGGTTTTCGGTTTGCATTAACAGAAAAAAATGACAAAGGAAGCGTTTTATTTTTTTATGACGCAATGAAAATAATATATTTCCAATTTCTCTTTCAAAAAAATGAATACCTTTCGCCTTCTAGTTGAATAACAGATTTTTCAAAAATTTTTTTACTTACAATTTAGTCAAAAAAAGAGGAAATCTTAACGTTTTCAAAGCACCGAAAAAGCAAAAGTTTAATGTTATTTTCCGATTTCAAACGAGAAACGTCTGATATAATTTTTGCAGTCTCATCAAATTTTCAAACAAAAAGCAAAACACTTCTCTTACTAGGGAAATACAAGCAGAAAGACTTTTTCTTCAAACTTGTATTTGGAAAAAAAGCGTTTACCACTTCGACGGCCTTTCGAGATGAGAAAAGTATCAAAAAAGCTTTAAAAAAGTCTTAAAACCGAGAAATCCGAAGCTAAGTCGTTGCAATTTTTCAAACCGTTCAGAGGAAAGCAAAACCTGTGGCTTGCTGGACAAGATGAAGACATCCTTTTGGAGTACAGGGAATAATTGCTCTAGAAAGCTCTCCACGCATCAGAAGACCGGCGTTGAATCGAGTGAGCCCGTCGACGTCCTAAAAAAATGTTCCCATTCATTTATATTTTCTAAAAAAATAAATTAATTACTTTTTTTCGAACTTCATTTGAACGTTAATCAATTATTAAATTTTTCAGTTAGACACTTTTAATGTGCTAAAGAGAAATTCCTTTGAAGCTGCATAGTTTTTTTTATATCTCGAAAAAGAGAGTGTAAAATTTCCTAGGTGTCTCAGCTAACCAACGCATAACAAGCTTCCTTTTTCGATTTATTAAAAACTAGCCAGATATAAAAGTTCTCCTCTATTGAAACGATACTAAGCGTGGTAAAAAAAATTCAAATTTCAGGTAACTGATTTTGACGATGAAAACAAAATAAGGATCTACCTTTTGTGGGTTGATAGTGTCGATGATGGCGTCGACGTCGATTTCATTCTTAGTATCAAGAGGAAGCTGAAAATTTTTGAGAAAAATGTTATAAACTTATCGGCAAAGTACCTGGACAATGATTCCATCGACTTCTCGGTCAGCGTTGAGCTCGTTGATGACCCGTTGCAAATCGTCGTGCGTTGCCGTGTCGGGAAGCTTGACCAAAGTGCCCTTGGCCCCAATGTTCGCTGCTTTTTGGATCTTTGCGTTGATGTAGACATTTGAATCCGCTCGATTTCCAACCTGAAAAAAAATCTGCAGAAAGGCGCAAATCTTTCTTTTTTTTTGCATTATATCGATAGGTTTTGCACTTTAACTTTGAAATCTTCATTCAGCTTGAAAACATTTTTCTGGATACTGGAAAAATTTGAACCCTTTTTGTTAAGCTCAAAAAATTCTCTAGTGAAACGATATCAAACATTAATTCTGCAAGATACGTTATAGATGGTTATAATTTAAATTTTGAAAAAGCAAAAAAAAAAAAAGGAAAACCTGGACAATTGCCAACACTGCGTTGAAATCGGGATGGGACTTGCGCAACTCAGCGATCCGCTCTCCGACACCGGCCAAAACTTTCTTAGAGCATTCCAGTCCGTCGATGATTTTAGCGGTCATCCTTCTCAACGATATATACATAAAGAAACTTCGATGACCACTCCGAAAGCAACTTGTTGAGGCGAGGGTAGTGATAGGCGCGCAGAAAATGCAAGAAACACATCGACGGCGCAAATATGGACCATATCAAATATTCATTACTTTGTTGTCTTTTTGTCGGTTAATGTTATTCTATTATTTAAGTCTTTTTATTTAGTTTTTTTACGTCTAGGCAACCCAGCAAAAAGTTTTTTTAGGTCAAGCGAAATATGAATGGCGTTTGTTTTTCTCAATAACTATTTTTTTGAAGTACAAATGAAGATCACGATTGTCAAATCTGCAAAAACTTTTGCAAAACTTGAGTACGGAAAAAAATCAAAGATTTAGACATATTTTTCTTAGGAGATAAAAAAATTTTTGCAGTTTCAGGATCTTTTTAATTTAGTGCATCTACAAGCTTTCGGGATCATTTTAAAGTAGTTCATTAAGAAAATTTAAAGACTTTCGTTCTCAGTTTGTCAAAAATTCCCACGTATAAAAAAACAGATGTTTTACTTTTATGAGTCGTCAAAAATATGGGAATCTGGAAGAAAAAGTAAGAGGAACAGAACCGAAGGAACTTGCGATGAACGCGGAAAAGTGGATACAGGAAGTGAATGCGCGTAAAAGTTTTTGCCTTATCTCGTTTGACCTGGCATCTATCGATTCACTCTACTGACCTCATAACCGTTTTCTGGACGCTGCTGGAATCTTTCGCCTTCTAATCTGTTTTTCATCAGCTGAGGGCAAAAAGTTATGAAAACATCTGTAAACCTTTATGAGATCTTTCCTTCCAACGCCAGCGAAACATGAAAATGAAACGTTTACTAATGGGAAAAGTTTTTAACTTCGTAATTGTTTTATATTTTTCTAGGAAGCCCTTGATAGACCTCAAAATCAAGAAAATTATTTAAAACTCAAAAGTTTCATATCAAATTACTGTAAAATGGATTTTTCAATAAAATGTGCAACAAAAAAGCAAAAATGTTTTCATCTTTATACGTTTCATCATAAAACGGACATGAGTTTCATTTTAGTTGGGGATTTAAATTGTCATCGACGTGACGATCCGCGTGTCAGAAGATGTCGGCGGAGCTCTTTTCAAGTCGATGAGGGCGGCTTTGAGGCTTTCTTCAGTTTTCCTTCTGCCCGCAGACCTCTTGCGACCGAACCATTTTTTGACGTTGCCTTTACAGAAGTACAGCGAATAGCTGAATAAGTAACACGTTAAAGTGGCTGGCACTCTAATGGCTTACCAGATGGCTGCCATCAGGATGCAGAAACAGAAAAGCATGAAATGCTTTCGGACCCAGTTTGACATATTGACATCCTGAAGAGCATCTTCGGAAATGAATTGAGAAGTGAAATTCTTTTTATTATGGAAAACTAGGTAATTGAATTGTTGTTTTTTCAAAAAAAAAAAAGCAATGAAAAGGATGAGGAAGCGTAATAAATGGAACCTTCGCTTCTTGGCTCACAGGTCTGGTGTAGTCGATCTGGTAGTGTTGATGGAAAAGCATGCGGCAAGGAAGCTAAACATTCAAACGAGAAATCATTTCAAAGTTTATTACTGTTCATTCGACAACTACAAGCAATAATATAATCAACAAAGATAAGAATATCACGGAAAATGAGTATTTCAGAGCGGGAGATAAAGAGATCGAACAGGAAGCTCACAGGACACCAACAATTTCTTGGTTGGTCTGAATCGACGACAGCTCACTGCAAATGAGTTCTTTGCCTGGCTTCCAGATTAACGAATAGGAACTGATTGCCAGATTAGGCAAACTTCCTTCGACATGAGAAACATTACTTACATGAGAAAAGTGAACCTCATGATGACGACAACGTACTGAGGCACGAGCAGAGTCTGAAAGTTGTCATGGGAATAGGATTTTGTAGTTTTGAGTGAGTGGATTAGGCTCTTTACTTCTTCCAAAAGTTATGTTTCATTAATTTGCTCAGAAGTCTCGAAAAAATTTGATTACAAAAAATACGCAGATTTAATAAAAATGAACAAACTGAAAGATTTCTAGGATTCAGAAAAAATGTGCTTTGAAGCACCGATTTCAAATCAAAAGTTTTTCCGGTCTCTTCTGGTGAAAATGATGCTCCTATGTCTCAACTGTTATAGTACATTCCGCCCTAGCTTTTCACGTTTTTTTTTCCAGCCAGAAGACCGTAAACCCAATTAGACCAGCTTCGCTTCAAGACCTCTGTTTTCGCTTTACTTTTTTTGCAGTTTTATAGAGTTTCGCGCAAGGCGGTCGAGTTTTCAAACAACAGCGAAAAAAAGGTTACACTCGAACAAATTTTTTTCGCAACTCTGCTCTTGAAAACAGCAAAACAAACAGCAAAGAACAAAGGTCTAGAAGCGAAGTTGTTCAAATCCGATTGAATTTGGATTACGGTTTTTTAGCGGGAAGAAAAACGTGAAAAGCTGATGCGGAATGGGCTATAGCACCTGACGAACTTACAAGGAAACTTTTTCCCCCCGGTTGAACTATTGATGAAACTTCGCTAATGTTTATTTTAGAACCTCCAGATTGCAGCACAAGAAACAAATTTATCGCAATAGATCTTGTTTTCGAGTTTGAAGCTTCAAAAAACTACATAATTATGACGGAAATGCGCTTTTTCAAGCTTTTGAAGAGTTCTCACTCAAAGACCAGATTTATTGCAAAAAAATATTTTACTTTTTTTGCAATCAGGAGGTCCTAAAGTACACCTCAGCAAAGTTTTATCGATAGTCCAACCGGATGGAGAGGGGGGGGGGATAAGAAACTTTCCCTAGTTAATGTAACCGATGTTCCAACATCGAAACGTCCCAACTCGGGATACAGCAAAAAGAGCTTTTTTTGGTGAAGAGTTTCGGAAAGTACTCTGCTGTGTGGAAATTTTTGTCAATGGATGACCATATCTCAAAAAGTAGGAAATTTTAATTAACGATTAGGCTTTCTGACAGCCTCTAAAATATTCGAAGCTTCACAAAAGAGCAGCTGCTTCTTTTAGACTTTTTGAAAATGCGTCTTTGATGATCTTTTCGAAAAGTTTGAGCAGAAACTGACCAGAAGGATGTAGGTGAGATCCAAAGCAACTGAGAGGAAGCAGAGTCCCGGGGGGATGAAGTTGAGAACTTCGACGGTGAACCGACTGTAGTCACTGTACCCCGTGATGTAGCACCAGACAACTTGGTTGGCGAAATAGTACCTAATCCGGGAGTTTTTCGGGTTTGCATTTTATAACTTTTTCTCATTAACTCACAGTTTGAGAAGAGCAACCGGGAAAAAGAAGTAGACCACATGAATGTTTGAGAACTGCAATGAAATGAAATCGTTTACTTTTTTGGTGCCTTCCTTACGCTGAAACCATAACCGGCCAAAAGAAGCAGGACTTCTACCAATAGAAACCTCCCGAACATTTTGGGTAGCTGAATATAAAAGAAAAAACAAAAAACAAAAGAAAGAGTTTGAAAAAACCCTTTGTTTCACATCAAACTTTCTCGCAAACTTCAAGTTGCTGGAAATGAAATGACTGTGAACATTATGCCCACCAAAGGGGATATTTTCGCTCTATTCAAAAACTCGAATGAAATTTTCCCAAACCTGAAGATAATATCTATTTATTTGTGCTGGGAAAAATATGTTGAACAGAATATGCATTTCTTTTCCCCAACAGGTTGCAGAAAGAATTCAATGCAACGTTTTTTGTTCGTTTCTCTTCTTTCAAGGCAACAAAAACAATGGTTCCGACTAGACGTCACCTTTACTCGAAATGTCAGTGAGAATAAAATTTCATTTTGCGCGGAGTTAAATAAACGGATGAACAACTGCAGATAGAAAAAGGACATGGCGTGAGAACAGCAATTGTACCTGTTTTTTTATTGCGTTCGTCTGGATTGCTTCTGAGAGATAGGCTCTCACTATTACATACATGAATAAAAACGGAATGGGTTGAGATTTTGAAAAAAAAAAGAGTCTTATTTTGGCCGAACATGACCAATAAGTCTTTTTTTTCTGAACTTGATTTTGAAACTGTTTCTGTTCAAATTATAAAAAGAAAAATCGTATTCTTTCTCATAAAGTATATTTTTTTATTTTTTTAAGTTCTCATTCCGAAAAACTAGTCACAATCGTCGCTATACCTTTCGGAAAATTATCTCTACCATCTTCCAGATTTTTCGTAGCAAAACCCTTAGTAGCATTTTTTTTTTGGAAATTCAACTTTTGAAAGTTAGAGTACTTCAAATTATGGCTCATCGGCTATAGGGGCCAGGCTCCGCTAAGCTCAAATTTCAAAAAATGATCTGAAAGGCTATAAAAGGGAAAAAGTACCTAGGAGGATTCCTCATCTGGAACTTCATAAAAGCTCTGAAGGTGTTTTTTTTTTTTGATTATGAAATGGTGAGTCAATGCGGATTTTCGTTTGTAATCACGCTTTTTTCTTGCTTCAAAACTCGAAGAGATGTGTTTATGAGATAACCGTAGATACAGTCCGGCAAGAAACTACAGGAAATCTTCTCAGATTTCTTTGGGGCTTGATTGGGGAACTTGATTAAGAGCTTTTTTTCGCAAAGAATTTTAATGCGATGAATCAGAGTGAAGCGAGTTCAATATAATAATTTGATGGACAAAAGCTGAAGATGAACAGAAATAATGGCGAGAAAGAAGTCGAAATGATTTCGGCAGGAGCGAACTCCATGAAAACAGAATTCTACCGGCTCCGCCCATCGCCTCAAAAAATCTTCAAGCTTTTTTTCGAAAACATTGTTTAAAGAATCATGCAGCTGAAAACGAATAGTTTTCTGAGGCCCTTAGTAAGTTTGAATAAAAGATGACAATCAAAAGAAAGGTCAATAAGAGAACAAGCCTTTGGGAGGCAAAGTATAACTGAAAAGCGAGTTAGGCAGGGAGGAACCAGCGGAGCCAAGAACAATGTTCCTTCGTGGTACTTTTCCAGTCGGCCACGTCGATCGTGCCGACGTCCATCATCGGATTGTTCACGACGTCTTGATCCAGGAAAACTCTCGTTCTTAGGTCGCAGAGGAACTGAAAACTTGTGTGCATCAAATGGATGAGTCTAACGAATCTGTAAAAAACCTATTACTATAATTTATTAATTCTTCAAACGATTTCCTTCGATGATCCGTTCACTATGAACTGGAACTTCTAAGCTCCGTGAGAGTTAACAATTAACAAGCAAGTCATTGTAATGTAAGGTTTGAAGTTTATTATCAAATCGTCCAAAAGACGGAAAGTCTGGAAGGACGTGCTATCATTAGCTTCCTGGTGTTTTTTTTTGTCGAAGCTAGCCGATTTCTCAGTGAAAAATGCTTTCAACCAAAACTTCTAACACTTTTTTCAAGTTTTAGGAAGTATTAGAACAACCTTCGGCTTGATGTAAACGCTGCACTTGTGGTAGAACATAATCACGGGTTCAATTTTTCCATCCGAATCCTTCGCCTTTCCTTTTGCTTTGAAATAACCATTGTTGTTCGTTGTAGCAACACTCATAAACTCGTCAACAAAGCCTGAAAAGCCGGATTTTTATCACATATTTTTATCAACTTCGAGTAATTTATTGAGATACTTTGAAAATTAGATATTGTGGTTAAAGGTCAACTCTTATCTTTTTGCAAAATCTAGTTTTTTCTTAACATGGGCTGAAGTTCCGCTATTATCATAATATATTCCGAAACTTTTGATCCAACTCGCCGGGTCTCAAAATTTGTTGAAAATTTGTACTAACAATGTGTGAAAGGTTCAAATACAGAAATACACAATTTTCGCCTATTTTGCTAACACCTCAGTGGGTGCTAACTGCTGTGAGTATGACTAAAGAACTGTTTTCAGGCATACCTGTACTCGAATAAAAAACATTGAAGAAAGGTGCGAATAAGCGTTCAAACCTTTCACTATAAATAATGTCGTTAAAACAAATTATGTTGTGCGCACTTTTTAAGTTTTAATTAAACAAATAAATGACTCACGATCTTCGTCGTAAAGAAAAACTCTTGTGGAAGCCATGGCTTCTCCGTTACACAATAGTCTTCCGCGAATATCGACAGTCAGCGATTTCGTTTTGAAGTCGTCCAGAAATGGTTTTCCTCTTACGAACCCGTAAATCAATAAGACTGTTAGCAAGCGGAGTATCATTTGTTCTGAAAAATTCAAGATTCAGGTTCACAGTTACGAACATGGATCAGAAAGAAAAACTTTTCCTAGCGGGTTTCAAGACTGTCTAAAAAGTTCTGAGAAACCATTTCAAGCTTTCAAAAAAGTGAAAAACTGCCAAATTTTCTATCATCTACTATGGAAGGCACAGAAGACTTTTAAGACCTCAAAAAATATAAACCAGTTTTTGCCGTATCTATCTTATTTACTCTCCTGACCGGCTAACATCAAAGAAAGAAAAGAAATTATCAGAAGGCTGAAAATTTTATTTGAACGGAAAACACGGAAAACACGGAAAGATTCAAGTATTGGGATTTTTAACAAATCTGAGTGGTCACGAAGGCATTTTGAGCAGGAGCTAAAAGCCAGGATAAAAGGGCTCTGGGGCGGTGAAGCCAATTGCTGCACCAGAACCTCGTAAACAGCTGAGGAAACGGAAGAAAAAAGTTTTGAGAAGTTTTTTTTTATTAATTACCGCTATAAAGAACGGAGAAGAGTCACCTGAGGAAGAGGAAAAGCTGCGAAAATAGTAACTGAGAGGAAGCAAGGAAATGACTAACAGAAGCGTCCTTTTCATTTTTTCACACTCACATTCTCCTGTTACAACGATATTGCAATCCACCTGTTTCTCGATTTCAATTCCAATTGGTCGATCTTTTTTTGCTCCTGTTCAGCACAATTTTCCCATAATCAAGAATATTTCGAATAAAACCCATCAAAAAGCGCTATCCCTTGCTTACAAAAATGGTATATTTGAGTGCTGGGAAAAATTGAGGCTGATCGCCAATTGTAAACAGCCAGAGCATTGAACGGCTTTGTAGTCAGCTGATATTTTGAGCACAAATCCTGTCAGTTAGTTCGATCTGACGCGATTTTGAGAAATAGAAGCTTAAACAACACCAACATTCCTCAAAAGAAAGAAAACAAACTTTTTGATCAATTTTTTTCATCACAATAAACTCTCAAAATGTTTGCTATCATAGCGTACCAATTATCACTTGGGAAATTCTGAGGCTCCAAGAAAAAAATCGTTTTCGGTCGATCGATTAACGAGAGCTCATTGACCCTATTATTGCTACGAACTCACTAAGAAACAAAGAAAAGTGAACTCGTGTTTATCACTCAACGCTTGACTCTCAAACCCTATCAGCTCAGATTTTAGTGATGGGCATTTCTGTCGTCTATCAGTTCGCACGAAAAACGGTTCTGTACTTTAGTCGGATTAAACCCTAAAAAATGCGTTGCTATGACAAAAGAAAATTTTAGCCTTCCAAAGAATACTGTAAATACGCATTCTGACGTTGTACTTTGTGTGAATACGCTTTTTTTGTGTTTTAATTCGCAGTTATTCATAACTAGTTCTCTATACCTATTTTCCTGAATAAAAATATTTTCGTTTTTTTTCAACTTTTTAAGTTCCAATCAAAAACATAAGAAAGATCAGGATCCGAAAATTCACATACTCTCTGTTAAAGGAAAACTCGCTTTTTTCGTCTAACAGAGCCTGCTAAATTTTCTCAAATGATCATTTTAACAAGCTGCTTGTCGAAGGGAAGAAAACTGATAGCAGTAGCAGGTCAGGCCGACTATCAGGAGGTCAATAGTGTTTACTGCTTTTTATGTTTCTCCCCCTTCCACGAAATGTACAGAAATTCCTCATTGGAGCTTTTTTTGCACCACAACTACATCGATGAGTAATCTTCTCATCAGGAAAATAATACTTCTTTGTTTTTCTTTTTCTCTTTTTCAAGTTCTCATTTTGTTTCGAAAGATCGCACTTGATATTGATAAAAGGCCGTAAAAGCTTTGCTATAATTTTTTTTTCAGATTCTGATTTTCGAGCGGATAACTTTGCCCCCGCTAGCACAGTACATTTTGCGTTGAGCGCGAAGATAATCCTTTAATAGCACAACATTTTTTGAATTTTTTTTGAACCTTTTGCTCGAAAGAAGTAGCTGAAAGATGCAGCGCTATTAAAGGATCGTAGTTGCGCGCGTTAAAATATTGACGCGAAAGATACTGTTGCCACGGGCGAGGTCAGCTCCTCCACATTCAAAATCTGATAGTGACATTGTAGGCGCAAGCCACGAACCATAATTTTTTTTTATTTTGTTCACTCGACTATCGCCGCTATTTTCTGTGTCCGGATTCTGCTATGAATGAGCTCTGCTTCCAATTCATTGTAATCTGCAGTCAGGTTGTCTTTTAAGAATGAAACTTTTGAGCGTTGCAGATTTGGAAGGTCTGGAATATTTTCAGTTTTTTTTCAACTTTTTCCCAATCATTGTAGAACAAAAAAAAACGAAAAATTTTTCAATTCATCATTATGTGCTCAGTTTTCTGTCCAGTTTTTAAATTTTAATTGAGCGAGCTGTTCAAAAATAGATAGAGGTTGATATCTTCTTTAGACTTTTATTGAAGTTTTATAGAAAAGTTTTTCGAATCACAATTTCCTATCGTTTCTGTCGCAGCTATGCGAGCTATAATCGATAACTCACTGATACTGCTGTAAAGTCGTATCAATCAGAAAAAGGTCTAGAAAACCGTTTTAAAGGGTCTCCGTCGCAACTTTTGTGCCTTTCTTTCCTTTGTCTACCCTAAGAACAAATTTGAATCACCGACGACTATATATCAAACCTTCACCGTCTCAAAAAATCCAACGCCGTTCGTCGGCCCCGCCTCTCCGTATTCAGCCTTTTTTCCCGCCCAAAACCATTTGGTTCAGTCAGTCAGACAGCGACGGCCCCACATGTGGCACGAAGACCCGTCTTTTTCTTCGCCCAGTGAGTTTTTTGTTTCATTCATTTTCAGCAATTGAGTTAACTTTTTGAAAGCGACTGAAGCTGCCAGATTACTTGTGGACTCCATCAATTCAATAGAAAAAACCTCACTTTTCAGCTCATTTTGAACCGGAGATTTACTATTTTTGAGGCGAAATACAAGCGGAATAATCTTTTTGCTCTATTCCTGACACTTTTGATTACAGAATTTCACTTATTCTGTTCTGTCAAAAAGTTACGTCCTATATTTTTAGCTTAGTCAACAAATGAAATTTTCTCAACGGTAATTTAAGGGAACTCTGCAGAAATAAACTCCAAGGTACCTCAATTATCAATGATAAATTATAACGATCAAATTCAAATGAGGCAAAAAGCAGGAAAAAAGCCAATTTCGAGAGTTGAAAATAGTCCTAACGGCAAAGTTGAAGTGCGGATGTACTTATGAAAATTTTTTCAATTTTTCCAATTCAATAGCTGTAAAAATCGTTCGAAAGCCTTCGTGATGGCGAAGAAAATATCAACGCCGTCGTGTATTTCGAATTCTCTTTTTACGACCGCACATTACCCCTGGGAAACTGTGCCGCCCCGTACGATTTGAGACGGCAGCACGTTCACTTGGATAGTTTTTTTATTGGCAATATGGATTCGAAAAGTTTTCGAAAACTGTAAAAAAACGTATAGATTTTTTTCCGTATATCTGAACACCTCCAAATAGGAAAAATCTTACTTTCATTACATTTTTTTCTTGATAAAAAAATTTTTTTAAATGAATATCTGAAATTTCGAACTCGCAATTCGCAGACCCCACTATCCCACTCATCCTTGACTTTTCGTGTTTCTGGACCATCTCCGACTTGGCCCACCACTATTCACGGTGGCAAGACGAGATGGTTCGGAAATTCGACAAAGCGCCATTTTCCCTATATCTTGCCGATTTTTTGGACTCTCTTTGTTTTGCGTCGCCGATAACTTAAGGTGGCAAGACGATGAGAGTCTGAAAAAGAGGTGAAGATCATTTGTCTGCTTACGTTTGAGTTTTAAATAAGTGCAAGTTAAAACGACTAAGAAAAACTTGTACAGGTCGGGTCGTCCAATTTTCAGAAATCCAAATTTCGAGAACCCGGATAGCCTGTTCAAACTGGAAACAACTAAGCTCAAATAGAGAAAAGATTGAACGAAAAGTGTCTAAACGCTGAAAAAGCAATTAAACCTTCCAGCAACATATTTCATGCGTTTAATTTTACTTCTAACTATCAGAAACCAGCAATTTTCGTTAAAATCGGGAATTGTTTCAAGAATTGAAAGCTCACGATATATATTGTGTTGATGTGAGAAAATGGCGCAAAAAAGCAGCGCTTTGAAATTTCCCTGCAGACGTCGGCAGACAGTCAAGAAGTGAAAGTTAAAAAAAAAAGACAAATTGACGCGCAAATGATAGATGAATCGGAGATGAAACTGTGTGATTGGGGAGAAAAAATTGAAAAAAGTCTCTGAGGGTTTGAAGCAGTCGCAAATCGCAAACTGATCATTTGATCCTTTTTTTCCAAACAAAAATTCGATTTTCAATCTTACGTTGTTTCTCAGTCCTTTTTTTACAGCTTCAATACAAAAAAAGATAATTTCAGCGTTCGCCCGTTGAACGCCAACTATACCTCAAAACGTTAATGCTTGTAGTTTTTCTGCTAACAATATTCTCTTCCCTCCCCCTTTCATGGAGAACTTTTCGGGGTTTTGGGGCATCTCTGACTTGGTACCTTTCTCATATGGTGGCAAGACGAGATGCTTCACAAATCCGACAAAGGTCCTTTTTTTCCTTCCTTTTTCCAATTTCTCGCTTCTCAGTGATATTGAGATACCCCCCTCTTTCAAACTTTGAAATTCATAGACTGATTTTTATAGAATTTTTATCAGTGATAAAAATAAAATTTTAACTTTTTCTCTTTTTCAGTGGATTGAAAGACAGACGCCGGCACTTGAGCATCTTCCGGTTCAAGAATATTGTCTTCTGGTTAAGCACAGGGGAAATTTCCGATGTCCAAGTGATGTCAAAGTTGATATGGATCGGAGTCTCACAATAAATGAATTTATTCAAAAGATGAGAAGAAACACAAAACACAATCAGTTACCATCGCTTTCAATGTCCAAAGTATCAACATATTTCCGCAGGGCGGCGACAAAGCCACGGATATTATTGACCGTGAAGCCTTTTTTGAACCTTTCGCCGACGTCAATCTTCACGTTGTAAAAGTATTCTGGTCGGTCGCGGAAGTTTCTGCAAAGGGCACAAAAGCTATCAATCATTCTCAAAACGACCCATAGTCTTGTCATGAAAAGTCCGGAGAAATGAAACGAAAGGCGAAAGGTTTAAATTTTTTAATTTGGAAACCGCAACTTCTGCTGTAGTTTTGGTGGCAACAGGAAGAAAAACTGAAATTTATTTTTTAGTCTTTGAAAATGGTGTTTCATTTCAGAACTCATCTTGAGCTTTCAAAAAAGAAATGAAGGAAGCTGCATGAGTTTCTAAATGTTCGAAATGTTCAGAATCGAACCAAATTGAATATACTCAATAGTCTTAGATATTTATATTCTTGAAAAAAATATCGGACCTTTTTCATATCGCAAGCCCACCAGGTGAATCCATTGGAGCCCCAATTCTTAACATAGTCGTTGGCTTGGCATTTGATTTTTATACTCTTGATCTTTTCAATTTTATACTCCGCACTGATCGACGTGGGAAAGTAGTACCATTTGATTGTTAAGACTCCATCAGAAACCTATAAAAAAACAAAAATTTAATGGAAAAAAATGATGTTTGAAGTTGAAATTAGAAAAAAACGTAGGCCAGTCCAGAAAAATTTGAAACTTCTGTCCCTTTGAGAAGCTACAATGGAATTTAGAGTTCAGCGGAATTTTTTTCCGTAGACTTACAGAAACTCAAAAAATGACCGAAAAATTCACCTTACTCCATTCTTCTTCAAAGTCCACTTCCTGTTTCTTTTTTGTAGACATTATCCCTGAAGATACTCGAGAACCCGGATAAACTGCAAGAAGAAACTAAAACTGCGGAAATATAACGGTTCATGTTATTAAAGCAGCAGACAGTTCTTATCATTCCCGCGTGATCAATGTCAAACTCTGTGCTAGGCTCTTGTGTGGAAGTATTCCGATAAAAGTGTTTGAATGAAGATAAACAATTTTTTGAGCGGCTGATTCGAATGTTGAAGAAAAAAAAAATCTAAAAGGCGCTTTACGACGGAGGTATTATTTCAAAACGCGCTTATCTCGTGAAAAATGACGTCGAAAAGTCAAGAAAGCATAGACCGTACTTAGCATTGATGACAAGTTGGACGTCGCTAATTTCATGATTCGGCAGAGCCTTTTGATTTCTCCGATTTCCAAATAAATGAATGAATTTCACAAAAAAAAAAGAAGGACAGACTACTTTTTGATTTATATTTTTTCTGTTGCAAATTGACCACAGAGAAGTCTAAACAAGACAGGATCGACTAGATTTTTTCAGTCTTAACTGATTGTATTTCAGGTGGTTTTTTACAGAAGAAAACCTGTTAACATCAGGAACTCGAAAAAGGGTTTATTGAATTTCCATAAATGAAACAAAATATTACGCAAGCTCCATCAGCAACCCGAGAAAATGGAAAATCAATTTAGTACCACGTGCTCTAACTTCGAAGTCAGGGATCAGACAAATATATCAGAGTATCAAAGTTGCAAGGCGGTTTCTTCAAGTCGTGTCCGACACAAAAACTGCTTCCGCATTTCCTCATCAACAAAAAATGTTGAAATTAAAATCATGTGTTTATTTTTCAAGACGTCTGGGACAACGGGTGCAAAAAAATTTATTCGTTTTTCAGGAATTTCATGTACCTTTTTGAAAAAAACGTCTTTTTTTGCGGAGATCAACTTTTTTTCGAGAAAATTCTGGAAAATAAAAAAATGAGAAGACCGTGTTTTTCTACAGTAGTTTTCGAATAATTTTAGCGTTTTATTTAAAAAGTTTTTTTAAGAAAAAACCGAAAAACCACGGTGAAACCGATTCTCTAAAAAAATTTGAGGAATGCTTGCGACGGAACTTCCTTCAGTCCGAAAAGACGTTGAAAGCCGCGATTTCAACGCTGTGGATCAATTTCTCGGTGAGAAGATTTGAAGATAACCAGCGAATATGCAAAATTCTCTCGATGGACTGTGTTTCTCGCCATTCTTCTTCTTTACAGGGTCACCCCTAGATTTGCGCTCATCCCCTGATATCGATGTCTTTAGTTCTTTCCACACTTTCTTTTTCCTTTTTATGCATGTACTTTGCAATCGTAACACATTTAGCCATTCCAAAGTGTTCGATGAAGCTTCAAACCGTGAACAACTACATTTCAGATGAATCAGCCTACTTTTTGTGCACAGTGCTTCCAAAGAGTCTACGCGGCGGAAGAAGTTCAGCGTTTTGGTCTTCATTTCCACCGACGTTGTTTTCGATGCTGTATTATTTATTTTTGGAAAGGATTTTCTCAAATTTTTATAGCAAACCAAAGCTGCGGACGACCTCTTGATAGTAGAAACAGTTGCGAACACAGCAAAAAAGTAGGATGAATACGAACTCCTAAGAAATTTTCCATTTCCAGCCCTATTGCGTTAACTGCTACGGATCGAAGTTCGGAGTCCATGGAGTGCGTGGTTCGACGGCCAACTCGATGCCGGCTACAGTTGTCCCTTTGGTCTAGTTAATTTCATTACCTTCATTTCTAGGACATAACATTTTATTTCGTTTTTAAATTTTGAGAAGAACAGTGATCTCAAGTTTTTTTTGCTAGGGTTCTCACTGATAATGTGAATTATATTTAGTTCACCTAACTCCTTTGTTATGATTATGATTTCCCGCAGCAACAGCCTGTGCCATATCTCCAGTTGATAGAAATATTTCAAAAAATTTCCCATTTTGATTTTTAGAGATTTTCCAACAAAATCACAATGACGTCTTGTTTTTTGTTCCAACCCAGCAATGAATCAAATCTTCACATTCACCAATTCTAATCTTCAATAGGTCTTCAGGCCGCCTATGGAGACAACTCGAAAAGCGTCTTTACTAATTCAATTTCATATGGACCTCAGCGAGCAGCCATCCAAAAAGTCCAGGTAGTTGTTTCCTAAGCTTTTCTTTATTTCCGTTCATTTATTCAGATACGTCCTGTGGAAGCTCGAAAAGAAGAAAAGGAAGTTATCAACGACTTGCAACTTTGTGAGTTTTTTTTTCATAAGTTTATTTTCAAGTTTTTCAGTTTACAAACCCAGCCAAAAAGTGAATACAGAAGCCAATATTGAGCCTCCAAAGTGCTCACCGCCAGAAATCCCACAAGAACTTTCTAATGTAAGTTTTTTTCGTTCAAATCAAGAAAAATTTTTTTCAAAAGCCTTTAATACGATTTTGAAAAAAAGAAAAAGCCCAGAAGTACAAGCTATTGCATGACGAAAAAAATCCGCAAGATGACAGTTAAAAAAATATTTTTGTTTCTAACCTGATTTAAACTTCGAACAACTGTGAAGTTAGTTTTAAAGCACTCAAAAAAATAAATATAACGACTGGACTGCGCTCTGAGAATTCTGTGCAAAAACTTTTTAAATTTTTTAATATTAAGACTTTTTTTCGGAAGTCGTTTCATAAAAAAATTTGTCTAATTTAACACTTTCATAGCAAGAAAAAAACTACAGAAACGTCGGAACCTCTCCTTTTTTTTTACAATGTCTTGTGATCTTCATGAAGACTCCCTTAAATATTGCCTGACAGTAAATGCAGTTTCCCTTTACACTCTGGAACTTTCTGAAAAACTATTCTAAAACTTTCCGATGCTCAAATTTCTGGATAGTTCGCAAAAGGTGTGCCACAAAAAAATTCAGAGAAAAATTATCGAAAAATTTCAGACTAGAGAACTAATCGGGCGCGGGGACGCTTATCCAGTTATAATTTTGGTGGCTTATAGGCCTGGGTTGACGTTTTTGGAAACAAGCAATATCATATGCAAAGTCCCATAGACTTCCAGAGATAATATCCTCGAAAAAATTAAAGAAGAGCCCTGTACGCGCCTACACCTTGTTTTTTTTTTTTTTACCAAAGTGGCCTGTAGATTGAGGGCTAGTCTCATGAGCGACTTTTCGAATAAGTTCGACTCCTGTCGAGTGTAAACTTTTTTCTGAATTTACCTTAACGACAAGTTTTTTTGTAAAAGTACAAAATTCGAAAAGATTTAAGTTTTATCAAGGACTTTTTTTTACTTATTTGAAACTTTTCGGAGGACTAATTGAATAAAGAAAAATAAAGAAAAAAGTAGCGTCATTTTCATGTTTTTTAAAAAACTTTTTCAAAGATTTAAAGAAAAGTGCAAAAAAGATCTGCAATCAGCGCAAATGGAGCCATATCAAAAAATCAATCATAAGACTGGTTCTCAAGCCATTGTGCCAGGTTATCTCGGTGGATTGCCCATGTCTATAATACATCAAAATTATCACTTTTCACGCTACACTGAGCCCGATTAGCTACCTAATGAGCGTATTTTCTCACTTCAAAGTTGTTTTTCTTTTATTGATTCTTCTTTCAATGCATCAGGCCCCATTGCGGCTGCTCTTATCTGGACAACTTGTTTTTGAAGAAAATTTCTGCGGGAGTTTTCGTACTGGCTCTCCTTCCATGGGAAAAATTCTGAATTTCGTGCGTTTTCCGTTGGCCCGGCTGCAGAGAAAGCGATGTCGTCTGCAAAAGGCGCGACGCGGCTCGCGTCCTTTTGTTGCGACGTATCGACGCTCCATTGAACCGACTCGTCGTCTGCACTCTCTCACCAACTTATCTTTCATGGTTTTCTCCCTTTCATACGACCTTTATTTTATTAAAGCTCCCACTAACAATTTTTCTATTATTTCTTCATAATTTGATATATTTATGTTTCAACATTGCTGCTAATTAGGTTTTTTCTGAAATATCGCATCATAATTATTTTTGAGGATCTTTTTGGCAATTGGATTTTTTTATCCGAGTATTATATTCAGTGTGGTTGAAATCATCGAAGAATTCCTTCAGAATTTTCTAAACTTATTCTTATTGCACGTAAAGAGCTCTACCAAATCGAGTAAAGAGTATAAATGAAAAATGTCTTTTTAAAACTTTTTAACTTCAATAATCAATAACTTCTTCACTTTTCAATTTATTCATAATAAGTTTTTTGTTCTTATTTGTTACACTTTCTGCCCTTTTTTTCTACGTTCACTGAAAGCCTTCAACTTTGGGAACAATATGATTTTTTTTGAACTCCTATCGACTTTCTCTCTTTATTAATAGTTGCAGGCTAGATAGTTAGAAATAGCGTACACAGACACTGTAAGTTTGCTTTTACAATTGGAAATATATTATTAAAGGCTTAAAATCTTTTATTAAGTGGAACTGGATTTACTCAGACATCTGTGGGATAGTTTTTCGCTTTCGAGAGATTTTCTTCTTGAACTTTTATTTTCAAAATAGAGTTCGACACATTGAAAAAAATTAGAAGGTTTTTTTCAAATTTTGGTTTGATTCGTGCATTTTACGAATTTTATATGCGCGCCAAAGGTATACTGTATGAGACGCGGCGCTCTCGCAGCCAAATATTATAAAGTGCAGTAGCATAATTCCTTGAGAGCTACCTAGAAACTGTGCGCCAATCGCCTAATGGGCAAGCTCAATCTGTCTCACTTTGTGGAAAATCAAAACTTCTGTGCAGAAATATAAATGTTACGGTTATTTTCACTAAATTTTTTTTTTCCTTTTTTACTTCATTTTTTATATCTATTCTACTATAGCTTTAAAAATATGCTCTGTGGTGAACCGTTTTTTTTTTTTGAATATTTTTGTCGGGACTGTATGAAGGAACTGAAAAAGGCCACACTTAAAAACGACATATAATAGGCTCCTATTAACATTTTTTTTCAAATGGAGCCATTTCTTCTCCTTTTCATAAAAGTGACAGATATGTTCAATCTAGATACAAGAAGGTTTTCATATTTTCCGAATTCATATTTTTTCCTGTTTCGATTTAATCGATCTTCTACTGGTAACGTCCATTCACAGTTCAATACTAGTTTTGAAACTTGAACTACGGTTGGACACTCTGAAAAATTGTAAGAGACTTTAAAAAAAAAAAGAAATCGCGCCTTTTTCTTACAGTATATCCTCAAACCGATACAAATTTTCTTTTTTCCCACACCCGGCTTGTTTGTTTTAGGGCGCAGACTCCGAAAGGCGTGCCATCTTTTTTTTGGTTACCGTGTTTGTTACAGTATCTATTCAAGCTGATTCAATTTATCTTTGTTGCAATCAATTTTCTTACTCGTTTAAGAGGACAATTTCTAAAAAAAGGCCCACCTACCGGCTTTTTGCCGACGCGTTCAAAGGAGCGGGGCATTTCATTCCTCTTTCTTCGGACCTACCAGAATTTCAATACGGCTCGTGGCTGCGTTTTTCTTTTCAAATTTCTTATTGACTTGTCGCAATTTCAGCAGACTTATATTCTTTTTTTTTGGAAGTCTGAGTGAAACAAAAAAATATAACCACTATCCTATAAGCGCTGAAACTAGAAATAATTGTTTGCTTTAAATTTTGAAAAGAAAATAATTTCGTGATAAAAATTCTCTAAATTTTATCTGAATTTCTCGAAATTTCACAATGATTTCATTAACCGTTCATCTGATTTTAGGCCGTCAGAGTGTGTTTGAGCGAGCTCATAGAAAATCCCAAAAAAGAACAGTAGAAAGACTCCCAATGAGAGAAAATTTTGAAAACAACTCGTTGCCATCGGCAACGCATCAAAATGGACATTTTGGAAGAAAAATAAATATGTAGGCTATTTGCTTCTCTGCTCATAGGTATAAAAAAGGTTTGCAAAAAAAGGTTCTTGTAATTTTTTTTTATGAAAAAAAGGAATAGACTTGAATTTTTCCGTTCCGCAAAAAAATTAATTACCATTTCAATCTTATCTCGTCAACCGGATAACATTTTTTTCACTAAAACATACGTTTTTCTCATTTACAGATTGCTCGATCCTTGAAAAATTTTGAAATCAATCGCTCGGAAGCAGTCATCTGCAACAGATGCCACAGATGCTACGATACTGTTTATTTTGCCGAGAAAGTTGTAGTCGGTGGTCTGGTGAGACGCACAGGATTCGAACAAAAGAGAAAAATTAAAAATATTCTAGATGTGGCATAAACGATGCTTTAGATGTTCACTTTGTGAGAAAGGACTTGATCAAGGCTCCGTCTGTGAAACAAAGGGGGCTGTATTCTGTAAAGGTACTTGCAATACTCCTAGATCATCAATTTTCTTTCCACGTGAAAAAAGAAAACATTCCAAATTTTTAGGTTGCTACGCAAAGCAAAATGGTCCAAAAGGATATGGAAGGATTGCAGTTGCCGGACCTTAGCAATTTCTATGTCCATCTTCTTTCTGAAAATTTTTTCGTTCTGCAATAAATTATCGCGTCAATTTCTTGTGCTCGTTATTGTGTCTTTTTTTGCTGTTATTTGCAACGAATTTTTTTTCAGGACTAACTCATCCGACTTCTAACAAATGCCAGCCAAAGATGTGGGTCTTTATCTTTAATTACTTGAAAACCGATTATTAATCAAACTCATCCAAGATGAGTCAGCTTTTCTTGTGATTTTTCCACTTCACTATATTTCTCATCTTAACCCATCAAGTATCAACCGAAGTGAAGCATTTTTTTTAAATTTTAAAATTTTTTTCGTATAATGAGAGTTTGTCAAGTCTTTTTTAAGTCGAAGATTCTCGACTGAGTTTTTTTCTAAAAAAAAAAATGAAGAGTTCAATTTTTATGAATTCATATTAAGGAACAGCTCTAGGTATAGGTTTTTGAAAATAAAGTACAAATAAGAATATAGAAAAGTTGGATAATAGAACTTGACAAACAATTGAAACGTTTTTGTCGCAAAGTTGCAGAGTTTAAGAGCCTTTGATTAAAAAAAAAGACATGATACTCTTTTCAAGTTACGAGAAAAGGATTTCTCAAAAATAGAAACCTATTTAAAAGCTGTTTCAATTTTCGATTCATAGTGCGTTCAGATGAGCTGGGATCACTTGGTAGGAAGATCACGGTCCGGTTCATTATTGGCCTTATTCGAAACCTGGACAGTTTGGAAAAAAAATAAGAGCTTATTTTTATTATTAAGCGCTGAATTAGAAGTGCTACTAAAAAAATAGGAATTTATCCGAGAGCTTCCCATCTAAGTTTTCAATTTCAGGAGTTGAATGGAAATCTTCTGAAAATTCACTAATGAGAGAGAGAGAGAAAAAAAAAGAGTTTACCTTTGAAATCGCCGAATGCCACCCTCTATTTATTTCCTAAAAAAGATACTTGCTTCGTATAATTATTTCCTAAAAAAAAGTTGGCTAAGCGTTGAATCAATGACAAAAAACAACTAACAAGTACCAACGTGCGTGGTCTCAGGGAAGCACGAAGAAAAGCAATCGCGGGCGGTCGCGCGGAGCAAAAGCGTCGGAGCAACAGTACTATTCCGATGAAAGAAGGGCAACTGATATGGACGATTTTCACTCCGAAGCTTTCATGAGTAACGAAATTCCAATGGAAATACATGACGACTTACAACAAGTTCCAGTTCAAAAGGACCTTTCGAAGTTATGTAAGTTGATCTTGACAGATTTCGGGCGAAGTTTTGCGACAAGAATAAAAAGTTATTTAGAAAAAAAGAATATTGCGTTAAGAAAACTGAAAACACAGGGTCTCAAATTCGTAAATCGCATTATAGGAACTCTTTTTTGTTGTTAAACTCAACTACATAGCGGCTCCTTTTAACTCAATACGATCCTTTTTTGTAATTTCTTGATGGAGAAGTCTTTCAAAACATGCCTAGTTTTTTTTTCAGTTCACAGAAGTATAAGAGATGGATTGGAAGAAGCTGATGATAGCGATGAAGATGATGAGCCAGTTCCGCCGAGACGTTCATTTCGTCCAAAAACAGACCTGGAGGACGAAAGACAGTGCCTTGTCGACATCCAACTCTCGTGGAGTGGTAACCGAAAAGTCGGTAAGTGATTCTGGAAAAAAAAATAATCGAAAAATTGTTTCCGGCTGGTCAAATTGAAATAAGTCAAAATTTTCCTATTCTTTTACTCTAATTTGCTGTGTCGAGACTCAATCCTTCATTCAAAGTTGATCATATTAGAATAGATTTTCAAAAGTTTCAGTTATTTTGGCTTAACTCTTCACGAATTTCATAAGATCAAGATCTAAATTCTGATCAAGATCTAAATTCTGATGGGCGCGCCGTAGCGCAACAGGTTGTGTGCCTGTCTACGGTCCACAGGGTCACAAGTTCGATCCCCGCCCCGACCCAGCCAAGGGGTTTAAGAAATGTTGGTAGTGGGAAACCACGACTTCAAAATCCCCAGCTGTCACACACAACGACGGATATGTCACTGGAGCCAGTCCATTGATTATCATCACGATAGGACCTCGGCTAATCGACTTGGGGCGCCGACGCCGCTCAAGCGGTACGAAGGCGTAAGAAGAAGAAGAAGAAGAAGAAAATCTAAATTCTGATAAAAGCTCGAAAATAACTTAATGAGATGAATTTTTTTTGCTAAGGTCAGAAATCATACAATTATTTGTCAGACGTCTCATCAGTTTGGAATCACTCTTGATGATCTGAAATGAAGTCTGGCCATCACCAGATGACTGTGTTTGTTGGACCCACTTTTAAACGTTTTCTCACTTCTCCTACCTACTTTCCTCCTTTTACGAACAAATCGATTTTCAAGGACACGCAACGATTTGCGGTGAACATTTTTGGAAAGTACTCTTACAACTGGATTATGTATTTTTCTATTGTTTTAAGACGATCGTTCGGTAGTTTTAATCGAAAACTTGTTTTTTGTCATCTTAACGACAAAAATAAATGAACGGAGAGACGAGTTTTAGTGGTAATGTCCAAGCAGACATTCCTGTCTGTGGAAGGAAGGTCAATTCTTTCTTACTAAAGATCTTTTTCATTCAAAAATCTAGTAAAATTAATGATTCTAAAAAAATTTCGGGCTTCTACACTTTTCATTTTTTTCAAATAGAGTCTATTCCGAAGTTCTACATTATAACAGTTCCTACAACAACGGCAACACTCGCAAAAAGGTGTTTCTACGAATATTATATTCCCTTTGCGTAATCCTCAAAAAAATTAAAAAAATATTAATATGCTCTTCGATATGACCTCCCTCAAACGAATCATCAGTAAAATCAAGCGAAAAAGTTAGTGAGAAGAAAAACCGCGATCAGATCCAATGCTCTGATTCCGACGGCACTCGACTCGATCTAACGCGCAGGAGTGCGTACTTTTTTTCTTTCAAAACTTACCGCTCGCTTGGCCGCTTTCTTTGCGCTTTGTCGCACGATATTCACTCTCGGCGGATTTCTTGTTTCCTAGAAGTATTGTTGTCCTTTCACTCGTTTCAAATCGCTTTAAGCTGTATTGATCTATCAACTGCCTATCACAGAATAGTCAGATTAACTGTTCATTTTTTAAATTATAGAAGGTTTCGAGCTTTTCGCGTAGTTTTCTAACATAAGCCGTCGAACTTCTTTGACTTTTGCAGTTTGCCAGCTTGCAACAAGTAACTGTTCTTAAATTTTGAGAATCTATTCAATTATAACTCCGCGATTTTCTCTTTCCATCTCACAAAACAGTGTCTAATGGGCCAGGCTGAAGTAAGTCCATTAACCGCTGCCTTGAGACAATATTTATTGAGTCAATTAGTTTTCACCCAAGTCATTCAAGAAATTTTGAACTCTCTACAGCGGTGAAGAGAGTAATTTGTAGAGTTAGAGAGGCATTGAGTCAACAAAATTATAAGGATAAACTAAAAAAAAAATATTTGCTTAAAATAGGTAGTTGTATTTTTTGATTATTTCTTGTTACCTCATTTTTGAAGTTTATTTGGACTTGAGCACCTTGGTCTTGGGCCTATCATCGGCTTTGCGAACATCCATCTCTCGTGGCGTGCCTATCAACGCCAGAAAATCGGAGATTTGTGATAGCTTACCGCCTCCCCCGCAGGCGTAGAAACGGCTGAAGAACGGCGCCGCTCGACAGTTGCCATGAGCTTCGAACTCGAAAAAGTCTCCGAGGTGTAGTCCGGCCTGCACACTGTCGGACGCTGTAAAGTCCAAGTATTGTGTGGGCCACCCACACTGTTCACGCTTCTTGCAGTTTTACGTATTGAGCATGAAACAGAAATCTTCATCATGCTGTATAGATACGCACTGGGTTCAACTTAGACAAAAAAAAAAAGGTTTTTGTATAATAATCTATAGATTGTTGCTTAAAAAGTTGGGATTACCTTCAAAACGAGTCTGTAGATTACTTAACGTCAAGAGCCTCGTTTGATAATTTTTGACAGCTTTTGTAGGTCAATCAAGCTGGGTTTATTCTGAAAAAACTAATTTCTTTTTCAATCAGGGGTATTCATACTATGAGTCTTCAGGATAAATAAACGCTTGTTAGAGCAAGTATTTTTGGGTAGAAATCCTTGATTCAATTGAGCAGAACATTGGTAGTTTGGTAGAGAAATTCAAGTATGATTTTAATTTTTTTTAAATTCTTTATACCAGAAAATAAATAGGCAAACTTTTCCATTGAAATTTTTTTTCTGACAGGTGGAAAGATTTTTGCTTGAAATAAACAGGTAAACGAGTTCCGTTGTCTTAGTAATTTCTGACAAGTGACCGAACTTTTTTACACACTTCGAACTTTACTCGTAGCTGTAGGCGGACGGATCTCGAGTTAGCAGCCTCACTTCATTTCTTCTCTCTGACGCCATATCTATTTGCTTTAATAACTCAAAACTTTGGAATTCCGTAGGCGACTTTGAATTTTCAAATACTATAGACTATTGAAAACTTCACTTCGGGCGTAAAAATCATCCGTTGAATAGATGCAATTTTTCTGAAGGAAAAAGAGCAATTGAAAATATATCACGAATTTTTAATGAAATACCAATCTAAAAGTAATCAACTTCAATCAGCCTGTTTCAATACCGGTCAGAGACTTCTCCTCTAGAAAATGAAAATGAAGTTTTTGATTAATAAAAAAACAGCTTTGTGGTCTTTTTGTCTGGTTTAGGTTTTTGAGGAATTAAATAACCAAACGTACTTTTTTTAGCATTTGGAAGTTTTACCAGCATAAGCTCCTCTCAAAGTCTTGCGAAGATCTGCAAAGACTTTTAATTTCTGTTCATCATTCTTGCGGCCCGTTGAACGATGTGCAAACATCAGCGCTTGCGGACCAATTTGTTTCAAGATAGTTGCTCTGCGATTTTTCAGTCGATGAAATTCTTCTCTTCGATTGTCAGGATTAAAAAAAAATCCATATCGTTCAATGGATCTTGAACAGTTCAAGAATTATTGTATAGAAAAAAAATTTTCAAGGTTTTGAAGTGGCATACTGGAGCCAGCTTAATCTCATGATGAAGAGTAAAGGTCGATTCAATCAAGCACAAGGATTTCATAAAATCGATAAGACTTGGCGAACTTATATTGAGAGCTTTTTGAATTACTGAGAAACTTTTTCATTGAAGTTCAATCAGTAGAACTTCCTGAATTTATGAGAATTTCAGAATTATAAAAAAATATGACCTGTTACAGTTAAAAAAAGACTTCTCTAAACTTTTTCAGTTTTTTAAAATCCCCTTTTTTGAACTTATATGATATCCCTACAGTACTATCAAGGCTAAGTTCTGATTCATTCAGGCAATGGATAAAAAAGTTCCACTCGTCGGATTTTTGAGCTGAGCAGTCTAAACCGATGTGAAAGCCTATCCATAGACGCACAAGCGGTGTTTTCGAGTTTGCCACAAAGGACAAAACTATTTGTTTTTTCGTTGGCTTGAACGAGGTTGGAGCTTTTCCTTGCTCGTTGGGCCCTCGAAGCAATTGGCGTTTTCTGCTGGAGGATGCCGTGGGTATCAGCGGCAGTGGCAGCTGCTCGTCGATCCTACACAAACCGTTTCTCTCGGCTGTGTTTCTATAATTTGCCGCAGCTCCTGTGGCGAGGGCGGGGGCGCAGCCAACAGGATAGGCGCCACCGGTGTAACGTCTTGTTGGTTGTTGCTGCTGCTCCTGCTCGTTTCCACTTGGATCTCCGGCACGCCCACAGTTCGACGCCGCCCCTTTCGCACTGAAATTGCTGAGATACATGTGTCCTGACCGATATCGATGCGATCCGACTCTCCAGGCTCTTCGGAGTCGTCGTCATCGCTTACATATGTGCTTCGTTTCTTCTTTTTTCCTGTCTCATTTTGCTTTTTTGCCGACCTGGTCGCACATGGGCTAGCCGAGCATCTGGCTTATTTTCGCTTTCACATAATTCTTTCTTTTTCGATACTTTTTCAGCCTCTTTCTGTTTTTTTGAGGTTCGGCTTTTCTGCTCAAAAGTGCAAAACTGAGCTAAACCCACACCGCGAAAAAAGTCAATACAAAAGAAAAAAAAGTTCCTTCGTTGAGACGCAGACGATGCCTTACGTTGTCGAAGTTTCCGGGAGCGTTGGTGGCGTTGCCACACCGGCGTTCCTATTTGTTTTCCAAGGTGTTGGAGAAACAGACTCTTTGTGCATCATTGCGGGCGGCCGTCCTATTCGCGAAGCTATAGTGTCCAGCATTTTCGTTTTCGAAAGGTTAAGCAACAATAGAGCGACCTATAAAGAGCCCGAAAACTCGAGCATTTTTTGTTTGCTTTTGCATCTATTCCAACATCAAGGAAAGATTAGAAAAACTATATTTTCTCAACTTGTTTTTTCATATTTTTGTCCCTTCCGGGGTTCTCGCACTCTGAAAAAGTTTTCTGCTGCGTTTTCAACTCTTTTCACAGTTGAGAGCTGACACACTTCTTTTTCTCTTTTTCACTATAGTTCGGTTTGCAGAAATGCCAGAGGGAAAGGCCCCACACTTCCCACAACAGCCAGTGGCCAGACAGAACGACGACGGCTCCTTGGAGCTCGAGTGTTACGTCGACGCCACGCCGAAGCCGGAAGTCAAGTGGTACTACGACCAGGTAAGGCTTTTTTCAAACAGTGTCGTATTTACGCAAAACTGGAAGGAAGGTTCAAAAATGTTTATTTCCCAAAATAGAAAGATGAGAAATAAACGAAAATTTTTTTTTTTTTCAAATTGTATCAAAGAAAAACTTCTCCAGTCAAAGTTTCTGCTCCACTCATGATTGATCTAGACCAAAAATACGGATTCAAACGTTCAGAAAATAAAAAAGTTTGAGCTCTGGTATTTTTCGGATTTTCTTCCTATCGCAAATCTAGTTTTGCTCACGAGATCTCATGCTTACAACGCCAAAGTCCACTGAGGTTTTGTCGAAACGTTTCCAGATGAGTCGAATGAAATAATTCAAGCTCAAACCTATTCAACTGTAGCTTTTAACTTCCAAAATCAGACTTTCAAAGCATCTTTCCGAGGCTTTTCTTCATTAGAGAAATCCAGAAATGTAGGTATATTTTGAACTATAATAGGATCAATCAGCGCTCCAAAGAAGAATTCTCTTTTTTTCATACGAAATAAATCATCTTTGTCGTTTTTCAGAAGCAAGTGGATACAAGCGACCGATTCTCGTTCAAACTTGATAACCGTGGCAGCGATTCGTACTCCGCCATCCTCAAGATCAAGGTGTGTTGATTGTTTGTCGAGAGGCTGCTCGGGATTTATCAATGCGCTCCAGATGTTTGCCAACTATATTTAGTTGGGATAAATCACGTTTCATCACGACAGTTCTGTTTATGATACACTTGAAAGCTGAACTGCTTCCTCTGTTGAAAACGTTTTTTCGAAGCCGTTTGCCTTGATGAAAAAAAAAACCATTGAACTTTTCTCTGTTCCGTTCTTTCGAGAGAGAGAGAGAGAGAGAGAGAGAGAGAGAGAGAGAGAGAGAGAGAGAGAGATAGATCAAAAATTTGAAAAAAATATTGAAAATCAATTCCTGGATATAGATTCTAGCAATCAGTTTTGCTTTCTAAACGAAATTAAAAAAAAACAAACCATCAGCCCAAACAGTTTTGTCTTACAAAAAGAGTTCAGTATTAGAAGCTGGACGATTTTTCGAAAATGTTTGCTAAAAAAAATCCCAGTTTTGAAAAATAGTTGCAGTTCATTCCAAACCCATCCTATCAGTTCGAATTTACTAACCCCTCCAAAAAAAATTGTGCCTCGAAGTAATTCACTTCCCGCTCAACCAAATAATGATCAGAGAACTATCGAGTAAACTTTGCTTTTTCTAGGTATAAATATTTCGAAAATTCTCCAATTCCCTCTCAAAGCTCTCTAAAAATCAGAGAGCAAATGAACTTGACAGCATGGCTCATAATTATCAGTTAACGAGGCGCTTCGGATCCGTTTTCTAGCGAGTGCAGTATGCTGCTCAGTGTAACGCGGTGTTACGACTTGCCACAGGCGTCGGAATCGCTGCCATTACACAATCACTCAAGTGCCAGCCTTAGTTTTCCAGAAACTCTAGGCACTATCAAGAAAATCGTGCAACTGAAAGTCCTGACCGCTGTTACACAACTACTTTTTACAATCTCACCTTTATTGATTTATTTTCCAGGATCTGGCCGATGCTGACGCCGGAGCTTACCGATGCGCCATCGTCAATCCCCATGGAAAGGGTAATGCCAACTTCAACCTGAAGCTCACTGGTCAGTATGAATAAAGATCGAAGAAAAGCTGAAATATTCAAAAAAAACTTGAAAAAAACCAATAATGAAAGGAAAACCCCTTGAAAAAATAATTGATTTGAATAGTTTCTGAGGCGTTGATTGCAGTTCAGAAGCAAACGTGTTCTGATAGGTAGACCTAAATTCATAAAGAAATAATATTCTCTAAGCGTCACTTTTCTTCAAGAAACTCAAAAAATCCAAACGCTGCAAATTCCGAAAACGGAAAAATTATTCGAGGCCTTCTTGATAAATGATCCCAGCCAAGCTTCAAATCGAAAAATTTGAGGTTTCTCCTCCCCGACCTTTGTCGAAAAACCGCAAATTTCATCGCGTGACGATGGACAGATTATGGTCATGGAGTTCAGAGCTAAGTCTATTCTGAAGCCGACTTTTGTTTGGCAAAAGGTGAGTATGAAGGATTCAAAACTCATTTTCAAACCGAGTTTTTAGGGAGAAGAAATCGTTGCTCAGTCTGACCGAGTGAAGGTCGTCCTCCGCGAGGAAGCCAACCAGGTCTACTATTCCGCTCTGGAAATCAAGGTAACATTTTTTCATTGTTCAGTCTCTACTTCTTGCTGTTTCAGGAGCCGTCGAAGGAGAAAGACGCCGGACAGTTCGTCTGCACCGCCAAGAACGAGTCTGGAAAATTGACCGCCACCTTCACCGTTAAGTTCGAAGGTTGATTATTTTCTACTAACTCTCAAATTTGACGGACTTTTTTCAGTTCCTCAAGGCGCCCCGACCTTCACCCGAAAGCCGCAGATCCTCCAAAAGACCTCAGACTCTGGAGATCCGGCCATCGTCTTTGACATCGGATACCAAGCTGACCGCAACCCAGAAGTCAGTATCCAGCGTAGAAAAGACGTTTTAAAAGCGGAAAATTCAGGTTTTGTGGATCAACCCTAAGGGAAAGAAGATGAAGGAGTCTTCGCGCATCAAGTTCAGCGAAGTTCCTGACGGTTCCAACAGCTTCACTGCCTCGCTCGAATTGAAGGTATAAAGATACATTTTTGATCCGTAATCACGACGAAATTCCAGAATTACAAGGCCAAGGACTCGGGTACCTACACTTGCAACATTAAGAACGATGCTGGAGAAGCCAACGTCGAACTGACGCTTAACATCGAAGGTCTCTTTTCCCTTCTCCTTAATTGTCCAGCCAGAGAGCAACTCGTTAAAGTCCGAGTGGATTGCGGTTTTGTTTGTTTTTTCAGGGTCAATAAGCGTTTCAGGTGATCCGGTTGACAACGGCACTGAAGATTAGAGATCCTGCCTATTTTGCCATGCTTTTCTTCTGTGTAGGTTTCAAATGGCCGTTCTAATTCTCACTCTTTGTTGATAACAAATAACCTGCATGTTCGGAAGTTTTCTGGCTTTGCTATTTTAATGAGTGTCTGAAAATCAAGCTTCAAAAAGACGTTCTGAAATTACCTTCAAAAACGTCGAAAAAAGTTTATATGATTTCTTATGCGAGAAGCATCTTAAATCAATCTTTCGATTCAAAAAAAAAAACTTTTGCGATTTCTCCATTTAACCAACTATAATTATTTTTTTCATGAGGCATGTATATTTTTCCAGCTTGATTTTCTTATACTTTTTGAAATCTTCACTTTTGATGTACAACGTCTCTGCACTGGTTTTATTTGACTTGCAAGGTTACTTAACTCAGCAGCATAGGATTGAAAAAATAAGATTGAGAAGCTTGTAAAACCGCACAAGTAAATGTGAATGATAAAATAACAATACGAAAACTCCTTTTTTTTTGATTTTGTTGTATCAAGATTGGCTCTAAGAGTTCAAATTTCATTTTTCACGACTGTCTATGTTCATAGTCCGAGTGTCTTTTTATGATTCCTTCATAGCTGGCATGAGACAAAGTTTCTGAGGATTTTCGTGGTTTAAGAAAGGAACTACAGATGTTTTTTGTCCCAAGCTAGCGGTGAATGGATGAAAGTCAATGTTCAAAATGTTCACCGAGCACTCCCAAGTCACTTTATCAAGTTTTAAGAAATTCAAAGTCAATCTTTTTTTTTCCAGGCCCGCTCGACGACGCTGGAGACGATGCCAGCGAGAATTAAAGCTCTTCTCATTACGCGTCTAATTTCCGACATCTCGAACAGTCCTTCAACTTTTTATCCAAATGTTCGAGCTCATTTGAGCTTGTTTGTTTTGTGCTGTTTAATTTTTCTGTTACATTTTGCTATCCCAATCGCGACGTTTTTCGGATGCAATGTTTGAAACAAACTTTTTTCAACTTCTGGGAATCAACCACATTTTTCTTTTGTCCGAAAAGTTTCGTTTCGTGACGAATCGAAGCTCTTTTTGTTTTAGGGTTGCTCTTCTCTCCTTTTTGTGAATTCGCCACTGGCATTGTCGCTTGGCAATTTGATTATTGATTTTTTTTTTCTTCGATGATAACTGATATTTTGTATAAACTGTCGCTGAGAGTACGAGAAAGAGCAATTTGAAAAACTGCGACGGCTAAGAAAACTCACAAGAAGAGACGTTTAATTATAAAATTCAAGGTTTTTTTAAACATTTCTCAAACGCCTAATAAAGTTTTTAAAAGTGGATTTTTGTAGTCTTTTCCATGTGCCGGAAAAAAATTTGATACACTGAAAATTCAAAAAAACACCGAGAACTTGAGCTTTGATTGAGGGAAGACATTTCTTGCAAGCTTAGAGGCTGAATAAAAAAATTTTTGAAGATTTAATAACCAATCAAAAAGTGAAATACTGAAACTTGAAATCGCGGAAACTTTGCACAGTGAGCAGTTACATTGAGTCTTCATCATATTTTTTTTGATAATTTTTGGAAGATAGTCAACTTCACACTTGGAAGACATTATCTGGTTATGTAAAATGCAACATCTTCTTAATTTTTTGAAAAAAAAAACCATGGATGTCAGGAAAATTTTATAGCTGCAAGACGTATCACAGTAGATCACAACGGATAAGGATATAAAGATCGAAAAGAGCTCAAATTTACACCGGAAAATTCACAAAGAAAAACAACAGTAACAACTAAAAAAAACCTCGTGGGAACGTGCTAAAATAGAAAGCACATACAAGCACAGTTCACATATTTTTACCCAAATTTTAAAAAATAAACTTTTGAAATAACCAACTTGAGGGCACATGTATATACCGTATTTTGAAATATGTTAAGACCAGACGTGACAAAATGGATACAAACTCAGAAATATGCTTCGGCAATTAGAAAAGAAAAGACAAGCAGAAGATACCCGATCCCAAAAGTCATAAGTGGAAAAAATATTTCCGAAAGGCGAAAAGTAATCATAGTGTTTGAACACATTTAAGGGAGACTAGCTGAAAAAAATTCCATAAAAAATGGAATCAAAAATATCTATTAAGAGCTGTTGCACAGCAAACCGAATCACCTAAGTTTTTGGCACTCCCATGACACTCGTCACCATATCTGGTTGAAGATGAATAGGTTAGTCTAACCGTTCTACAAAAAAACACTAAAAAAGAAGTCGGACGATGATCAACTCAAATATGAGTCAGTCAAATGAACAGACTACGTCTTTTTGTCGTCTTTTTTCTCGTCTTCCTCGCTTTTTTCTTCTTCATCGACACCGTCTCCAGGAACATTAGTGTTGTGGAATTCCGGCAGAACAATCTGGCTTGCGGGGACTTTTTCAAAGCACTCCAGTAAATAAGCGACCACTTAAATGAAACAGTTTGAATTGAACTTTGATTTGAAACTCACACTTTCCTAACCGACGCTCGATGGCTGGATAGTGTTTGAAGGCGAGAATGGGATGAACTGGATCTTTAGACATTGAACTGAAAATATAAAGAAGCGTAATGAAGCTATCGGAAGCTCATACTCACCTGTGAAGAGCTCGAGAAAGAGACTTTGGTTGACTGTAGAAGCCAAGAATCTTCGCAAGAGTTGACGGTCTGATCACACAGCATTGCCGGAGAGGCAGCAGAATGTCGTCGTCGTCAAAATCGGACTTGCCGAAACTGAGAAAAAAGATGTGAATTTCATCTAAACGAGGCACTAGCTTACGCTCTTCCATTGTCCAAATGAATTGCATAGGAAGGCAAGGTTTCGAAGACGTTGAAAGATTCAAAATGATGTCGGTCTTGATTGCCTGGAAAAATTAAGAAGTTTTAATTCTTCTTGACTCAGGAAGTTTCGATTGCAACAACGCTTTGATATATTCTACATATGACCAAAACCATGCATTTTCATGATTTTCCTACCAATTAAATAATCCAGAATGTGAAGATCTATGAGATCCAACAGTTTTCTGCCATGCGCATATGGCTTCTTCGTCTTAACCTCAGTACAATAGTCCATGTTGGACTGCCACTCAGCAACTTGGTTTTTCTTTGAGTAAGTCCTGAAAAATAGATAGTTATACTCAGAAATTCAGGCTTCATCACCTTCTGTAAGGACTACGGTTGTGCTTCCTGGGCACAGCAGTTTCATCAGGCAGAAAAACTTGAACACTGCCTTCTTTCAAATCAGGAAGGCCACAAATCGCGTGGGTTGTATCGCAATAGTAGTCGCACCTGGACACGAAGCAGAAATTCTTTGCTGAAATAAAATTTTAAATGGAGTTATGAACATTTTGTAGCTGACCGGGAGATACGAAAAACGTCTTTTTCAGCTTTTTCTCAGCCTTTTCGTAGAGTTCACTCGTCATGTTCATAACTCGGCCCACCGTTGGAACAGCTCTTCGAAACCCAAGAACTCTATAAAGTGATTGTTTTCTCAGAAGTTAAAAAGTACGATTAAAAAAATCTAACTCAAAGTTTGGTACATCAACTGAATGCTAATTTTTCAACAGATAAAGTTTGAAAAAAACTTGTTCCTCATTTGTGAGAGTACAGTTCTCCAAAGATTTTCAATAAATTTTTAGAGTCTATCGGAAGCTTCATAATAAGAACAATCAATTTTTTTCGAAATCTAATATTTAGTCCCAATTAATCAAATTTTTTTAGCGCTAACCGATCCAAATGGAAAGTTGCAATCTCCGCTTGATGTCGTTCAAAATCACTGAAATAGAAGTGATTCGGGTCGGTCTCATAGTCTCGACCAAATCTGCAAAATTTCATTTCATTCAAATCACAAAGCGGTTCTTTAACCTCATAGGCTTGAAAACTGCTTGCTTGTCGTTTTCAAAAGTCAACACGAATTTAACCTGAATTTTTTTTTCCATTCAAGTATTCAGTTAAAGTTGATTTACCTGAGTTCCGCCGTCCATTATATGAACCGATGCGATGGGTAGTTTATTGAGGTCGTTGAGTAAATTTTGAACGATTTGATCGTCAGTGTACACGGCGCAGCTACCTATCGTGGCGTAGAATTTCTCCCAGGAGTCGTCTTCTGGCACATATTTTCTGAAAATCAGAGTAATCACCTCCAGAAAATGAGTCTGATTGATATAAAAAAAAAAATTCAACGTTGAATCAGGTCGTTTGAAAAAAACGAAGTTGGACCAATTTCTTTTGAGTTCCTTTCCGAAATGGATATTTTTGAGCTGCAAAAAACTAGTCAGATTTTATAGGAGTTGTTTTTTCCGATCCATTCATAGCATATGAAAGAGTGAGACTGGTTGCACTCAACACTTCTCCGAACAACAAAAGAACCGACAAAACACGAAATAATAAGTCTCACGATGAATGAGGCTATTTTTTCATATAAATTTGAAGCAAAACAAATCGCAATGACATCCTGAGTTTAACCTCTGTTTCTGAGTATACTTCGAAAGTATCAACTTGAGCAACTTGAAAATTCATCGTGCGCCAGATCTGGAGGGTCGGCCATGTACAACTAGTCGCATTTGCATTTTTTTTTCTTTTTTTTTAGAAACTACCATACAGATTATTGGTCAATGAACTTTTTTTATCAACTTCATACCAGATTCATACTCTTTGTAAAATTTTTTTAAGCAAAAAAAGATTTCGTAAGTAAAATTTTTGACCGCGTTGTAGACATAGCTTTCTTAAAATTTCCTTTTAATAACTTTTTCTTGCCCTCGGAAACTTTTTTCATCCTATCTACATGTAATACACAGATTTTTCATTCTGTGTAGTTGAACATAAAAGTTGAAAAAAAAAACATTTTTTTTTGCTGTTGCTCAATGCTAAAGGGGCGTCTCTTTGCGGAATGATTTCAATAACTCACTGTTTAGTGCGCATCCAATGCGTTGCTAGGGTGTAATTTTCACGGCATTCTTTCTGCATCAGTCCGTCCAGGTCGATTTCTTTCAGATGTTGGTGAATTTTAGCCAAAAGCATCCGATTAGAAGTTGAAGGGAAGTCTTAAAAGTAGGAAGGTTAACAGTTTTCATTGAGCTTGAAAATGTTTAAAATGACTTTAAAAAACGACAAACTACAATATTGACGTGGTACAAGAAAGTTGAACGCATAGTAATTTGCACTTTTTGCTTTTTCGGAAAAAAACTTTTCTGTTTTATCTGAGCCTCCTGAGAACCGGTTTGAATCACTGCAGTGAAATTTTTTTCTTTCGAAATATTCTTGAGATTTTACTAACCTGAGAGGTGAAAAAATTCGAAAAGTTATTGGCCATTTGGAAATTTGAAAATTCCGAAAAACACAATTGAAATATACTAACCAAAAGGATCGATTTCTGGAGGATTTTCTAAACTAGGCGGTTTCGGCTGGTGAGGTAAGGATTTTTGGACCCCGACGCCGCCGCTTTTGGCCCTCTGTTCTCGCTCGTCTTTGTGCGGCACTACTAGCCGAGCTTCTTGTGACTGTGGCGCCTGCTCCCATTCTCCTGAAAACCGGAAAAATTATTAATTTTATGCAGTTGTTTGATATATATACTCTCTGACTTAACTTTTGAATATCAAACCTGAAACGCGAAAATCTAGTTAAAAATTGAAAAATTGAAGAAAGTTTTTGATTTGATCTCAGGCGTCCCCAACTCTCGAAAACATACTATAGCCTAAAGAAAAAGCCTTTTGAAGTTGGTCGCCGCTACAAAATGAGTACAAACGTTTGAGAATAATTTTCAACCGTCAACAGTTTATAAAAGTTGTAGACATTCCAATTATCAAGCTGTTCTAGTCGTGATAAAAAAAACCTTTCTAGTTTACAATAATCTTTTTCGGGAACCAAAGCACCGTATTCAGTTGAAGTATTAGCCTCCACACTCAGCTTTCAATTAAAAACTCGATAAAAATTAACGAACTTCCAAAGTTCTCTTTGGGCAAAGAGAGGATGACGAGAGTGGCGGCAAAGACGACGAACGCCAGGGTGAACAGTCGCTTAATGTTGCACCTCATAGCAAGACGTCAGAGGCCCGCGGCTTCATTAACCGCCACTTCTGAGATTGGCCAAGACAAACGTGCGGGGTGACTGAAATCCGTTGACTGTCTATGCAGAAAAGACAGGCTGAGGGCCGGCCCACGCGTACAAGAATTCATTTCTTTCAATTTGCTTGCAAATAAGGTGTTGGGAAACAATAACAAGATGATGGGAACTAGACATGGAGTTGTCTATATATATGTATATCGTTCCGGCATGTTTGCGGATGGGAAATGAAGTATTGTTGTGTCTTAGAAAGTTGTTTGAAAAAGTCTCCTGAAAATTCCTGAAACACGTTCTGAGTGATGGAAAAAGAGTATAGCAAAAAAGGTCCGCTGCTAGCTGATATTTTATTGCAATTCTAGTCTTCAAAATCGCCAGTTTTTATGAAAAAATAAGAATAATCAGGCGGAGCAGATTTAGAGTTTTGCTGACTTCACCATGTCACGTGAACCTTTCTTATAAGTTTTGGAATGACTTCCAATAGTGATCTTTCAGGAAAAACGTTTTCAAAAAATTCTTAGTTCAACCAACTAAAAACATGAAGAAAGAAAAAGGAAGCCGAGAAAAAAAAGTTTCAAAGCGACGTCCAACTCTGACACCAGGGGTATTTTGAGCAACCTGTCGTCCAAAACATCAAAAAAAAACCTCCCCGCCCCAATTTGAAATGCCGTCACACGTACGTATTACAGCATAAAGCTTTTCGTTGTGGAAAAAAGAGTAATTCTTCAAAACACACAAATCAGCCTAACTTTCAGAGAGATTGAGTAGAGAACAGAAATGAGGCAACGCTTCGCGGTGAAGTTTCGAGTGGGTGAAGTTGATTCGAAATGATTCGCATCATAGGAAAGTATCATAGAATTTCTCAAAGTCTTTCTATCTGTCTTTGAAGCTTTGGTCATTAACACAGAGTAATTTGCTGGAAAAAATAATCGTGAAAAAATTCAAGTTTTGGAAAGACATTATAATTTTCAAACGACTGCTCAACGTAGGCGTGAAGGAAAGAGTATCAAATCGGAAGATATTCTTTTATCAAGAAATGGAAATAGAATTAACAAATCCTATTAGAAAAACTCAGTGAAACGATGAGTAACTAGTTTACCGTGAAAATCCGTACCAACAAATTTGATTAAATGCCAGTTGATGAAGTAGTGAATAGCTCAATTAAAAAAGTAACGTTGCCTAATTGAATTATAACTTTGTCATAAACGACTTTGAGATGCGTCACAGACGATGAGAATACTTCTTTTTATTGTCATGTGAATGTAAAATTCAAGCAAAGAGTTTTAAAGTTGGAAAGTGTAAAATTGGTTCAGTCGAATGATTCAAGATGCTGGAAGTGTCGATCGAAAAAAATTCCTTTTTTTTTCAAGGACAAAATATCAAAGTCACAGAAAAATATCAAAAACTGGTAACTGTTTTCAGAATTTTTTTTTTTTCACGCTAATTAAATGAAACTTTTCCTCCAAAATTAGCTCAAATTTTGAACGAAATCTTCTTCCCTTGCCTTTTGGTCGGCCGAAAAACAGCAATGGACGAATATGGCAGGCAATTTTATGTTAAACATTTCGAAGAGGACGAACCCGAATATATTTTGAAAATATTGCGCTGAAATAACGTTTGCCTTTTACGTGGTTGTGTTTAGAAGAAAAAGATGATGAGAAACATAGGAGCATAATTTTTTTGCTAGCAAAAAAATTATGTCGCACGTCGGTGAAGGGTTTCCTCAAAAATAAGAAAAAAATGTGTGTGAAAAAAGATGTTTTTTTGAAAAAAACTTTGACAAAAAAAGAAAACCTTCAATTACAGCCTTTTTTTCTCACTTTTCGGCGTAGAGAACCCAAAATGAAGCTTTCTTCTCAACGAAAGTACTGAGTCGAGAACATTTGAATACAGGTATGGAATTTTTTAAGGAACTTGAGGACTGACCGAAAAGGGAAAATTACGATTGGACTTGAAAAAATCAAATTTCATTGTGCTGAATAAAATAATGGAGGGCTCATATAAAGAAAAGTTTCTCGCAACTTTTTGCCTATTGTTACTTTTGCGCCGCTATTCGTGACGTGCAAAGATTAGAAATGTATAGGCATGAATGAAAACGTTACAAAAAGCGCCATTTTTTGCGATTCCCCAGTTTTGAAGGAACCAATGCAATTCCTATTGCGGTGCTCAATTTGCGCGATTCGCCATGCAATTTGCCGATTTAGGGAGGTCTCAGAATAGGCTAAGAAAAATGAGTAAATAGAGATAGTAACATCTGAATAACTTCTATCAAAAATGAACTATGAAAAATTTGTAGCTATTTTTGTTAAAAGACTTGAAGAAAACGAATTTTCAGAGTTTTTCTTCAGAGAAATAAAGAAAATTTTTTTGAAAAATTCAGCTGGTATTAAGTGAGTGAGATTCATTGGGTTTTTCCTTTAACTTCTTTTTGAGTCATGATTTTTTTTCTAACTTTATATGTGGATATGGAGATGCTTCGGTTTTTGTTAATTCGTTACATGCCTCTAAAAAAAACTTATTTGAGATGAAACCAGAGTTAAATGAAAATAAAATCTTTGAAAAACTGAGGAACACATTCTCAAAACTGACAAATAGAATGCAATAAAAAAGTAAATACCTCAAAATAACTGCAACTAATCAGCCAAATCTCACTCGAACACTCTCATTTTTGAACAGGACTCTGACCGAGGAAACTGACGTGTTGAACGTAAACCTGCCAAAAGCGATTCGGCGCGGGAGCCCAGTGCTATCCGATTTCTAAGTACACGCGTTCACCTTATTGTTTGCTGTTCATTCTAGCCTTGCATGGATTAGGCTTCACCTTTGAGCTGATTTCGGAATAAAACAACAAAAAAATATGGGAAAAATCGCTGACTTTTGGAAGAAGAGAAAAAAGCCGGTAAATGGAAGAAAAATACAGATACACGCATCAGAGGCCAAATTGCACGTCACATACGCATACAAACAGAAACTAACGAACTGCCGTACGATTGATTTGTTAAGAGCGAGGTGACAGAACGGGAAATGTAAATAGAAATCAAGGAGAGCGCGGCAAAACGGCCAGCACGAAAAGCTGAACGAAGTGCTTAGGTCAGTCAGCCCAAATTGGTTCTTTCAAAAATGATTGAGAATAAATCCAGAAAGGTCTCATGCAGAAGTCGAGAAAATTCTGAGACAGAAGATCTTTTCGAAGCACAAACTGAACGGGTGTAAACGTACAGCAAGCCTAGAATACAATAAAATTTTACAGCGGCGTCGCAATGGAAAAAAATTTATGAATTTTTGAACGACGCAAAGTTTTTATTTCTTGTAGCGACTTTAAAAAATTTTTTTGAGATTTGTCGTCAAAATTTGATTTGAATTTCGCTTTGATCGAAAAATGACAAAATCTGTACAAAGATGCTTATTGAGGCTTTCTAGATGAAACATTGCTTCAAAACCGAAGAAAAATTGAATTATTCTCAAAACTCTGCAGAAATTAGCGTCGTGATTGCAGTCCTTCACATATTTTCATCAAAAAAACAGAACTTCTGTAACTTTCTTTTCAAAACGAAAGCTCCAGCAGCAAAATGGAATGGAATTTCTAACCGTTTGTGCTTGAATTCTTTCTTTTATGTGTCACGATCTCAAAAAAAATTCATTTTCTTTTATTTCAACCCAGTTTTGATATGGGTTACGTTCGTAAAGTAAACCCAAAAAGTTGAGAGAGTTTTTCACATCAATTTCAATCGAATCCATTTGGAACACCTTATTGGTCGAGAATTTAGTAGGTATACGTGAACAGACAATTTCAAAAGTCGTTCCTGCATGTCCATTATTTCGCTCGCCGTTGCGTAAAACGTCGACGATTTGGACGAGTCAGCCCTCTATACAAGTTCCCGTTGCTTTTTCAGCGATTGAGTCATTTTTTGAATATAATAGAAGCTTCCTATAAAACTAGTGATTTAGAAAATGAAAGTTGCAGGAAGTCGGGGAAAATGCAATGAGAAGGTCAAACCAAACTTGTAGTCAATTTATGATTTGATTTTCTATTGTAAAAAAAGGTTGTTTTGCTGCAATAATGGAAATGAACTTTTATTTCAAAATTTTAAAATAATGAAGATGAATTACTGAAAACTCGAGAAAAAAGTGCTGAACAAAGTTTGAATATGAGAAAAGAATATCGCGCTCACAAGTTCAAAAAGATTAACCAGAAACCAGTTAGAAAATCAGTTTTTAACGGGTGACAAAGTCAAAAACAGAATTCACTACATCTGTTCCAAAAAATCGGAACCCTTACCATGTCAGGCTTTCACTCAGACCAGTAACAACTTTGGAAAATGACTATACAATTATAAATAAAGCTTATCTGCCTAATTGTCCGCTAGAAAATTTAGGAAGAAAACAGTAATCAAAAATCGAAAGCCGTTATTTCAATCAAAAAGCGATATCAGAAACAGAAAAAAAGAAACGAGCTACTAAAAGCGTGCAAAAAACCTATCGATGTCCAAAAGTGACCGATGATAGCGATCACAACGGGTGTTTACCGCGGCCATCAATGGGGCAACACACGCCTCTCGCAACCCTTTGCAGCCGGGAAACCCTAGGTAGACCAGAACTGCGAGATCAATCGATACTCCGGTAAGCAAGCTCCTCATTTGGTTGATTTATTGGATTTTTCTATCGGTGTTACAACTATTTGCGCCGGGCCACACGACGACCCAATTTTGAACGGTCATTCATTAAGAACATTTTTTCTAGGGGAATAGGTGGTCAAAGTGTCAACTACCACTTTTTTCTTGTCAACTTCCAGCCCATTCGTTTCTGAATTGAGAAAATGTTCCAAGAAAATTTGAGAAGTCTCATCAGTAATTTCTTTTTCTCAGGTTGCCTGTGGATAGAGTCTAATTGCATGATGAATGAATGAATGTTTATTTCGCTCACAGACAGATCTGTGGCGTGGAGGAAGAGAACCATGAAAGTTATATTTGCCTCCACTTCGATGAAGTTCCACTTTAATCTAAAAATATTTTAGGTCGAAATCGAAGAGAATCAAAAAGAAAAGTGATGATAAGAAGTTTTGGCGTAAATTATTTTTGCCCATAGGTTTCATGTTTATCTTTGAGCTTGAAAATCC